TGCACTTATACAAGCCTAGGACATGTTCCACATACCTCCGTAACTATGTATCTATAAAACGTATACTAATTGTATTCTGACATTTTACATGTTATTAAAATTCCAATCACGTGTTGGATTGACTTATTTCAAATGATAAGAGGATTGCGAGCAAGGCTTGACGTGGTAGCTTGAGTAGAACAAAAAGTTTGTAAATTTAGCCCCAGTTGAGTCTAAAAGAGTATTTTTGTGCAAAAGTTTGCAAATTTGTTCATAGGCTTGTGTCATGAAAATGTGTGCCAAAACCAGCGGAGGACATAAATCTTGTCATCGTCCGCCATCGTCCGCCAGTATCGTCTTTCAGTCACACTCCCAATCCTCCTCTCAGTAAATTTAGTTGGGTTGTTCGTTGTTGGCTCTTGAAGACGAATACGCTCCACCACCTGACAATCTAGCAAAATCCAGTTAGTTAGAAGGAAAATACAAGTACATACACAGGACGACTAGAAGATTATTCCACTCTCAGTTGGAGACAGTGGTGACAAGACGTAACTTCAACGGATAGAGTTTCTCTCTCGCACCAAACTACACTCACTCCCTCAATTCTCCAGCCAAACTTTATCATATTATCAGGCATGAAAAAATCCTGGAAAAGGAGACGTGAAAAATATGCTCGCAGAAAAAATGAAAGAAAGAAAGCAACCTCGTGTACGTATTTATACACGGACGGAGCCTGCATATGCACATAGGTTTTTGGAGAGGCAGTAAGGATTTCCATTATACGCCATGTCATGTTAATTCAATTCTTCTTTGGGTCGTTCTGCGGTACGACGATAGAGCAGTGTATATAGTTCCGAACAGTAGTGTGTCTTTCCGTACTCATCTGCGGCAAGTTGCCTATTTTTAAGAAGAAACAGTTTTAATGAAAATTGCAAACAAGTCTTATTTGCATTCAGAATTTCAAACCTACTTTAAACTTTATACATTCTCAAAATGAGTTTCTTTGTCCCGAGTTTTTTAACTTTGGAAATAAAGAAACTTTTTTCCGCTGCATCCACAGCAAGCCACACACTTTTCGAGGACTCTCTCTCTCTTCAAAATTTCAGACCTCATCCCTCCCACCTAAAACTCAGCGGTTGTTTCGCTCCGTTGGATTGGTGAGGAGTTATAGCGTCGGTCGGAACAGTATTGGAGTCGTTCTTGAAGTTGTACAACAGCCCAATATGTTTTAACCATTGTGTGCAAATTCAAAAGAATCTGTGCGGATTTTTCTCTACTCACTTTCCTTCCAGTGAAAAGTGTGTGAAATACATGAAAGAGAACGAGGACGGCAAAATTATTCCTCTTTCATTGCTATATCACTTCCTCTCAGACCTAGTTTAGCATGTTCAATGCAAATAATTAGAATTAGTTTTGCTGGAATTGAGAAGCTGTGCATTTGGGGAAATGGGAATAGTTTAATTTTAAAGGTGTTCATTTCAATCTAGTTCCAAGAAGGTCTGAACGACATCAAAATGCAATTACTTGAACTAAAATGTTTTACAATTGACTACAAATTGTCGAATATTGGAATAGAATAAATGAGATCTGTTCCTAAACTGGTAAACTCACCAAACATGGTGTTAAACGACGTAGACGAATTAATTATTGCACTTCTAACTACCTAAACACATGGAAAGGATAATTTTAGGATAGAATTTATCAGCCATGCTGATGCATTTTTCTTTTTCACCTTACACTGGATTTTTTAATGAAAATTGCATCTATAAATAATGAATAGTGGTTGTTGGACCATTAAGTTTTTCTTCATTTTCAGGACAGAGAAGCTTCTTTCTGCTATTATTTTGGTCAACCAATAATTTAACTTATGTAACAGTGAACCTGGACACAGAAAATATATTGAGCCTCCAGTACACACATATTTCTTTCAATCTAATTTATAGATTGGTTGATCAGAAGGTAAATGCACAACATGCTGATTGTTTGTCGCAGTCTCTCTCTCTATGTGGAAACGACAAGTTTTATTCCTCATAATTTAGAGATTTTAGATTATATTTATTACTCAAAGTGTCTCAAGTTTGAAAGCACAGACAATGAGGAGAGACTATTCGAGTATAGATTCAAATGAGAATATAAGGACATCTCTCATTTTTGCAATATGTATGTACCGCACTGAGATCAGTTCACATGAAGATGCCAAGTCCTCTGGAAGTCTTGGAGAAATCCTGGTAATCGAATAGGAAAGAACTAACAATAAATCATGCACATGGTGCCGCTACGATATCCTGCTCTTGTCTTCTATATAATGGGCCTTTCGGTTGCAGTCTATTAATATGACGCCGTAAAGCGGAATTACATACGTACGTTCCTATGAAATGTGTAACTATATTCGAATATGTAAGGACTAGGAAAGTGCGCAAAGAGAAAGACGCTCAATCTCCTGATCACTCTTGACGCTGTCTCAATTTTTGCATTCTCTCTTCGAGCGACAGTTTACTTGGCACTCATCATCAATTAATTTGGTTGAAATTATTTTTCAGGTCCATCTCACAATGCCCCATCGCATCCATATATTAAAGAAACTAATCCAAAGAGGACAATGTATGAACTCACAAAGATTTTAGTAGATTTCTAACGACTAGAAGAATATACTTGGCGAATTGATGTGTATATGAGGGTCCCTTTCTCAACGTCATCAAAGTTCGTTGGCTGAGGGAACTTTGGCTGGTTGTAAATTGCCAGAAGAAGAAGAAGAAGAAAGCGACATCCATGCAGAATGGCAGGCAGGCCAGAGTCTCATGGGGTGTTGCAGTCAATGGTCCTGAAATTCTTAAGGCAAAAGAAGACTTGGTGGATAGTTCGAAGGACGTGAGAGAAATCCCCAATTGATTTACCTTCCAATCATTTGTAATCCTTTTGCCTGTGTTCAACTCATACAGGGCGGAATTAAATGAATTCTCGTCCAACGAGGAAAAGATGAGTCGAGTTGAGACAACTTTGGCCTCTTCGTGGGTGCGGAATGTGTTTCTTATACATCCATTATTACCCTGAGGAGTCACTAACTATCCGCTCCTTCGATGCCCCAATGAATTTAAAATTATCCTTTGGGAAGTCAACAAAGACCATGATTACGCTATTTGCTTTGGTTTAATAGCCGTTAACACCTGATTGAAAGAAATTCCATTCCTCATGAACAATAAATGAACTGCATTCTACGTAAATAGATACGCACGCTGACGTCGCAGAAGTATGCAGAACATTTTCTACCAAGTTTTTCTCTGAAAGAATTTTTTTACCAGCATTTGTTCCCTCGCAATTCGAGGTGACTGAGGAGTTTGGTACCCAAAAATTAAATCAGACCCAGGTTCGTGAGACAAATTAATTCATAGGAGTACCGCAGCCCATATCTCAAGTTTACTTGTTGTCTCCCCTCCTCCGCCCAGTGTAATGAGAAGGTAATTGAATAAATCTTATTTCAACCGTGTAGTTTCTCAGTTTCAGACAAGTAGGAAACACCCCCGATTGTGCGTGAACAACATACGGATGAGTTTAAGCAGTTTGGATGTGCAACCCACACCCGCAAATTTGGTGAATAACTTCCTGTGAAAGGCATATCATTTCCTTGGAGCACATGTGTGGCCTCATGGCGTGTGGTGGTTGTTGTACGCGCATATAATTTAAGGCTCCTTGTTGCAATGTACATAGCATTTTGAATACATGTGTGAGCACTTGGCTCATAAATTAATTTCTCCTGGAGGCTCGTTCATTGGGAAGGCACCAGAAATAAATTTCGCCCCATTTCCCTCACTGCCATTAACGGCAGCAGCAGCAGAAGGACTCGGTGGTCTTCTCGCATGATGCTGGTATTCTCGCCCTATGAATTTCTACGACTCTTCGCAGACAATTCCTCCTTTCTCCGTGTCCTCCCAGTCGAGCGAGGGTCGGCGGCCACGCTACATAAGTACATGCATAGCAATTTATAAATTGCATTGCTCCAGGAGACAGTCCCAATTACCATTTTCTACAACATTATCCATCCCTATAAGCTCGGTCTGAATTTACATTGCAAACCCTAATTAGCTTCAAATTAATTTGCTCTCTCGACTGTTCCGTCACATCAAAATGTGCTCAAAGACTGCAATCAAAAATTCTTGAAGCAAAATAGGCAAATTGAGCACCTTTACGCAGGTTGCTCTAAGTTTGTCATCGCGAGTGGCATTGCTATTTTCATGTTGCTTCATGTGTTCCTATGAAATATTCACTTGGCCACTTATAACCTTCGACATACAATACCTGATGCTTTTTGGTAGCCAGGACATCATATTCCTAGGCGATATCTGTTTTGGTTAATAAAAAATTATCAGTTTGCGTAGTCGAATTATTTTTTGTTATTAAAATGAACACCTGGTGCAAATGAAACAGAAACAAATGTCATACATACAAAAAATTACGTATATATGTTCTATTGTTAGTACAAATTGACCCTATCGCCGAGTACATGACTATCGCATTATTACTTGATCACCGCACCAACGTCTGATTCATTACATAAACTTTAAGATTGTAACGTGCATCATCAAATCAAATAAATTAAGCAAGTATGTATAGAATTTAGAATGTCTCACTGTGAGATATATCAATAAGATTCCATACTAGCGGCATACCATTTAACAAAATTACTAAGCGCATATTTATTCTACTAGCATTAACAAGTGTAGATGAAGGCGAACAAGTGACTTCCTTGAGCCAATGTGCCTCTTTCTTGCGCATTGTTTGTCGCTAATAACCCAACAACTTGAAGGCTGCTCAAGCTGCTTAATCATCTTTGAGCAATTAATGATTCAGCAGTAAGTATTCAATATGTGGTGCTGGACTTGTCTAACTTTGCATTGCTACAAACGAGTATACCAAAATAACATGTTTCAGCTGCTGAGTGTATTTTTCATATACTTTCCATATACTTATTGGACATGTCAATCTCATCATGTTTGGAGAAGCTTATTGTAATTAGGCCTCAGCCTTGCACCTCGAATAACGCAAAGATTCATTTACTAGTGATCATGTCCATAAGTTCTTGCTAGACATGCCTTAGTTACTTTAGTTAGTATGTAAATCATAATGATCCAGCGAATATTGGCACCTATGTTACGAAGGTACCTGTCATATTTGACTAATGTATAGAAAAATGGCAAATAACTTTATGTGACATTGTCCCAAATCAGTTTCGTATTGTTTTTTGTGGGTCAGTCTTTGTTAATATTTTTGGAAAGGCACATGGTGCTGTGGTGATTCGTTTTCCGGAAGCTTTGGTCTTGAGGTTTTTCTGTGCTCTCTTGAGATGGATTTCCAATTACAACCGATTCTTGTTTCTCCACTCCACACTCTCGCGTAACTCAGATTTCACCTCAGGAAGTGGGTAGCTTCACACTCACAGTTGTCTCAAAAGCTACCAACAACAAGATGAAGAAACATTGGTTTCCACCCCTACTGTTTTTTGCAGGTAAGTAATCATACCGTTGTATCAATATAGCACGATTGCTTGACATTTAATGCCTAGTTATTTGCCTAGAGTGATAAAGTGTCAAAAATCTTGATAAATTATATACCTTATGTTATATGTATGTATCTGTACATTTGTATGTAACTGATTGACAGCAGTATGTGTAAATACTTTTATGGTTTTCATCATATATACGTAGAAAATTGAACATTGGATTTGGAAAGACAAGTCATTAGTTGAACTTGGATAACCGTTGCACAGTTACGCAAACAAATATGCGACATGCACAATCTACTTTTTTTTAGAAGCAAGTGAAGCATAGTTTGACATGCAGACTTTGTTGAGCTACTTTTCACGTTGTGCCATGCTTAGAGGCAGATGTACAAAAGCTGGGAGTTGCAAAGCACGCTATTGTAACCCAGATATTGTGATATTGTTCATCCCCTCGGGTTGGGTGGCGTATCTATTCAGGTGAAGTTTAATGTTGTGTTCTATCTGGAACTTTGAAACTGAATGAATGACGAGGAGGTTTTCGAAGGAAAAGCAGAATTTTTCGTTTGAAATTAGATTTTTATGGTTGAATAAAATTGCAATATTCTCAATGCAGCCACACTGGAGTGGAGGCGAGAAATGGCTTACGTAGTTCACGGGTATAATAATATATAGCAGCGGATATCTTCAGTATCCGACTGACGGCAACCAACGCCACACGCTCAAACAAAGAAACTATGAGAAAATACGACAAAATTTCTCCTGAGTAAAGACTTTCATTTCAGAAATACATTCACACGGACAGGAAAAATATCAACAATTCTCATGTTAGTCTTACGGTTTGGGGTTTGAAGTGACACGTGAGGTGCATGGTCCAATGAAGGATCGATGGGGTTGGTTGGGTATAAGTGTGTGGAGAATTGAGAGCAGTTTGATTATTATACGGCAGTTATGGGTCTGGGTAATCCCCAAGAAGATCAAGATCGCCCTTGCATTCCACGGGATTTCGGAAGAGGAAGTATTGTTTGTGTCTGCAATTCTACGTACTGCGACTTCGCCAGTGTGAAGCTTCTCAGCCCTCACGACAACGCCACTGCTGCCACCGAAATTTATGGACAATCCCAATTTATGGGCCTCCCTGTACAAGTGTGGACTTCTTCCAAAGTAATAAGTATTCCAATTTTACCCAAGATCAACAATGTACTTCCATGCTTTCTTATATCCATCCTGTGAATTTTTTGCAGACGGGTTCCCGCTTTCATAAATCCATTATCTACTTCAACCAAGAGCTCGCTGACGAACCAGTTGTTTACGATTCGCAACACTTTCTCAGTCCCACCGACAGCAAGTCTCTTCATAATAGAGGGAAGAGCCCTGCACGAAATAACGGATTCTCATTTTTTCAGAGATTTGCAGAAATAAGTGGACTTCAGCCATATTTAAATGAAGGTACGTTGTATGAAACTAAAGAACATGATATCATGACAGAATACTTCATTGTTGTGTAACCAAATGTTTCCTTTTTGCTTGATCAACTTGCAGCTCATGAATTTACGGACGCCGTAACAGCAAAATATGCCCCTCCACTAAATGAGATCAACTTATTTCGTTACGGTATTTCTTCTTTTTATTATTCTATTCTAAATATAATCTTAAAATGCGAAATGTTTGACTTTATGAACTTGAGGGGTCTTCCGTTGCCATATCAATTCATTTAGAAAATGTACCTTAACCCTGCAGCACATGCTACGCTTTAAGGGCCCGGGGGAAGATTTACTTGATTTTATGTTAGCGACAATAATTGCCAGGGCCCCAAGATTATTATCGCTCTGTTAGGTTACGACCACAATTAATTGACACCGTTTCTATGGGACACTCACGTTCAAAAGCTTTGGTTTTGTCACTGCTTTTGAAAAAGTTTCCCTCAAGTCCCTCAAGTTTTTGAAAAAAGTTGTTTCTTTTGTTCCATGGATACTCAAAATGCAATTCCTGCCATTAATTTGGCAATTCTAAGCCAATTTGTCCTCACTTTACGACCAAATATCTCCGCTGCACAAGAGGGCAGATCGTCAAAAAAAACTCAAGTAAAATCTAAAGATATGATTAACGCATTAAACATAATTTAAAAAATCTGCCCTCTTGTGCATTGCTGAATTTTATCGTCAAAGTTGACGTGATTTCTAAGCAACTTCCCCCAGGCCCTTAATACTTTCTCGAAGTCAGATTCTAACTTTATGCAGAGACAATAGATTCGAATTTATTTTCATTTATTTGGGTCTTACACAACAGACAGTGCGTAAGATGCACAAGGGAGACAGTGCTTATGAAGATGTATTATTCTCCGGAACCTTGGCATTGAATACTCACAGCAGAGAGAGAAAGAGTCAAGGAACCCAGTGCGAGAAATAAACCACACAATGAACGAACTTGGTTAAAGTACAGAGTGAAAGATTGGTGTATAGCAAATATATCTGTAATTGAACCGATTTTAGGATCCTTTACTTGAAAGTAAAGTTCGAGAAAGGGCCTGTGCTGTGCCACGCGCCAACAATCGAGGACTGCATGAAGTAACTTTATTCTATTCAAAACTAATGAGTATTTATGAGCCCAATATTGATTTATTATCGTTGGTCCCAACCTTCCTAATCCGGTGAATTCCTGGATATACATACATTTAGTATGGGCCTCGTGGGTGGTTTCGATGCAGAAGGACTTTCTCCATCTCATGCCTCAAAAATAAAAATTCCAGAGTCTCAATATCGCAGACTTCTTTTTTCTACTGTCCAACTGCAAACAATTCACTGTCAATGATTTTTCCCCGATGTAGCTGTAGTGAATTTACTTTTTACACGTGTGAAAATATTTCACGGTACTCATCATCACATGGGGATCGAAAATTAAGCATGCAAGAATTTATTGTTGTCTAAATTGAGTCCACGTTAGACTAATCCATTATAAGTAACAAAGTTCCTAATAACGAGCTTGTAAAACCCCTAATTTTGACATTCCATACTAAATATTAATTGGTATAAGTGACATTCTCACGTTTTTTGATTCTGATTTTTTTCTTTTTTTAAGCGTGGTGCTTGATACTGAATGATTTGCTTTCACTCGTTCTCCATGTGTCATGGGCTGCCTTTCCATTGACGGCTTCCACCCTTAATATTGTGTTGTATTAATTGTACCACATCGTCGCCTAATTCTACAACCAGACAAGAGACACTTGTAATGCATTGCTCATGTCAGATTTTATTATTGTACCGACGATATCCAGTTCTGACTCCGACTAGGCAGCAACCATACATCATGTTGATAATTTATGTGAAAAAGTTTTACAGTTAAACATCACATATTTAAGTACATGGCGAAGATTGTGCTACGATAAACCTGTGAATGGTATGGTAAGAAATTATGTTGCTGATAAAAAATTATGAAAGGATCAGACGAGTGCTATTATAAATTGTAAGACTAAATGGTGTACAAATAATAGCAAACTTTGTGTGCTGTATATTTAGCACGAAATCTTTTACATAATCGTGCTACTTGGAAGAATAGGATGCAAATGTCGAGAATAAATAAATGTACACATGGAAAACGAAGAGGAGAATGCAAGGAGAGACCGGAAGCATTGCCTCAAAATAATTTTTTTCTATTAAGAACAGCAGTTGAAATATTTATCATGTATTTATGACAAGAGAATGTCTCATAACTCTTTCTGAACACTCTGAGGAGTTTTTATTTCCGTTCTATTTCCATTTACTCACTCCAACCCTTTCGCAGATCTCTCTTTTGGGGATGAAAATTGAGAGTTTTATGAATATTTTATCATTTCTACGATATTATATGATTCGTATCAGTAGAAAAAAACTTTTCCCACAGTTGCGGACTTTCCTCGACCCAACAGGCTGACCAAGTTCACCATTCGGCAGGATGTTCAATACCAAAAAGTCTTGGGGATAGGCGCAGCATTCACAGATGCTGCTGGAATCAACATTGCGTCATTAAGTAGGGATACACAAGAGAACCTTATGAAGTAAGTGAAATGTTAGATTTTTCTCTCCTTTTCACTTTTTAACCAAGACGGGAACGTGTACATATGCACACCCACCAATTTTTCTCCATGTTGTGAACGAGTAAACTTTGAATCCCAAACCAACCCAATTGGATTTTCTCCAAAATTTAGGCAGACGTAAGTAGGAAATGATGTATGGTTTCATATCTGTCTGTCCATTCACGTCATCGAACCAAGTTTGAGTTTGGCAAAAAAATTGATTAGATTCGCAGAATTTTGCTACTACTTATTTCTGCGTATAAGTGGGGAAATACAAAGCAAAAAATGCTCAATTGCTTTCACCACCACCACCACCACCACCACCATCTTATCGTCGAATAATGGCCTGGTTGGAAAAGATTTGCCAAATGATGTTTTTCTCCTTCGACAAGAAAATGATTGTGTTTTTGAAGTGATGGCGGATGCAATTGGATTGTCATCCTCTTCTTATTTAAAAAAAATCTGTGATTCAATCACAAAGAAAGAGCCTTCTTGAGCGGCTTATGTTTAAAAGAGGTTCACAGATTCCTTACATTTCTTACGTTACTTTGGAATATTCATATGATTTAATATGTACATTTGAATATTTCCAAGAGAAAGGGATATTCATTGATATAAATAGCGTAAGCACGAGTACATACATATGCCATCATATGTACATACATATGTTTAAGTTGGTTGGTGATTTACCATTCTGATTCCATTACCTAATTTTTTTTTTGTATTTGTGCTTTTCAAATTCTGCAAAATATTCTGGAATAATGATGAATTCAGAACTAGAGATCCATAGTTAATGGTCTACTTTTACAGGAAAACTTACTATGCATTCACAGATGCCTCAGATCCATAAAACTTGTGAATAACAAGGAAAATCGGAAAAAGACGCACACATACAATTCCTTTTGTACATATTTGTTTGTGTGGACGAAAGTAAATCCTCAGAACTATGATTCCTTTTTCCCTCCACTTGTGAGATGGTCTTGAATGAAAGGATACATGGGCGAAAGCGTCACATTCTTTTTGATTTGAGCAAAAAAAAGAGTTAGTTGGTTCGTCTGCTGTAGGTTAGTAGGGAGGGGATTCTAATAATAATAATATTTCTGCATCAATCCGACTCCAATCCAATCCAACCTCCCCGTGTTGCACCCAATTTCCTCTGATATTAAATGTCAAGCCGACGGCAATGTATCAATCAGAACATTTGGGGTTGGTTGGCTTTCTCCTTCATCGGGATTGAGTCGTCAGATGCCCATTTTTCAATGCCGACTGACTGAGTTGAATGTGTGCGTATTTCTCCGCCGGCGTAGTCAACATTCTCATCGTCCTTTCTTTCAATCCAGGTCATATTTCGGCCGGAGTGGGAATAACTATTCAATGGGGAGGGTGCCAATGGGTGGGACCGATTTCTCTACTCGTCCCTACACGCTCGATGACATGGTAGATCACTTGGGTGGGACGGATCTGAACCTCACCGCATTTGCCCTCCAGCCCGAAGACTTCAAACTCAAAGTAAACAATGAAATATTCTCCTTCTTTTTTTACTTTTTCTGATCATCACTCCTTATTGCACTTGTTTATCCCACCTTCAACATGACGAGATGAGATGAAAGATAATCCTTCTCGGTTGGCGGAAATCGACCGAGACAAAGCCTTTCTATTCATTTCTTTGTGACAACCGAACTGTGAGGTCGAGGAGTCGAACTAGAGAGTCAACAACATTGCTCTCGTTACCGTTTATACAGTTCCAATCCAACCTTTTATTTGCGACTATAAACAATTCCTGCTGCTCGAGTTGGGTTTGTTACTACATCCGTACATATTTTTTCAGGGTCACAGGTTTCAATATTTCGGAAAAAGTGTATGACAGTTGTGATGGAAGGATTCCAGGAGTAATACCAAGAATTTCCTAAGTATTAAATATTAAAAGTAAAGTTTTTCGTCCTAAGCAGCATTGTAAGTATGTGACACTTGGTTGATTAGTGAGCTCCCATCGCAACTTTGGTCCATTTCTGCTTGAAGTAGAGAGTTAAACCAAGTTTTGAAAATAAATCCTGAAAGACAAAGGAAAATTGGCAATAAGGAAATGAGTAGTAGTACACAACATGGTTTTTGCTTTCTCTTGAGATTATTGTCAATTACGAAGTTGAGAGTTGGTGAGACTTATTGTACTTAGGAGGGGAGCTTGCGAGGTTGATAATAACAGATCTTGGTGCCCTTGGTGGTCCTATGAGTGTATTAAAACCCTGAAGTGGTTTGACTCCATGGCCACATTTGCGCCCGCCACACCCACTCAAAAATGCCCAAAAAACGCTTTCACCCCAGTTTTCACTCACTCAAATCCACGCCAAAAATCCAATTTTACTCGGATTTTGAAATTTCTTTCACCATTACACTCCCAGATAGTTGCTTTCCTCAATCCAATATCAAACTCAATTTTATTGATGATTATTTCGCAAACATAATTTGTTTTGTTGATTACTACAACAATGCTCATTCAGAATTTTAAATTTTAAAAATACTTAAAATTTCGAAAAAATTGAGTTTGATATTGGATTGAAGAAAGACACTATCTGGGAGTGTAATGGTGAAAGAAATTTCAAAGTCCGAGTACAATTTTATTTTTGACGTGGATTTGAGTGAGTGAAAACTGGCGTGAAAGCGTTTTTTGGGCATTTTTGAGTGGGTGTGGCGGGCGCAAATGTGGCCATGGAGTCAAACCACTTCAGGGTTTTAGTACACTCATGGGACCCTACCACATATCCAAAGGGCACCAAGATCTGTTATTATCAACCTCGCAAGCTCCCCTCCTTAGTAGTTAGCCCAGTAGTTTGCTGGAGAGTTTGGCTCAACAAATTCCACTGGGTCTTCAATAAGTCAGTCACTCCGACGACTGTCACTAGCTATGCACATCGCATACTGCTTAAATACATATGTGCATGTTATACCCTGGTCCTGTTGACCTGCATTCGCAGCTTGATGGATGAGAGCTGCTCATTGGTCTCATAAAGCTTCTCCTTTGGCATGAGTAGAATTATGGAGAACAAGATCTCGGACCATCAACCGTGTCAGATGAGATTCGTAAGAAATCCAATTGTTCTTGCATCCTGAAGAAGTCTGACGAATTAACGAATGTCGAGTCCCTTGAGTGCACGAAAATAAATATAAAGCCTCATCCTTGTCATATCAATCTGCAGACTTCCTTGCGAATAATAATTATTCCAAAATATATCTATGAGTTGGGCTGATAAGAATGAATTTATTTTCACGTGGCGTTCTAAGTACCCCAATTTTTGAATATGTTACAGATTCCTTATATTCGATGGGCTGAATCAATTAGGAATGAATCCTTAAAATTGGTTGCATCTCCCTGGAGTGCACCTGGTGAGATTTATTAACAAAACTGAAATTAATACCAGTTGGAATACATATGTAAGTTTCTACTCACTGTAACATTTCTCATATTTTTGTGTCTTTCAGCCTGGATGAAGACTAACAACGACATTAAGGGCAGAGGTGTACTGAAGACAGAATACTACCAGTTGTGGGCCGATTACTTTGTCAGGTATGTCAAGTTAATTGAAAAAAATTGGTCCAGCAGAAATATTGAGTTGCACGATACCAGTAAATATGCACATGAGAATGTTCTATATATTTCTATACCTATCTGTTTCTGTTTAATTTGACTTTTTTAAAACTTAATACATCACGATGCTTATAGTGTAAGGTATTTTTAATTAAGTCGTTTAATCCCCTGTCTCTTTTCTCCCCTCCTGAAGTGCTCGTGCTTTCTTATTAAACATTTACAAAATTGAACTCATTTTGTTGCCTCGTCATTGTTCTCCAACAATCTGTGAAAGCCATTCCGCATATCTGAAAAAGCCTCCCTCCCGAAAGCGTAATTGTGTGTAGTAGCAAATGCATCGTACATTACATACGTACGTACTTGGTAGTTTACAGTTTGCAACATTCAAGGTCGTTACTCGTGCCGAGTGCTCATCATGGCCCCCGTTGAGGGTCGGGATTGGAGGAAAAGACAATGAAAATAATGAAAGAACGTAATGAAGTGACTATTTGCTTTATTTTATTTTTCAGATTTCTTCGTGACTACCAAAAGGAGGGGATAAACATTTGGGGAGTAACGACGGGCAAGTATTTGGTATAACCGATCCTGAAAGAGGCCAATAATATATAAACTTCGTTGTAGGAAACGAGCCCCTGAATGGGCTGATTCCCGGATGGCCGTTTAACTGTATGGGTTGGAAGTCCAGTGATATGAAGAAATGGATTGCTACCAATTTAGGACCAACTTTAGCGTTATTGAAGCCTGAGTTGGATGTTAAAATTATAACACTCGATGACAATAAAGGGACCATTCCCACTTGGTCTAAAGAGGTATCCATCCACTCCACGTCCACCACGCTCGGCTTTCACTAACACAATAAGGCTGACTTTCCTATCTCAAATCTCATCTAAATGGCACGAGCCTTGCCGGATGTTATATCGACAGTTAATTAGAGTATAAAATGACCGTTACTGAAGAACGGTGAACGGCGTTAGGGTGTCCAAAAAATAAAACGCAGCTCGTTCGACTCAGGATCACTGTGAGAACTGTGTCACCATATTGACTCACCAACATGGATTAGATGCAATTGTTTTGACTCTTTGTAAATAGCTTCAAGGATTAAAATCCATCGAAATTGGATCTAAAGTGCGGATACTGAAGCACTGATTTTATATTCGTAAGGCCATTAATGTAACTAACAATAATTTACGAAATTCAGGTCAAGTGTCAGAGTATATTTTGTATTGGCATTTTATTTTTATCAAATTACACACGCAATTAAAATTAAAGTCCAGAGCAGATTAGTTTCTATGAAGTATTTACAAGCACCAGTGAACAGTTAATTGAGATTTAGTCTAAAATATGATATCCATACAGAGATCAGTGTCAACACATGTACAGAAGCAGTTTAACATGGGTGACACGTATTTACTAATCTTACACTGCATACTTTCGAACCCGGTTTTCCTGCCTAGTGCGTAGTATTATTTACTCAGATTAACAAATTACGCATTCATATCATAGCAAGTGACTTGATGTGAAATTGAATTCCGGTTGATATTGACTTTCCTTCCATTCTGACGACTTACATATACGAGGGCTGTAGAGAAGAACTTGTGTAATATGACTAGATATAGCAAAAGTGGAGGTTGCATGTGCACTTCACCCACCAGACTGACTGATTGAAATGACTATATTCTCCATCCTAGAGTAGAGCATTCATCTTGCTTTCACCACCACGGTGTGCTTTTCCTGCTCCATCTAATAAAATTGGAAAACTGCTCCAGAATCCAAATCAAACTGGAGAAATTTGATCTCGTTCTGGATGCGGAAGTAGTGACCTTTCCGTGCATCAGTAACCCATATCCCTGCTCCTCCCTCCCATATCCGGTTGCAGGCTTTGAGGAAAATATTCAAGTGTTGAAATTCGAAATCTAATTTAATGCTAAATGTCATCCATGTTTTTTCCATAGATTTTGGATGACGATAGCTCAGCCCGCTATGTGGATGGTATTGGAACCCATTGGTATTTCGATTTCTTGGTCGGGTCAGACGTGGTCTCGCGCTTCCATAAAAAATATCCAGATTATTTTATACTCCAAACGGAGTCTTGCCTTGGTGAGTCGTCGTCTCGTCTTGGTACGTACGATTAGGTTTAGAATTTTGTATTCGACGCGCTTTGTCTGCAGGTTCAGTTCAGCCTATTCATACGGTGCCCACAAATTTGAATAGGTTTCATAAATTGAAATTAAATGTGCAGAAACCTGACATTGGTGCTGAAAGTTTAAAGAGATGATGAAAGTGGTGCAAGATTGAAACACGTACGAGGAAGTTATTATTATCAGATAGGCGCAATAGCTAAATGGATAGCAATTGAGTAGATTTAGTGGTGTGGTGAAAGTTGTGGATGGATGGTTGAAGTCTACTCTAATGTTGATTATGTGGTTGGCGTTGTTGGCTGCAGATGCATACTCGTACTTACATACATGCGAGTGGTATGGTCCTGGTGCAGGTCTATTGCAATCATTTGAACACGGATGATGCCAGTCAGTCAGGAATACTAGAAACGTCCGAAACGAACACGACATAAATCACTTTATCACTACTCACAACACATCATAATCATCATTTTATAAATGGGTTAAAATGAAATTTGTTACTATCACAGTAACAAACCTTCATTTCCTGGATGGCACACGATTTACACTTGCAAACTGATGTTTCATGTAGATTTAGGGTATGTAGACCTTTAGTTTGTAGCAAGCATCTGTAAAATGCATGGGCCAAGGAGTACGTGTAATTACCAATTAGACGTGAAACACAAATTCAATTGTTTTCATAAACAATGCGGATAATAGGCACATGTTTTTGGTTGTTGGCGAATAAGCTACAAAATTATAAATTAAAAACCAAGCAAAATTGTTTCTATTTCGGATTTCATGTTACCTGTTTCGAGTTGAACTTTTGTAATGTCGGCATCAAATTACCACTAATTATATGGATCCCAAATTTAGTCTTTCCTTCTCTATCACTGTTAACGCCTAAACCTATTTACGATACGTTTTAGCTCTGAATGAGAATGGCAATTCGACAACAAATTGAGTAACAGTCTACGCTGTGGCTTCTCTCATCTATTGATACTTCTTTTATATGTATTGAATTGGAATGGTATGAAACATCAATTTTACAATAATGCCGTATTAAATATAGTTTTGTGAAAAACATGTTGACAAAAATATTGGATAATATTCGCACTTTAGTTTCGGATTTCAATGGTGCTGGTAAAATTTCATAGTAAACTTTAATAAATTGATAGCTTTCGTATTTTGTGTAGGCAATCTTAAGTAAATGAATAGGCAACGCAATTTCTTTATGGAATTCTAGAAGTAATTGAATAGATCACTTTTTCGCTTTCTATTTACATCAACTCATGTAGATCAAGGTTAGTCGAGAAACGAAGCTGAATATGTAACTGGCGAGGTTTCCATTCACAAGTCGCAATGTGTTTGCAAAGTAATTGCTCAAATGGAGACGAAATTGTTATGTAATAATTTTATTTGAAGCCTTAAGAATACTGCGACGCGTGTGTATACAGCAACTTGTTTTTATTTTCTCTGTCCAGCAATCTCATTCACGATTCTATTACATTTCTAAGCCCCATATAGAACAGATTACTGGCAATGATTCAATCCTCTGTAGCAAACAATCAAAATGCTCAAGATTTGGCGAATAGGTTGGACACACAAATGGTGTAATAAGTTCGAATTGCTTTCAGAAGTTGACATTGAACGTAGCAAACCATTAGTGGGTCCAACTAAATCTACAGAATGAATCAGTTTGCATGGTTCTTTTAGAAACCTTTTTCAAACTGCGCTTAGACCAATACGGCCAATATCAACATCTAGAAGAATTACGGTGACGGCGAAATAATGCAATTTGATCGTACCCAGAGCTTTGGTTTGTGGAGAAAATGATGATAATGGCAGCGGAAAGAAATCTTTAGTTCCAACCCGAAGCCAAAACACATCAATGCCTTGGCTTAGGCCTCGGTCGGTGAAAGTCAACATTCGCAGAGACAACAAGCAACCTCTCTCCAACTCCCTGCTCCAGCCACACGCCGTTCGAGTTAACGAGCGCGCTCGTTGTCGTTAGACCTTTGCGTGGCAAATTGATGAAAGAAAATACGATGGAGACAAAACAAAAGAATCAATGGATTGAAAAGAAACTTAAAAATGGGAATTGAGCATGTGTTTCCTTTGAGAAAAAGCTCTTGGAGCTGGTTTAATCAAAGTTAGCATTAGGGATTCGATTCAAATGTTAATATTTGCCCAAGGAGAAAGTCCAATAATTGCATTTATCATTATCTTTTTCAACAATTCACCAAGGTTTGAATCCCCGTGTTGTTTGAATATGGTTTGAGATGACACAACTGCGGCTGTTTATATGTATGTGTTGTTGACAATAAGGATGCACGAAAGAAGTATAATGTATGAAAAAAGAATAATAAACAAGCGCTTAGAAAGTACCAAAATCAAATATTTAAGATAATATATCAGTCATTTTGAAAACGCCAATTTATAGAAAGGTTGGAAACAACGAATGATGCCATGCTTTGTTGTAGTTGAACATAACTTGGATTTGACGTATGCAACTCGGTGGAATTTTATTTTGGAATTACACGTAGATGTGATATTTACGTAGGTATACCATTTCCAGAGGAGAAACCCACGCATGTATATCCAAAAGAAACGGACATAAAACAAATGAGTACGAGTATGAGTGTTAAAAGATATAATTAGGAAGGGAGAATGGGGATACTTGAGATAAGTACGTAGTACGTGTGTACGTCATAATAGGGAAAAGCGTCAATGTGGGATCTTGTACATATCGTTCCCATGCGAGTAGATATTCTTTTTTCTCAAACTTTGTAAGACCAGGCCTCTGAAACTTTTCATTTGCACGCACACGTCAATCCGCTATTTTCAGTTGATAAAAACTGTTTGGATCATGAAGTTTGGCTGGTTTGGCCGAATGGTTACATATTTTTATGTCTTGAGGTGAGCGAGGACTGAAATATCGTCTGGTCGGTGTAAAAAATGTTGTGTTTGGATCAATTTACAGGATTCACCCCTTGGGAGGTGGAGAAAGTCATCGTCGGGTCCTGGTCGAGAGCTGAGCAATATCTGGAAGCTATCATACGCGTAAGTTTTTCTCCTCTGTTTCCAAATCACTAAATTCACTACTTTCTTGGGAGCGGAAAATGCGATTCTTTTGTGTCCGATCCATTCATTTTGTTTTCTAAACTAGCAACTTTGCTACCCTTGGGTCATGTGCTAATGCTGCTTGCTAAATCTATCAAAGTATGCACATGGTATATGGCTGCTTGAGTTTATGAGGAAATCATTTTCGGACAGTCAATAACAGATGAAAAAATTGCACCAAAGTCCGTTCACCTTTAAATCTACGTCGCTCCGTGCACATACATACATTCACAAAGGTGCAAACGTACTGCCTCCACCAGCATATCAAAGTTTTACTTACTCTTTAAAAGAGTTTTTAACTTTAAGCCATGCAGCAATTAATGCTGTGCAAAAATTGTATAAAATTCATGTGAATATGTACTCAAGTGCGCTGCTTGTCAAGGTAGTTTATAATTTAATGCCACTTGATAAAGAAACCCGTGTTGTGTGTCAAACAGCAACTTGACATTATTACAGATGGTGATGGGAGGTGTGTGACCCAAATAATGTGCAGTATATTCTATTACCTGGATAAAATTGATAGTTTAGAGATCTAAAAACATGTTCAAGTGTCACTTGACACTACTTCACACAAACTTTTTCACTGCCTTCGACAGTGATATTTCCTACGTATTTTCTTGTTCATTACTTAACATATAATCATGGAAAACCATTTAGCAGCAATTTTAGCTTTCCTTACTCTAGGGCAATTGCTAAAAAATGGGACGGATATAATATAGATGATAGTGTTTAGTTCATTTATTTTCCTTGGTTTTTGAAACAAACCAACAAGTAGGCACGTTCGGTCCACCAGGACTTCTCCAAGTAACGACTTTTTCACTCTCATGAATGCAGTTGTGAGATCTAGAGAATGACCCAACTTTGTCCGTTTCTCAGTCCTAGGTTATCGCGTTATTATGTTATAAAACATTCAGCTTGAAATACAGTTCCTTTTTGAAATTACCTTGATAATAATGCTAGACTTGGTTCAAGTGGGGGAAAGTTTGCTCACATTTTATCCCCCACAAGGAGATTGATATCAGAACAAAGAAAGATAGCAAAACTTGAATTTGCACTCGAGTGCGCAATCTGATAACGGCACACCGAGAGAGAAAGTGCACCGCTGTGCTGCTCCCCATGGAAGGATTTATCAAAGGAAGGCTCAGGTCAAGAATAAGTTATTGGCCTCCTCCTCCTCCTCTTGATCTCCCAGATACATAGTTTGCATTACACCCAAAGTTATGATACTGCTCGCATAAAATGTAGTGTTAATGCGGTAAGAAAAGTAAACGCTTTTGCTGCCTTAATAAATTGACAGGGGTTAAAGGTCAATTCCTGAAGCAAATCAACTCACAGACAGAGCTTGGTTACAAATTATTACAAATAGCATGGAATTAGAAACTAATGTCGCACACTCGTCCTCTGTATGAGATGAAAATCTGTATGTGTATTTAGAGAATGAATCCATTTGTACTTGTGAAACGTAGGACATGAGAAATTGGGTGGGAGGGTTTTTGGACTGGAACTTAGCGTTGGATTTGGACGGCGGGCCCAACTGGGCGAAATTGACGGCTGATGCTGCAATCCTTGTAAACCATTCTCGGGATGAATTTTTCAAGCAACCAATATTTTATGCCATTGGCCACATCTCCAAGTTCGTCCCCCCGGACTCTGTTCGAATTGATCTGTTGGTGAAAGATGCTCCCAGAAATCTGCTACACATCGCCTTCCTACGTCCAGATAAAGCCGTTGTTGTGATTTTCTTAAACAGGTAAGAATACCATCTGGGATGGAAAAGTTGCAGTAGTTTTGTTATGATAATCACGTTCCCACTTGGAATCAATTATTATTTCCTAATATTGCAGGCTCAATTACGACGTCAAAATATCCTTGTACGACAAGGATAGGGGAACAATTCGTGTCAACATTCCGGCACTTTCCTTCCAAACGCTTGTATATCAGTAATAAACAAGATAATGATAAATTTTGGGGAGATATTCATTACGTGCTGATGAAAAGTGATGAGGTTGGGGTTAGCTCTGAGTGAGTTAAACATTGTGAGCGTATTGATAAAGCGAGGTATGCAATTAACGCGTCTCCTAAAAAATGGTAAAATGTCTCATAAATAATATACAAGTTGCCTACATGCAAAACGTCTCCTAATATTTTTTTTTCGGTCTCATATAAATCCATAAGTAACTCCTAAATTGTTTTATAAAAAACTGCCTTTATTTCATATAATTAGCAGATTTATAGTTTTAACAAAGCCTTTTTTGATTTATTTTTCTTCCTTAAAGTTCAATATACTATTTTTAAAAAACGTTGGTATTTTTAACATCAAAGTCGTAATATGTAGGGGCCTTAAAAGTGGATAAGTTGTATGCACGAGTGCCATCCACTTGGGCAAGTACGAAATTAGACTAAGCATGAGACAAAAGTGGTTGTATATAGTGAAAAGAATCATTCTAAGTCCCTCGATAATAGTCGCGAAGGCTATTTCTGCACTAGAGCCTCCGAAAAAAAATCCTTTGTTGGACACCGTTAATATAAGAACATTGGTTTGGAGAATTAAAAAATGATATCCCTCCAAATTTGACTCCATATCATTTGCCAGAGTGCACAAAACTGGATATGTTTACCTATAGTTTGAGAGATGGGCTTTTACATAGAAGCCATTAGAAATCTCTCCAACCAAAAACCGTCTGGTAATTCAGTTGTGGAGATCATGTCAGATCGCCTTTTGTATATCACTAAATATGTACAACTAGATAATATGAGCTAAATTATCATGACAAAATTTTTCATAGAGACGAGATGGTTTTGGGTAGTGGTCATGGCTAGCTATTGTCTTTTCGACTGATGCTTTCACTGATTACTTGGGGAGAACAATCCTTTATACATCCTTTTGACACTCGACACACATATTTTAAAATTTGTTCTCTTTCTGAAGAATATTGGTTCACATATCTCAACTCTTTTTGCTCCTTTAAGTAATTCTGGGCTTCAAATTTACTCCTTGAGCACCTCCCACTCACCAATTTTCCTTTTCTTCCTTGGATTATGTTCAGAATTCGACTCCCTGTCGGAGTCACCGGATTCAAATCGGAGCAGTTGGGACGTCACTTTATTTTAAAAAGCTAAATAGGTAAAACCTTTGGAAACAAACTGGGAGTATTTTGGATGCTGTTCGATGGACTTGATGTGTGGAATGAAGGCAGAAAACGATAAGAATTGGTTTAACATACAAAAACGTACCTACTCAAATTATGAGACAAATGTAAATACTTAGGAGACATTTTTTTTCATTTAGGAGACGTTTTACATGTAGGCAACTTGTATATTATTTATGAGACATTTTACGAATATTTAGGAGACGCGAAAATTTACTTCCATAAAGCGATAGCATCAAGTGTACCTCTTAGATTTTGAATAATTTTGTTTTTGAAATTTGTATCATGTTGATACCCTAAATAATAGAGACCCATAATTTGTACGTACATTTCTCTTAAATTGAAATTTTCATGCGATTATTTTAGCGAAATACCAAACGCAGTGTAACGCGTAATATTTAATTATGCATGATGAGACAAATTGATTGATTGATTGAAATTCAGTTTCTATCTAAAACGAATGTGTGATTGGAATTGCAGAAGAATTGTATTGAATTGAAACTAACAAGTATGAGCTTTGAAAAGTGTAATACAAAAGATGATAAATTGAAATTATTGTCTCAAATCGAGGAAAAATACTTCCTGCACATTTCCTAAATAAATTTCAGGATATACTAAAATTAGTGTCACAGAGAGATCTGAGAGTTACACTAAACGCCTTCGCATTGTGAGTGACAAGAATGCTATCCATGAAGATGACGAAGGGTACACTTGGTTGTTCCAGGAATTTCATGGTTTAATATGTACCAACAAAGAAACAAAGACGATTGTCCTTTTCAGTTTTCGGGTTCATTAAGTACAAAATAATCTAACTTGTATTTAGAATGATTACAATTAGTATGAAAATCAATCAGGGTATTTTATTGTGATTATTAAAAGAATTTTAAGATGGATTGCGTAGATTCAGGTTTTAATAAGAAACGTGTTTAAAATTGCTGTCGTGTTTGGGTAAAAAGGATTTAACAAATAATATCTAAATGAAAATATGTGTTACATCGATATAACAGTACATCCTGCATCTATAAGTATTATTAACTTCATCATCTAATGTCAAGATTATAAATAAATTTTATTACTGAACTGTCACCTGACCCCTGTGCTGTGTAATAATTTTTTTTATTAATTACATTCAGTTCAGAAGTTTTACGTATCTGTATTTGCACGTTACATGCATATGCTCCGAAATGTTTCTGTCCATGCAAACATGTCACATCTCTCATCCAGTTTTTACTCTAAAACGTAACTTAAATAAATTTTAGTTAATCCCAAGGTTAGAACCTTCATCTTGCAATTAGTTACACCTGTTCTGCTAGCTTATCGTATACATCATAAATCAACATGTGTAAGTTTCGGCTGAAGGATTGTTGCTCAGCCGCTCAGGTACACACGACATACATGACGCTGGTACGAGGCTAGGAACAGTACCAATGGGTAGGATTTGCCAATGGTGTAAATACAAAATGCATAAGAGATAGTGTTAGTGAGGGCTCTAGCGACGAATAACTAACCACCACGATATGAAGATGCAGAAAGAGATGCTCCACCTCACATAACAGATGGAGTAGGAGTTAACTCTGCGAGTTTGCCATTTAGTTTAACATTGAGGGCTTCCGGCGACCTCTCGTATGTGAGGTGGAGAGTCATCCCCCTTACTTGCTTAACAAAGAGCAGAGTGCTTCTTCTAATTCTTTATATTCTATGAACAGTACCCAAAAATTGTGACAGCATTTCTCATATTTTAGTAACGACCACTCAAAGGTGCGATAATTGCTTGGTTTGCTCCCTATCTGTCTGTAAAAAGCAAGCTGTCCTGCAAATTGTATTACTTTGATGGACGTGGTCTAGCTGATCACACGAGAATTATCTTGACGCATGGATGAGGGAATCGAATTTGAAGACATTGGTGTACCACTGGTCACATCACAATCCCTCCTCCACGGCAAACAGAGATAAAAGAAAAAGTAAGTAATCTCGGAATTATTTGTTGGCTAATTAATAAATCAAGATTGGCATTTTGAGAGATTGGCCACCTCGATTGTGTACGGGTCACATAAAGCAGAGAATAATGTTGGTCACTTTACTATATACGTATGCTCATGTTCTGCTTAATAGTATTAAATAGGTCAGTATATAGGAAAACATAGAAAAGAATTACACCTAAAATATTACTTTTGGTTGGATTCCTGTAGAATGCACTTGGGACAAGTTCCGTTAATGGAATTTGATGGAAAAAATTGGCACACGCTTTGGCAATTGCAAGGTATCACTTTCACAGTCTTTTCCTTCCCACATAACAATGCCTTACTACAAATGTTTGCCAAATCAGATACTTTGCCAAGAAGTTCAACCTTATTCCAGGAGATATTTTGAAGCAGCCCAATACAATGTGATGGATACGTTGACAGTAGTTATTGGCAATTCTTAACCGGTCAGTTTTATATGCACACGTAAATTTATGACATGTTTTTGCAACACAACGAACCGAGTCTAATGCTAGTGTTTTGATATGTATATGGAGCTTACTTAGACAAAGTTGATGGAAATTAAGAAAATTGTATATTTGGACTGATATGACCTCTATACATTTGGCATGTCGAACTATGGGGAACGGAACTCATTCGGCGGAATAAATTGGTGGACCAGTTTTCAGTTCTGAAAATATATATTCAGAATCAAATTATCAAAAATGGATAGAAAATATCGTCTATAAACATAAATATATAATATATACTATTTGTATAATGTAGAAGAACGAGTAAAGATTATATTCTTTCTGGATAATCATCATTCAAAATCAGTGCTCCCATGTAGAATAAATCTATTTATAAAATTAGTTATTTTTATAATTTAAAAATTTTCCACTTCTGATTTTTTTAGAAATCATGCTGCGTAACCCAGTCTGTGTCATTCAACTTACATATTACACTCTCTTACGTTATAGATATGATATAGTTACGCACAGGGCAATGCGTTCTAAACTCTTTGTGAACTATGCCAGATATAGTTAGATAAGCACACTAATAGTACACATGTACATATGTGTGTGACTTCATATATGTAGTATACGTAGTAAAGTTAGTCTAATTCTAGAATCAGATCATAGCTTAAAGCCAGGCTTGTAGAGGAGTTAAAGTTCGTGCTCCATTGACTGACTGCATTGAAGTACAAATCACAATCCCGACTTATGTATGTAGGCCGGGTATGTTTAGAGATTAATTTTAACCTTGATAACAACCTGATTTGGATTGATTTGAAGGACAAGCATTTGTTTATTCTAGTGTTTCACGGTTGGGCCATTTTAATGTTTCAAGTCGCCGGATTTCCGCATAATTATTTCTTGACGTAAAATACTTGTAGGCTACACAAGTTAATTACAACACACAGATTTGAACTCCTCTTTCACGTTGGTGCTACGTATTACCATTGGACACAACAACATGACGAGCAATGAGAACTATTTGCCACTGTTCTGTTCCAGGTTTGTACCTATTTCTATTACTTCTCGTCGGTGTCCAAGTAAAATACTGGTAGCCAGACATTATCCTCTGCACTGGTCCAATTCTTCAAACCCAGGATATGTAAATTGAAGCAAATGGAAGAAATAAGCCCGAAATATGGGTACGACGAGGACGAGGACTAAGAGTCAAATAAATTTATATATTTTCATATATAAAAGCTTCCCTCTTCCACTGCTTTGCATTTGTTGGTCTTGTTATATAAAGTTATTCAAAAGATAAGTAATTAAATTAATTGAATTTCAACTAACAAATCCTTTTGCCTAGTCCTATCTTGATTTTGCTGATAAATCCAAACACATTTTCTGTTCAGAATTAAAGTCCCCTGTAATTAGATCCCTCGTGCCTTTTGTTGGAATGACTCTGGTTTGATGCAAATATTACGTGGGAGGTGTAAATACATTTTGGAGAAGGAAGCACAGTACTCCTTTTGCAGATATGGAATCTAGCAAATTAAATGTTCACTCCTTTCACAAAATATTCGTGGAACAGAGAACCATTCATTTAGAGCAATTATCATCGTGTTGATTGTGATTGGCGTCGGACTAGGAATTTAGTTAAGCTGGTACAGCCATCGCCAGCAACGCCACTCGACTCGTTCTTATTCCCAGCCACAAATTCAAATTATACTCATAAGAACCTTATGCTGTAGTGTATACGAATGTCCAACGTTGAATTCTAGTCCTCAGCTATGTTGAATTTTCTCTCCATTTCTGTATAGAGCTAGCCACATAAGAATTTCTTCAAGTGTTTTAGTAATCTTGGAACATTATTATGGGAATTCGAGTCTAGAAAGAAGAATCAAGTTCCCAAGTTCCTAAGTTCTTAGGAATTAAGAATACTAGTGTATAATATAGTAACACCAACCAGCAAGATGCAGCTCGGTACACAAGTCGGGCTACTGGGGGAACTTTAGGATAAGGAATAATATTAAGAAATTATATAGGAGTGACAGGACAGGAGGAGGAGGACAGGCATGTTAAGAGTCGCATAAGACATTTCTTCCAACTTTTCATTTAAAGTTACCGGAAGATTAGCCATATATTTGAATAGCTTCTCTCTTTTATCCGTCTTCTCCATCTTCCTTTATTTCCACTTAACCAGCGACTTACTTTTCTTTCCCACAGTATTTAAAGGCCATGTACATAGTCTCACCATGAGCGGAAGACGGTAAAACTATTACTTTGCAGTAAGTGAGTGTGATGTGATCTTAAGAATACGATCGAGATACCACCTCACTCGACCATTTAGCTATACCCAATTTAATGGCAATAACAATTAGAACAAATATCTGTTTAATGTTGCTCTAACCAAATTTCTGGTACCGCATAAGAATTGTGTCACTAGTTCCATTGTCAGTATTGGCCACGGGTAGATAGAGATAGAAAGCAGGCGAGAGGAACGTATGAAAATTCACAATTTCTACCAGGATAATGCAACATAAATACGTCGCCCTGTCCTTCTGCTTATTGTTCAAAAGTCAGAATTATGAGACAAAATTCTAAATGTTTTCATTCTTTTTGTGATTAGTTGTCGACAAGTTGCACTCTCGAGAAACTGGGACGACTCGCTTTTAGTGGCGACAGAAGTGGACGCGTCAGAAACGTACGAACTTGGACACATTTCCATTGTTCAATGCACTTCTTGTAACAAATGTAAAGATAATTGCTGTCGTAATTCAATTTTACTTTAGTAATGACTTTTTCCAGAAATTTGCCGAGTTGTTAAGTTTTCTAGTCCCATTCATATACATAAACTGGTCCTGAATGATACGAATTCTTTGGCCGTTTTCTTAAACGTAGAGTGTGCATATGGAGCGCAGTAGGAGCAGTATTGGACACAGTGTATCACTGTATTTCAGAGCTCACATTACATAACATTAAGATATATAAAATTAGTTTTATTCCAAACTTTTCTTGTGCCGGAAACAAGCTCGATATAAAACATTAGAAACAAGGAAAGTCAGAGATCTCAGCCGTTCTTCCGAGGAAATGCGTGTATGAGAAGCACTTTAACTAATAACTCTTTGAATTTCAGTCCTGGGTCTGCTGGATGATAAAAGTACTTTCTACACAGCAGAGAGCATATTAGCAAATGAAAATACTAAAACAAAAACAGATGGGTGGCACAAGGTAAATTATTCAAACATATTATTCGCTATTTGCATGCAGCGTTAAAATATCGAAGTGGTTCAAGTTCCTAGAGGACAGCGGTTATGTACAGCTTATACAAGCGTATAGTGTCTCAAGGACTGTCATCAAGTATTTCATGTGCTTTAACAGGCATAGCAAAATAAAGTCCAAAGTTTCATGAAATCAAAAGTGAAAGTCTCCATTAGGACTTAAATTACTATCAACATATGTAATGGCTAAACACAATGATGTAAAAAGCATGTTGTTAATCCAGGTCTCTTTTTGCGCACTATTATTAGATTGAGGAAAGCTGGGAGAGAATGGTGTTGTTCGTTCTCAGTCAGGTCGTTTACAAAGAATATGAAGAGCCGGATGAGACTCTTCTGGAAGTGGAGTTTGCCTTTCCACCTCCAACAGATCTCATTAAAATTCTGTGGGTCAACGAGCAGCCCGTTGGGTTTTACAGCGTCAAAGTGAAAGGTAGGAAATCATCCTCCTGACGTTTGATACCAGAGTTAATTATTATATGAAATTATTTTTCTATTTTGACCAGGCTGAATTAAATATTATGCTTATGTCTGTATGGTCCTGGAAATTCGCCATACTTGTACATAGTTTATACATGCGACATGTTTTGACTTTTGACTGACAGGGACGTTGGATCCCGTTGCAATGGAATGTTACAGAATGACGACCTTGGACACACTGTTCATCAGACGAGACTATCGGGGTCAAGGCTGGGGGTCTTCAGCAGTAAAGGATTTACTTTTGGAGTTTCCACAAGAAAATATTGGATTTAGTTTCCCAATTTCCATTCCTATGAACAGAGGTAGGTAAAAGTGCCATTATGCGAATTTGATTTTTTACTTTGTTCATGGCAAACACACGCTACCCCTTCGACTTCAATGCTTCGTGCTTATATGCATGTTGGAAATCCAAAACAAACAGTTTATATCCATTCCAAAGCAGTGCATATTGTTTGAGGTAGCAGCGTATATACTGTACAAATACGTCCATGTATCTATCTACCAGAGAAAGCATGAAAAGATTGATCCCAGCTGCAATCCGCTACCAATAAATTGTACTTTTTATTTCATAAAAGGTTGATTTGTAGGCCAGAGGGAGAAAGTGGAGCTGGATTTTCGGGATGGGACAAGTACATGTAGTGGACGAGGGAGAATACTCACATCTATATAAGCACATATAGATGTAACAAAAAAGATTGAGTAATCTCGGACTGCACACAAGCTAGTAAGAGTGAGAAAGGCTGGTTTTGATAGGCCACACACTATAATATTGACACGACACATCCCTGATCCTTTGCCTTACGATATTTCATTTCTGCTGCCAAGTCATGTCAGTGATGTCCTTCTCTCACCCGTTCCTTAAAAGTTCTTACGTCGCGGTACCCTATATCGCTCCTTATATGTACAAATGTATCCATGTACATACAAACGTGTGTCTATGTACATTACATGCACGTATAAAACGCAAAGGGTTGCACAAGATATAAATTGAGACGGGCACATTGTCAAATTCCTGCTGAATACAATTCTCCTCCACCACAAATTCCCTTTCTTCTCGTTCGGGTATTTCATCAGATAATGACGAAAATTTCCTTCAAACTTCTCATGATATAAATAGCCGACGCCGCACACGTTTCCACACCGTATACAATAATGTAGACTGTGTGTGTTTGCGTGATTTCAACGCGTCCTGGCTTATTTTCATCACATAGGATAGGAAACTGCTGAGTCATTCATATTTAGCATGAATAATCATCAGGCTTGGGCAAGATACTTTGTTTTAAGATACAAGATACAAGATAAAGATACTTTTGGAAAAATTCCAAGATACTAGATACAAGATACTTTATTCTCTGTTTTTGCCAAGATACTTAGATACTAAGTAAAAGATACTTTTTAGTATTTGTTAAGATACAAGATACAAGATAAGATAAAGTATCTTAAATATTTAACAAGATACAAGATACTTTTGATTTTTTTTAAGATAAAAAAAAGATAAAATTTCATATTTTTTGCCATTTAGGTATTGCCAGTAAGATGAAAGTCTTACTTTTGAGTAGTTAGGCATTGAAAAACACCTTCCACTAGCAAAAATAAAACGCATATTTTCTTAAAAATTACAATTACTACCTCATGAATCATAAGAAAAGCGAACATTAGATGTCGCGGGTAACATATTTTGCAAAAAGTATCTTGTATCTTAAAAAGTATCTTAGATGCTTTCCTCTGGATATAAAATATCAGATACAAGATACAAATACAAGATACTCATTGAGGATTTTCCAGATACAAGATACTTTTAGCTGGGGCGGCTGGAAGATACAAGATACGAGTAGTATCTTGTATCTTGTATCTTAAAGTATCTATTTTGCCCAAGCCTGATAATCATAATACAGCGGCAGCAACCTGTATAAATCTATCAAAGATTGTATGGTCGGTGTCCAGCCTCGGTTTGTGAGCAAGTAGGCCGCATCTATTGAGAATGACAAGTTCCAAGCCGGACTGGATGGATTTAGGCCAGTATAACCATAGTGGTCTATAAAATGCTTTTACGGTCGGTTCATCCGCTTCCTATGTGCATATAAAATATATTCAAGTGCCCACAAGATGCAAAGCCACGACCACAATCCAAATATTCATCTCTAATCAAAAAGTAAACGGGAATGTCAGAGGAAGGCTCGGTTTTCGAACGGATTAAAATTGGACAGATATGTGGCAGTGGCAATAACAAAATGTATGAGTATGCGTGCAATCGAAGCAATTTGGCATGAGTTTGTGCATAAAGGAGAGGAAGCAGTGTGTAATATATTGTAATGGAATGTCTCCATCCTATCCCTGGGGAAAGGAAGCCCAAGTCGGTCGGTCGGTTTGGGTTAGTTTGGTCTTTATGTCTCCATTTAGTTGCGACTTGCTCACGGCCAACGTCTCCTTCCTTCGGTGGAGGGAGCAGTGGGAAGGGAAGTCCAGTGGGAACGATAGGCCCAAGACCTGTGAGACATCCTAGATCATCAACAGGGATAGAAAATCCGCCAAATCTCCTCCCTTTCATTTCCTTCTCTCTCGACTATCGATGACAACAATTCCGCTTTGATCACCAATGCATTCAGTTGTGGAGAGGGAGAGAGAGAGAGAGAGAAAGTGAATGGGATACTGGATCAAAAAGATATGGTGGGACTAAAACGCTAAAGAAAAGGAAACATCAAACACGCAGAAATAAGACGACGGGGAGGAGGAAAGGAAGAATATAGCGGTTGACGGTGGTGATCGTCTTTCTCCGCTTTATCATGTACCGATTAGCTGTAAATAATCTTCTGAAAAGAATGCTCGCACTTTCCTCATCTCCTCCTCCCACTTTGGCCAACTTCATCTCTGGACACGTTTAACTTTTCCTTTCTCTGCCCATTGTTGAAGAGAAAGTAGAAGGAGATGGTGAAAATGTATCAGACGAGGTGCATTGAAAAGTAAGCGGAAGGAAGTCACCCAGAATAAGAGCCTCCTCCATTCATCCCTCGATCTCTTGATGTCTTCTATTCAAATGATTCTTTCGCTTCAATTTTCTCTCTTACTCAATCGTTCAGGGACCATTATTAACCGTAGTATTATGAAATTGAAAGGAGAACGCGGAGCCAGCAGCAGGCCACGCACACATAAACTTTCTCTTACGATGGTCCAATGTATGTAAGTAGAAGGGTTATTATTATAATTTAACTTCAACTCTCAAGGAATAAGTAGTAAAGCTGTTCTCAAAAATATAAATCGACACATTAGAGTCAACAGAAAGTCTGCAGTTTGTGGTTGAAGCGTAATATATATGCTGAGGTAGCAAAAGTACAAATCATATATACTTAAACAGGCACGCGCGTTGTCATTTTAAACAAGCACAATGATATATAATTTCGAATTTGTATTCCTCAACTTTCGCCCTGCCCGACCGTTCTGCTCCATTTCGTTGTTGTTTTTGTTTTTTATTGGTGGCCAATTTCATGCATCAAAAAAGTCCTCCTATATAATATCTATCTACGTATTCACATACACACACACATCCTACTGTACATAGTACTGTTCTGAGCGTATTGCTTCTGACAAGAAGAAAACTGTTTGTATGATTGTTGGTCATTTATAGTGACACTCTTTGCTTTCTGTTTTTTATGTATAAATCGTTTTCGCATTTGTTTGTTGAGGAGAAAGTGAAAGTTTACAACCAAGTCCTGGTTTGTCTTGCTGATTGCAGTCTTGAAGAAATATTTGGAAGTAACTCCATCAGATCGGCCTCGCTTCTGGGAAGTAACCGGCTGCGGCACTGAAGGCAACACTCGTAATTTGTGGTTGATGTCTCGACGACAACCACCCACGTCCAGCAGTAGGATCACTGCATCTTCTTCTAGCACTTTGGAATGACACAATGAAAATCTTTACCCATCACCATGCACAGACCTGGAGCTATGTTCAAATTACGCTATTTACTTGATTTAAAAATTGGTAGGTAGTTGTTCCTTTTATAGAAATTAAGCATCGTGGTTGACGTCAATCATTAAATAAAACCAATCTAAATTACTCCTCTAACAACGGGTCATGCTAAATGAGTGCACCTTAACTCTTTAGTGCTTTCTTTGTCCACAAAAAATCCTCCTATGTATTTATATACGACGCCGCCTGAGAAGTGAACTCTTTTCGGAGCGTTTAAGTTGAAAAACATGACATAATTCTGACCAGCCAAGGACATACAACTGCGAGCAGTGAATCGTGATGAAAAAGTGGACGGAATGAAATATACACAAAGCTGTTTAGTGGCCGAATGGTTGTTCAATCTTCGTGAAAGAAAGAAGAAAAGGCTGTCCCACCACAACAACTATATGTCCGACGACTACACAGCTTCATCGTTTTTAAGAGTTGAGCAAGGCGGAGAGAGAGAGGTACATACGACAAGGAAGCCTCTTCTGTGTAGGAGAAAGAAGATGACCCAATCCGTATAACGAATTACAACCAAGTGGCTGAATGACAATACAAATGCTCAGGAAAACCTCTAAACCCGAAAGAATGAAGAGATTTACTGTGGGACTCTGGCTGAATTATTTATTTTTACAAAGTACTCATGGCAAACTTCTACATGTCAGGTGTACACTATCATCAGATGTATTTATAGAACTTGCTTCAAATGAACATGCAATGTAGAGATATTGGTGTGTGTCGAGGTGAGACGAATCTTTATTGACGATACATACATACATACATACATACATACATACTTTCGTTTTATATACACACATATTTTACACATATTTTTTATACCTTTTACTCGAATAAATTACAAAGCACAATTTTTATTACAAGGCATTTTAAACACATTCTAAACAAGAGAAATTATATATATATACTACAATATTATATTATCATGTACTGGGTGTATTACATAATTATTCATTGCATCTGTTCATCTGTTCTGAGTGCCTAATATATTGTATATAAGTAGTATTTACAAATTCATGTATACTGATATATGAGTAAAATTGCACAAATGGAATAAACTGATTCATTTTAAAGCTTCTTTCAACTCTTGTGCGAGCATCGAACCAATAACAATTTTGTCACAGTTGACGACAATACGGGCAGCCACCGGAATATCTTCATCCTCTACAAGAGCCGTCCCATCTTTCTCTGGCAAGTGGATTGTGACAAGAACGAGAGTTTGACTGCTTAGCGATTGTCCCGCAAACCTATATCCGTGCATAAATGTTTAAGTAAATAACTTGGTCAAAGAAGAAACCAAAATGGAATGTGATGGAAAGAAAAAGCTTTGAGGAGAGAGGGAGAAAAAAAGTAAAGCGCAATCGATACATGAAAAAGGCAGGGTGGTACTTTCACTGGTCCTATAGTTTGAAAAGCAGGCAGTAGTACTACGTACTACCACACACTTTCATTTCACGAAACTTCTTTCTCTTCATCATTTTCTTTATTTTACGACATTCTCAGTCTTGTCTTGGCGAAATGAAACAACTTCTGGCTTAGGTAAGGTAATACGAATACCAGTGAAAGTGTTGCCTGATAAGACGCTTGGTACAAATCACACCAACGTGAGCCACCTAACCACACCCAAATCTGTAGCTTCTCAGTCCAGTCATTATGCTATGTGCAGAAAACATGGGATGCTTAATATGCTTACTAAAGGTTCATGTTCGGTTGTGAGAATACTTGGTTCCGCAGTGTAAATTTACTTTAAATTATAATCCTTCTTTAAAATGAGTCACACCCATCAAGGGCAATTTTAAGCGGATGAACCAAAAATGACCAGCATGAGGCGCACGACTCTTTGCCCTGGACACCATTCTTGAGTGGGAGTGGCTGACGTATATTCTTTCAAATAAAATGTCATACGAATTATACACATTTTCATATTTAGGAACTCGATATTTTTTGCAATTTCAATTCAATCAAAATATTCAAACAGCCATGGAGTCATGTAGTTTATTATTATGTTATTGGTTTTTGCATCAATACATACCTTACCTAGTTCAGAATTTTGGAATTTTCATAAAAGATCACATTAAAAACATCAATGATATGGACGTCACAGGAACATAAAAGCAAGTCAAGCCAAGGTAATGACAAGGTCAACCTATGAACTATACAAGTTCATATTCGTGTCAACCTATAAACTGGGGACTAGCTGTAGATAAATAAATATGCATAATAGGAAGTCACACGTTCATACGAAAGAATAAACTTCATTGCTTGGTTGATTGTAATTGGGCATATGCAAATGGTTACATAATATGTAGCGTAGCGTATGTAGAGCGTGTAGCCGAGATGTAGTAAGACAATAAGTCAGAGCAAATATTTTTCGTTGGTGGTACTTCATAAATACAAGCTCAAGGTTCGTGGTATGCACAAATTCGCTGCGGTAGAGAGTGTGAAAATGGCCCCATTTATAATAAGCGTGGAACAGATTAACTTATGAGGCAAGACGATAAAAACAAAAGGGAGTATTTTGTATGCAAATTATAAACATTACCTCACAAGATGATCCTCGACGGATGGTACTTGGAGAACGTTGACTGTCTCGTATACCCGATGGACCAGTAGTGAATGACGAGGAGTTGTCGTCGTTGTCGAGACCAAAGTCTTGTTGACAAATGCTTTTCCCTCGTGCTCATTCATCCCACGCAATTTGGCTGCAAAATCAAGATGGCAAACTTTAGAATATAACATAACATAACAGCAAACAAAACAGCCTCCTCCTCACACTATTAAAATAATAATACAACTCATATCCTATACATCCGTCCGACTTTCTAGCAGGGAGAAGCCTCACCATTATAGTCCGGATTTTGAATGCGAGAGATGAAAGATAGGAGCATCAGAAAACAAAGCTCGCATAATCCAGTGATACCTACGACGAGGACGACGAGGACGACGACGTCCGTCATTCCTCCTCAAGTAATCATAATCAACGTAATACATTCCGCACTCGGAGTAAACTACTCTGTACGAGGGACGATCTAAACTTGTCAGACCGGCGGCGGCACTACTGAACTTGGGAGAAAGCAGTCAATCTGTTCTCATCTCCATTTCCCCGCAAGCTTTCACTTCCAACAACTCCAATTTCCCAACCGACCCACCTAAAGCCAGCCCAAATGACAAGACAGATGTCATCCTCTCTCACTTTAAACCTCTCCTACGTGGCATTGTGGCATGTCATCTTTTATGTAAATCCTGGTCATATGCCGTTTTTTTAGAATGCAGAGTAGATCATCATTTTGTACATATATACAACTTTCTCTGTGGAATATGGTAGCTACAAAAAATAACTATTTGAAACTTGAACTTTTTCAAGTTAAAAAATAGTCACTCGTCTAAAACAACTAAATCCAACTATGTAAGAGAGTGATGACCCGTGCCACTCACAAATCTAAAAACTAAGCAATTGTATAACTCATCACCATCAACCACTGCAATGGAAGTAAGTATAACAGTAAAATGTACAAGCGTAATTGTGCATATGCAATACGAATGCTTGAAGATCCAGATTACCAAAATTAAACAAACGAAAAATTAAACCGAAAAAATTAACATAGAAAAGTCAGTACGGCAATAATTAAAATGAAATCACATTTTATAAATCATGTTTTAAACTACTCCTTAGTTAATAGCAAATGTGCGTTTTAAATTAATTTCTCATGTCACTCGGATCTCTCCATGAATACAAAATTCCTTCTACGAACGACATGAATTTTAGGTGCTTGTACTCTCTCTTGGTTGCCCTTAGAAGATTTTTATGCTCACTTTACAACACAAGTTTTACCGTATTAACCAAAAATTAGGAATAGCATTACAGCAAATGGTCTTCTGCTCGGTTATGGTTGCATTGTGAAGTGGAGACTAACCAATCTAAATTCTCGGAGGAGAACGGATATGTTCACCAAGAAATATTTCACGACTTTCTTACAGCCAATTACGTTAAAGAAGCAAATTTGCAACCAGTAAAGGAAACCACTCGGAAAGTCATCCAGTTGCTGCTCCCCTTATACATACATAAATTCATTCAATCTTTGTGCATTTCCTTGCACATAAAAACAACTCTCTCGTTCGTTCACACTAGTGAACAAGCTACAAAATTTTTATTCCCTTTACCCTTTAACAGAGAGGGGCCGAGAGAAGAAGAGTTCTCACCTTGTTCAGCCATAAACAGAGATTCCGACATTGTAACGGGGCGAATTAATTCTCCTATCTTAGGATTGAATGTCACAGTTTGCTTTCTTGCCCCAGTTTCAGTCTCCCAGTGCATGTCCATTTTTGCTCCTTGCGTAGTATCGTTAAAATTGATTCCCAAAATTGCAGTTGCACCCATCTCTGCATCAAGCATGTCCAAAGGTTGGAATTCGTTAATACTCATTCCATTGGGCAACATCTGAAAGATTTAAAATTAAATTATGACGTGTAAAATGTGATTACCATGTCTGTCGGTTACAACTCATGTATTTAAATATGTACTGTATTTGTACGTGCTAATGACAAAATTAAATTGTAATATACGGCAGACCTACTTATTACGAACGTAATATGCGTGTATGTTAGAGATCTCCTATGCAAATTTATGTATGTAACCTGACAAGAAATTCGGATGATAATAAGGTATAAGAGATATATGATTATGATTATTATTATTATACATCATTTTGAAGTAAAATCTACTATCTAGGAGCCCACGTTTATCAAACTGTCAGCCAACTTCCAGTTGTGTGCGTCTATGAGTCTAGATTTTTCATAACTTTCACAACCTTCTCAACACTGGCGTCGTTTGGAAACAAACTTCAACAAGTCCCAGAAGCAGATCCCATAAGTGATACACCTTTCTCTTTCGTTTCAACAGACTTACATTTTGTGAATAAAATATAACTCCGTTTTGTGATTATTACTGTTACGGTTATGACTATGAACTATATACGAACGAACTGTGATTGGTGAACTCATCACACCATTCCTTGAAGGCTATATCATATCACATCGTAGTTAGATAATTTTGATAAAGTGCTCTCAAAAGAGGTGGGCTAAAGCAGAAAAATTGTCCTCGAGTGAACTCCTCATGGACGTAAACAAGGGTTAACGTCTGAGAGTATTATTCTACGTCCTCTCTGTCCGTCGTAAAAATGCGGCATGTTCCGCGTCATTCCCTTTAATACTGGCAGCAAAAGTCATACATAGCAAATATTGTTAGCATATGTATGTACGACTGCCTTGAGAAGTACCACTATTTACTAACCCTGGCTTAATGTAAATTATGTCGGATTTTCTGAACGTAAAATTTATATTTCGCTTCATTAAAGAAAGATACATAAAATTGCAAAATAATGAATTTGTTTTTAGGATGTGTATAAAATACTTGCAACTTAACATATTCGTCCAGTAAGTACCTAACAATTAACTTGAAATGTGTAAGAAATAAAATAAACATCTGTATCGTGGTTTTGTATTGTCATTACCTTCGACGACACAAAAAGCTCGGGTAATTTATCATGCTTATTTCAATTTCTTACCCTACTTATAACTATGAAATCATGCAACTATCGAACTATCGCATTATCCTAGCATGAATGCATATTCGAGTAATAATATATAGCAAAAATCCACCTTACCGTTTGACCAATACGAACGTTTTTAAGAGGCACCTTTCCAGTATTTTCAATAATTATTTCAATAGATGTCATCAATGGCGAGAATAAGTGAGGTGATCGAGTATATCGATATGAAACTTGCACCCCTCCCGAGGATATTTTGTTTATCAATTCCGTCTTTTTCGTTGGTATAAACATGGCACTAGCAGTCTAGAAGGAATTAAAAAATTATTATACAATCAGTAAATGACAATCAAGCAATAAACTAGTTATTAAATGCAAATGAAAGATTGCAAATATCACCTGAATTTGACCAAATGTACTTGTTCCACTACCACCGAATTGAGGTGATGGGGAAAGAGTCAAGTTCATAATTTCTCCAGATAAAGACCCCATCAAACCAGGAGGTGTTAATTCATCAACTGTTGCCTTTGAGTCGCGACTCATGTCTAATAGCAAGTCAACATTTGATGCATCTTTGTGTTTAGTAGCTTTATTATTCTTATTCTTCGATTTCTTTTTATATGAACGTTCCGAGTCAGAAGAACTGGAGCCCTTGGTTGCATCTGAAGACGAAGAACTTGAATTGGTTTCCTCTTCCTCGGTATCTGACTTATTGGGCTTTTTCTTATACCTTACTACTTTCCTGTCTGTCGCTTGTTGAGACTTTGACTTGCCACTACTAACAGTTGGAGCATTCTTTTTTAATTTTCCCGAAGGAAGCACTTCATTGGTATTTTCGTCATCCGAATTTCCTGTCTGTTCAGATTTATCAGTCTTGTTGGATTCAGCAGAGTCTGATTCAGAATCTTCTGTTCCACTTTCTGAATCGCCGCTGCTATTATTGGTAGAGCCGCCGCTGCTGCTCGAAGATTCAGATCCGGTTCCTTCAGATTTTTGTGACTCTTCACTTTCTGAATAAAAAGACAGCTTTTTACTCTGTTTTTTCTTGCTCTTTTTGCCATGTGTGGAATCGAAGCCAAAATCTATAGGTTCATGTGCATTCACTGTTGAAGGAGGCGGTTCGACATAGCGAACGGATGGATCTGGAGCTACTTCAGGGTAGGGGGGTAAGTCTTGGTAGCCGGTAGCTCGAGTGTTCAGGAAGTGAGACAATGAGCCTACTTGAAAGTCTCGGTCTGATCGGAAATCAATGACGAACATTTTCAATCAAAACTATTGAACATTACATAGTATAGGTAGCACCCCAGCATTTGGGTATCATCATAAATATGCTTAAATCACCAATCACTATGAGCATATGTAACTGAAATATTTACCTTTGAATTTCGATTGTAAAATCGGAGCAGGCTTAGAGGATAAAAGAATTTTTCTAGCATATTTGCTGAGTTTTGAAGTTTCAGGGTTTTCAGGGAATAGCAAGTGACGAATAAATCTTGCCCGATCTCTAATGTCGTAGCTTTGGTCATATTTGGCTAGATTCAATATGTATTGGCAAAGTAAAGTTGTCTGGCCAGGGTTGGTTACTTGAAGTTTGGCAGCAAGGTTTATTATTTGTAATTTAACAATGTCCTCCTGAAAAAGTTCATAATGAATGTTGAATGAAAATTACTCAGTTATGCCAAGTATGTAGAGTTTATGTATTATATTTAAAGTTGCATCATTACTACCTCGTCTGAAAATGTTTTTGCCATTTTGCGAAGTACGTCCGGTGGCAGATGAGGAAGTCGCTCACAATATTCACCAAGTAGCCACAAAATAGCTGCACGGGCAGGAGGAACAGTCACCCTGTCCACCATTTTAGCTAGTTGTACAATTACAGGCTTACTTCCACTCCGTTGAGTTTGCAAAAGGGTTTTAGCTACAACCACTGCTCCACCCACAACCGCAGCTGCAAGGAAATAAAAACGTAAATATGTACATATCCAACCAATATGACATAAAAAATTCTTAATCAATATGGCTGCGAGTCACGTCCAGCACGTCGTCAGAGAAAACTCTTTAGCGTTATATTACAGAAGAGCGAACCCCTTCATAGGTACATGTAGAGTCGCATTAATCAAATTCTCATGACAAAGGAGAAGAAATTTCCGGTTTAAAGTTTTTTTGTAAAAAAATGTATTTCATCAGCAACTTGATTATTGACAACCTTCCAATCACTCATATAATAATCCATCCATCTACGAACCAATCAAAATCAAGTGTTCAGTCTTGAGATGGTGAAACTAAAAAACCTTGTTTCTTTAGTGGCAAAGGCACAAACATTTGCTAGAAAGAGAGAGAAAGAGAGAGAAAGAGAGAGAGAGAGGGAGAAAGTATAGGACGTCATGCTTCTAGCTATTGAAAACTACAAAGTTCATTTTCTGGTTGAAAGACGCTTTAGTGGCACGTTCCGAGTCATAATTCTACCAGAGGTGAACAACAAAAGAAAGGAAATGTCACAAAATAAAACTTACGGTCGCGATGTGAGAGGAGGGACACAAGCCCATTGAGACACGACTCTGCGACTTGCTTAATATTGGAGGCGCATCGACCAATTGAGGTGATCGTAGCAGCCACAAACAATTTGTCCTGACTTGAAATGTAGGTCTGGAACTCACGCAGTGGAATGTTAGTCTCGTTGGCAATATTCGTGAGGATCTCTAGTTTGAGTAACTTTATCTGGGTTGGGTCGCTGCTTCGAACGAAAAAGCTTTTCATGTACGGTTCGAACAAGGACTGTGAACGTGTCCATCCAACGACAACCATTCCACACAGACGGGTTCGTCGTATCACACAAATAATAATCCAACGTCCAAATCCAATGGGTCCAAACACGCCGAAGAAGGTACCAAAATGTTTGTAAAGAAAAAAAATATATATGTAAGTATCATATTTTTCTGTGTGGTACAAAAGAATAAGCTCATCGATTCGAGCAGCGATTACAAATCTTGTTTTAGCTTTCTCGCAACATTTATCATGTATTTTTATATCACCAAAAATTGTATATCACTCAAGTTAATAAAATACAAATCACATTAACAGTGCAGAGTCAGCGTTGTACAAATTATAAAATTGTGATTTGCATAACGAAAAAATCTGAGCTGAGGGTGTAGTGCTTTGTAAAATGTAATACAACTGTACCTGGCGACTTGTGGACATTGCTGCAATGGAAGACAATACCACAGCTTGGACTTCTGTGTGTGAACGGAGGAGTCGAATGAGGGCTTTCACCACAATATTTACTTCGGGCCTTGGTGCTACGTGGTAATAAAGTTGAACAACTGCCATCACCACCTTCCAAAATCACAAACAATTCGATTATTTCCAGAGGGGAATTATAGATATATCCCGACCATGAACGGATATGAGGGAAGTCGTAAATCGTATAAATGTGCGTTGTTTAGCAAAGAAATTCCTAGTCTTGTAAAAGAATAAAAGAAAGTGAGCTGGGAGACAAGGATGTGCAAGGCAAAATTCTTACCGCAGAATTTCTACTCTGAAGTAATGGTCGTGCATTCTGAAAACATCAAACATATTTAGCATTGTAGTTTCATTATCATTTTATTAGAATTTTATAATTTTAGTTGTCCCATTTTAGGTTAAAAAGTTAATTAGCGCAAACCAGATTATCGGGTTTAACAAAAATAAATTCACTGCAAAAACAAAGCGATAAAAAATTGACAACGTGGTGGGTTTCAAAACCCAAATAACCCAGCCAAAGTACTTGAACAGCACACGTGCTGCAGAGTTGGGACGCTATCTCATCATCACAACAGCTTTGTAGTGATGCTGATTTGACATACCTTCAGCAAAAGTCGATGATCGGGATCCATCTCAGCTTTATGTTTTGATGGCTCTTCTTCTTTCCCCTTCTTCTTTCCAGCGAGCTTTTTCTTTTTTTGGCCATCTTCATTATCGTCCTCGCTACTGCCTTTTTCGTCCTTCTCCTCCCCATCGTCACCATTTTCGTGTTCCTCGTCATCATAAAAAGGCCGCTCCTCGCCATCAATTGTCAAATCCTGAGTGTGAGTAATGGGCCATCACGATTACATTACTCAAATGTTAACAACACACGTACTAGACTACTTATTCCACATCTATTTTGTCAGACTCATAAACTAAGCCCCATTAAAGGACATAATGCTGTAAAAAGTTGATCCAATTTCTCCCCACCTTCACCTCTCCTTTCTCCACTTAGCCAGTGTACAATGAGTGAGCCGAACCATAACCTCTTCCGCTGTTCAATAAGTTCATGCATGTCACTTTCTCAGAATACATCCATACGGGTGGCCATATAATCTCCTCCGTTCGTTATTACACAATTCACAAAGTGCTTGAAGAGCATATAAAAAGTTCACTTCCCATCCACATATTTTTCCTTGGATCAACTTTTTTCCAAGCGTCCGCAATTCCAAGTGTGTGATCATGGCCCAATGATTGGTTGACAGCAGTTTGACCATTGTTTGTTTTTATGTTTTTTGCGTAACACAAATAAACTCAAGATTTTCTATAACCTCGTTAAATATAATCCATACATAAATATAATCCAAGCACAGCTTCTGACAATGGCAACGCCAAGGACAGAAAGAAGTGTAAAGGTGTGACTGCTGTTTCGGTTTGACGACTATTAATTACTACCTTACAGAAATAAGACCAACATATACTTACCCCAAGGTCAGGGTTAACAAATTGAGTACGAGCATATCGTGTAAGCATGTTCAGAATCATAACTTGACCCCATTCATCAACTAAAAAGAAAGAAAATAGGTTCTCGTGTTTTTTTGTTCAATATGTATTCCAGTTAAGCAAAAGTAACAAAGCTTACCATCCATTAATAGAGCACACAACTTTTTGTAATTTTTGTGGATCAGATCAATTCGTTCTGGACAAACCTAAGATAAAAATTGAGCAAAGAAGTAAACAAATTCTGTAATAAAATAAATAGAGCAAATGAAGGTTTGTGTCTTCTTCTTTTGCTCACTTCATCAAACGCCATCACAGCAGAACCAACGACAAGTGTTGTTCGGTCGGACAAAAGTTTATCCAACACCATAACAAGCTCTTCTTTTTGATCCGGGTCCAAACTTTAGCGAATCAATAATAATAGTAACACTAGCAATAACAATTAATTGAATGCTATTACGATTTATATACAACCTTACCTGTATAGCTTGGGAATTGCATGAGCAGCAGTTTTTCGTACATAAGGACTCATATCAGCCGATGCATCCCGTATTGCAAGCATAACAATGGGAACAATCATTGGAACACGAATGCTAGACAGCACTCGCAACGCACTCGCTCTAATTAATTGATTTGGATCCTGCAAGTAAAAATAGCATCGCTTTACAGTAAGCCAACAAAATACATCAAAAGAATTATTAGCACTAATGTGACACCTTTAACGCTCGTTGAAAAGTTGAAATTGACAAAAGTGCTATAAAATATAATTTATTTGTTACATGTAAACCATATTAAATAATATATAATTCGTTCACTCGCACTCCTTACCACAATCCTGTTGCTCTTCTGCATATCTCACTAAATACACGTATACAAGCTTTTTAACTTCTGCATTTTTTGAGACGACATTTTTAACAACGGCTGGAAATAATTCGGAAGCATCTCGACCCTTTGCAACCATCTGAAATGTACACCAAACCAGAATTTTAAAAATAAATTTGTAATGCGAAGCAAAGAAATCATTTTTCAAATCTCCAATAATAAATTTCAAATAAAGTCACTTACCCCTATGATTCTTTTCATGGCCTCCAGTTTCAAATTGTCTCTGTTGCTGTCAAGCATTTGTTTCAAGTCGTCATGTCTGAAATATGCAACGCATAATGAGTCGTTATTAAAAGGAAGCCCTGATTCTTTCTCAATGCGCTGAAGATCCATCACACTATTCAGTGGAACGTCCAAGTAGTCTGACTCTGAAAATTCAAAACTTGATCTCCCCTTTGCCATTTTCTAACAGCGCAATGAATATTAACAATTTGTGAAAAGCTTGGAACTATTCAAACCTCTTGCCCTCTCTTGCAACAACTAAGTAAAATTTAAGTTGTACTTAGTAAGTATTTAAGCCTTTGCTTAATCGTATGGCGAGCAGATTAACAGATTAAATGCAGATTACTGTTTGACAGACAATTGTCGGCTGTTACAACAGTCATTCCTTAGTCATAAGTGCATGAGCAATACTAATTTGCATCCAATATTACATTACACATTACGAATATTGATTTCATGAGAAATGCTTACATGGATCTAGTTCTCCAAACTATAGTCAAAAACATTCCTTTTTTCCTGAACAATACTTCTTATATCTTAAATTATTTCTTAAAATGTATATATACTCCGTTGAATTAATTGGAATTTATAATCTTGCTCTATGAATTGCAAATCTAATTTGATGACCCTAACTACTCCCCTTTTAAAATATACAAGTGGGTCAAAACACTGACTGTTTTTATGAAAAAGAAGACGATAATTAAAGCAGTCAAACAATTACGAATCCAATTTTTTTAATCCGTCACCTTTTGTAATCCGAGCTGAAAAATGATCCTGCAGCCGCATCTCCGGAATAATCCAGTCCATCGTTAACTGATCGGGTTTCCATTATTGAGATTTTGGCTTGCAATTGTTGCAAAACAGAATTAGCACCTTGTCCTATTTATTTTCACAAGAAAAAAAACGACAACTTTATAAATGACAGAGTTTATAATCACATTTAAACTTTCACCCATAGTTTTCACAGGAAACAAACTACTAACCTGATTATGGGTGTTAAATTGTTAACCATTTCCAGTATTGAATATGTAGATTATAGTTCTTCTTGAATCAAAATAGGAAAAATTGGAAAGTGATTGTTTTCGTGTGTTGACATGTGGTTGTATTTGGCGAGAATCAACAGGAGGATGTGTCAAAGTTTGAGCGTGGCGGTGGGAGCTGGTGGTGGAAGTCAGGTGAGCGGTGGCCATTGCTGTGCAGCGTGTTCACCACTCACACTATATCCTTCTCTCTGCTGCAGTCGGTTTCACTCCTTCTGGATTCTTGGGCCCTTTCCACTTTTGGTGGCGAAATAATTGATAAGAAGACAACACCATGAAGGTAAGTTTTTCTAAGGGGTGTGGTCTGATTGTTTCCTTTGGTCACGGTAGAATGGTAAAAGCTGCGCTTCTTTAATTTGTAATGTATGGGAAGCAAAATTAGTCAGAAAATTAGTTCTGATTGACGTGTATTGTGTTGGTTAAGTGGGGGGAAGGGGTGGGTTTCAAATTAAATATTTTAATATGGTGCTAAATTATAGGGTTTCTGTTGATAAATCCAAGATTGTACAAATTTTATACAAGTTTTTGATTGTGGCAGTGTTATAATTATGTCAAAACTCATTGTTTCGCTGTGCTTACCGGCAATTTAGATCTTCAGCACATTAACACTGTAGTACTTATTATAAGTGGTCTACCAACAATGTTTACGAATTAGGCACACAGTCCCAGCTCCAAGTATGCTTGATAAATGTGCATAGCTATGGCGTTTATGGCTGTAAAATCAAATGTAGTAACCCGAACTATACTGTTTCTCAATAATCTTGGATTAACGGTTGTACGGTGATCACGTACATTATCACATCACATATTCCGATCGATCATACAAAGAGAAAATGGGTTATATTTATGTCTATGAATTTCAGCTGAACGTGGCGTTCCCATCCACTGGGGCGCAAAAGCTCTTTGAGGAGCACGATGAGCACAAGTTGAGGATCTTTTACGAGAAGCGAATGGGGGCAGAGGTGGAAGTAGACAGCTTGGGAGAAGAATGGAAGGGCTATGTCCTCCGCATCACCGGTGGAAACGACAAGCAAGGATTTCCAATGAAGCAGGGTGTTCTTTCAAATGGTGAGTTGAGTGACATGTGATGCTTACTAATAAATAATAGTGATAAACACAGCCCCAGCTCCAAGTGTACTCAATATGCATACTCTGGCGTTTATGGCTGTGAAATTAAAATTGTGGTCCTGCTATACCGTTATAACGATACAATCGTATTTATGGCACGTGTGATTGCATACAGACTCTGTTCCTTAAATTCTCCTTATCTATTGCTCCATATTGTTGATCATAAGAATAGTATTGATAATGTTTCTGGTTTTATTCAATATCTAGTCCGAGTTCGTCTTCTGTTGTCCAAGGGACATTCCTGTTATCGACCTCGCCGAACTGGTGAGAGGAAGCGCAAGTCTGTTCGTGGATGCATTGTTGATGCTAACATGAGTGTCATTGCCCTCACTGTTGTGAAAAAGGGCGAGAAGGTAAGTTTGCTATCATAGTATATATATATTCATCCATAAAATTTAAAGTGATTAGGATAATAAGTACGACAATAACAAACAGGATATTGCCGGATTAACCGATGTCCAAGTTCCTCGACGTCTCGGACCCAAGAGGGCATCTAAGATCAGGAAACTCTTCAACCTGACCAAGGAAGATGATGTTCGCCAGTACGTTATCAAACGACCGCTCCCTCAGAAGGAAGGCAAGAAACAACGGTTCAAGGCACCTAAGATCCAACGACTTATTACCCCCGTCATGCTCCAGGTAATTAGACTTCAACGTTACGAGACTGTGGCATCTGTTAGTATTTTAATTTCCTCCACAACCAGGCAGCTGAAATCATTACCATTGATTAGTCAGTGTTCAATTGGTGTGGAAAATTATAGCTCCGATTGATTTGAGGCTCTGTCAATTTTATGATTAGAAATCTCAGTGTACCGGTGCAACAGATGTTGTACTACTGATATTAGATAGATGTGTGGTTTATTGGTCTTAGTAAAAACTAGGAGGCGAACAAAGTTCCATATTATGTAATAACTGACGTTTTTAACATTTCAGCGAAAGAGGCACATTGTAGCATTGAAGCGCCGTCGTGGAGAGAAGAGGAAGGCTGAGGGTGAGACATCAAATTATATAATCTGCAGCGAGATAATACAGCTTTTCATTAAAACTCTACGTTAATTTTGCTTTTCAGCTGCCGAATATGCAAAGTTACTGGCTCAGCGCACCAAGGAGCGAAAAGATAAGAAACAAGAAGAGGCACGTAGGAGGAGATCAGCTTCTAAATCAGAATCTAAATCTTCCGTCTCCAGTAAATAATTTTTTTATGTTTGATGTAAAATTGGAACATATGAAAGGCATCATCATCTGCCAATAAAAATGATTCATACTCCTTATCTAATTGTTTGTGATTATTTAATTAAATAGTACGGATTTTGGTTTGTTGCTTGCTGACATATGTTTTTCTTTTTAATTGACACTTACATAGTACATAAATGATCATACAGACTTTCATTTCATCTGCAAATAATAACTAACTTTTAAATGTTCATTAAATTTTCTTATATTTACGGTAGACCAAATTCTAGAATTCTCCTGATGAGATTATGATCCCATAACAATGCAACACTAATTAGCTAAATATGATCTAGTTAAAGTTAACTCATGGACCGTCAAAAGGGTAATTTTCTATTTAATTAGTGGTATGCCTACACTGCTGCTATATGTGCAAGTTAATAATAAAAACAGGATAACTTATACATAATTTTAATAACAGTTACAGATACAGTATCGTTTAAAGTGGCTTTGTCAGTCCAGTCAGTTCATTTTCACCTCATGACGTTCATCACATATAAATGTATACCTATATATAAATAACTCATACATTGCACAAGCAAAATAGTATTTAGTACTTTCATCAATGATTATGCATAATAATGATTATCACGAAACCTGATAACCGATAATGTTTGACTTGACAATACATATAAATGAGATGATCGTATTCTTCTTATATTCAAGTTTTAAGTGAACCAGAAGATAAACCAATCCCACTTGTAAACGGGCATATTACGATCAATTCGTTCTTACGAACGCGTTATAGCGATTGTAGAATAAGTTTAATATCGGGGAGGTGCATTTCCTGGACTTGTTGCACCTCTGAATTGTTGACGAATGGCCTCTGATGCTATGCCTGCTGCTGCTCCTTGCACATGTTCATTCCTAATCACTCCGGATGCAAACTCCTGTTGTGCCTTCGCAAAACTGGCTCCCGTACTTCTGTAGATTTTATGAACCTATGCAAAAAATTACAAGTAACTCATAAATTATGTTCATCGAATTGCCTGAGCACTTGGACCTTATTGTTAATTTAATGTGTTTCAAAGTTGAATTCTACTTACTCGCATAAGCAGAAACAAATCCAGCAACGCACAAACGAGGAAACATAGTCCAATCAAAATGACAAAGACTCCAGCAAAAATATTCCAGCCACCGCCTTTCTGCACCACTGTAACACCTTCCATAATCCCACTACGATATGTATCAAAAATTAGTATCCCAAATTTATGTAGCATTTATATAGCTGCTCACCATGAACCAGTCAGGAATATTGCCAGCATTATCGCAATAATGAATTGGAAAAAGAACACGAAGAAGAATACCATGAAGTTGAAGGAGCTGTCACTTCTGAAATATTTATATAAAAAAATATTCTGATTATCTCCAATTTTTAAAGCCAAAATTTTCTAATTATGTAAAATATATTTGATGATATTTATTGTTTTTAAAATACCTAAAAGCCTTGTATGCTGGCCGGAACCAACAAATGAAGGACATTGGAGTGAAGACAACAATGTAGAAAAGGGACAGACAAAACTTCATGAATGTATCAGTATCGTGAATCACGAAAATTAATAGTAGCAGAACCAATGAATTTGCGATAAGGACCAGAGTATGCAGGATCCATAAGTAGTACAAGTGTCTCACAATTCTCTGGAATTCCACTGGAATATCAACATTGATGTCTTGATAAAAGCATGGTTGCACAGGAAAACTTTCTGGTAAAGGTGGCCAGTTGTTTCGACGAACTGAAACGTCAAAATTATACTACAATTAAAAACAAGTAAGGATATACACAATTTCATAAATGAATAACAACCAGGTTCTGTTGAAGCTACGTCCTCAATTGTCTCATTTTCACGCAGTTCAATGTCAATTTCCGAACTTTTGTTGTCTGTACTACTTGAATTGTTCATAGCTTATTAAAAAAATATAAGAAACCAACAGAAAACACTATTTCTCCTCGGTAAGGTAACCGTGATGTGATCCTGATTTATCATCTTTACTAGCTGGCATGCACGCTTGAAGCATAACTTTAACGCAAATATTCCATTTTGCATTTCATAGTTAATGCAGAATCATATTGAACTCGAAATATCATATCTCTAGTTAACTCCATTTATCTAGTTATCTCTAGTTACGCAAATATGCAACTTCTCCTTGACCAAATTTGCTAGTACTACCACTTTATCAATGCAAAATAGTAAATCGAGCAAGGAGGATGAGTTACAACTGTATAATTACCATTGTAAGGATTGTTTCTTAATTCTTCTTCCCTGCGTTCCAGTTCTCTTGCTTTACGTTCAAGTTCTTCTTGTCTCCTCTGCAGTTCTTCAGTTGAAATTGGAATTCCTTGTGCTCCCTGACCTTGGGGTTGCTGACTGCGATTATCTAATTTTCCAAATGGTACAGGTGTTGTTTCCTGTACTGGTGACATGACTGCAGGAGACCTGGATGAATCTCCAAATGCTACGGAATTGTTTGATGCTCTTCCCACCTATGCAAAAAAAAATTGTAGATGGAGGACTTTGCTTCAATTGCTTAATACATAATTCATTAATTAATTAAAGACAGTCTACCGTTGGAACCTGTTGTTGGTTTGTAGCATTGCTGTCAAATGGATTGTAATCTTCCAGATCTTTGGCTGCGCTGTTCGCTGAATTTCTGGTAACTTGTTGAATAGCAGGATCCTACAAACCAAAATGAGATAGATGTAATAGATATTTAAAACTGTAATAACTAAATTTTAAAACTACCTTAAAAGGATTGTCGTCAAAAGGATTATCGTCAAATCCAGACATTGTTGAAATTGGTCCCAAAAGCGTATTAGCGTTACCTCAATTTGCAAGAATATTAGAGAGGGCCTATAAGATAACAATACAATGCATAAATTCATTTAACTTCAAACATTACGATTCTAATGGTAAATTATATTACGAAGTCTTAAAAATTACGGTCATGGGCTATAGAAATATATTTAGTGTTTCTTCAAATGTTTCACATATTTCGACCGTCACAATGAGATGGATATTATTCTATTTATCTGCCAGGAAAGTAAAATGTAAAACGGAACTGACAAATAAGTATACAATAGAATATCAGAGCAATGAAGTATGACAAAACTACACATATGTGATGTATTCCAAAATTGAAACTCTACGTAGTGGGCTAGGTTTGTTAGTAAAAGGGCGCATGCTTGTTTTGCGATGATACACGATAATGACGGACTATGTGATGATTATCATCAATGTATAAGTAAAGTATACAATACGTATCAGCAAATAGTTTAGACTATACTGTTACACGCACAAAACTTTAAACTGTTTACAACTGCATGTTTCAACAGGTATTTTATGCATACAATTTTTGCAAACTTTAACGAGCATTCAAGTTTATCATTCCGAATTGAATTCATACTGTTGAAAACTTTATGGAGTTCGTCATATGATCTCGATTGACTTGGTTCATTGAGTCACTGTCAAGTGACGTGAACATCCCATAATCCCATCCAAACCTTATCTCATTATTAATCAAACTGAGTGTTTATGACTCGATTTCCTTTATCCCTCCCAAAATACAAAAAAATAAAAGTTTTAAAACAATCACGAGAATCCCTGAAGATAAAATAATAATCCAAAACACTTAATTAATTTAAATCCTCGCTAATTCTAATTATTCATCTATTCGGCCTTGTCATCCGTACGAACTTCCTTCTACCTTCTTTCAATTTCTCTCTACTCCTCCATGTTCAATTTTAATAATAACTTCATAGATAATACTGAATTAAATCTTCAAAGAACCACAACAGTAGAAAAACATCCGTAATAATGATGTTAACACTAAAATAAATTGCATGGATCTACTTACGCTTTTAAGTCTTTATAAAAACCAAAATTTGATGTTCCTCGTCTCCACCAAAGCTTTTTCACGCCCTGTGGCACGTAGTTTTTTTGCTTTATTCACAATTTCGATTGAAATAAGTATCCTACTTAATGTTCCTTGTACAGCTTAATTATTTGAATAAATCTTGCGCAATAACGTATTTAAGACAATTTGTAGCTGGGTGGGATGTCAAATAGGCTTAAAACTTGGAATGACGATTAGCAAAAAGTAAAGACTGGTCTGTTTTCCGGGGAATATGGAGATGTTATAAGTTGACAGATGTTGGGATGAATCGCTGCAGATGGGAACACCAGAGGGCAAAACTAATCACGATTCTCAAATTGTGCCTCTCCAGTAATTACACTATTTTATCTGTCCTTTCCATTCTCAATTTTGAATGATATTTAGATAAACCCTAAAAGTTCATTATAAACGATGCTACAAATATTAACTTTCGATCAAGATGAAGATTAATATGAGTAAATGATGCTTTTTTATATGCAAGTTGTGTTGGATTGCATTATCTGTTATAAAAAGCAGTATACCTAATATGTGAGACTACATTAATTTCTAATCTAATCTTTGACGACAATTTTCAAATATGTGAATGCTATTTAATTTTATCATTGAATTGACACAGCTCCCATTCCAGACAAATTCTGATAGAGGCTACGACCCTTTTGCGAATGTGAGGTTGAGAGGTCGAATATCTCCACAGAATTGATGGCTCCCATGTGCTCAGAGCTCACCCCACCCAGCACAATTATCTGATGATCTGATTAGCAAAGCACAAAGAAAGTCATTATGAAATAAAACATGTGGACTTCACAAATATTGACAAATGTTGACAAATATTTTGTATGTACCAATAGCCACAGCTGCATGACCATGACGAGCTATATTTAAACAACGAAAAGAAAATTAAGCAAACAGTCAGCCGAGTTGATTTGACCCAAAGTAATCACAAATATGGTTACTTCTTAAATAATTTTTGTGATCACTTTGAGCCAAATAAACTGAGCCTGTTATCATATAACAATGCAGATCAACGTTTTCGTTGTCCGTGCTGAATGACGTCAAGTTTCAATGACTTTTGCTTAAATGAAATACAAAGTTTGAAAAATCTCGCAATTCTCGAATCTGAAGGAAGTCACGTTGCGTTAACGCCTACATACGTACGTGTGTTAAGAACGCCAACGTCCCTCCATCGTTCCAAGGTTTTGTCGAGAACCAAGACATCTGGGAGACTAACTTGGCTTTTGCTCTTTTTGTTCCGAGGTCCTGCTCCACCCAGGATGAAAAGTTTTCCATGGGCGACCACCAAAGTGGAGAACGCTCGAGGCAGTGGTAGCGATGTGGAGGCTGTCCAACTGTAACAGGTTTGAGTGTAAATTTAGAGAGTCAAGAATATTTGTACATCTTATATCCTTATCAACGTGTTCGGAACAAGGGGTCACGTCGGAAAAGTTCACCTGTTTGTACCCGTGTCGTAACAAAGAACAGATTTCAGGACAGGTTGTGAGGGGTTTTTTGAGACTCCGCCTGCAACCCAGATGCGATCCTCGTACACGGAAACAGCCATGCTTACCCTTGGACCATCCATTGGACTAATTGGCTCCCATGCATCGAATGTGGTATCATATTTGCTACAGGTTGACAAACCCCTGCAAAATTCATTGCAGTCTAATAAGAGATGAAGCTGGTTTATAAGGCTGGTCAGATTGGATATACATAAATTTGATGTACATACAAACATGAGAAAATAAGCAATAATACACAATGATGCACATATGTACCTTGCCTCAGTATCATTTCCACCAAAAACGTAGATAGTTCCATCCTTGGCTGCACAACCAAAGTGACTCCGAGGGTGGTCCAGGTCACTGGGATACTGGGAATCAAAATACCACTCACCCGTCTTCAAGTTTACTTTCCATACGCTTTTCACTGCAATATTCCTCTCGTTCGAAGTCTTATATCGCGGATCCGTTCCACCTGGTCGTATAATAATTAGTTATTTTAGAGCACCATTAACGACACGGGTATATGTACACGTATAAATTAAACGTCTATTGAGTGACGCAATGTCTATGAGAAGTCCTTGTGCGTCACAAATACCTATTATGTACACCTCATATCCCACTCGAGCAATTCCAAAATGCGTCCTTGGTTCGGGTAATGAGCCTACATTTTTCCAAGTCCATGATTTGACCAAGTACATAAAAATCTCCATTCCAGTATTTGATGATGGACTGGATGAAAGGAGTTGTGTAGGATCGGTTCCACCAAAAACCATTAAACCATCCCTAGGAACCTTCAAATCCGCTAGCATGCGAGGAGTTGTAGTTGTAGTCGTCATCGGAATAATAGGCGAATTTACTGGATCAGAATTCAACGGTGGGTCTGTTTCGATAGGATCTTTCACAGGTCGATAATCATTTCTCCTGTTTGCCCAATGTGCCCGTAGTGCATTTTGAATCACTTTTGCAGCAAGGTTCATTTTTAAAATATGTCGTCGGGTTAGAAAGCCTTTCACATAACGTTGGATTGTGATCGCAGCTTTAATTTCATTTTCATGCTCATCCACCAAAATGTACTCTCCTGATTTTGCTTTTCTCTGACCGTGTTGACGGGATTCTTTTCTCTGACAGCGGTGACGGGACTCTTTTCTCTTACGGTGATGGAGGCTTATCGGAACGAGGTTCGCTGGTGCGTGTGAATGGAAATGTCGGCAGCGACGAGTGCTGCGTTCAGGTTCATCTTGGTAAAATTCTTGATGTTGCAACCTCGTTGTGGTTGGATCTGCTAGTAAGATCCCAATATGACGATTCTCGTAGGCCACCTGTAACACGCAGAATGCAACCATAATCATGTATGCGTATTGCATATGTACATAATAAATGTACATAATTATAAAAGATATTCATGATGATTCAGCGATGCGCCACTCATGAATGCCATTCCATACCATGTATTTTGGAACTTTCAGGTTTCCACTGGGACTTTCACCGGCAAAAGGGAAAATATGACCCTAATAATTACTACTGTTATTCGAATGGCTGGATCCTTGAAAAAAATTTGTTGTAAGAAGTACCTCATCGTACTGCGCTTGCCTCCCACTTTCGTACTGCTTCCTCATTGTTGTGATTACTAGTAAAATGAAGTACTGAACAGGAAAATTTATAATTGGTTGAGCTATATTTTTATTCCAAGGTCCTAAAATGCACTTAGTTACGATCTAATATGTAGATCGCAACGAGGAACGCTTCGCTACTCGCCACTCTCAGATTTCGATGGCCTTTGGATCAGGGAATAAATCTTGCTCGCACTATCCCATAGCTTGCTCGCAGAGCTGGGTGATTATTCGTTTTTGAGGGTGGATTAAGGATTATGCACAATCCACAAAATAATGTGGATTGTGATTAAATTATTTTCGTCAGATTAATTCATGTCAGGATTAATCCGGATTAATCCATGAATTCTGGAAATTTCAGGATTATGGATTATGGATTAATAATCCGGATTATTTTGGTGATTAATGATTTTTACACTACCTACAGATATATCTAGCCCAAAAAATTTAAACTATGTGGTTTCACATAAAATATTTAAAACGCCAGTTTCAATTGATATATGTAGCACAAGGCAGCAAAAACATGTTAACTCTTCAAATGGTAGCCGACAGGACAAAGTTGTGAGAACTTGAGACTTCAAGCTACACAGTGGGATGAAATAGAACTACGGGAATTGAACTGAGTAATCCAGATTGAGAATTAATCATGAATACCTAATCATGATTAGTAATCATGATTGGGATTAATCGGGATTAATAATCATGATTAGTAGTCATGATTGGGATTAATCAGGATTAGTAATCCGTAATCACGATTACGGATTAATGACATCTAATGGGATTATTCCCGGATTAATTCAAATTCCAGAAAAATCTGGATTATGGATTGGGATTAATCTACAAAAAACTCTCATTGTCGGATTAGGGATTATGGATTAATAATCCATAATCCGGGATTAAAATCCATAATCCTTAATCAGGATTATCCCAGCTCTGCTTGCTCGCACCGCTTATAGGCCGGTGTGAGCAAGATTTATTCCCTGCTTTGGATATGTTGATGAACCCTCAAGTGTTTTGATGCGATTGTCACATTTGCATTTTGCACAAAAGCAGGCAGGCAAGTCATGATCGTTTAAATTAGATTTAGGTATATGTATATTGATGCAAGCTAACAATTAGTGTATGTTATATTCTATGAACGTGTTCGTGCTTACGAAACTATCTTATAGATCTATTTTAAAAAAGATTCGGGTATTAAAATTATTAGTAATATTTTTAAAAGAAATTGTATTGATATTGTTAATAATTGCTAGCAGATTATTAATAATATAACTGAAGCCTCCCCAACAAGAAAAATTTAATGCTGCATGATATGAAAACAATAAAACATGCCCCAAACATGAGCATGGTTAAGGCTTAAGAAAATACATCGAGCTGGAAGATGTATACTTGTTAGCTCTATGTACATATATTTTCTCTGAATAAATAACTGATCTACTCAAGAAAATCGGTTGAGGGTATCACATTAAAATCGATTGCGCAACAAGAGATGCATGAAATTGACTCCTTCGTCTCTTCTATCTTCCTCTCTTCATATCGAAAAACTGGTTACATAATCAAGACCTTTTACATACTCTTTTTGTAGTACTGTTGAGCAGCATTCTAGATATTCTAGATTTTACGGGATCAATATTTTATCCTTTCATCGCAAGAGTTGAACACATATTCAACCTGCTTTTATTATTATTACACGAGCAGCCCATAACTTACTGCAGACTTTCACCAGCATCGCGGTTGCAGTAATCATTCATTCACTGACGGCAGCTCTAATTCAACCGCAACGTCCAGAGCAGAACGGTGTTTAGGTTACGAGGGAATAATACGGGATGAGATGAATGTATGTCGCTTCATCAGCACCCAGCCAGCTCCATGTTAAGCATGTATCGGTCTTTTGGTGAGAAGAAATTCATGGAGCCACTAAATGTAACAGCATAATATCCAATATCAAAGACCTTTACAGTCGAGCATTTAATTAAATATTGCGGTGAAAGCTCCAAAAGTAAATGACTCGTTGATTCATGCATATGAGCCTCACATTCGATCCAAGTGTGAACTTTCACCCTTGATGTTAGTCTCTTTTATTGCATCGATAGGATCTCTGCATACAACGATCATCCCCAATGCAGATGGCAGAAATATAAGGAAATTAATTTGACCCAGAGTTTAAGGAGTGCAGCACCATCACTCTTAATTTCCAGTCACATGTAATTAACAAGAATTGGCCTGTGCATTAACCATATGCATGACCAACCATCTCCCAAGTTAAATTGCCACTTTTATTCTTGTTCATTGGTAGAAGGTTGGAATATGGATTCCATACAGGTGGACCAAAAATTTACAGATAATTTACAGATAATTTATAGACCATTTACAGAATATTAGCAATGAGTTAAAGCCAAAGGAACTACCTACCTATATTCATTACATTATTCAAAATTGGCTAAAAAAATGTTACTTTTTTCTGTAGACATATAAAATTTGAATTGGCCTGGATTTCAGCATATTTCTTTTAGTTTTACAGTAATATGTTCATCTGTAATAGGAAGGATGTAGGGGTGCAGATTTTACGGACATTGAGGGATTATATGATAATGGCTTAATTTAATCAAGCTAATGTATCTGGCTTAAATATAAGGAAAGAAGGGTAATGGCTTCCAGTCAGTGACGACATACATTTCCTGGCTTTTTCTTCACTTGTGTGTCCTTTCCTGCCAGACTGTACCACTTAATGACATGGTTAAATGCAGTCAGAACTGGTTACATTGATCGAGGTGGGGTTGAGAACCATCTAGAGTTTCTGATTTTTCTGACCAAGTTTGTCATCAGCTCATCCAGTGTATCTAAATTGCGGAAGGTCTTTTGCGCTGGCACATTATGTTTTTATTGGTGCTTTTATGCACATGTTTTCAGAATTTTGTACTTAACGTGACGCATAAGTTAGATGAAATGTGAATGCACCTCCAAGTACTTAAATCGTCTGTCGGATGCTCTCAAGCATTAAAAAAATATAATTATATTTGTACGTTAATTACACTGCAATTATCACATCTGAAAGATTGGAAGTGACCTTATTTCTCCACAATCAACTCTGGCAGAATATTTATATATTTTTAGCATTTGATCTTATTGTACCGAAATTTTTACTTTACAGCAGATTTATTGAAATCATGATTTTCAAAGCTCAAAAATATCAAGGCGAAAGTTTTGAACAGAAAATCGTACTTATTTTAAATCACCTAACATGCAAATATGTGATGTGGTTCACTTTCATCCTTAATTATTTGCCTTGTGATGTTCCGGTTCAATTCATTTACATGCATGAAAATTATTTTTTCATGGATTGTCATACTACTCCAAGCAAACAAAGTATGCTCTGAACATGTCGTTCCTTGATGAAATGAGAATTGTAATCATAAAACTCCACTTGCGTTGTGTTTATTGGGTGACATTACGAGGCGAGGTAATTCAGTTTGGGAGAAGTTACAGCTTTTGCAAAGCTATTTTATATGTGTGTGTGGAGAACACAAGACATAGGACACAAGGTCTCTTGTGTCTTGTTTTACTTGTACACCTACATTTGCAATTTGCATGGAACTCACGATTCAGAAAATTCGAGTCCAACTGGTTAGTAGGAAAAATAATGCTACCGTTGGGACCAGTACACGTACATTAAATCTATTAATAGATCTGCCATTTGTAAGTTTGAAATTAATTGAAAAGAAATGGAAACTGGGTTCTCAAGTAAAATAAATATTTACGTCAATCCTTATTAGCTCACCCTGCACACATATCTATTAGCATGGGATTTATCGAATTCCTCTTGTCCATCTGTCTGCTAACGAGTTTTTTGCATCAATTGATGCTAAGGAATTAAAGTAGAATTGCTCCCTTCTTGAACAACTTCGGATTAGTAAAACCATTGGTATCGAACGATCTGTACTACAAACTTGTGCGTAACAATTGTGGGAATCGAAACGCACCAAAAGAGTAGAATAACGGGAAGAAACATAATTTTTGCTTCAAGTTAAGTCAAAATGTGATTTTTCTTGCTTATTCTGAACCATTGATGTGAAGAAGGTAAAAAATGTCAAAATTATGTATCCATATATTTTCCCAGTATTACAGGGAAAGCTATTTCTAACGTTAGTATTTGCGCGTTTCTTTTACTGCTATTTCTTTAGGCAATTACTGACTGACATGCCAATTTATCCTATGGTGCTACATAATATCCAATTTTACACTTCACGCTTCAAACTAGAAGTGTCACACCATGATGTATTTTTCCAATTTGTCAACATCACTTGTAAGAAGTTCAAATTAAGTAAGTAGCTACATGTATTTACATGAGTTTGCGTATGTATGCATGCATGAAGAGCGTTAAGATGCAGAAGAATTTCTAACTCTTTCTCTCGTCTTATTTTTGTGGTAACCAACGCATTTTTAATGAATGTAAGGGGAACAACGAGTTGCTGGCGTCGTCGTCAAACGAATCAAAGAGAAAACAGAGGTGAAACGAAGCATGTCTCATACTTACTAAAATTTGAAATTGCACGTTTCAATGCTTCTCTCTCGAGGAGGAGTGTGGGCGACTGGCGAGAACAGGAGCAGTGCGATGATATCCTGGCCTGGAGGAAGGAGAAAGGAATAAACTTCTCGATTCATACAACCAACCAACGAGGACGACTAATAACAAGGCCTGCCGAAAGACTCAACAAGTCAGTTCGGAGTGAGACGACTGACAGTATGTGGTAGGTGGACGACGGATAAAGTGAAATTCCCAAGAGCGAACTTAGGGATTCTTTGTCAAGAATATTGTCTCAATTTTGTCCTGACATACACATGGACTAATTTCAAGCTGTTGCCTGTCCCCATCTTGTCATGTTTTCGTGGTTATTACTGCATACTGGTCTTTCTGACAAGATGGAAAGCATCATTAGAAATTTTTTTGGTATTTTTGATCGCAGAGAGAGCGCAGCATTTAATCATTTATAATGCTGGCTATAATAGAAATTATTGGTCGTGTATTTCTGGGCTTTGGTGTGAGTAGTATTATATTTCCGACTCACCATCACCAAGTGTTTTCAGCCGAAATGCCACAACATGTAAAAACGCTGATGAATTCCAACTGCTCCACGATCGAAGAAAGTTACTTTCCATTAATAAAAGTGCAGCACAGTGACGAAGTACATAATTCAAGCTTTGAGCTGATTGAATCTTCCGATGTGGTGAATGAACATAGTGGTTTTCTATTTTCAATTACTTGCGTAGCCTATTACCCTATCGAATGGGTTGTCAACTACTTTTCCGTAAGTGATTTTCCCAATTTATATCATTTCCCCCCAATTTTAATAAAAATATATGCACTTATATCTAGTAGATTGTAATCTACATAATTTATGGTATATGCAACTTATTACTCTGAGCACGTTGTCTTTGAATCTTAATAGAATGGATATCCTAACGGAAATTTTGGTTTACATCTCCAAGTTCATCGTAAAGTGAGCAATTTCCGAGATGCATCAACGTACAGATTTACCATTAGTTCAAAGCTAAGATACAAGAACAACCACGGCTTCAAAAACTTTAGTTTCTGCTGCCAATCTGTTGATCGACCTTTATGTCTTCATACCATTTTGTACACCACCTTTGACGACGAGCACGATGGAAAGAATGGTGTTAAAGTCAATATTTTCCCAGGACCGTCCTGGGAAAATGAATCAATCACTGGTAAGTGGCCATTCAGAGATTATAGTGATTCCTTCTTTAAATTGTTTTACGCGAAATATTTATTCGACGGCATGCATGCAAGACAAGCATTCAAATAAGTAAAATAATTCACTAGAATCTATGTAACATAAAATTAGTCACAGAAATCACAAAAAAAAATCGCAGATAATGTCCGTCAAATGGGGAGAGATTTGTAAAATTAGTATACATATAGTTTACTATATGTACACTCCTATTTCATTTCCGTTAACCATCTTGATCAAGATCGATACATTATGGTCTACGTCTGTGTATATAAATATGCATGTATACACAAATATAAACTCATTACCTGTAGCTTATATATGGTAGCTCTGATGAGGATGGAAAATACATTTGATGTAAGCTGCATGTGGTCACGGTCTGTATGCAGTGTTGTGTTTTGTACGACGAAGATTCTTTGTGCCCACTTGCCAAAGCAGAAGATTGGAATTTGATTGTCTGGCTGGTGATTGCCTGATTGAATATTTACATCCTAGTGAATTCTGAAGCTCAAAATTGTTCGAAATTACTCGTAGAGAAAACCAATTCATGAGTGAACTTAAGGGCATTTCATACCCTCAGTAGTGATAAATAATGTTAACATATTTTCAGACCTTATCCCACACGAGGAGGAAGATGTCGTGAAGGTGGCACCCTCAGACGATCCCTCATCTTGTGATTTCAAAGTGTATGGGAACAATGTTGGACAGAATCGCTACACTCTGAGGTATGTATCATGAAGTAGAGTGATTTTGTACAGTTCGTATATTTATTATACAAAATGTGAAAGTATCATACATCATAGAACATGGTTCATATAACAAAGCTATAATGAACAATGAGTGTCAGCATATCGTTTACAATCTCAGTTTCACAATCTGAAACTTGCACTGTGAACAGAACACATATTTTGGGTTTCATTGATCTGCATGAGGTTTGATGCAGGGTTTTGCGTGGAGAAAGCACTTCTTAAATTAAGCACTAAATTCTCCTCCAAGTGTGCAAGAATTTAAATTCCAATGATATCGTACATCGAGGGTTTGTTTTTAATAATAATAAAAATATTATAAAGCTGTCGATACATATATTTTTTATATCAATTGCACTTCTAGAATGTCACACTTGGACTAGGATTATTGTTAAAAAGTTAAATATTGTATTGTGGTAGATGCGAGTTTGATGATGGGATACCTGGGATAGTGAAAATTATCCATCAATGTTCAAATGCAATCTCCTGTATGACTTTCCATCAACAACATCAACAGCCCCTTCTGGTAGGTGCACACATTTATCTACTCGAGTGAAAACTAGTGAAGCATGCAAATAAGTTAATTTTCTCCTGATTATTATGTCGTGCTTGAATCTGATTATTTCGCACGAATATGGCTTAGCATAAGAATAAACTTCAGCTAATGACAAATTTTCAGTTTTCCAATCAACCAGCGTCGTGGTGTACTCATTTGCGTAGTAATTGCTTTTATGTTATGATACATACTTCAACGAATATTTGACTTACTTGTGATTAAACCTTGTAGGTTTATGGACAAAATTTGTAACGTAGCACGCCTAATTGTATGTTATAAGTTGATTTTTGGGCATGTGATTTCGCATACCTTAATATGCACGAGACCCTGATCATACCCGATGATTTTAAAATTTAAGATTTCAGCTTACTTGTACAAATGTTTGTTTTGGCTTTATGCATATGTATTATACTGCTTAGTGTATAAGAATTATTTCTTATGTCTCGTCAATATGCGATGATGAGAGAATTGTGGAAAATTGAATTACCAAACCACTCAAGGCTCTCGAGCTCTAATAATTTTGATGTTTAATTAGTCCAAGAAATGCGCTGTATCTCGGCCAGAAAACGTCTCATGCGCCACCTGCCATTCCCGAACGTTTCGGTTGGCTCAGGGATTTCTTGCTTGTGTGCCCGATGATAAAGACAACCATCACCATCATAATTATGGCAAACTCCTTTTCTTCTTCTCTTCTGTGCCCCAAGAAAGGCACAACCATCCCAGCAAATTGTGTAAGTCACTTATTTCCACTCTAGTGTAGACGTTCAAGCAAATTAAATCATGTCCCACCGGAGAAAGAAGCAGCAGGAGTCCGAGTCGGCAACGGTGAAAGTAATAATAATGCCGAGTCTATTTGAGAATAAGGAGCAGTTTCTCTCACGTTAATGACATTTCCATTCGAAAGATGAAAAAGACAAGTCATAGGAAAGTGACTTGAACGAGAAATATGCTTTCATTTTCTTCGGATGACTTTGATGTATTCCTTTCCCTAAATCATTACGCTGCCTTCAAGAAAACTCTTAAAAATAATGAACACTGATAAATGCATTATCTAACAATTATGCACTCTATTTTTTTAGACTTTGACATGGACCAGGTGGATCCCAACGAAATGATTTCACTGGCTAGAGTGAACAAGAGAGTTTCGCTGGGTGAACAAATCAATGTCCAATGCAATAGTTCCAGTTACTATTTTGCAAAGTAATAGCAATTTTAAAATAGTAATTACTGGAACTTAATCATAAAGTAATAATTTTTGTTTGTTTATTAAGCGGAGTAAAGTTTGGCGTAAAATATAAAGGGTCAGAGGATCTCACATACATAAAAGGTAACGCGCATGAATATCTGAGAGAGGTTTTAACCTTTAGAGCGAGCAACAAGTGTTTGAGTGTATTTGTTGTAGAAATTCAAAAATAGCAAAATCGCGTTGTCGTTTATCCTTAATGTTTACTTTCACATTCATACAAACATTTTTCAATCATCGTGCATGTATACACAAACTCATGTAAAGATTCATTCATACGTACCAATCGAGATTTGTAAACAAACATGCCAACCCCAGGGTTTTCCTCTCGTTCGTTTCTTGATTCGCATAAATTGATTTTGCAAATCTGCCACATACGTGTGTACATCGTGCACCGTGATGCGTATGATATTTATGTGTACAATGTAAGTATGTACGTAGAGGAAGCCGAAAAGCTCTTAGAAAGTCATAATCGTAATGCACAGTTTCATTGAAAACATTTTCAGCAATTCCGAACCCGTCCAATGGACCCGGAGCAGAATACTTTCCAGGCAACATTCACGAGGGTAATATTCCCATTACGACTTCAACGGGTAGGATTGAGCGGATATATTGCTTCGCCCCAACATGGAACTCATTCTCTTGGGCAAACAAGTCGATGGATGTGCAAGGAGCTATTATTGCAGAAGGTTAGCAGAAAGTTACAACAGCAAGATTTGCTTTCACTTTAATTTCGCGTCTTCTTGTGCATTCCTTCCTTCTCAAACCAAGCCCAAGTTTGTCCAGCAAATGCCATCCGTCCGACACTTTCTGAGGACATGGCAATATAAATGTTTTTCTTTCCACGTATGTACGTACATACATATGACGCATCCTTTTTTACTCAATCTCTTTGACGGGATTTAGAGAAGCCATCACCACACATCGCCATTGCCGTCAGCATCACCCTTCTTGTCACAACTTTATTTTGCTGTCTCCTCTTCGGACTCTGCTGGATGAAGATTTTGCGGAGAAAGTTGTCAAAGTTTGGAAAGCTGCTTACTCCCCAAGAAATAAATGAATTTAGAAGCCACTCAACAATATTTGATACGGATAAAAGTCACACTGATTATGATTACATCAACTCTGCTTTAATGGCCAGCAAAAATAATGATATTTGCTACCTGGAAATTCGAAGAGAGCAGCTACTCTTGGGTATGCCTTTTGCTAAAAATTCTTATGAAAGTGATGTATTCGGAGATTGTATTACTATTCGGTGAGGGAAAATGACGCAAATTTTAGAGCACATGTGTATGTCTGCTCGTCTTAAAATTTTAGATGAGACCGTTGTACTCGGGAAAGGCCACTTTGGGAAAGTTTTGAAAGGCGTATACAAATTCGAGAAGAATGAGAAAATGGACGTGGCTGTAAAAACCTTAAAGACCAAGACTGATGTGGGTGCATTGAAGTCATTACTGTCAGAACTCAAGATAATGGCGACGGTGGGCAAGAACCTCAACGTTGTGAGCCTAATTGGGGCTTGCACAAAAAAGATGCAAAAGGGTAATAACTACAAACATGAAATTGGTCGTTGTCGTTAAACAACACTCTGTGATCACATGACACAACATATTGCATACTTACATCGTTTATGCACGTTCTCGATGGATGATGAAGGAGGGAGGATGGGAGAAGCAAGAAAGAAAGCTCTTACAGTTTTTATGGGTCTCATTGATTGCTCACTTACTTTCCCCGTTTCCTGTCTTAATTACTTACGGATTATGACAAAATTTACAATGCTGTCTCCTTTATTTAACGAGTTTATGCTTTTAGGGGAAGTTTACGTGGTGGTCGAATTTTGTGCTCTGGGAAATTTGCAAAATTATCTGAGAGCCCATAGGGACAAATTTCAGAACCAGCTACAGCGTGACATTCTGCTTGTTGAGGCACCCTACAGGTTGGTGTGGTCCAAAAACTTAATCAAGTAATTACTGTGCTGGATACTAACTGAAAACACGTCTGGCCAATGGTCTCCTCAATTTCTGTTCCAGCGTTCACAAATCTGATGACGATGATACGATATTGTCTCTGGATCTAATCAAGTGGGCCTGGGAAATAGCAAAGGTTAATAGTAAAGTATATCATTACCCATTTTGCAACGTTCTCTGTATTGGGTCTATTATTTTAGGGCATGGAGTTTCTAACCAGCAAAAAGGTTAGTTATTATTTGACTAGTAACACATGTTAATTAAATGCCATTAGACATTATTTTATGGGCCAGTAGAAGTGAATTTAGTTTAGCTCATTTAATTTCTATATAATTTGTCGTTTGTCTGAAATGCGAGTTTCTCTAAAGTTTATTCTGAAATAACTTGCAATTTAGTATGAAACGTAGAAAACTCGGAATTGATAGACTTATTGAGCCTAAAAAATCTAAAAATATATATAGACAATATATATAGAAATTTCAGAAACAATTAAACTGAGAATCATAAAATTCTGTTGGCCTTCACTAATTCGTCTATGCCACAATAAGTACATAATGCATGGGCTGTAAATTTCTCATTTAAAATACAAGAAATATGTACATTTTCTGATATTGCCTACTATATGGTTTACCTTGATATTGAATTTTTGTTATTATGTCTGAATTTTAATTGGTATTACTTATTAAGGTCCTGCACGGCGACCTGGCTACACGGAACATTCTATTGACGGCTGATAAAGTGGCGAAAGTTAGTGATGTAAGTGGCAGATAGTGATACTATGTACAGTACTTATTTATACAGTATAAATCCTATCATAGTATTTATACTGTAAGTTCCGTTAAATACAGTTGTATTTTATAGTTTGGACTATCGCGTCAACTAGTGGATTACTACTATGTGAAAGAGGAATCGGTAATACTACATAAAAATAGTAACACGCAAATTCATTCGCACGTATTATGCACATAATGCAATTAATGAAATAGTTTAACGTCTCAATCGGGCAGTTTTACACGACCTTCGTTTTTTAAAAGACATCCACTAAGTACTTACTTTTATTTGTTCAAGTAAGAAAATAATCAATTTAGGGCACTATTAAGATGGACTTGTGATATATAAATATTCCTGGATCCATAGTTGGTAATTTGTTCATGATTTGGACATAATTTTATTGATTCATGATTACAACACAACACATATAGGATCAACAAATAAAAAAATCATTTTTACGGTTGTACATATAGAATTGGAAGAGTGGAAGATTTCAAAAGCTGGGGGGTGTTGTAAACCGATACCTTGGACATATATGTACCCATATGTAGCATAATTGTCACACCCTCATAATTTGGGCCAGATCACTGTCTCTATTACTGGAATGCGTTTTGAAAAACCGAAGGTCATTTAAAACTGCCCGACGTGACTTTAGTTTAACTATACTGCACTCTTCTTGGCTTCTTTCACTAATTATTGTATATTTATCAGGACGTTGCGATGCCGTGGAAATGGATGAGCATTGAATCCCTGCGCGACATGAAATTCTCTATTCATTCTGATGTTTGGTCTTGTGGTAAAGATGTCATGATTAACCATTTGCATACGTATAAATATTATGATATTATACATATATACCCATGCATTAGAACTATTTGGCACACTCGCTGCTTCCATTTTTCCAAATGCAATTAAATATTCATAATTCCCATTGAGTATAATGCATTTACGATTAGTATAAACTGAAAACTCATGAAAAAATGTATAGGTACATACCTTTGAGCTGTGCAAAATACATATTTGCAGAGATTTTTTGTCGAAAGGTTTCTTTCATATACGACTTGCTAAAATTATGTCATTTCGATCAAAAAAGCGTGCGATTGCGTATTATAAAGTAAATAACGCTCTGACTTTTATATCGATTGTTGTCATAATATATAAAAGAAAGAGGTGTGATGTGAATAGGTGTAACGCTGTGGGAGCTCTTTACACTAGTGGAAACTCCATACTACGGTTGCAGTTGGAGTGTAAGTTAATCTTATTTTACGCTATCCCTGACCCAGCCTGATGAATCATATTGTCAATTTAGGTGGACTTTGTGACAGCTTTAGAAGCAGGGCATCGTCTAGGAAAGCCACAATATGCCACGTCAGAGATGTAAGACTAACTAAAACCAGTTTTTTAAAGAAAAATTGGATAGATGAATCAATTAAATAATTTTAGGTATGATTTAATGTTGGCCTGCTGGAAAGGAGAACCGACAGAGAGACCTTCATTCTTTACAATAAAAATCTTTTTCGAAAATATTATTACACAATGTACCTATCAGGTAATCTTTGAGAAATGCGCATATAAAAGATGAGATGAGTTGTGATTTTCCGGTGCAATTATGCATTTTAACGATAAAATTACAAATTTATATGCAGGACTACATGCAATTGGATCTGTGTGCAACAGGGAGCCGTAGTCAGAATGATGGAAATGATGCCAGACGTTTTCTTGCAATGACTCCAACAATTGAGATCGTCTCAGATTGTGAAGTAGAAGATGATGTGTTTGAACAATAAGTAAATGATGTTTAGTAAAATACAACGAGGACTTTCAATAAAATCAGATAAATACTTGTATAATAACAACTAAGGCAGTAGAGCGATTACGATACGATTACGATACGATTGGAATTTTGAAAAAGGAGTTTAGCTTATTTTTTCCAATGTATGTGCATAAGTGTTAGATAGGATTTTAAGTAGAGGGGTTTAAACTTCTTTCGTTTAATTTTTCACTTGTGAATGAACATTAACTCTGTGAATCAAGTATGCAAGAAATTAAATAAAACTTATTTATGTAAAGCTATCAGTACATAGCTCAATTTAATCCGAGTCAGTTAAACTACTAAATAAACGTGGCTTTTTCCATTAACTAGTAAACTAGTACAGCAGTGGGTCTTCCTCATACGATCTATGAACAATTGAAAACCAGCCTATCTGAGGCAGTATAGGAAATTTATAGCCCTTTGAGGTTACAGAATTATGTACACGAGATATATCAGCCAGCGCTATCTCAAAGAATTTGTGATAGAAAAATATCTTTGAATATTTCCTACCACATCGAACTAACTATTGTAATTAAAATGAGTGCTTCCTGGATACGGGTTGATTAACTGAATACAAATTAATTACATGAATTATGTGTTACAAAATAAATCAAAGAGGATCAATGCTAAAGAATAACCCAATTTGTAAAGTACTGAATATTTTAATTGTTTACAGAAAGTCATTATCGTAGTTCCAAAAAATAGATTCTCGTGAGTTTGACAATAATAATATGACTATAATTACATACTTGTATCCACAGTCTCTAATACCAGTCTGATTTGTCACTAAAATGCTGCTAACCCGGTGACCTGTAAACATAATAATGCAAGCAATGTATATTATATAATTACATAGTAATTAGAATAATTTTTGCACATACAGCTCGGCCAATGATTAGTGCATGAATGTCGCTGGTCCCTTCATAAGTGTTGACGGCTTCTATATTGCAAGAATGCCGTATAATGTGATATTCGTCACTCACGCCGTTAGCTCCCAACATGTCCCTAAGTAGTTAAATGTTGGTATGAATTATGAGCATGACCTTCCCTTTCGGTGGGGGGATGTTTAACTTAATTTACCTCGCATTTCTCGCCACATCCAAGGCTTTCGTACACGAATTTCTTTTTAAAATGCTAATCATTTCCGGCGTCAGTTTCCCTTGGTCTTTCAGGCGGCCTGAAAAAAATTGATTCACGTACAGCATTACTTATGAGCTTATTTTGAATCTCGGTAACCACATAACCACTGAGCAATATTGCAAACTATCCTAATTGTGCTGCGTTATAGGCGAATATCATAGCATAACATTTAACAAAGATCCTTACCAACATGATTGCAAGCGATCAACCCCAGATTAATTTCAGTCACCATATCTGCTAATTTTTTCTGAATTATTTGAGTCTGTGCTAATGGTCTCCCGAATTGCTTTCGATTTTGTGTATATTCGAGTGCTTGTGAGAAACAAAATTCTGCTGCACCAAGCACGCCCCATGAAATTCCAAACCTGTACATGTATAAATTCACGTTAAAATAGAATAGTGTTGTATACATGCTTATATGTTACGGTACATATTTTTTGAAGGTGGTTGATTACCTTGCTTGAGTCAAACAGGAAAATGGACCTTTGAGACCTTTCACATTTAAAACATGAGATTTCGGTACTCGAACGTCCTGCATTCAAAATTGAAAGTCATGGAATATGTGTAAGTACGTTATGAAATCAAAGTTAAACAAAGTTGCCAAGATCTGCTATTCATTTCAATATGCAAATTTACAGACATCCATGATGATCTTACTTCTTTATATTAGGAGAAGATATTAAAATCGTTTAATTTTCAGGAGTGATAATACAAGCTACTTCAGTCCTTCGAATTTTAGACTGTTCAGAAAGTATGAAAAATGCTTGGGACTTTATTTAGGGATATACATACTATATTTATTATCTTACCTCCATAACAATCATTCCAGTATCCGATGCTCTTAAACTAAATTTCCCTTGAATTTTAGGGCAACTTTAAAAAAAGAAAAATAATCGTTATTATTAAAATTGAGAGAAAAGAGAGGGACAGGGAGAGGGAGAGACTGAATTTTAAGTTCACGAAGACGAAAGTGGACCACGGTAACATTCTATTAAGTTCATACAAATGTTCAGGCCTATTTAGTATTGACTTAAATTGGTGTACTGAAGTTTAATCTGCAAGGCCTACGTGGGTAGATTATTGGTTTCTGAAGCTGGATAATTAGCAACATTCTCCCTCTCTCTGCCCAAATAAATCATAAGATGCATACCTTAGTCCTTTGAAACCCTTTTCCATTACAAAGCCCTTGATATCTCCCCCCGATACGTCTTTAGCCCACACAATAATGACATCGGCAATTGGACTGTTCGTAATCCAAGTCTTGGTACCTTTGCAATGCATTGTATTTATAAATTCATGTCCAAATATTATGTTTATACAGGATGCGCTACTAACACGTGAACGCGGTCACTCTTGAATTGCTCCAAAACGGGTTGGAGTTTCGGTTCCAAATTTTGAGCATAGCGACATGTGATTGTTGACAAGGGCTGAGCAAAAAATTAGCTCTCTAGATTCAAAAATGACCCTACCATTGCCCTTAGAGTAAGAGGGTACCATAAAAACACTTTTCAAACTTAATATTTCGTACACAGACATAATTAACCACTTTAAAACTCAAGGACAAGTTTTGAAAGGAAGGATACATAAGGTACTTAAAAAAGAAGGTCAATAACGACAAGCTCGTACCACAGGACAACCATCATGCCTCAAACACGAGTCCGAAAAGTGCTAATTCGGCCCGTGCTTAAGAAAATTGACCTATTGACCTCTGAGGACAACCCACCACCCCAGAGAGCAGTGGCACGTCTAACCAAAGTGTCAGAGACTAGTGTGCGACGAGCAATTAAAATTTTGGGGAAGCAAAAAAGAAGAAAAATGCAAGTCAATCAGCTGACTGAGAAGCATAAAAAAAATCGTCGTCTGACCTGCAAAATAATTTATGTGAATTACCTGACAAAAGATAAAAGTGACTGTTTAGTGTCGTTGGATGAAGAATTATTTTCTTTACAAGATACCAACGGTCAGAGACAAATTTACTATACAACCAAAGGAGAAATTAATTCCAGACGATTGGCCATCCCGCACACGGAAAAGTTTTGCAACAAGTTCATGGTGGTTGGTGCATTATCTGGTCGTGGTCTCCTCCCACTTATCAAAGTTCCACAAAAAGTGAAGGTAACTGCGAAGTACTTCATTGACTTTGTTTTAAAACCGCTTTTGGAGATTCATCTTCCAAAACTATATGGCTAGGACACAAATAAAGTGATAGTTCATCACGACGCAGCGTCATCGCACACCGCCCTTTTGACCCAGGATTACGCCAAGGACTTAAAAGCTAGACTCGGGATAACAATCATCCAAAATAGTGAAATACCTGTTAATTCACCCTATGTAAGTCCCATGGATTTTTTCGGCTTTGGATATCTGAAATAAAATCTTTTCTTCGCCACCCAAAATCTTTTGACGGACTTTGGAAAGTTTTGAGAGACTAGTAGTCTAAAGTTGACCTCACCATGGTCAAATCAGTGTACAAAAGTTGGAATCGCCGATGTCGACTTGTAGTTCGAGAAAAGGGCTTTCACATAAAAAATGTTCGGGACCTCCACTCCAAGCCGTTCAACCAGTAATTTAAGGTCATAAACGTTCACGTGTTAGTGGCGGAGCCTCCGTAATAAAATTTTTTGATAATTTTTAAGCATACCATTCAAAATATAAGAATCTCCATCCAATAGTGCTCTTGACTCCATTCCACCAGGGTCCGAGCCATGGTTTGGTTCTGTTAATCCAAAACAACCCACTAACTCTCCGGACCTCAATTTATCCAAATATTTCTTCTTTATTTCATCAGATCCAAATTCATTAATGGGATACATGACAAGGCTGGACTGAACTGAAAACGCAGATCGATAAGCAGAATCTACATATTCAATTTCACGTGCCAAAAGTCCTGAAAGTCAATAAGAGTTGATCAATTTAGAAATAACAAATACAAAATTTTTTTCGTTATGGGAAATTTACCATACGTGACACTGGATGTTGGTTCGACATTATACCTATAAATAATCAAAATAATTGGTGCACCATTAATCTATCTAAGAATACGGTAGTAATAATCAGACTGGAGAACATACCCCACGGTACACCCCAAAAAGCCTAGCTTCCCCATTTCTCTGAAAATTTCACGATCGAAAACTTCGTTCCTATTGGCCATCAAAATTCTTGGCATCAGCTCGTTCCTGGCGTAGTCGCGTGCCACGTCCCGGATCGTGACCTCCTCCTCCGTCAACAGAGAATCCGTTTGAAGGGCGTCATGAGGGCTGAAAATTGGCTTGGTACCACTACCCGACGACGCCACTACACTTGTCGAAAACTTGACCGGGGATGGCATTTTCCATGTGAAATTAGCAGATTGTGACCCCACAGAAAACAATGATTTCCGGGAAATCGTTTTAAAAAATAAAGTCATTTTGAATGTAGGAATATTATGTGCAGCAAATTTTTCACAAAAATTATCTAGTTCAGAATTAAACACGTTTTGATTTTGGAACTATTAATGTTAATAAATTCAACACTTCTGTGACAAATTTGAACGTGCATTAACTATTACTTAATGAATAAATGTCCTTGAACCACATTTACATACTTATTGCCACATCCATCATGTGGGAACTAAGCCGAGTTTGAGAAGAAACCGCATTTCATTGAACATCTGCTGCTCTCCACTCTTCGTACAAGAATTTGGTTAATTTACCAAGTTCATCTACAGCAACGTGTATTTTATCATTACAACGTATTTCATCACTAAATTGAGACCATACTTCTGCTGATGAAGGTAGGTAAAATAAAATAAGATCTGTCATCACGTATTCTTGATGATTAAATAATATTAAATGTACATAGCATGCGCTGGGGACATTAATAGCATAGTCTTGTCCTTCGTACGTACATACGTCCACTGAAAGCTTTTTTGACCTCGTTGATAACCTTTGTCTTCATGGATAAAATCTCAGCCAACTCAAACCGACTGCACTGGACACGTACAGTGAAACTTAATTAAAGATGATAATAAATAATGGTGCATTGCCGAATGTCGAGATCCCGCTGCACACATGGTTGAGATCGGGGCTGGATGGTTTGCTTTCACCCAGTCTCACTACAGTCTCACCATCCTTTTTACTTTCTCCACGTTAAACACGCTTTGTGTTTAGTGTCACTATTGAAAACTGAGCATTTAGTTAACGAGATGACATATTTTAAAATTTTTTTGATGAATTACACATCCGGCACCACATCTCTGGGCACCAATTAAGTATATGACTTAATTTCGAATGCCATTCCTCCTTGCGTGATTGTCAGTTGAATATTCTGACCTAATTTTTTGCACGGAGGACTGTAATAATGCGGATACATAATTAAATCCAGGTTAATATCACCGGTGAACATGGCCTTCAACAAAACACAACGTCTCATGGATGCCTATAAAGGTCTCGATGCCCTGACTACATTCATTCAACCTGCTCTTCCATTCGTCAACTCTCACTTGACAGAGTTTTACACCTCCAATTATTGGGATACACTGCTCCCAAAGCTTTTAAGAGATGATTTGGAGTCAAAGTCTGTGGAAGAAATAAAACAAGGACTCCGCGATTTAGTGAGTGGGGACTGGACGCATTATGCCACTTGCACTTCAAGCAGCAGCTCAACTCAGGATCAGAACGAGTCGTTTGAGAATCTAAAAACCTTTCAAGATGTAATTGTTGCAACTGCCAAGTTACAGTTATCAGCTATGCAGTTGAGTACACCTTTGACTAAGCTGTGTTTCAACGGAGTTCCAATTTATGAAGAGAGTGTTTCACCTAGTGAGCTCAAGTTAGATACGATCATGCCAGAAAAAAAGACTCACGAAGTGAATCTCATGAGTGACTTTATCAAGAAAATTTCAGAGACTGGAAATAGACCTGATGACAAGACGGGTATAGAATACTTGGTGGATATAGGGAGTGGAAAGGGCTATCTGAGTTCTCATCTCACCCTAATGCATAAATTCAAGGTCCTCGCTGTAGATTCCTCATCTGTTAACACAAGCGGATGTGAAAAAAGATCTGCAAAGTTGGAGGTATAGACGGAACTGCTTTGAATATAAATTCATACAATTATACAATCAAAATATATGGAGGCACGAATACTTTTTAATTCAAAATTTGCACATGTGATTCTCCTGAAATTTTGTAGAAAGCCTGGGCTCAGTTGGTGAGGAGAGCTGCAGAGCGTCAACAGTATGGAAAATGCAGCAAACGAGGCAAACATTGGAAATCCAAAATAAATTATACTACTTTCCCGTTGTGTCAACCTGATGCCTCCTGTAACCATGATGGAGGAGATCCTCCTCAATCCAACCATGATGATGGAGAAAGCAATGAAAGACAAATAAATGACAATAGCTCCGACCCTGTACAAATCACATCAAACAATTTGGATGAGAGTCGGAGCGACAACAAATTACTCAAAACATTAACCAAGTTTGTCACCGACGACTTCGATCTCTTCGATGAAATCACGACCAGCATGGGAGAAAATTTTTCCACTTCAACATCATTTGGAGTTTGTGGTCTACATACGTGCGGCAAGGTGAGTTTTGGGTGACATTGTCTTTATTTCATGTCAACTATTTTGAAATTCTGCATAACAAAAGAACAATTCAACAGCTCGGCGTGACTTGCTTGAGGCTTTTCATTAGCAATAAAAATGCCAGCTTTATTTGCAACGTTCCCTGCTGCTACCATTTATTGGATGAAAACCATCTATTCTTACAACCAAGCAATGGTTCGTTTCATGAGTCCGGGTCGTCTGAAAACGAAGACAAAGAAATCAACGAGTTGGGCAACTCTACGACTTATTGTTTCCCATTAAGCAGAAAACTCAATCTGGAAAATTCTAGCCCGTTTTGTTTGGGGAAAAATGCTAGAATGATGAGTGCATATTCGCTTCATAAAATGGTAGCTGACGAAAAGGTAATTTCTGAATAACACGAGAAAAAAATTACATCGAGTAGTTCAGAAAAATAGTTCGGGATAACATCATGAAGAGAATATTGAGTGAATCTTTTTTGCAGGGATTAGATATGCATCCATCAATTTTTTACAGATGTGTCCTTCAGATTATCATTAAGACTGCATTAGGGGATCAATATTCGATAACAATGGACAAATGCGAACAAATCGTGGGGAAGATTGGTAGAAAATGCACAAATTTTGTGAAATATGTTCGAATGGGACTGAACAATTTGCAGCTTAGTACAAAGGTTCAGGTATTTGAATTAACTTAACGCAACCTTTCTTTACAGACACATATGTATATGTACATCTGTTGAAGATAATACAAAATTCTGCTAGGTCTCCGATGACGAGATTTCAAACATCTACACAACTTATGTTCATCAAGGGAAAGATAGACTTTTGAAGTACTATTTGCTCAGATCTCTTTTTGCATCCTTGGTGGAAGGCATTATTTTGCTGGATCGATTAGCATTTCTACTGGAGCAGGTACGCTTTCTGCTCGCTTTTGTATACCAGCTCTTCAGACTATGACTAACACTTAATGTGTATCCCATGAGAATCATTACACCAAATATTTTTTCGTTTGTTTTTGTAGGACAAAGTTGCTGAGGCCTACATTGTACAACTGTTTGACGCCTCGGTATCTCCAAGATGCTATGCTATTGTATCTTTAAAAAAATAAAAACTTTACTAAACTTACATATGTTTGTCCTTTGTAAATTTTTTAAAGTAAAAATAAGTACTCGAAGATGATTTTATATTTTCCTCGTCAGTACGAAGAATTTTGTTTCCCACATCAAGTAAATTCATCCTTTCATGTGATCTAGTTGGTGTAAATATGCGTAAGCAAAGGTAATTAGGCCTGTCCGCTAGCGTGTCTCAGACAGATCGACAAAGCGAGTACATAAGCCATCGGGCTAAGAACTGTGCAAAAAAACACCAGTTATTACGTATGAAGAACGCTGCTTCATATTGTTGACGGCAACCAAGGGCAAAAAGAAACCATTTTAGTTTTACTGTATCAAGTTTCAAATGCCCTTCAATCGCAATGAGCTGAGTTTTGCTCAGTTTCGGAGAAAACTTGCCATTGATATGGTTAAAAAAATTCCTTCTTTAGAAAGACATTTTTGGTTTCACTGCCAGAGTTATTGATTTCATTGTCGACAGTCTCTCTCTACACCAAGATTTGAGAATGGGAGACGAATAGTTATGTAGTTAGAGTGCTGCTACGAATGACTTTAGTCGTAACTCTTAGGAGGGGAGCTTGCGAGGTTGATAATAACAGATCCTGCTGCCCTTTGGATATGTGGTAGGGTCCTATGAGTGTACTAAAACCCTGAAGTGGTTTGACTCCATGGCCACATTTGCGCCCGCCACACCCACTCAAAAATGCTCAAAAACCGCTTTCACTCCGGTTTTCACTCACTCAAATCCACGCCAAAAATCCAATTTTGCTCGGATTTTGAAATTTCTTTCACCATTACACTCCCAGATAGTTGCTTTCTTCAATTCGATATCAAACTCAATATTTTCGAAATTATTAGTATTTTTAAAATTTAAAATTCTGAATGAGCATTGTTGTAGTAGTCCACAACGCAAATTATGCTTGCGAAATAATCATCATCAAAATTGAGTTTGACATTGGATTGAAGAAAGCAACTATCTGGGCATTTTTGAGTGGGTGTGGCGGGCGAAAATGTGGCTATGGAGTCAAACCACTTCAGGGTTTTAGTACACTCATAGGACCCTACCACATATCCAAAGGGCAGCAGGATCTGTTATTATCAACCTCGCAAGCTCCCCTCCTTAGTGCAACTTACGAGAGCGTTTGGCAGGAATGTGGAAAATAATGTATGAGGAAGAATTGCGAGAGTGAAACCATCAACAAGCATTCACGATCACGTAGGAAGTTGGGCTGAGGAGTTTGAGAGAAAGTCTTCAATAGCAGCACTCTCCAAGTTTTAGCGTTGTTCTGATAATACTTTGATCTTTCCATATACTTATGATGGGATTTCGGTGTAAGAAGAAAGGAAGCTTTGCTTTTGACAACAATTTTTTCCTCCCCCGACAACGACAAACAAGAAAAAGCCGTCCACGATGAAATTAAATTAATAACGAAGAGACATGATAATATGTGCTCTAATGTATTACTCAGAAATAGATAAATGGGAATGCTATAACTAGTTAACTTCAAAAGCTATGCTTTCAAATTCGAATATGAAGGATTAACAAACATCAAGTATTTATTTATATTTAATGAAGAGTACTCTAATTTTGCTTTTTATGACTTGAGAAAGATATAAAATGCAGTAATAAATTATTCCTGCCATAATTACAGTACTGCATTTATTTACGAATGTTTATCACAAAACCTGACATGTGGGTCTTTTGTTTAAGAAGGAAATGGGAATAAAATGCTAACGATTATGGGGAAATGAAAATTAAAATTACTAGTAAAAATAAAAGTGCGCATTAAAAAATTCAAGAAAGAAAGTAAAAAAAACATAAAACAAAGAAAGCGTCCTAGTTCCGTAGCTCTACTGCGAACTGAGTTGGCAATTTCCGCTTAAGTGAATTCTGCCGTTTCTTCTAGGTCAGAATAAGGAATTCATAGAATAGAATGAGTATGCGAAAGAGGGCAATTTATTTCACACTCAAACTGCAAATAGTAGAAATAGGTACGTTCGCCTCTATTGCAAATTCTCATTTAAAGCAATAGTTTTTTTGGACAGCATCCAACTCCAGAAAACTTGATTAAGAGCAACTCTAGCCAAAATGGTTACAAATTATTTTTAGCGTTCGGGATGGAAAGTTAAAAGCAAGTGGAATGTCTCTATCTACCTACCTGAAACTTTTCCTGTGTCAAAAAGTCCCCTGCACAATCTGTCCCTTTCACTTGAATAATGGTCTTTTTGCAACACCGAGTTTTGAGCAAGCTACATACATAGCTGGCTTACTTAAAACTTGTTGGTTACGTTTTTCTGTCCATGTTGTTGCTCAACGTGAAACTAATTCCAGGTTTTATTTTTCGACTTTTATGGCTTATAAACTTTACTTGAGCTTAAGGCTCACCGACAAGAATTTCACTATTTGCCTACCTTTGCAACTTGATATTCTTCATTTCATGGAAGCATCGTCCATGTTGTTTTGTATATGCCCATATGTATATGAGGTTAGTCTTGAGGGCAGACAAACACAAAAAAAAATGACTTGAATGATTTCTTCATAACTTTGATTAAAATTTTCCATGTTCACGGTGTTATAAGAAATTTGGCAGATCCTGGGTTATTTTAAGGGATTCTCTGTCTATCAGAATATTGTTTCATAAGTATAAATTATTAAAGAATAATGTGCAAAAACTTAGACAACAACAAAACTTTTGTGACGTTTGGCAGCCGACATATCATATTTCCAATCTCGATTTCTGTTTTCGCAAATTCAAAGGGAAAGTAGAGTGGCATTACATGACAGTAACGTGTAGTTTTTTCTTTGTTTTTTAGCTGATTTCATCAAAGCATGTTTTCTTTCTATAGATTATTGAGAAACGGAAGACAGGATATTGCAGTGGCTTCACCAATTTGAAATGATATTTTTTGCTTTCTCCTACTTTAATATTATGCAGATCTATCGAGTTACCACTTCTTGTAGCAACTTATTTTTAACATGCGTTGCATGATTTCAACTAGATAAAAATGTACTTACACTATTGTAAATAAGTACGTGTTAACAATGTTAGGAATCCTTGGTAAGCTACGAATTAGCTGCTGAATTGGATTTCATTCGATTTTAGAATTTCCTCAACAACTTTATCGTAATCCTCTTATTACTCAATTGGTACTTATTTTCCATTGAATGAGATTCGTGCATATTAGGTTTGAGCAAAAGTTCTTGACACCAGCTATGGTTAAGTCGAAATTGGTCTGCATCTGATGTTCATAGAATGCATAGAACTTTTACTTTTACGTGCTCCTCACTCTCTACAAATTTAGAACCGTCAAATGTGAAAGAAGAAGTTTAATACAGAATTTCACCTCCACCTCTGGCCTTACACAGATAGGATTTTGTGCTGGCATCGCCGATGTATGTGGTTGTGTAACTAAACTTTCTCAATTTCTCTTTTCAACTGAAATCTAGGATCACTTGAACTGGAAGAAAATGCTAACATCAACATGTGCATGATTACTGGCAGCTTTTTAAACGGGGACTACATGCATACGTACATATGTACCGATTCATGCATACTTTATAATTGGCAATTATAAATATACCGGAAAGTTACAGAGTATTATTTGGACTTTTTTTTAGCTCATCAACTGAATGTCTGAATGTGGGGAAGTGAAAAAGAATAGATATGCATGTATCTATAAATATATGTCATGTGTGTCAGAAAGGCTTTCTTGGTGTGTATTATTATAAAATTGTTGAATAATGTCATAATTATTTACAACTATTCAAGTTTAGTAACTTTTCGATACTATTGTTAAAACATTGGAAAATCTTATCGGAAAGTATAACCTTTGAATAATGAAATACTGAGTAAATCTGAGTAAATGTGGAGACAAAAACACTGAATAAACCCGTACTTAACTATGAAATATTGGAATATTATGAACAAGATAAATCGTGGAGGACGGAGATACGGAATTCCAACTTGGAGCTTGTTTACCAGTTACTGCATAATGCATTTTAAACTCAACTCACTCAAAATATATACATAACTGGATGCAACGAACCAAGAGTTCTCAAAAGTATTCTAACGAGCACAACTCAAGAGTCCGTCATATCATTTTGAAATATACCATACAACATATCGTGTTTTGGCCAGAAGATCAAACATTTTTAACAAACACATCTTGAGTCACACGAGCTGACTGAATTGATGAAGCTCAACCAAGACACTTCAAGTTTCTGGTTAGAAGCAATAGCAAAATCTGAATTCGAACATCTGCAATACTGCAGAAATCGTAAGGACCTTGATATGATCTCGTTATAGCAAGTGGTTATCCATTGTTCTTTGAAATGTGACCAACTTTCCCCTCTCCTTAGGATGTTTCATTATTAAATATATGAGTAAATTCGTTAAATCATTGTCTACCTCATACATAAAAAGTGTGTGCCATTGGCGTGGGCCCTATAGGCGTGGGGTACGTTTTACGATGTAGGTAGTTTGCAGTGGTGAAAGGCGAAGAGGTGAAAGTGGTCCATTCCGTGCCTGGTCGGTGAAATCGCAGACTTTTGCCATTGCACACGAGGAGGAAGGAGAGAAATCGCTATTTCTTCTCGGATGAGGAGAGGAACTTGCGCAAGAAGCGGTGGTTGTTCTGCTGCTTCTCTTCTGCTGCCACTGCTGCTGGTCGTATAAGCTGGCTGGCTGGCTCACTAAGCTATGTGTGAATCCTCTTCTGCGTCTAAAGAGGGACGGATGAAATGATTGCATTCATTGGAGTCCCAGCAGCACGGCGAGAGAGTCAGCGAAAACCCACCAGCGGAGAAAGTGAGCCAGTGCAGTGGCTGCTGTAGCCCAGATCTGAGGCGAGAGAGTGAGAGTGAGGATGGATGAGTCTGTCTCTCCTCATCATTTCCCTCTCCTTGGCCGTCTTCCACTTTCTCTATACCAAAGCCACCTTGCAATCTCCGCTACACCCTCCGTTCTATAAAGTCGTCCCGGCAAGGATGTAGACTCTTAGCAAGCAAGTGGTTAAGCAGGATTGAGCCCTTTCTCAAGAAAGTTGTCCGTGTTGGGGTCTCAAGTCTACACAGATCCAAAATCGACGAAATCCGGGCTCATAGCCAGTTCGTTATGTTATATAAGTAGTAGTTTCTGTATAATGGTAACCTTCCCCTAGTCTCGCATAATTTAATGTGATCGGTTGTCCTGAGTGCTGCGCTCATGACAAAATTCAATCACTTTCAACACCTCCGTCTCAACTGTCTCAACCTTTGCGGCTCGCAATTGAGTTAATTTTAAGAAATTCCCAGTAATCTCATTTGGTTGTGCAAGTTATGACTGAGGTTAAATCAACGACGACGAAGACGACATCGGAAAAATGTGCCGCTCGTCTTCGGATTGCAATTTCTCTCTAAACATTTACCTCACTTGGAACCGTTCTTAATTTGAACGTCACACAACGAGCAACTCATCGCCGTCCTCAACTCACCACGATAATGTACCGCCCGTGTGAAATTACTTAAGGCAGTGATGTAACCCAAACACCTGTGCTGTTGTATCCTCACCCCGAACACTGGATTAAGAGGAACAAGAATTAAGTTCAGCTCAAGAGCCGTTACACCCATACGACGAACTCCCAAGCGTCATCACCAATGCAACAAACACAGTATAATAATGTTTTGGCACTGCGGAAACTTCCCAAGGACGGAGAATTCAACCGTTTTCGTCGAAGGAAATGGGTATGGATGATGGCAGTCATTGATGCGGTGAGTGGCGATTGGTGTCAAATATAGTTATACATTTTATATACATCCTCATATCTCATAAGACGTATGGACGTCATATCATGCACGCACATGCATAAATAAGCACATATGCAATACGTGTTCAAGCAAAAGCATATCATTCATCGAGTTCATGCCAATTTCGCATTTTTCAGAAAAGGAGCAAAACCTCTCGAAGCATTTGTTATTCCGAGTGTGTGAGATTTATCGAAATTGAAGTCTATCATTTCATGAACAACTGGACCACTCCACGTAACCGAGTTCCCGGCTCCGATTTGAGGAGAGTTTGCTGCGTTGCGTTGTCATTTCTCTGGTCGGAGAGACACTTTTCCATTAGAGTTTAGGAGAATGGTATCAAATAGCGCAATAACAAGATTTTGTTAGCACACTACATTATACGAGCTGTTGTTTATCTCCTCCCAAATCCAACTTTCATCCTACAAATGTGCCGTTGTGTTGGCAGCCAATCGGACTATAAATACATGTTGAGCATACCTACGATACACACATACAGAGCTTTGGCACGTTCAGCCAAATGTTCATGATCCGATCTTTTTGACACAACTTTTCCCATTATACTTATGGCCTACTGTAAGGACTTGAAAGTGACCCAAGGCTACTACACAAGTATAATATAGTCCAGAGCTTCCGTGACTCTTGTGACAATGTGGTGTGAACGTGAGCAGTTTTTGCAATAATAATGAAATGAAAGGATATTCAGTAATTGAATTGCTAGAGCCAAAAACAGTCGCTTACGCAAACGTAAACGCAGCTTCCTTATGCACCTTTATTCTATACCTACAGCGGTCAGGCAGAGTTGGTTTTGAGGGGGAAAGACGGACAAGTTTATATATTCGCACGTACATGTATTATGTATGACAGTGACAGGAAGAGTCCGATGCAACCGAGGAGAAAGTAATGTGTTTCTGATGGTTTTCCTATCTTTAATGATGAACCAAGCTGAATCCTTGGAATAAGAAATATTAATGATAATATTTCTTATGTCAAGCACGGCTACATTTATTCTTCAGCAGCCCAACATTAAATTATTAGCTCCCATTCAGTTAATTTTGGTGTTTACACAGTTGAGTCCATCGATTGAAAGGGGCATTGGCGAGCGATCCATTATAGAATAATTGTACGAATAGAAGGAACCATTTTGGAGTATCCTGCCATCCGGCGTCCAGACGGTGCCTCCATTATTGCAATATATTTGAAAAAGGGACCTTGGAGGGAGGAATAATGGAAGACATTAGTACTATTCAGTTCAGACTTATATACCATCCTTTTTTTCTGTCATGATTTTTGGCACTTTTCCATCTACTCATGGCATTACTGGGTCTGTGTGTCTATAGTTGATTTACTTATTGTGGTTGTTGGTGGACAACCTGGGAGTTCTGTTGAGGTTCTGACTGAAAGCAAGTGACAATGGACAAGGCAGAACACTGGGTTTGCAAATTCCACAACTTAATTTATCAGAAAGCTTTTGGCCTAAAATGGATAAATTGTCCAATCCAATAAAAGTATACGTGCTTCTTTAGGCTGCTCCAGCAGAGAATGATGAACGAGGAGGATAAGCTATGCTAGAAATTCTTGACTTTTATCCATTAACGTGTATCTAATATTACGCCGAATTGGGAACATTCATTCCAACTCAGTCTCTCATTATTATTTAGTTGTTTCTAAGAATTTTGCACAATGGCCTGAAGTCCTTGTAGCTACCACTTGACTCGGGGAACGCCGAGTTGTGGTGGAACAGCAATTTAGGCAAGAACAACAACACACAATTTCAGAAAGTCTTTCGCGTGAGTGGTCTGGCAGTACTCTGATTCTGCTGCTGCTACAGTTCGCAAAAATTCCACCAAGCTCTGAATTGCGTATACGTATGTATGTAGGCTCTTGCTTTCTCCCACTGCTACCAAGCAGGCGGTTGTCCACCAGCAAAAACGGAGAGATTTACGAATGAGATGATAACCCCAGGCTTATACTTTCTTTCACTCAGGTTCTGGCCATCATGGTGATGGGGAGGTTCTTTCACTATGTTTCAAACGATGCCAGAATAAGCAACACGCCTCCGGAATCCGAACTAAAAGGTTTGTACACATTTTTTTGCTGTTTTACCCGAATTGTATTTAATTTATTTTAATTTTCTGCTTCTAAAAACACAATGAATGGAGAACGCCAGAAACTGGCAAGACGTTGTGTTGGATGGAATTAATTAATTATTCTCATTCTTTCTTTCTTTGCTTTTAATCACTTCAATATGTTCACTCACTTCACTTCAAAATGAGAATCGTCATCGGAGGAAATTAAGAAATACAAATGATACCAAGATCTGAAAGAACTATGCTTCCACTTTCCTTAAGAGAAAGCATATGCTCCTGGAGCTATGTAAATGCATGTACCTGCATTTCATATTTATTTTCAAATTACAGACCGAATAACTCTCTTATGGACCTGGTTCGCAATCTTGGGTGCTTATGTGTGCCAGTTGTTGATGGCCATCGCTCTTATAATATCAACGCAAATGGTAAGTCCTTTGATAATACAGCGATTTTGAATAATTTCTCCATAAGCATTTCTTAAGAAGATTACACGAAATTAGTTTTGTTCTACTAATTTTTGTGCTATCGAACACTGATTTTAGAGATATCAGGCAGGAGATATACTTTTACGGAATACTAATCTTGTTTTATTGATTTACATTGATGAAGTTAAAAGAAAACAAATACATGCATACACGGCCTTGGTGGCATAATATTGATTAAATGCTGTAACGCAGACCAAAGAGAAAGAAAGTAGAAACAGTCCATAAATCAATGTGCGATAATTTTCAGAATAACGAAAACCATCAGAAAAACTCATTAACCATTGTGTTTTGTGAAAGGATCGGCTATATGGAGCAAAAAGTTTTACATGTATGACTAGTATGACATGTATGACATGTATGACTTTCTTTGTATGGATGCATACAAAGAAAGTCCAGCTTAAAAACTAATCAGTAGCACGGAACGTTTGGTGAAAATGTTATGCAAATAAACGGAAGCAATTACCACGGTCAACTAATAAGCATACTAACGCACAGAATACAGTAATTCTCTCGATACATTTTCAGAAAAATCTAATCCATGATTAACATTCATCCCATGAGTTTTGTATATGTAGCTTGAAAAATGGAATCATGGAATACTACAAAACTTCTACGGTGGACAAATAAATCATTAGCTACTAACTACAACATTTATAACACATATGTATACAATACATAACACATAATACACGTAACATACATAATACAACAGTTATTATAATTGTTGTTAATAATTATTAGTATAATAACCCATCCACCCACCTCACTTAATAGACCCACCAAAGTTCTCACCTATAGACAATTGTATAGTCTACTTTTAAGTGCAATGCAAACATTAAATAATCCACAATGATACTGATGAAGAGGAAACTGACGCACGGAGAAAGTCTGATAATAAGACTTTCTCCGTGAATAAGACGGTCTTCTCTGTACCGTAATTGTATGCTAACTTTCATATTTACATAGGTACAAATACACGAGTATGGGTAAATTTGAGCAGCTTTCCGTGCATGAAGTAATTTAACAACAAGTGCAAATTGTATCCTCTGGAAAGGCCATACTTTTCGGGGAACAAATAGAACGCCATTTTCCTCGGATGCTAACATAATAGCATATCGTAACCCTGAATTTTCTTGCCTTGGGCATTGTATTGCAACTTATAGCACTATTTATAATACCTTAAGTCATGAAAGCAATATGGGTTAGCTCTAAATTCAGCCGTTCTTTGAAGTAATTAGGAAAACTTGTCATGTTTGTAATTTCCCAAACGGTGCACAAGCCAAAGTATTAAGTGTACCTTTGGGAATATACACGGACAAACTTATCGTCGCATATCGTTTAATGTCCTTGTGTGTATCATGTCGTTTTGTCTTATTTCAGAATGACACGGATATAGCTCTCGGGAACTGCCAGCTTTACGTCTACGGTTCGCAAAATTTACATATATATCTGTACATTTTCGTCATAAAGTCGCACATTACTTTGTACCACCTCGATTCTTATAAATAATTGAACAAATATTTATTTCAGGTTGCCACGCCCTCAACATTTACACGTTTGTGGAAACAGTGAGTGGTTTTACTCGTTTGTTCATAATTATATTGATATCTACATATTTAAAAACGAGACTACATAGTTCTCAATTAAAATTTACAAATTAGACTGAAAGCGTCACTATGATATTGGACTCAAATGTGTGATATGTTTTTCAGGTGATAGTAGTATACGACATTTTTAGGGGTACATTTTTTCAAGGGATGGCGATACTCGTAACCGTATTGGTCACTGGCAAGATTTTGTTTAGAACCGCCATGGTCTTTGCCGTCAAACTCTTTATGAAAGACCTTGGTCGTCCGTCCTGTACCTGCAGTCATAATCGTGCCAATGCCAATCACACAGCCGTTGCGGTGTAAGTCAACGTATTTAATAAAAAAATTACATATCATCTGCATATGTATGCATGAAGAATTTGATGGTTAATTAGGCTGTTAATTTGCATTTTACACATTCTTCCGTCACTAATGATTGTTTTTGTCTTTGATTTACAGGGATGTGGATGAAAGCAACCTTTTGTCACGGCAGTCATGGCCGAGTAGATAAAACGAGTTATCCTAACCTACACATAGTATAAAAGTCAGTCGTCTAGAACGAGGAGTTGATCTTCGAAGTGACTCATTAGTGTCATTTGAATTTATTGGATGTGAAATTTCAGAATGTCATATAATGTGCGCTAATAGGTCAATAAGACTTCTTCTGACTAATTTGAGAACTATTGCATAGAGCAGCTCAATACAGCCCGTAAAGCTAAAGACCTCAAGTCCTAGCACTATAAAATAAAATAATATGTAGATACAAGGTTTTATAACTTATGTGTGTAAAGAAACCGAAAAGTTCAACAGACCAAGTTTCCTCATTTTTCTTAAATGATGCAAGTCGTTCTTGTTGGCAAACTCTCTTTCCTGTCCAGGTCATCCTAACCTTTTGCATACGTGCAATGTTTGCTGCGTATTCAACGTTTGACTAAGATGAAGAAATGTTGTAATTTTCATCTAGAAAATTACAACCTTACCTTGATTGCTTAATTGGACACATATTCTACTGTTATCTGGGGCTGACCTACATTCCTATAATAAATAAGCTCAAACTACTGCAATTGTACAAGAATGAGATTTGTATAGTTTCCCAGTACTTTATAGCTTATACTTATCGTTAGTTTCACCTTACGGTTAGTTAGAACTATGTATTAGAAAATCATATTGTATTTATATTATAAAAGTTATGCTTCTTAAATATTTTGAGAATATTTCCAACTATCGAAAGTACGCATTAAGGTTTTTAGCCGAAAAACTTCTTATTAAATCGAACGAGTTGTTGTTTATGTCGATTCTTGTACATGTATCCTTCCGTCTTAAAAGAAGACACAATTTTGCTGGTTGTTAACGATAGAAATAGGATTGCAGTTACGAAATAGAGAGTGACGGAAACAACATAGACATTTCTTTCTTCAAGGCCTTGACTAGAAATACATTAATAAATTTATACTATTTACTAGAGTGAGTCGATCAGGTTAGAAGAGGACTCAGATTGCTCCATGAGACGTTATTACAACTGCGAGCATGAAATTTTTGATGATAATTGTTGGAGTGCTGAATTGAGTTTTAAACAAACAAAAAACTATCGTACTACTAGAATTCGTAGGAATCAATTAGATAAGTCAACACTACTGAGCAATATGATTGGAGGTTCTATGTCGTAACAAAATGTGAGCGTCCTGTTTCAAATATTATATATATACTGAATTTAGATAATTAAGTGAAAGACACGAGATAACTGTATTAATATAACTGTTGTGAAGTTAAACATCAGAGAAAATGAAACAATAAACCAAAATAAAACCAACACTACTTCATTTTGGGAATCAATGATAAATAATAACTTTGCTCTGCCAATCACTGGGACCTTGTCTGTCCATGTCTAATTGTGAAGCTCGCCAGACTCATATAAATTTGGCATGGGATTAAATCTGTCGTTCTCTTCCATCAATCTGTAAGGTCAGAATGAATGAATCTGGTGCACTTTCGATATAGCCCCCATTTTCATGGCATATGAACAATGAATTAATAAACAATCGTCACTCGCAAGATGAAGAATCCATTAGTGTTACTAATCATAATCTAAACTATTACAGTAACTGGTAAAAGATTTGTGTACGTCATACGGATTTCCAGTCCTTGTGCAAAGTGCAGATTGGCAGCATTAATACAGTCCCATGGTCCTCAAACAGTCACTTGAGTGCGTGTCTGTCTGATCAAATCCTTGAATAACAGAAAGAGGGAGGAATAATAATCACAGAATAATATTCTGTGACGTGTCGGGGAGAAAATTCTATGTTGGTTGAGCTGATTTTGATTACGATTTTCAGGGAGCAAGATCTCTCTTCAACCACTTTATATCCTCTCAGAAATATATTTGTATAAGTATAAAATTCTTAATGGGATTCTATTCTCAAACTATAGGTAATAACTTACCAAAACTAGTGCCAAACCCATTAGTCCCAGTGAAAATATATTCGTTTTCGTGGTTTGTGCCAAATCTCTGGGTCTTTGTGTAATGGTCTGCCCATTTTTCATCTACCAGATTGAGTTTTCATAACCGACGACGTTTTCAATGCGCTGATTGTGCATGCATATTTCTTTTCCACATTTTTCCAATCTACAATATTTATATGCTCACATAAAAAGGTTCAAGTTCTCACCAGAAGAAAATCTATTACATCTAGCATTTCAAGAAAAAAGATGGTCAGCATTTCAAAATTTATACATAACCATCAGAGAGTCAAGTGAGAAATTTAAAGCTGCGGAAATAGTAATGAAGATTTGAAAATGCAAAATATTGACTTATTTACATATCAATACACATCTATATGAATGCGCACTAATTTTATAGTAATCGATCCATGCAAACAACAACGATTACTTTGTTGGACCCAAATGAAGTAATATTGGGTAATTACCTTTGGTAACAGCATTGCAGATCCAGAATAATGTGAAATATGACATAACTAATGGCCCAACACAATAATTGTGCATATTCATTACTAATCATTCCGCTAATTTGTTGCCGCCCTGAACTTGGCTTAAATATACGACGTACATGATTCATTACATGAGAATAAGCCCTGTCCACAAACAAATCTCAAGTACATTTATCCCGCAAAGTGTGCATCTACAGATGCAACGCCACATTCCTTGAAGAGCATTCAGCCACCGTTTGATGATTGGCTTAACATCTTTGTGGTGGTCACAGTGCAACTCAATTCCAATGAATAAGAGAAAACTGGCCGAGAGTTGTGGAGGGAGAACAAAGGGAGAAAGTGACGGTGAGAAATGGAGGAAATCAATGGGATCGTGCAGTGTGAGACGCCAAGCAAGTAGGCAGAAAGAGAGTAGCAGAATCTCGTACATGGAATCTTGCTTTCCCCTGCTTCTGAGGATGCCATATAAATAGACCACCAGACGCTAGCATTTTCCCACACACGTATATTTCGACTGTCTCCCAACCAAAGTCTTTTTCATCAATTTGAGAGAACGGCTCCAGCGAAATCGTCGAGAGGACGGGAATATATTATTATTACGTACGCCACCTTGCACAATAAACAGGATGGAGACGTGCACTCATGCATATATTTACCTTCTTATGAAAAGCGTGTGACCTTGGATCATTTAAAACAAATGCTGCCTCATGACTGACATCCCTGACAAAAACTTTGACAATTTAGACACGTTGAGTCCTCCATAAATGGAACCAGAAGTTTCTAAATTGTGACTTTGTAGCCGTATCAGAGATTCTGCAACTTGGGTCAGACAGGATGATTATATCATACGTGACGGTGTCCGTACCAAATAGGTAAGCTTCGGCAGGTGGATTTTAGATTTTTGAATCTCCATAAAAATAGGTCACAGGGCATGCAATTAGTGTAATAGAACAATAATTTTGAAACAAGTTGCCCCCAACCATCCGCTATGGCCATTATTGTGAGTCGGGGTAGGGGTCCGTAGTACAGAGATTTCTTCTTCATCTTTTGAGTTAGGAAGCTGAACTTTCGGATTATACACCATCTTGAGTGTCTCTAGGCGGCATTTTTCGGCGTTTAGCTCTCATGTCGAAAATGACCTTAACACCGGTCAATTTTCGCCATCTATATTTTCTCATGTTGTTGCAAGTACAATGTCAAGCCTCACATAGCCCTATAAATGGGGCATCGTTAGAAAGGTCTCGACGAGCAGATTATGAAAATATATGCTTTGTGGCGTCTGGGACGACTCCCTGATTTTTCTAAAACCAAAAAATGTCCCGTGACATTTTTATCATTGTCTCTTGTACATAATAAAATTTTTCACGAAATACCCAGAAGCATATGGGAAAGGCATCAAGCGAGCAAAAATACACGCAAAAAGGCAATAAGTCACTGAAAGAAAAAACGGCATGCATTTTTTTGTGAAGAGTATTTCTGAGAAATATGATATTGCAAAATCACCTATTTTTGACAGTTTCACTTACATTTAGCTTTCCAGCAAATTCGCATGAACTTGTGTAAACTGGTTGCAACTTAAATACGATCTATGAATATTTTTGTGCTACCCATATCTATACTACTGCGTATAGGGTATTTACTTATGTGACTTATCAAAGATGCTGCATTATTGAGGTTACGAACTGTAAGTTTCAGTCAGTTGCAAAAGATAAAGTATCATTTTATTCGGTGCATTTTGAGTCTTTGGCACGAACGTTTCATTGATTTTGCAGAGAGCAACGCACGAATGCTTTGAGAAACTTTCTTCCAATGTGGAAGTAATTAATCATTCCTTACACTTCATTTGTCATTGTTCCGTTGCTTAAGATTTGTGCTTAACACGCTTGTTCAACGTGGGATCGTCTAGATAGGTTATCACATAGGTTTTGCACTTGAGCATGAAATGTATTTTACATCAGACTCCATTTCCATGTTATAGTAGCGAATTCACCTGTCCGGGCACTGCACAAAACAAAGGCTGGAAGTAAACAAACAATTTAATGGAAAGCTTATATATGCTCCTCGTTCGGCTTTCCCCTTCGACAACAGATTGTTAAATTAATACGGATAAAAAAACACATTTGTAACAACAGCCTTTCCTTCCTTTGTTTGCATTTTTCATGAGTGTTCCCGGTCTCCAAGATCATAAACGCGTTACCTAAATTTCGAGAAAGGAAAACATCTTGAGCAATAAATTTTTGTTTGGACACAAATATTCCTTTCATTACAGGCCATAAATTATAGGTATGCATTGCAGAATAAAAACGTCTATTTTATTTTGGAAATATTTAAATACCGTTCTTTCTCCTAAATATCTATTTCACGTTAAATGAATTCATTGCACCTGACCTGAATTACTCCCATAGTCAGCGTTTGAGTATTTATCTTTGATATAAGATTTAAAGGATCAAATTGTGTACTTTTACAAAACCTCAACACAGTGGTTGATTGAATTTATGACGATTCCCTAGAATTTTGGCCAGAAGTGAACGTGAGTAAGTGGCTGTCCTGGGGCTTGGAATTAAACAGTGTCACAGTGAAAGTTGGAGAATGCTAAATCCTGTAACGAAGTTGAGTTCAAAGATAATGCATACAGATATGTTTGAGGATTCTTAAAACAAACTTGCTGCGGAACAGGCCATTTGGTTTGCCGGTGGTAATGTTATTTGATGCGATATGTATGTAGGTACATGCGTCTGACAGACTTCCTCGTGTGGTGAGAAACAATGTTTACAATCATTATTGAATTTGATATATTGTAAAGACTTATAGTGGCCTGCAATTAATTGGAACAAAGCCGAAGGCCTCGACTATTATCTAGGTGTGCTATCTGTCACGTAGCTACTACGGACAAACCTGTCCGGAGAAAGCAGTAGATGGAGAAAGTCGATATTTTGTTCGGTAGAATCCGTCGGGGAAAGCGGTCCGTCCTGCGTAGACTCTCAGCATCCTCAGACTCCTATCGGAACCACCTGCTGCTCTCTTATTGATCTCATCTCTCAAGAACTCCATGCACATAAATAAATATATAGACGCTTTCGCCAGTGTTTTTGCGAAAAGATGTCTGTCCTCACCTAATAATTTCTCCATTCTGGCAAAATTTCCTTAAATTCCTCAAATAGTGTCCAGCTCGCTTTCGTCCAATCCCACCTCTTTTTTCCTTTATTCTAATTTCCTTCCTTGCTCTTACCAAGTTTGCTAAATTCTCCGTAGTTTTCAACCGTCTTATTTGTCAACACTTCACTTCCAGCGAATCTTGGCCAGGTGAGCCCTAAATAAAACCCCGTGTGGGCGTTGGTATCCATCCATTACAAGATCTCCCTTGTGTCATGGTTGCATTCGTTTCATCTCGTTTTCATTATTCAATGGTATTCATCAGCACGTATTCTCAATCCAGTAATAGTGTCATAAGATTATTGACATAGTTTATTTAGTGTTCTCGACAATTTGATTTATTTTTACCAGGTTTCAACTCATTTGGGGCGTGCTATATAAATAAATATGAGTATGTTTTATATGCGTTTTGAGAAAAATAATGCCTCAGATATATTATATTACCCCATTCTAAAAATAACTGCTCCGACACTCAGATACAAAGCCTGCAGAAATTGCCAATTAATTAAATTTTATATAACATCTTGCTCTTTCTTTCAGTGGGCATATGACTGCTTGTTAGTTTCAAGTCTTTGTCAGTAACGGAGTACGACCTTTGGCAAGAGCATGTTCAACGAGGCATTCTACATGATGGCAGAGACCTTGGGAGACGAGCCGGATTTTTCTACCTTTGAGAACAAGACAGGGTTGGCAGAAGATATGAAATTCTTAGCGTCGATGCCAGAGTTGTGCGATGTCACTTTCCTCGTCGGCGATACCAGAGAACCTGTTTGCGCTGTGAAAGCTGTTCTTGCAGCACGGAGCAGGTAGGAAACATGTGTCATACTTTTCTATCTGTACGATGCCAAGCTGTACTATTTTAGTGAGAAACTTTTATTATCTCAAGGGTGTTCTACAAAATATTGTATCAGGCACCTTCTCCGCAGAAAAAGAAAGAGCAGCCACGGAGCGAAAATAAGCTTCGGCTGTTTTTGAAACGATCTTCAGAACCATTGTTGAATATGCAAACAGCGCAATCGAATAAACCATCGGTAAGCACCATAAAGTAACTGTCGTAATCTTTTTAATGCTCATAATGTAATATATGTAATTGCAAAGTTTTTAAAATTTTATCTTCATATTGACACTTTACATACGCGATTTATTTATTTCTGTGTATGTATAGGTAATGTATTCGTTGAAAAAGCTTATACAATGTATTTAAGTACTAGCTCACACTGCTGCTGACACATAACTGTTCCATGTTTTACAATTTGCATAAATAAAATTATGCGCTGACGTTGTTTGTATCGTTGGCATTTCTAGCGAGGATTTCAGCACCAACTGTCAACTATTTCAGAGGTGACACTTTTTCTTCGATATGATCTGTCTACTTCTGACTTGCTCTCTATTTTCTCTTCAATTTCTACTTTACCACAAACCATATTAACATTTCTCTGGTTGATTAGTAATTTTAAAACCCTTAATGTCATCTCCCTTGTTCTTACTCTTTCTCTCCTTTCTCACTTTCTCTCTCACACTTTCTATCTCTCTCTATATCTCTTTTCTATGTGTATGTATGTGTATCTTTCTAACATCTTTTAGCAATAAGTATGTAAATCTATAATGAGTACCTATTTATATATCTGCCTTATCTGTCCCATATAATCAAATTCGTCGATGCACAAACCCCGGCTGGTTGGTAACTGCAACCTGTAGTAAATCAGTTGCATCAGATCCCAACAATGTGACACCGATGGGATAAAACTATGTACCCAATAATAACCGCTTGTGTACACTGATTAACACTTGAGATTGCTCGCTCGTCTCTATCCCCCTTCCAAAGCATTGACTTCTCCCCACCCCCTGCACTGCAACTCTACATCACTCTTTGACCTTAAACTAGAACACAACCATTTACTTCTGAATTTATTTCGCAGCCACAACCACACCAAACTCTGATCATCGAAGAATTTGAACCTGATGTATTCCGGCGTAATTGAAATAATTTAAAATATAAAAAATTTTTAAAGTACCAAAAGGTACCTTTTGTATTAGTGTGAATTTAATTAATTTCGTATAAAATTTTCTCGAAAAATAGAGTTGATCGAGTATATTCACACAGGATACGTGACCCTGCAACCTCGCACACTGCTAGGCAAGTTCTTTATCTGCATCCCTTTATTTTCAATAGCTGCTACTTCCATTATAAAATAAAAGCAACCAGAACATAACAAACAGCATTGGGTCAGCCAAGATATTGGCACTTCAAGTTTTAATGAATATCAAATATCTATTAATTTTAGGTGTCATGAATGCGGCGGACTATTACGGGCTGGAAGAATTGCGGAAAGCTTGCATGGGTTTTGTTCAGTCCTGCATAAATGTTGGTAGGTTTAATTTAATACTTTTAATGGCGAAATAAAAATGAGGATTGGATTTCGTAATTTTGGTTTGGTATTATTTTTGCAGACACAGTTTGCGCGTAAGTTGTACATATTAATTTCGGGTAAAGTGGCGTTTGTGTACATATAAATATTGCTTAGTTTACTGGCCTCGGCAGAAAGATACATTCAGTACAAATGTACAAAATCACTGGTCCAAAAGGTATTAATAGTTATAAAACGTATATATGAAGCATTTAAACTAATTTATATCCCTATATATATGTATCTGTACGTTGTGATAAACTAGGTGCTAGAATTTGTAGACGAACATGGAACCGAAGTACTCAATTTGGTAAACAAAATTATTAATCGTTGGGCGAGCAGTAGAAATAGAATCTCACTTTTTTTGCTCTTTTAGGGATCATTCACTTTACTACCTCAACACGTCGTTCGATTAATTTTGTGTCGTGAAGAATTGAAAGCTGACGAATTTACAAAATTCCAGGTAAAAAAAACGTCGCGAGAAGAACGTTGATATACGAGATTCATAGCAATTATTCATTACATAAGATTTGTTTTCACGGATTAATAATTAACGGGTTATAGGCTGTATTGATGTGGGGCAAGAAATATTGCGACTGCAGTCCAGAAATTAACTTGAAGGATGTCATTGGTATGTCTTTGCTTTGGGAATTAAAAACATTTATTCCAAATTTTGCATATATTGGCCGGAACCAGGGTAGTCAATACCAAGGTACAAAATTTTGGTGCACAATCATTATTGTGCACCAAAATTTCCACTCGGACTATCTATTCATTTCATAAGTAAAGTAAAGATGAATTTAATTAACAATATTAACATGCAACGTGGACTTGATTTCGAAAATAGTCCTCCTCAGCAGTACAAAAAAATAGTTTTCAAAATTAGCTGTTAGAGTTTACTCGCCCGTACTTTCAATTTTCACCTTATAATACCAATTACCAAATTTAAAAATTAAATACATGTCTCCTCTTGGAACTGAAAATTTGAATAAAATTTCACATTTATTAATGGAAATTCCTGGTCCAAGGATCAAGCCCATCTATGACCTTGCTCCTCGAATATTGTAAATGTAGATAAATATTTTCTACTGTTATGCCGTTTAGCCGTTAGCCACAAAGACGGACAAATAAGCTGGCACAATTAAGTCCTGATTCGGGTAATAAATGGTGCTAATTTACATATAATTCTGGTTTCATGTAGCAAACTTCTTGGAATACATCCAGTTTCATAAGGTTCGTTTATTTAAATTTATGTAATGACGTACTTAACATATAAATGACGCTACAATTTTATGACTTAATAATTCAAACCAGTTGACAAACGCAGTTTAACATTTTAATTTAATACATTTCGCATAGTATTTAAATACAAGCAATTTCTTAATAGTAAATCACTAGTAAATTTCGCTAATTTGTGCTAAAACCGGAAAATTGAATATGTAAAACCGGTTTTGTAAAAACCAAACCAACATGTATTTCAAGTTACACCGGTTTACGGTTTGAATTCCCTATTGTAGCGTCTCCTACATTTGTTTCCCCATTTCATCGTCTTGACTTTTACGACTTGTATTGAAATCTTCACACGTAATAACGAACTTAATTCATTCATTAATTCATTCTCTAAGATCCCGGCCAACGTGCTAATGAAAGACATACACCCTTTAAGCGTCGTTCCTTATCACGGTGAGTTTGAAGCGTTATGATAATTAAATTTGGATCTAAATGAAATTAATGTTCATAATTTTTTAGTGTTGATGAACGCGTTGGCGTTCCAGGTTCGTGTCACAATGAACGAAGCCATAAAATTAGACTGATATGAATCCAAAAACTGACCTATCAATTTTATAACTTCCTATCGAAAATTGTCAGGCCGACCCCAGCTCAGTTGATTTCGCCAAGTTGTCACCAAATCGGGCTCGACGATCCACCGGAGGCCGTTCCATGTCAGTTCAGAGTTCTCTTGATCCGTACGGCAGCAACACAACCCTTAACTCCTCAGCTAGTAGCGAAATTGACAGCGGGAGGAAATCTTCAGGAGGTACTGATGCTGCTGGAGGAGATCAACCGGGTACTTCGCATCAAAAGAGTGAGTTTTTTGCAGATTAAAGACAAAATAGCCAGTCATGTATGCAAATATGATTATGACATTTATGACAGACAGATAACATAATGTAGCTCGTAGAAAGGTTAATTTATTAAATATTGAAAATTTCAGTTGTTTTTGAGCGGGTTCCATTGAAAGCGGTCATTGGCAAGAGAGATTCCTCTTCGTCCTGACAAACTACGAAAGAAATTTCACCGGAGGAAGAATTCCCTCAAGAATATCTTTGGTAAATCTAGCAGAATCTATAATTCATCCTGCACCTTTTTCCAGTTAACTCTGAAACACCTGACCTGACCAAATATATACACATACGACATACATATATCTTATGTTTTATCTCATTTATACGAAGCAACAACCATCAATTTACATACGTTTATCATCCACTTAAATAGAAGTAAAAAATAATTGAGCCAGAGATTATACTAGAAAGATCTATCAGGGCGTCCAAGTTCATATGCAACAAAGTGAATCAAATATTGCATTGGAAAAGTTAAACTCCATGACGTCAGGCTGAACAGAAGAAATTATAAAAGTTATCTACACAAGTCACCATGTGAAATCTGCATACAAAAATATTTTGTGGTGCATATGATATGAAACCTAACATATATGTAATTCTACACTAAGTATTGAAACTATTAGAAATTGATAGAATTATATCGAATGCATAAATTTTGAAATAAAATTAGATTTGCAACAAATCCTATGTTTTTGAGTAAAATTCTTCATCAACACTTCGTCTGAAGCGTAATGATCACCCCATTATCATTCGGGGGCAAAAAAGTGATTGTCACGGGAGCTGGCAGAGGATTGGGGAAGCTCCTTGTAAAATCCATCGTTGAAAACGATGGCACTGTTTTTGCGCTGTCCAAGACGAAAGAGGTAAATCGCTAATTCAAATATGTATTTTATATTTCTTATTCATTTCATTCAACCCAAATAGAAACTGGAGGAGCTGAAAGAAGAATGTCCACAAGTCAGTACCATTCAAGTGGACCTTTCAAACTATGACGAGACGCGTCGACTACTTCTTTCCTTGGAGCCGGTTCACATGCTAGTTAACAATGCTGCCATAAACATTCCTGGCGAAATGATGAAAGTATCCAAAGATGATTTTGATAGGTCCACCATTTCACACATTTAATAACTCTTATGCATATATGCACAAGAACGCTGTGAATCAAGGTAATGTAATACAAATGTAACCAATGTTTCCAGAACCTTCAACTCAAATGTTCTTTCATCACTGAACGTCACCCAAATTATAGCAGAGAAAATGATTTCAAACAGAATGGCTGGATCCATCGTAAATATTTCGTCCATTGTAATGCTTTCATTCTCAAATAATAATATGCATATAGATATGTATGTACATTGATAAATAACTTTAAATTGGTGATGGATTAATTTCAATCGTTTTCAGGCCGAGAGAATGGTAGTGGATCGACAAGGTTTATATGGAATATCTAAATCTGCATTGGGGGCGATGAGCAGAAACTTGGCACACGAACTTGGCCCCCACAACATTAGAGTGAACTGCGTTTGCCCAGGTTAGCTTGTGTAGGTTAGAGGTTTGTTATATAGAATCAGCACAATAATTATGAATAAAAATTAATTGTCATCAGGATTATTCCCTTCGGACATGTCGAAGAAAGCTCTGGATAACCCAAAAAGTAGAATGGTTAACTCCATTGTGACTACTTCGTCGTTGAGAAGAATTGGAACAGCTAGCGAAATTGCGAATGTGGTGCTATTTCTTTTGCACGAAGGCAGTTCTTACATTAATGGTGAAAGTATATTTGTGTGTGGGTAAACAACCGAGATAAAATTGGGAAAAAATTAATATATATATTATATATATTACTATATATTACTATATATTACTATATACTATATGTATTAATATTGGAAGTCGATTTTAGTAATCAATACCGAACATCTATGTAAAATGGTATGAAAATAAACAGTGCGAATAATCATTGCACTACAAGCTTGACTCTGCGTAACCTTCCTTTTCTATTGGGGTTGTGCTGGATCTCCATGTGGAGACGAAGATTGACTGATTCAGGGAATGACCGACCACAAACGCTACATAAATGAGGGCGTATGCCAAGATGGATCCTCTCGTGTCTTCTGAAACCTAAAATAAAAATAAGATAAATTATTATCCGAAACCCCAAATAATTGGTAAAGTAAGAAACTTATTGACATATATTGTAATAATTACCTGATGCATCAATAAATTTTTTAGGACACATAGAACATTGAAATCGATAATTTCTCTCATGAATCCGTTGAAAGTGTTTGTTCATGTCATCTTTGCGCTTGAATAATTGACCGCACACAGGACCTATAATAATAATAACATTTGTAGTAAATGAAATTGGGTTTGATAACTTATGATTACATAAATTCAAATAAATGCTGTTATCTTTCGTCTTACATGGTTCTGACCCTGTAGTGTGGGTGATCATATGTCGTTTCAAGATAGCCTTAGTATCGACAGATACTCCACACACTTTGCATATGTGCTGAACCAAGTTTTCGTCGTCGAAATCATGATGAATAGCATTTACAGTACCGGAACTGTTGGTCTCTACATATGGCACTGAATTTGGCCATTTTTTTCTAATGCGTGCGCAGTTTGAGGCTCCAGGCGATGGGGGTTTGCTAAAATACTTGATTGGACCTTTACGAGATTTGCTGCTGGGAACCACAATGTTCGAGTTGATTGTTAAATTTATTTCTTCCTGTGCAGCATCCATCAAGTACGAGTCTAATTTCTTTCTTAAAACTACACTAAAAGGTTCTAATCCATCCTTATCATACAATGACAAATCCTCATGGTCAACAAATGCACCTAAATATCAAAGCATTGTATAAGTTGTAAACACGACCAGCCCACAACAAAATTACCTACATTTTTTGGTTGACAGTTTCGCAATGTTGTCCAGAAAGTCTACAACGACGCGTTCTAAGGCTGTCCTCGGGGTCGTCGCATCATCGCTTGTGAGTGCCTCAGCAGTGGTCCTTTCTGCTCTTCGAGCGACCTGTACTTTAGCATATTCATGATCGGTTCGCACGGGATAAAGGGACGGGTCAGCAAGGTCTTCGTGCTCATCAATATCCATCGTCTCATTTGCCTGCTCTTCGAATGATGATAGTTCGTCTGTTAATGTTCAGTTCAATATGCGAATACATATGCACGTCAATTGAATGCTACATAAAAGTTTTCCGAGAAAACCAAACCGTACTTTCTTCATCCTGCTGCTGCTGCTGTCGTCCAGGCGGTCCACCACGACTACCATTACACTGGCCTTGTGTGTGACCAAAGTCCCCCAGACGTTTCTTCAGTTCTGCATTTTCTATTAATACACTTTCTAATTTTTTCTTACAACGTGAATAATCCCGTCGTAGAATCAAGAGCTGATTTTTTAATGTTGAAATTAGTTTTTTGTCCTTATTACTGGTCATCCTGCCTAGTCCCGTAGTTAATTATGCTCATACTCAATTATTTAATATCTACTTAGCGATCTGTAATATTCTGCACTCTGCATACCTGGTATTTAACAAATAATTTATGCCACGTAAACTTTATCAATTATTCATACAAAAAATACAGATTTTTATTACGTGAGCAAGTTTATATAACAAAATGGTAATACTTAACTAAAAAAAGTATGGAACAAAGGCAAGTGAAAAAAAACGAAAGCAATGTTGTGAGTCAGATGTAACTTACATGTAAGCAAGATGCAAAAACACTCCCGCAGCAAAATTACATAAACTCACTTTGTTGGAAATGTTTTCTCATGCTAAATAAGATCCCATAAGAGTTTTATGCAATCAATGTAAAAGGCTGTATATTTCATGATAAAAAATGTGTGTAAATCGCAATGCAGATTCTCTTGCTCAATATAAACTTGTCTATTTTGGCATTAAAAAACTACACTGGAAACGAAGCTTACAAGCAGGCTAATAAGTACTTGCATGCTCATGGCTTAAATAGTCCAGTCAGTCATCAATTAGAGATTTTAGTATTTATCAATTAAAATTTGTATTTTCATAACGAAAAACTTTTCATTATCGAACTAACTGAACTGAATATTTTTTTAGCTAACATAACATTTTATTACGATGATAGATCTAAGTAATTCATCATATTTAACGTAATGCTACATAACGTTGTCGGTTTTAACTTAAAACTTTTAAGGCCATGGTATGAAACCCCGTTAATGAAAGTCTTGATTCGTTAACTACTTGATTATTTCTGTGCAAACCACGATTTGTTTTTAATATATTGTTATGACTGTTATGATTTCGAAAATATAAAAAAAGTCATGTCATTTTAATGTAATAAAATACACAGTTGCATTGACTTGACAGGTGCAGTCAGTCATATATTATTTATAGAAATTAAACAACACTTCATAAATTCATCTATATGATTCACATTGCATATTATTTTTATTTTTGAAGTGATTTGATTATGAATTGAAGGGACAACGCCTGGAACTGTTAGCCCCTCATATCATTGGTAAAAAAATCGAAACACAATTACATATGGGCGAACTAAACAGTAAACAAATACTGATAAATAGAATAGACTAGTATGTAAAATGAATTTTACACATAATTAACGACAAGGACAATGTGTATATTAAATGCTTAATTGTATCTAAAGTCAATTTGGCATTGACCTACTAATACCATGTGCCATGTTTTCTGTTGACAAATTCAAGAACTTGGCGTAATTGGCCATGACCATTATCCAATTTATAAAACGGATGCAATGTCAAAAGTATCAAGAAAACTTCTTCAAACAGAAATGGAATAAAAACATCCCAAAGACTGAATGATCTCGGTCCAGCTAGTCACATTCAATTTGTTGAACTTCGGAAGTGTATTTTTTCCTTGGTGAATTTTATCAATTGAGAATGATAGTCCTCCAGGTTTTATTATAACATTCGCAACTAGATGATATTTCATTGTCATATATTGGATAAATATATAAATTCGCTTTTTGTTGAATGTTTAGTAATTCTTATATAACCACCTTGCCCTCTTTGATTTTTGATACCATTTTCAGAATCATCAGAAATAGAGTTTCGCCAATGATCAAGGACTTTGGGAAGCTCTTGGCCTAATTTAACTTTGTGTTCTGATATCTTAAAACCAAGCTTCAATACATATTTTATTTCAGTCGGCTAAAGTTTTACCCCTCCGGACACCTTTAGGCATTTGTACGATAAAAGTGGATTAATGAAATTTATAAACATGTTTTAGAATAAGAAAGTGTTGAGTTTGAAGTTATTGTGATATGAAAGTGAAAAATGCGACGCTCCCACGACTGAAGTCCAGCATATCCAGTGATAATCAGATAAATCAATTAATTATAATGCCAACAAGGTAAGTCTTCAGGTCGTTAAATGTCATTGTTTAATATTCTATGTGATATATATTGTAAAATTTCATTTCTGCCTCGGTATTATGTAAGTAGTTCGCTCATGTTTTTTATGTGTATTATAAAATCATGGAATCGCCTCGTGTCATCCAAACCCGTTTGCTAACCCTTAGTATGAATCGAGGAAAATGAAGTAAAATATCCGCATAGGCATTTCTCACGATTTCTAGCAATGTTTAAAAAATAAATTTGTTAAACTCTGTTGCAAAGAAGACCAGTACATAGTTGACAAGAGAATTGTATGACAATGGAGAAATGCTAAAGGTCAGACGGATTGCACAATTTCTTCAAGCACAGGATGTAATATTTCACATATTTGTCATGAGAAACTTTCATGGAGAGTTTTAAGCACATGGTGTGATGTTCCTGCGGAAAGACTAGAGGTTCCCACCCTTTGACGCAATTTGATTGGAACTGATTTCGAAGATATGCTAATAGTGAAATATTTAATGTAAAATGAGGAACTTGCCTGTAATATTTTAGAATTTGTGACTATAAAATATGTACATACACCACAAAACATATATATAGAATCGCGATTTTCCAAAACGATTGTGAATAACGCTGCTATGGGATAGTGATAGTAATATGATATACGTACGTAGTACGTCACCATTATGCGTTACATATTTGTTTTATCAAGGTAAAATGATATTGAAACGAGGTAGCACATTTTGATGGTCGAAGAAATAATGCAAAGTCAATTAAGTCCAATTCAGGACGATTAATCTCATCTAAAACTAACCGAACCTTAGTTCTGACGATTAATATTATTAACGAGGTAACAACAAAATGCTTGTTAAGGATAAGTGAGTATATAGACTTCAACAGACAAAAGAAAAGCACGATGAGGAAAGCGGCTCAAATCTGCGTTTACATATTTATGCTTTCTCATTTCAAATTGGAAGATGCATATATTTTATTCGGCAACTTACAAATTGAGATTAACTTCGCACTATAGAGAAGACTTTACTTAGAGACAAGTTGTTGAACTATGTTATGTATGTACATATGTAGCAGCAATGTATACGTACTTACGTCAATTTATATGTGTGTTAGCTTGAGGGAGATGAAACCACTTGTTGCACCAACCACCTATATAAAGTTGAAGAATTACAAGAAATTACAGGTTATCTCAACAATATAGGGAAATCCGTTCCCTTGATTGTCAGCAAAGTAGTTTAGACTTTAGACGTCACCATCCATAATAAAACCAATGTTTTAGCTATATTACATTTTATACAATGTTTTAGAGCAAAAGGAAGTAGGATTCCCCCACATATCATGCTGATTTCGCAAACTTTCCTTGCCGTGCATACTTAGGTATACAAAACTATAATGAGAGATATCTTGCACAATGACAATGACGTGGAAAGTCCTGATGTAAAATGTATTATTTTTCCATTAATTTCACCTAGGAAAATTCATGAGGCTATATTTCCTTCAGTCTTGAACCTCTTCCCTCCTGGTCAGCAGCGCTGGTAAAGTTACAAATCTACTCGGATTTTAACGTTGAGACATTTTCCCAGGTAAGACTTACTCGCTAATCTTTCTTACAAGCTGCATTTTTATTTAAAAAAGTTCTAGCACTTAAAACAAAAAAACGGATATTACATTGTCGAGCAGTAATGCAATATGTGGGTTCATATCAAAACAGTTTTTAGCAAGAAGAGCTGCGCGTTAGAAATTTCAGAGGACATGTCGCTTTTTGTACTACGATTTCTAAAAAAAAATGTTGAAAATATTGAGTCCAAAGGGCCATATTTATTATTAAACCTAAAATTAAGATTTCATTCATATCTAATTTAAGTGCTGATACTAGGAATCCATTAGATGAAGTATTGTTATCAACAACAATAGAAGTCCCAACGTTATTCTAAACACCACGTACGCATATTATTTCTTGTTCATACAATTTGTGGTGCCATAACACTGTTCATTGTATACAAAATTGAATGACATTTAAGGTTAAATATAAACTTTAGTTTACGCAATGGTGCTGTTCCATGCTTCCAATAAATGCACGTCAATTGAGCCAGCTCATTCAGATTTCTAAAGCTGACACGGATGAGCTGCTGGGTGTGATGTGCTAGGTCAGATAGATCAGTCCTTTTGCACCGAAAATGTCAAGAATAGATTGAACTTTGTCTGCATAATGATCAAATGGGAAGCAGACATAACTTGTGTATTTACGACTTACTAAACAATCCATTCTTTTGCAAGGAGTTAAAGAAAAGAGTTTACAGCATTATCAATACAAATTATTATTAGTATGCGACTAAATTCAAAGCAAACTTAGAATTTTGGTACAACTTTTGTTGGCACGATCATGATGATAACAACATAAATAAGCTCACCCCACTTCCACATAGGATCATAAAACGTTTTCATATTGATACATAAGCACATACATATATGCACAATATGAAAAATATCACCAGAGCAGAGTTGGGTCATAAAGGTCACTGATTTCTTCCTTTGTCTAGGCTGCCAGGCAAAACCTAGGTTTCGTATAATAGCAAAGTTTTCAAGAATATTTAGTTCATTTCAACTTGTACGTCTCGCCTTGTCAGACGTACGTACGAAACTACAGACGTTAGTATCGTACATATAGACTTTCAAACTAGTTAAAAATAAGCAATTTCATCTCATTAATCAGTGAAAGATGAGACGAAATAGTGTTACACAGAGGAAAATCTCTGACGGTGGTCAAGTCCGAGGATTTAGTGTGAATAGTTACAAAAGATGTGTGGCTGGTGGGGGCGGTCGTCGAAGAAAATCTTCCGCTACTTCCATGCGGACATCAATCTCCAGAAAAATCTCCTCCTGTACCTCACCATACACGTCCAATTTCGGGCTGAGAGGTCTTTTTCTCATACTCCTAGTTTATTCTGGTCGTTGGACCAATTTTTCAAAATCTGCTGCCAGTGGTAGCGACATGGCGTCACACTCTTCAGGAGATGAGCTGACCTTCTTGGGCCAAGATGGTCATTTCGACTTGCGACAGGATTCTCGAATGTTTTCATTTCGCAATGATCATGGAACGGCTTCCATCTATCCACAGGGGTTTATCAGGTACGCGGTAGAAAAACTTTATAATGTTTCCCATTTTCTAAGAATGGACCGCATATTTGCAAACACGTGTACTACAAAATACATACATGCAAAAAGTACATAGTCCACCTTCGTCATTCTCTTCGGATTGTACACTTGCTATCCCGTTATTGTTGTTGTCCTGTAAGTCGCTCGTCATGATTTGTTGTTGCGTGCACGATTTGTCGGCATGATTGGGAAGGCCTTGCAACATTATATCTGATAGGACCATTGGGAAGACCATAATGATTGTGTACGCACCACACGGTGAATAAAACACATAAAAGCATGTATTTATATGGCCACATGCCTTGAACGATGATGTGGAAGCTTGAGAATGTCTTTAATATGATAAAATATGAACTGAACCAAGTTTTCCTTGTTCGTATCTGTAGTATATGTCTGCAAATTGCCCTAAAACTGTTTGATGACGATGGGGTTGCGTAATCCAAAACTGGTATACGAAATCATTACTATGTATTAATGATCCATATACGTACATCAACTTTATTAATGGTTTTCAAAATTTCTCATAATACGCAAACTGCCATGTTGATATATAACCGTACATATGTAAAAATGTACACGTTTATGTAATGCAATGTCTTGGGTTTCAGGTGGTTTACAATCAGTTTGAGCCTCGTTGTCACTTTGATCCTCATTACTTGTCTGGCTATCCACTATTTCTTGGTTGGAAACAAGGATAAGTTTATGTCGAAATTCTCTCTGGCTGACACCACTACGTTTTCTACCACAACTACTGGACTGTTCCAACTACTTCTTGGTGGATTTGCATCAGATAAGCAGAAGGCAGTCAAAGGTGAAATTGTTCAGCGTCCAGTTAACTTCCAACAGAGATTTGCCCGAACAACCGGGATAAGTTTAAGTAAGCATGCATGTTCTTACATGATTGAGCTGTTATGTTATGCACATCAAAAAACTATGTCGTAAAAAAGTCGATCATATCCGGCACATGCTACCATTTAACATCATGGAGCATCATCTGGAGATTAATAAATTGAAAGAATCATAGATTTGTCTATGTTTGGTTCTTAACCTTAATGACCAGTAAATTCTAATAAGAATGGTTTTAGTATATTCTGTATTTTCATATTCATAGCGATTCCAATTTCGACAATCACACCACCAGACAGCTCGGTAGCCACCGTATTAGACCAACCTATCACTGCTACTAAGATGCCGCTCCCAAAGTTTCTGACGCCCCGACCACAGGAGGACTATGAAAACAATAATTCAAAAATTCACACCCCTGATCCTGGCTATTCGTCAACCACACCTTCGGACACCCACTCGGGATCAGTGTCCCCCATCGGATTCAGCATTGGCGATGCCTCTGACAGTGAAAGTGACCCCGATGATGTTGCCAAGCCCCATGATGAAGACAGGAGACATAGCTCTGATTCCATCCGAGCTCAGACGCTGGAGACGGGATTAAAAGATTTGAACATCGAGGTTAACATTGAGCAACCACCCAGATCTATCGAAGAATGTGCCTTAATTTACAAGTCAGATGATGGAGCAAAACTTCTAACAGATGCGGAGGTTATTGCACTCGTTAATGCCAAGCACATCCCAGCTTATCAACTGGAGAAGGCTGTAGAAGACCCAGAACGTGGAGTTAATATTAGGTAAGAAAATCTGATCAAGCATCTTTTGCTTATAATTATCAAAGAATCAGTATTATTCGAACTATCGAACTACATACGTAACATTGTTGCACAACTTATGCATCTAACCTTAAGTACGTGCATATTACGTATATCACACATAATTGTGCAACACAAGAAACATTTTTCCGTTTACTTGTAGGAGGAAACTTTTGGCTTTATCAGGGGAGCAGTACTTCAATGAAGGTCTTCCCTTTCAAAATTATGACTACAGCAAAGTTATGGGTGCATGTTGTGAAAATGTCGTGGGATACATCCCAATTCCAGTTGGCGTCGCAGGACCATTCGTAGTTGATGATCAGGTAATTATTTTATTTATTTACTTATTTCACTTACTCCAATTACATACATGTACGTCACTTACAAGTCGACATGGGTCGTGTTATATACATACATTCAATAATCTAGATATTTATATTTTGCAACTTTTTAAAAATTCCATAGTCGTACTATATTCCGATGGCTACGACCGAAGGGTGCTTAGTCGCTAGCACCAATCGAGGATGTAGAGCGTTGGTGAACGGCGTCCAAACGAAGGTCGTAGGGGACGGAATTTCTCGAGCACCGGTCGTCAGATTCCCCACCGCCATGAAAGCATCTGCTGCGATGTTGTGGTTAAATGAGAATGACAACTTTGCCATCATCAAGGACAGCTTTGACTCATCCAGCCGATTTGCTCGCCTTACAAACATTCATTGCAGAATTGCGGGGCGCTTCCTGTTCATCAGATTTGTAGCAAAGACGGGAGATGCGATGGGAATGAACATGATTTCAAAGGGAACGGAAATTGCATTGAATAAATTGCAACAATTTCATCCAGACATGGTATGAGCAATTTTCGAATATTTGCACAAAATTTAGCAAACTAACCGAATTAATTTATAGGAAGTATTGGCCTTGAGCGGTAACGTGTGTACGGATAAGAAACCTGCAGCAATAAATTGGCTACAAGGTCGGGGCAAGTCTGTGGTTGCGGAGGCCGTGGTACCCGCCCACATTGTGGAGAACGTCTTGAAAACGTCAACAGCGGCGTTGGTGGAGGTCAACGTGGCGAAAAATTTAGTTGGGTCGGCAATGGCTGGATCAATTGGTGGATTTAACGCACACGCAGCCAATATAGTTACAGCTATTTACATTGCGACAGGACAGGTAAAGCCCCCTTACTAGAAATTGCATAAATGCAGATGTGCATACTAAATGAATATTACGAATACATACAAATAATTAATAATGACAAATTTTGAGTGAAAAAAATTGTCAAGTCAAACTTGAAATTTTACCTATGTATATCGATTACTTTAATCTTGTCGTAGGACCCAGCTCAAAATGTTGGAAGCAGCAATTGTATTACTTTGATGGAACCCTGGGGGGTTGGAGGTAGGGATTTGCATATTTCGTGTTCCATGCCGAGCATCGAAGTTGGAACAGTTGGGGGTGGAACGTTTCTGGATGCTCAATCCGCTTGCTTGGATATGCTGGGCGTGAAGGGTGCAAATGAGAACGCTGGACTAAATTCCCAAACCTTGGTATTTACTTTCGTGCTATTAACTTTAATAGATTATTAGGGGAAAAAGTATTAATAAATATTTCTTCTAAACTCGCAGGCCAGACTAGTTTGCGCTACCGTGCTGGCTGGTGAGCTTTCGCTGATTTCAGCATTGTCAGCAGGTCATCTAGTCCGTTCCCACCTAAAGCACAATCGTTCGACCGCAAGTTTTAACGGCTCCGTTACACCAATCGGAAGTCACGTCAATTTGAACTTTGACAAGAAGCAAAATAGTCTGTGTCCTGATTCTGGATCTGTACAACCACCCTGCTCTCTTGCCATTAAAGCTCAGGCGGAGGAATTGAAGCAGCAGAACAATAAACCTCTCACATCAAGACGCAGTCCCTCCAGATCGCCTACATTTACTAAACGAAATCCTCCAGTTGCCTCCAGAATCAAATCATCGATGGAATTTTTAGCAGGACCGGATTGCAAGCAGACATAACTAAAAACACTCAGTTTGGTTTATTTGATATGTTTTAATACATTTGATCAGCTTAAGAAGCATACCATTTTTTCATAAGTTGGAGGCTTATGCATTGTAGAAATAACAGTAATTTAGTGTTATAATAAAATATTTGAATATTTGAAATATTTGGCCAAAGTAATAAAACTCTACTGTGGAGCATTATCTGCAAATTAAGTGTAAAAAAAGTTGCGAAACAAAATATGCGCAAAAACTGAATTTGATCTGAAGAGCAATTTTTAGCATGTGAAGCATGCAGTTCTCCACACCTATGCACTTCATAACTCCTGCATAACAGTTCTCAAAATTCAATTTCAATAATCTGATAAGTTTTAAAACTATTTAAAAGTACTTGCTAAATGTGATGCTGAAGCGTCAGAGTCAACACCCCATCTAAAGGTGAGTAAAAGTATTTGTCAATGTCATCAACAAAATTATCCAACTGCTGGGTGATGCATTTTTAATTGCAAACGAATATCTAGATAATTTCGACTAGGTGTACACACTAAATTTATTTTCCTAGTAAGAAAAATTACACCCTCTCCCAATAACTATCACACAATGCATACAAATACATGTAATAATTTTTCCTTAAGAGTTTGGTCTTTTAAATAAATTTGTTACGCCACGTTTTTACTTCTTCCTCGATAATGATTAAAAAGGTCCGACAATTTCATTAGATATTCATCGTCCATACAATTCCCAACACTTTGTAAAAATAATTTTGTTTCAGAGGGTATCTGAAACACACACGAGTTAGATAAATATATTTCAACTTTCTTCGAACTTTATAACAGTAAATAATTGTTTGCTTACTTTATTGGGGTCCTTTTGGAGCGTTGATTCTAGTCGGTCCATTCTTTTTGCAATTAGCAAGGATAAATAGTATATAATCACGCTATTTGACACTGGAGTTACAGGAATTTTAGATAGTACAGACTGTATGACATCCAAATCCTCAATTGAAAACAAGATGGCTAATCCCCAAAGCAAGTCCTCGGGCAATATCATCAGCACTAATTGTTCCAGAACTATAAGGTTTTCAAATTAAAGCATATGATAATAAAACTTCATGACAGCCTTAGATTTGTAATCATTTTACAACAGATCTCCTCTTACCACTTCCATCTCTCTCGCCACATTCTTCAATCCCCAACAAACTTCTTTCGCAGTGCCATATTCGATTTAATGAAAAGCATAATTGTAAGGTCGGATTGGAGGATACATAATCTTCGTGAGTTGCACCAGAGAAGGAGTCATACTTAAATGCCAACAGGCTTGGGTGAAGATATCTAGATTTTAGTTCATTTTCGTTGAAGTAGAAGAATGGATATGACTCAAGAATGAATGAGTTAGTGAGGCTGCTTTCGTTGATTAGTTTTGCACTTGACGAACCACCCATCTCCAACTTTGAGTCTGTCAGAAAACGAGATGTTAATCCTGCTAATTTTGAGGGATTTAGAAGGGTCCCGGTGCCCGTTGTGACAACGTGAGCAACATCTTTTAAAGAACTTATCAATCTAGAAAAACAACAATATGGCAGTTAACGATAACGGTTATGGATTAAAACCGATTCTTGATCGATCAATTTAAATGTCATTGCTGATTAGATTATTTAAGATTATTTATGGTTTCGTTGCTGCAAGAAAATAAGATCTAAGATCTAAAATAATATCTAATCTAATTTTAAAAGGCTCATATTTTCCACAGTGAGATAAAAGTGATAAGGGACTGTCCATAAATTATGTCACGCGAGAGGGGGGAGGGGGTCCAAGGCTCCAATGATATCGTGCCTATGTGGCACATGTTAAAGGAGGGGGGACGGGGAGTCTAGAAATTCAAGATTTTTGCGTGACATAATTTATGGATGTCCTCTAACTAAGTGCACCCAACATAAGCTCATAATTTAATAATAATCTTCTATGCATTATTTATATTATCAAAAAAGATTTGTATTTCACAAACCTAGTACTTGTGCTCAAAAATTCGTTTAATTTTACGGGATTCAGCATATCTGGTGTATCTGATGCAGCAACAAGAGGAGCATCCAGTTCAGAAGACTCTGGTGATGACAAGTCGGATATATTTTTTTGCAGGCTTCGGATTTCTATAAGGTATCTGTGCAACAAGAGTACAGTTTTATAAATGATACACTATTATGTAAAGTAATTTATTAAATCATTAATCAACGTACTTGGAATTTAACACGTTTAAAATTTCGTCATCAGGACACATGTTGAGAGCGTAATTAATAAATGCTAAACGAGTCCCAACGTCTAAAATAGGAGGATCGCTTTCGTATTTTGCAGTGGCAGCAAAAATTTGCCATCCCATCTCATATCCTTTAGCGATGATGTTTTCACAAATTTGAACGCAGTACTTCATATCTCGATACGAAAGTGCAGCATTCCCACACAGTTCATAAATCTTACTCTCGGTAACAGATATATTTTGTTCCCCCAGGTTCAAAAACATTGCCAAGGTTAACAGTTGCTGAACTTTCTTATATCCATCAACAGTATGTTCCATTGTTTGCTGTATCAATTTCATTTTGTCACGAGCTAGGCGTACTGTAATACAAAATCATAATTCCCGTAATAAACTAAATGCAAAAAATAGAATAACAGAATACACGCTTGTATTTCCTATCCGTGACCTACTTTTAGGCGAACAGATACATCATATATAAATATATCAACAAACCATTTTGAGGAAGAATGTTTAGCCGAAAGTCCTTGTTTACAATCTTGACAGCATCGATCAGGTCATAAATTTGAGACACTTCTGGGTCTTTCGGGTTTTGCATTAGATTAAGACACACCTTACACAATTCAATATCTGGATCTGCATAATTCGACGCCGAGTCAAAGTAATGGTATGCGGCAGCCATGACCATATTGAGGCTTTTTGGATAAGGAATAAGGTATAAATACAAGGCAAAGGCCGTAGAATATGCTGAACTGACTCTTCGAATTAACGTTTTGAAGTTGTTGGAAGTTGTGTTGCTGATGTCTTCATCATTTTCAGTGATGTCAGGCGTTTGGTGGTCAATAAAATCTCGTGCTAAACTGATGATTTCTGCGGAACCACTTCGAAGTAATGCTTCCACGTATAACTAAAATAAGAACAAAAGTAACGCTTATTCATTTTCATTAAAAGAATATATGCACTAAAAGGGAATCCTCAATTTTAAAATCACCTTAATCAAATTAATATGCACATTTAAATACTAATATTAGCATAAATATTACTACATCCAGATCATACTGACTCTAATGAAATAAGCTAAAAACTGCTGGACAAAAGCATTAACTAGAAGTTCAAAAGAACTATATTTTTTCTATCTCTATATAAAGTCTCCAAGTACTACATATATAAATATTTAGTATATCTGAATTTAAGAATGCTGTAATTTAAACTAAAGGTTGCACAATAACTTGCTGAACAAGAGACGTGAATGTTTCAACAATCGTGTCTACATCTGCCATGGCCCCAACGCCCTTATCCCCACACATAAGTGTTTTTTCAATCGGCGGAACTTGACGATATCCAAATCCAGCCAATACATTAATCTGATTTGCAGTCAAAGGATGGTCCCACATTTTCGTGTTCATGGCAGGACAAAATAAAACAGGTTTGGCAGCATTTAAATCCCATGCTCGGAGAATGCAAGTCAGTAAATTGTCACACATTCCGTTTGCTATTTTGGCCAAAGTATTTGCATCAAGTGGTGAAAGGATTAACTGAAATAAAGTTATTATAGAAAATCATTAGTTTGATATTGTTTGCTGTGATTTTGAGATAATAAAATACCGAATTATTGTTAGTATTCAAGTTATTAATTTAATTAATTAAGTAAAACAAAAACTTACCACGTCAGCCCATTTTCCAAGATCAATATGCAGCACCGGGTCACCTCTTCCTTTCCACATACTCCATTCGTCTGCGTCTCTCCAAATTTTTAATGCTTTGGATGGAAATTTTGCTCCAATTTGATTAATGTTTTCGATTTCAAAAAAATTTAGTGCATTCTCAGTAGGAACAATTGCCAGTTCAGAAACGATTGGACAACTAAGTAGTTTCTCTGATAGTTCAGGAATTTTGATGGCCGCAACACTTCCGGTGACCCCAACTAGAACGTTATATTTATCCCGAGGACAATCTGGAGGTGTGACTGGTGGGAGGCATGCACTACATGGAGTTGCCATATTATTTATTTGGTATTACACAGTAATTATGTACACTTTTCACTTTTGTTGACATTTACAAAGTCCTTTCTTATTGTTTGCTGTCGTCATTGGGGGTTTGGTCCCGAAGAAGGAATGGAAGAGCCATTATTTCCGTATTTAGTAATTTCATCCTCAGTGTACCCTAATTTCTCGAATTCAGTTTTGTCCATTAAATCATAATCCATCCTACACTTAAAGTAACGAAGGGATTCAATTCGGCACTTGCTGTTTTCGTTGTTATTGTCTTTCAGGCACACCATGAATGAAATCATGAATCTTTTACAAATATTTTGACGATCGAGGGGGAAACTCCCCTTTTCAGGTGGGGTGGGGGTGAAAGTCTTTTGTCCAAATGTCATGGCACTCATGTTGGATTTGATTTTAAATTACATTCACTTGCACAATTAGAAACTAGTTTAAAACAACTAAATATATACATGTACTCGTGATGCAACCTTTACATTAAATTAAATTATTCAATAATTATAGCTTGGTTTGCAGTTTGCAATCAAAATCGTGACATACAGCTTTGAAAAAGTACTGTTTAGTTAGAAAGAAAACACATGGCAGTGGGTATAGTATAGTGACTGGAGATTCGCGCAATTGTCCAGGAATAAAATGAGAAAATGACTCCCATGAAAAAAGCTAAAGACTCGTAAAAACAACATACCTCGAAACAACGCTCCAATGAAAACGCTTTGAAAACTTTCTTCTGCAAATCTAGAACATCATACAGCAACGACTTCCATTCATTTATTTTCATGGGAGGTTTCCTAATTAGATATGAAACCAAACAACATGTACATACGCATCCCATACATATAATAATTTAACTGACATTTCGCCATTTTCGACTCACATGTGAAGGGAAGTATCACAAATGTTTTTGAAAAAAAGTTCAATCTCGGCATCACTTTCATCAGCAACTAATGCGACCTCCTTCAATTTCTGAATTGATATTCCGATGTTGTACTTGTCTAATATTTTGACACCCTGATAATGAAGCTCCATGTCTTGGATACTATCATGTAATGCTTGCAGCCCGTCGTTAACAACCCCCCGATGTCTTTCAGGGAGGCATGTAAGAATTGCCAAAACATTTTCAATTTGTTTGGCATTTTCACAGGCATAAATACAATTTTTGGCAAGTAGCATCAGTTCGCTTGTATCAGTTACAATTGGGTCCGAGCATCCGGGTCGAGAATTTTCGAATATCTTTGGAGAACATAAGAATTTCTGTTAATTTAATATAAACTCGGTCAGTATATGCAAACTTGGATTACCTGTAGAGATTTTGTCAAATTATGAGTAGAAATAGAAGTGAGGTACTGGTCCAGAATATGAAAACGCGATCCTTGCTCTTGCAGTTCACACTTGTGAAGAAATGGCATTACATAGTCTCGAATATGAGCAATAAAGTTTTCCTCTGTTGTCTGAAACATAATCAAATAGAGAAAAACCGTTTCAAGATCAACTGATACAATTTTCAGAAAAGTTTTATAAATAAAAAAAATACAGATAAGACATACATTGGACATCAAGATGTGGAGGCGATCGATAGGGCTGAGTTCTTCCAATTTCTCTAAAGTGATATCAACTTTAGCATCATATACCATAATTTCTACCACTTCCAAGTCCTTTACAAGTCGTTCGAGCCCCTTTTCATTTTTAGAATATGCAAAATTAAATTCCAGGTAATTCATATTAAAATGTTAATACATACAGGTATATTTCTCTGGACTCCTAATTTAGCTAGATCCAACGAGTAGCTAGTAATACCACTAAGCTTTTCAATTTCATGGATTCTTCCCTCATACCATGACGCAATCCGATCAACTGAAGATTCCATTTCTATGCTCCCAGCGGATGATCTCCTTAACTTTTCACCACCTTCAAGAAATCGTTCACACCAGTCTCGTTCTTTCAAAACATAGTCATCCCACAACAAAACGTGCCCATCCACACTTATTTCGGGAAGAAACTCGCTAAAAAACAAAACATGGTAACTCTCTAACATATTCCAGAATTTCTTGTAATCAGCAATTTTTTTACTTGAAATATTTGCATGAAAATTATGTACCTATAGTCTATAGGCGACGTAGTTTCCGGAAAACTAGATATCACTGAAAGGTACTGTTGTGCAATTTCAAACCAATGATGCACAAGTAAAATTCTTAACGCTGCAACATCACTTGTTCTTGCCATGTCCACTGCTGATTCGGCTGGTCTCCTGCTTCGTAACTTGGCATAGGAAGGTCCGTCGAAATTTTCTTCTACCATACGAGGACCTCCTACCATGAGCTATAAATTACGATTCAACATAAATTAAAACAATACTCACAGACATGAATGGGGTAAAAATTCTTTAGACAATATGCTAACCTCATAGGTATCCAGCATATCAATGTAGTACAAAAATTGTTTACGGTAGCTCAGTAGTCGCTTAAAAAAATTCAAATAAAAATATAATTACTCTTTGATCTCACACAGATATTACATATAAATATTATCAAGCATTGTGATTAAAAATAATGATCCTACTGGCTTATAAAACAGGTTTTCATAATCTCATTTTAGAGATGTAAGTAGCATTTATAGTTTATTCTTCTGATATGCATGATTAGGAAAACGATATTTCTAATAAACGATGCGTTTTCCTGGATGAAGGAAATACATCAACAATTCTGTCAAGAAAGAAGGACGTGCAAATTAAAATGTATAAATTTCCTGTACTACTGATTTTAAATATTATTAACGCTACTCACTGAGAAAAATTAAACTACCTGCAATCGTATAATTATTCTACATAAGATTGTTCATGAAGTATGACCAATTGCATGTTAATGGACATGGCAATTTATTATATACTAGCGTATAAGCCCGTCTCCCGCCGGGCGAGCGAAAATTATAAGATACAAATGTCCGTCGGAAACGGAAGTAAAAGAAAGTCAAGTCCCGACTGGCGCGTAAAAACTAAACTGTTTCATGGTAGTTATGTACTTTGGGCTGGTAGTAGCCTTGACTCCCACTTCACTTTAATTTTACTTTAAACTAAAGTGGCGAATCCCGCATACCCATGACTGACTTCCACTTCACTTTAACTTTAAACTAAAGTGGCCAAGATAACCCCCAAGATAACCACCCCCAGAAAACCACCCACGATAACCCCTCGTAGATAACCACTAATGATAACCACTCCCCAGATAACCACCTCCAAATAAACACCCATTATAACCACCCCTAGATAATTTATTCGTGAAGTGCTCACATGTGCTCACTTCACACCTTTGTGTCTCGTCACCACTTTTAAAATCTGTGAAGTGATCACAGGTGCTCACTTCACACTTTTGTGTCTCGTCACCACCTCAACAAAAAGTGTGAAGTGATCACAGGTGCTCACTTCACGCTTTTGTGTCTCGTCACCACCTCAACAAAAAGTGTGAAGTGATCACAGGTGCTCACTTCACACTTTTGTGTCTGGACACCACCTCAACAAAAAGTGTGAAGTGATCACAGGTGAGCACTTCACACTTTGTGTGTTGTCACCACTTGCAAAAAGTGCAAGTGGTGGGTGACACACTTCACACTTAAGTGTGAAGACGGTAGGTGTCTGGGGGTGGCGATGCTTATCTGGGGTTGGTTATCTGGGGATGGTGGTTATCGGAAAGTGCTTATCTGGGGGTGGTTATCTGGGGATGGTGGTTATCGGACAGTGCTTATCTGGGGGTGGTTATCTGGGGATGGTGGTTATCGGACAGTGCTTATCTGGGGGTGGTTATCTGGGGATGGTGGTTATCGGACAGTGTTTATCTGGGTGTGGTTATCCGACAGTGGTTGTCAGAAAGTGGTTATCTGGGGGTGGTTGTCAGACAGTGGTTATCTGGGGGTGGTTATCATACAGTGGTTGTCTGGTTGTGGTTGTCAGAAAGTGGTTATCTTGGGGTGGTGGTAAGAAAGTGGTCATCTGGGGGTTGTTGTCAGAAAGTGGTTATCTGGGTGTGGCAGACGGTGTCCATCCGGGGGAATTTATATTTTTAAATGAATTTAATTTGAATTTTCGCGCCATTCGAAACTTTACTTTCTCCACTTTCACTTCCGTTGAGGACACATTCCTTGGACAGACATTTCCAGCTTATAATATAGATGTAGGCACTGATATCGTTTGATGTAGCTATTTTTGTTTGATATTGTATCAATTTCCAAAATAAATACAAGACAAATAAACTAATTGAATTATATACTTTTACTTCCAAGTTGTCCCCATCCACCAACATAAGGTATTGATCAGTGGATATATCAAGATCGTCTGGTGTCAACAACTGAAACAACCCTTTGTCTCTCCCTAAAAGTTTGGTAATTTATTTAAAAGTTTACATTTAAAAAAATATAATATTGCTACAACTATAACTAATGATTAAACCAATTGAACCGGAAATACCTTGACTAATTAGTACCGCAGCTCTCAAGTCTGTTCCCTGCAAACCAAACGTAAGAAGTTCTCTGGCGGCGTCTGCATTGGGTGGTATTCGTTCCAAGCACTCTTGCAGAACCCAATTTCGCTTCTTAATTTTTCCCTGTTAGATAGGATCACGATATTAAAAGTTAAGTTAATTTAAATATAGTCTATAATAATAGTTTAATAAACTATGCACTTACGAGATAGTCACGAATCGTGTTAACAGAAACAGGGGATTTAGACCATTGTCGTTGATAAACAAGGTCAGAATCCAACTTGTACGCTCTTGCCAAATCTAATGCTTCTCCATACTCTTCTGCTTCTATTTTCTGATGAAACAACTCTTGCGGGGTAATATTTCTAAGCAAGAATATTCTATGAGTCTCTTTCCATGTCGGGGATTTTCTTTTTCGTTTCCGAGGTGGACGAAATTGCTCAATATCTGTTATCCAAAACAAAACTTCTTGAATAAGCGTTTTGGGTAAAAACTGTGCATCATAAGCATCCAAGAGTTCTAGGCAAGCCGTCTCAGACATTTCAATAATATCTCCATTTGAGTTTCTTTTGTCATCCATCTTCAACTTGAATTCACATTCCAGTGCCAAGAAGCCTTTCATTTTCTTGGGAGTAAGAAATACAGGACTTTCAAAAATTTCGGGAGAATCTCCCAAAAGGTTTTTTGTGGGGAGCTCTTCATCAATGGAACATAATGATACACATCCGTTCACTCTTGCAATTATGACAATCTGAATTTAGAAGATAATTTAATTAAATTAATTCAAGAAGTACAGTTAATTATAATTTAATTTCCATTACATTGTCATTCCACCAATTTAAATCCAATGGATGAAATCTCCAGTTGTCAATTTTTTCTTCATTCCAGCGATTAAATGTAAGTCGCCATCGATTATTAAAACGGGAATTTTCAGTCCAGTGATGAAATTGATTTTTAAGAGGCCAGCTCCTAAATAATTTCAGTGAAGGTAGATGCCATATTGAGATGGTTCCCGAGGAATGAATGGTTGCCACATGTGCCATACTTGGTGATGGAATCATTTTAAAAATGGCATCCTTAAATTAAACAGTAATTTTATTAGTTTGTTGTAACTTTGAAAATTTTAAAATTTCCTACCTCTGATTTCATAGTGTCTGAAAATAAGGACGACATGGTGGTTTTCCATGATCTCCTTGAATCCATTCGAAATTCGTCAGAGGGTACATTGAAAAGAATTTTGTAGTACGGGACATCATTGATTAATCTCCATGCACTTATTCCAAAACTGTGACAAGCGTCAAGCTGAAAAAATCATCGTTATTGAATACATAAATTAAAACCTACAGTGCAGATTTGATTTGGCCCGAGCCAGGGTCAGATTTCTCCTTTCAAATTAATTTTCCTATAAACAAATTCGAAATTTCAACTTTTTCTGGGAAATTCTGTTCGTTAATGTGGTCGTTTTGAACAATGTGCATTGAAGTGCTGAGTTTAAGTCTTCTATGACTATTTCGAATATTCTGCACCAATAACCCTACTACTTTGCCGACTTCGAATTCGACTCCTACTTTTGCTCGTATGTGACGTGTATTTCAAATTTCAACTCGTTCGGATAAGCTTAAAGATAGTTATCGCTAAGACGGATAGACATGACGATTACATAAGCCCTAGCTCGGGTTAAAAATTAATAGAAGTATGGTAGGCATTTAATTTACCCTTGATTCCATTTCTAAAACTCCGGCGATCAGTAGAATGGCAAACTTTTCAATATATGTGCTAGAATAAACACCTCTTGGGTAATATCTTCTTATCGATGCGTCATGGTGAAATGTCATTTGATCCGCACTTGTTTGTCGGAAGCACTTGATGAATCCCTTCGTATCCAAGCTAATCAATTCATTGGTGCTGAAAGTAAAAATCGGTAATCAAATTTTAATAATTAATTCAGTTTAAAATAAAAAAATCTTAATTATATGCTTACTAGGAATTCTTTTTCACTCGCTCACTAGCAAAGAACAAGCCAGCTAAATCATTCTCGACTGAAAATATATTTGCCGATAGCTCTTCTTGACTTGGAAGAACACATCGAAGGACAGAAAAGAGTTGAACAGCCATTGTGTCATAGAATATTAGTTGTCCATTGGAAAATGAGATTGCCACCATCGAAGAATCTAAACTCCATGCTATATGTCGACATGAAGGGTTCGGGTCCTTTAGTACTACGATTACAAGCCAAAATTAGACAAAATTAATTACGAGTACACAATAATAACAATACACAGCACACAATTAATTAATACAAGTACACAGTATCAGTATCGTAAACATACCAACAGTGCGTCCCATAATTGACGAGAATCCTTCTTTATAGGATCGCGTTTCCAGCGAAATTGTTTGCAGTAGGGCCACCACGTTGCCATTCGGCGATAGCGACACTTGCCAAGAAGGTCCAACTGATTTTAACCTGGAGTAATGAATAAATAATGAATAAAGTGTCAACAAATTTTTAGTGCTCATACTTCACAAGCTTATTTTATCTTGTAAAGTGTAAATTGTACCCACAACTAACCATTTTACAGATTCAGCAATAGAAAATTGTCGTTTTCTAATAAGTTTGGACGGGTTGAAGTACGACAACAGATTCCCAGCAGGGTTTTGATTATTTGGCAGCAGTTGAGAGTGTTGTTCCTTAAAATTGTAATTTGTTTTATTGACAACGGATTATAATACGAACAGTGAAAATTAAAACTAGAATTAATACCTCTCGTTCGTCCCTCCACTCTCCACAGCAGATAAGTTCGTAGAGAATCGCTTCAGGAAACGCCTGATCTGTTTCCATATTTAAAACAAAAAGTGTTTCTAGTAATTTAGGACATGAGACAAGGATTTCTAAACTTTTCAAGGCACCCAATAACAATTTTTCTTCTCGATTGCTTAAGGCGGAGTACACAATTAGTTATCAAGTCAATATCAGTAATTTGCATGAACTATTAGTGCTAGTAAACAGAAATATAATACAAAAATCAAAATGAAAATATTGCCATATGCGATGACCAGTTGCAGTCAGTGTCAGTAGATCAGTTTCCCGGTTGGAGTATGCATCGGTTTCCACTTCTCACTCAACACATGTGGTGAAAACTAATATTATGGTGAGCGGAGGTGAGATGAGATTTTGCTGCTTTCACTTTTCTGCTTTCTTTTATTTTTCGCTCTACAAGCAGACTTGATATTAGTTTATATGCTCCAGCCAGACACTTCCTTCGTCCTACGTCCTATGACAAATATCCTTTACAAACGTTTACCATGAGAAATTTGGCTAAACCGATTCGAAAGCCAGTGTGGGTCAATGGCAAAATTATTAAAGCCCTGTCTCGAGCTGAAAATTAGTGTTAGAGCTAAATCTTTTGGTTCACATTGTTCATTGTATGATGGCTGTAAAGCTGGAATGAAAACTTGATTTAAATCTTTCGTCTTGCTCCCAGTGTCCAAAAATAAGGGACGACTGGCGGAGAAAGCTATGCACTAACAAAGCCAACTGCCAAATTCTGCTGTCTGCTATTAGTGCAACTTGAGCGTCTCTTAAGATGCACTTGGCTCTTAGGAGGGGAGCTTCACCACCTGCCCCTCTCAGATCTTGATGTGCTTTGGATATGTGGTAGTGTCCCATGAGTGTACTAAAACCCTGAAGTGGTTTGACTCCATGGCCACAGTTACGCCCGCCACACCCATTCAAAAGCGCCAAAATCACGAAAAAAGCCCTGTTTTCACTTGTTCAAACCCTCGCCAAAAATCCAATTTTACTCGGATTTTGGTAAAATTTACATTTTTGTGATCCCAGATACTTGTGTGATAATATCCAATAAATATCTCAAGTTTTTTTAAATTTTGAATTTTTTCGAATAATTCATCAGCCCGAAAATGCCCGAAAATTTCGAAAATTTCAAAAAAGTTGAGATTGCTACTGGATATGATCAACCAAATATCTGGGATTACAAAAACGTAAATTTTATCAAACTCCGATCAAAATTGGATTTTTGGTGGATTTTTGAAGTTGGTAACTTTTGTGGTTTTTATCCCTTTGAGTGGGTGTGGCGGGCGCAAATGTGGCCATGGAGTCAAACCACTTCAGGGTTATAGTACACTCATGGGACCCTACCACATATGCAAAGCACATCAAGATCTGAGAGGGGCAGGTGGTGAAGCTCTCCTCCTTAGAACTTGTAGTAATAATAATAATAACGTTCTCTTCTCATTTTTCCCACATCATCTGTCTTTTCAAGGAGAAGTGAAAGTTGGGGTAGGAGTGCTACCCAGTGAAAGTGGAAAGCCGTCGTCATTTTCTCTCTTATAGATTTAGATTATTCATTGTTCATTCAGAAAAGTGGGAATAGATTAGCAGGCGAGGGTTGGTTAGTTTATATGGAGTAAAGAGAAGGGGTGGTTAGGACTCTCCAGAAATGTTCTTGTGATATATGTGCCTATACGTGTGTGCTAGGCAGGAGGGTGTACGCTTGCACACATATATGAATAAGGAAGTTAAAATAATACTATCAAACCTACTTTTGAATGCAGAAAAAGCCAGTGATTCGTAAAATTGGTGATTCAAGGGGGAGACAAAAGTTGGCAAATTCACAATCGCCTCAGGAATTTCATGTCTTTAATGTGCAGAGATATTTTATTTGGAGCGTCCTGGGGATTCGAGGATTTTTGCTGGTTGTGATGGTCCTCCTTCTGCAACTGCTTCACTCAGGCTAACAAGAAGGTAGGACTGCGGGTAGAAGAATATCAGACTCTATATCTCACATAGTTATACACATTTCTCCAACGGAAAACTTTAGACGACATATTATTATACGTGTCTGTGTGTGTGCGTGTAATGTGCATTACAAAGAGATCCATTTACAACTGCCCAACACGTACACATATTTGACAAAATAAAAATAGGCAAACTCTACGTGTTCATATAGACAAATACAGGGAACAAAGACAGGACAGAGTAAAAAAATATATATCAGTCTGAAAATAAAGACATTTCTTCATTTGTGCGGATGGACTTGAAGTCGAAGAAGAAAGGAAAAGGGAAGGAAACATAAAACGAAGGAATCAAATGGTTCCCTCTTTTGTACAAGTATAAGTAAAGCGAAAATGAGACGATAAAGATACAGATCACCCAATTCACTTTTCTACGTATGCAGATGAGGGACAGAGAAGTAAGTTTCCTCCGTTCTTTCTTCTCTACCCCACTCGACTCAACGTGGAGTGAGAGAGAGAGAAACATCGGTTTTTGCCGGTTGGGCTTGTGTTACTGCTTTCACTAACGTAAAATGCATGGTATAACACTAATCTTATTCACTACCGTTGTAACTAAACTAAAAGAAATCGTAAATACTACGTGTAAGTCTTCATCCCTCCTCCAGCCAGCCGCCGTGTCAATGCATGCATGCATTCCTCTTCTTTTACTCCGTCCAATGCTGACTGACTGAGTTTCGATTAGGTCTTCAGTCCCACAACCACTGAAACTAAACCATGTATAGCCAAAGTGAACAATGAAATAAGACTTGGAGAGAAGAGTGTCGGATCTCCTTCCTTTCTTCGTGCATTTCTTGCTTTCTTCTTTTCCTCTCCCTCAACTCAAGTGTTTCTGGTGGTTGAATGAGATGAGGAAAAGTCCACGGATTTGCTGGGCGCACCAACCCACCCAATCCAAAGGAGGTACCATGATGATGATGACGATGGGATGATCTCAAGTATCAAGTTGACTTCACACTTTCCACCAAGGCAAGTTTCGCTGAAACAGAAGAGGAGCTGTTAAAAAAACTTCATTTCATATGTACTGACTGACGAATGGACCTGGTCGTCGACTTTCTCTGGTACACACGTCGTATGTAGCTATGTATGCGTATCAATGTCGCCCCTCTTATCCTCCCCTTGTTTCTATTTTCTTGTCATTGGGCTGGATAAAACTGGCCATTCTTCCCTGTAAGTATAAATAAGTGGTGGATTTTATCTTTGCTTTTTAAGGTTAGATAGCAAGCACAATAGAATATCATTTGCATTCTAAGGAAATCAAAAATTTTCAGAATGCCGAGGGCTGTTTCCGCTTTCCTAATCTTTAAATGGGATAGAAACAGATTTATGACGAGACTTTTCTCTGTAACAAGAACAACCCTTTCACTTGTTTATTTTCAAGTAAAAAGTGTCGTGCATAAAGCACAGTACATTGAGTCATGGGGTGTGAATTCTGTGTTGAATATTTTAAAGTACTAAAATAAATCTATGTACAAGCCCATTTTCTATTAAATATAAATATTCTCGTTTTTTTAATGTTAATTTTTTTGTCGTCCCTAATTTTTTCACAAATCAGTTGCATTTTCTCCAATATCTCATTTCGCAATTGGTAATAAGTGCCCTTTGTTCTTGCAAAACAAATTAATTCCTACGTACATATTCATATAGTGTCACATAAGTAGATTAATGTCCCAGAAATAATGCAACCATTCAAAGCGAGTCCATTGTAGAGAATCTGTGTATTTTAATTATCATATTTATCTCATAGAAAACAGAAAACTTAACTTTCCTCGCATATGCATGTAAATGAGTAGCAAATCGGTCACAATGGTGCAAAAAATGACAAAACCAAGGGTTCTTCCACTTTGGGGTATTCATAACCCTTTCTGAAATTGAAAAACTGATGGCCATAAATTCGTGCCGCTTTAAAAAAACGTTATAATAGTAGACTTAATGGAATGGAGCCTTAACTTTGCTTCGAGAACATTCTATAATGTGACACATTATATAAACTGCGTGCCAAAAATTTCTGCTGAAATATATGTCATGCAAAAATACTTATGCTCAACTTTGTGATCTTGTGCCACGACCTTAAAACGTTGGTTAACACTTGAAAGGCGGCAGTGCCTTTGCCTTGGCTCACACAAAAAATTGAATTAATGCTCAACACTAAACATTATCATGTTGAGCTGCTCATTATCCAAATTGAAATAATTTCACTGATCTAATTTAAACCACTGTGTAAATTGTGTGTGAAATTCTGAGGATTCGGCCAAACTATTTTTTGGCTGAAACAAGAACATATTAGTCCACCTTTCACAAATAAGCACAAAAATGCATACATAAATTTAAGCATTGCGAGTTTGCAATTTTTTTCTTCGAATGATAATGACGACGACGAGTTGCTAAAATATAGAATGCAGTTGGGCGAATGTTGTCCGACCTGAGTGAGGCAGATTTTATTTTATAGATATGCACGCCTAGCCCATTCACTCGACCGAAGTCAACCTTTCTCCTATGCACACGGGGAAAATGGGGAGATGGTCTTCGATGGGGTAAGTTGTGGCATCACCAACCAACCCAGAAAGACGAGAAGGGAAAACTGTGCCTCGAGGAGTCACTGCCAGAACCACCACCGACCAACGAAGCAACATATAACCAACTTTCTTCTCTCCTCCGTCGTTTCACTACCAACGTTCTTCAGTTTGTTACGTTATCCGCTTCCGAGCGGACCTTCTTTCTCCTAACAAAATCACCAGCTCAAATCCCCTCCAGTTTCTTCCCTAGTAATCCACACACCAGTATCCAATAATCAGCTCGAGTAATTTGTTGACATGGCCGGGAAAGTAATTACGCTGTGCTGCTAAATATGGGCAAAGTGCGACATATTAGTCATCTCTAGTTTCGACTGAGCTGCAAAAAATGTGCAACTGACTGTTCAGAAGGTGACCAATCTAACCAGAAAAAGTGTGAGCCTGCTCATCATCTTAAAACTGGAAATTTTGCAAGTGGGAGGTGTTAGCCTTGTGAGACTTGAAAGGGTGGTGTCGAGAGCAAGAATCTCATCAGGCGAGGAAGGAAGGAGCCGTCGTCGTGGTTTGAAGGGTGAAAATGGTTGGGTTTCGGGGCTATGTTGGAGTTTTCTTCCTCTTCACACTCGCTCTCCTTCTCGCCATCCCTTCCTCCCAGGGTAAATTTCCTCTCTTTCTCTGATAAGCATCATGCCATTCGCTGACCGTGAAACTATTCTCCACATCCCCCAACTTGCCATTTTGAATTTTTCTACAAGAAATCGCAGCTTTCTTCCAGTGATTTGCACATATAAATGTGTATGAATCACACGAGCATTAAAATCAGTCGCAATTTTTGTGTATAAAAAGCTAAACCTGTAAAAGTGGTTCCAATTCTGAAAATAGGAGTTTCTGTTTGAACCTCCGACTTCTTTGGCCCATATTTTTATTCTTTCAAAAATATCTTTCCCCTGAGAGTTTCCTGTCCAGTTGAAATATTGAGATTCCTCGAACGTCCCAAATCTTGGCTGGAGTCTTAGTCTCTATTTCAGCACTAAATTTGGGTTCATGTCAATCTCAGCATATCCGTTCAACTTCCTGTAAAATTACTTACTTTTGTGGTTGGCATAAGCAGCACATTTTGTTCACAGTTCCAAAATTTGGTGATGTGCATGCATACAAGAGGTTTGGCTGTGTGATCAGGTGTACGATTTATGTGTATCTTACTTATTTTAAAATAAATGCACATACGAGGCTAAAATTATTATACATTTCAAATATGAACGTACATGTACATACATATGCCTAAAAAAGTTACAGTGGTTGTAATAGAGATATGTAGGTGTACTGTGTAATGCAAAATTAACATGCAGACCAGAGTCGCATAGTGCAATCCTTGTCATAATTTGACATGAAATGTTTCATTCCTTTTGAAAAGACACACACAGAGAGAGAAATATATATAGACATTCATGCACACAGCTCAAGTAAAACGCTGTGTAATCCACAATCCAAGGGATAGAATACAAACATGGAAAAATGAAGAGATGAGACGAATGATAACTTCAGCTTGTCAGAGTGGTTGATGCGGTAAATGCTTTTATTTTCACATATCGGATGTTTGAATGTTTCTTTCTCCCTCTCCGAGCTCACCCTCAAACTTGCTGCTTCGATGTGAAAGTACAATGAATTGAGATGTCCGTGTCCATCCATTTTGCGCCCTAAAATAACTGATAGCTCACCGCACCCAAACAGCTGCCATAGTAGCCGAACCTATCCCGTTTCATTCCATTAGCAGCACCCACACCACACACATTTCGTCCACTGACGACAAGTCAACTTGGTTTAGTAACAAAAACTGACAAAAATAAGGCCCAATTTGAGTTCTCGTCATCAAGTACTATCTCTTTCAATCACTTCATAACACAACACAACACACGTAACGTTCATTGTTTGTAGCAATACAGCTATTATATAGTCCATCAAACTGAAGCTCGCAAAAGTCAGTTTTGGCGTTGAGGAAAGAAAGTAAGCAAAAGTGCATGAGAGTTGCATTATTAGAGCAGATCTTATAATTAATTATTGAAAGAATGAAGTGGTGTGAAAGGGTTTGAAAATATAGATATGTGCCTAATACTATACGCTCACTAGTTTTATTGCAAATAATACTGAGTGAAAGAGTCAGATTTGGAGGAGATGTTCTGCTAAGCGAGACTTGTGTTAGTTAACTAAAAAATTAGAGAGGGATCCGTCCAATTCCTTTTTTCTGGTCTGTTGTCCTTCCAGTGAAGATCGGAGATGAGGATACTATGCACTTGATACCGGGATATATTTATATATGTACAAACAAACGAACGTAGGGAAAAGTGAACGAGAAAACCAGACTGGAATATACACGCGTTTCACTTTAGCTCTGATAATTCGTCTCAACTCAACTCTGATTTTAAGTCAGTTAGATCTTCGACTTTTCTCTTGAGCGTTTTACCATTACCAGCTCTTCCACTTCACTCCAGTCCCCAATTCATCAACAAAAAGTAAGCTGCGGTTGTTTGTCTGTGTTGTAGTTTAATCATTCATTTCATTCAAGCGGCTGAAGTTCCATAGACAGGCAAATGGCATAAACACAAATCAATAACGTCCGTCGAACAAGACCAGAAAAAACATTATTTTGTTAAAACAGAGTTGTTTCCCATATCAAGCAAACCATAACAAATGTTTACATGTTTTAAACCCGCTGATTAGCGTAACTTTGTAGTATTACATTTATCCACAAGGTTTGTCACCATCAGCAAAAAACTAAATGGAGCCCGCAGATGAGATAGCATATGGGTCGCAAGGAAATACTTTTATCGCAACACTAGTTCTATGTGACAACAGATAAATAATTGAGTTTCAGAGAAAAGTGTGTGATTTTGGCCAGGTTATTAGAAATGTGGTGGTTGGTGTTTGAGGAAGGTGAAGAAGAAGTATAAGGTGTGGATGAGGAAACATTGTAGTGTAAGCATGTATATACCATTCCCAACACCAGCGACCATGTTTTTTGGTGATGACAAAAATCAGGGTGAGAATGAAATAGATGTGGAAGGGCTCAAGAAATGATAGGAGGGCGAAGAGATACACAGATGGTTCTTCTTCTAATACACCACAACGTGCTGGAAGAAATAAGAAATATCACGCGTTGAGGGAAATTGGTGTCAGCAGTCAGCACGTGCTTACAAACACCCCCGTTATCCCATACCAACCATCCACTTGCATTCTCGTGTACGTGTATTATGTTCCGAGGTACATATACGAAAAAATCCCATTTGAACAAATTTATCGGGTGATAAATTCAAAAATTAAGACATACTTAAAGCCAACTCTCCCAAGTGAAAGTCTCATCTCATTCACCGTGTTAATGGATGTGTGAGTGGGATGGAGCTGGTGGTGGTGGTGGTGTTGATGTGGGTTTGATCAACATGCTTTCCCTGCTTTCTCCGTATGTGCTGCATGTATGTGTGTGGGTGTGGGTGGAATGGAGTCGAACTGCTCTTAAATGTCTAAATAACTGTGCCTCCACTTACTCCCACCCAGCTTTTGCTTTCTTTTAGAAACGACTCATATAATAATGCGTCTTGATCCCATGGACTTAGCAAGAAAAGAATCTGCTGCTGCTTCTCAATGTCCTGAAAGTTACGCTACAAGCATGTGAAATATTGCTGAAAATTAGAAAATAATGGTCCTTCCATTTGTTCTTCTTATTTTCTTCACGCGCTCACAGTTTGTAATTAGAAATGTTTCACATTAATTCTTTTGTTACTTACTACTTTTGTTAATAAGCACTAATAATAAAAAATACTTATTCGCTGCATTCGTGTGCATTGTGCAATACTATAAAAATTCTTGAGATTTTTTTGTCGTTTGCACCTCTTCGCAAGTTACATCACTAATATCTAATTAGCCTTATATATATGTAGAAATATGGCTTTTTGGCATGCACGGAATATCACAGCCATCAAAGTTTAAGAAAACTTATCATTCTACTCTAGTCTAGATTCATAATTCCTGCCCTCGATTTGGGTGCTGACACGGTTCATTTGTCCATTTGATATTTGCATTAGCAGAGCTCAAGGTTTGCATATTAATAATTGCGGGCCAAGTACATTTTAGAGCACGTGAGCTGTACCCATTTAGTAAATGATGAACTGATTATTCGTGCAAGAGACCAACATGGAATGGATCATAGAAAGTGAGACCCGGATTGTACTTAGCACTTCAAACAGCACCTAAGATGTCGCAGATCACATAATGGGCTCCTCACTCTTTGGGATTTTGGCTGAAGGGCGAGGGATTTGTTATGAAGATTTCCAGAATTTCAGATTTATTTGATAAATTGGAGAAACGTGTTCGGTTTCCCATCTGAATTTCGGCCTTTGGTGTGAATATCCCCCACACACTATTCTCCCGTCCATATTCAAGCTCGGAAATGCAATCTGGCCATCTCATCATCATGTTTTTTGACAGGGATAGGGCAGGAAAGTAGATGAAAGACACACACATACATACATATACACAGGGAGAGACGAGGATGGAAATGTAGAGATGAGAAATTCCCATGATCATACATATAATTCAGGCGTACATTTTTGTAAATCTGTATGGTTGGCTCATTATTACGTATCGCAACTGGAAGCCACGTTCTAGTATGTCATACTTATTTAAATAGTTCGACAATAGATTTGCATAGTTCTTTAATAACATATATGTATTATTAATATAATATGTAAACTAATAATATTACTCTATGCACAATATTTCTTATTTACATTGTCTCTTCACATGTGACTGTATTAAAAATATTAAGCATATGAAGTGGACACTCTGCTTGTGCTACTGGCAAAAGTAAATATATTTGCTCGTTTCCCATTTACAACAACCGTTGGATCTTGCACCTTTTGCAGCCCCGTTGACTGTAAAATTAGATCACCATCATCCCTTGAGTAGCGAGACCACAAAAAATCAGATACGGAGGAGCCTTAGTTGAAGGGTTAATTCCATCTCCTCCGCCGCCCGTTGTTGAGATCACAAGAGGCAAACGAATAGTGAAAGCAAAACAAAGTTATGAAGCTGCTGCTGCTGTTGCACTGGATTTTGAGACTTAAACTTGATTTCACAGAACATTACCCAGGTTCATCGGACCATGGGATATTGTTATGTTGTTCTGCTCCTACTACTTCCATGCCTCTGAAATCCAAACCCTAAACAGCAAAAATTGCAACATGTATAGAGTATATCGCAAACTATTGATGTGCGGACTTTCTCCTGATTATGACTTATCCCTAAAAAGCAATTGCTAAACTGTTATGACCATCGAAAATGGAGGTTTATGAGGTTGTTAACGAGTATTAACAGAGTGGCTTCCATATTCATAAAAACACTAAAGAAAGTGGTCAAAGATGGGCACTCAAGTATTGCATCGTTACAATTTTAGATCGTCGGTTATGCTTCCACTATCAAATTACATGAGTGTCATTATTGTAATCAGTCAGTAAAATAAAGTGATGAAAGAAATATGATAATTTTGATGACAAATTTAAACTAACGATGAATATCATATTGACTGTTTTCAGGTCGTCGAGGTAGAAGCCGAAGGACAGACGACATGGACGACTTTGATATTGGTAAGTTTCATCATGCGTACATATGTGCATACTAATATATACTCATGTCTAGTTTCCAATGTCTAAAATTTTTTTCTTGAATGATTGATGAGTCCCAGAGAAGTTTGACAAATCACAGTTTGCAAAAAATTGGTTGGGTTGACGAAATCTATAAAACGTTCAAAACATTTTTGTCTCCAGGCTTTGGTTCACTGGATAATCTTTGTCCGCAACGGCGACCCTGATTATTATTATAAAACTACGTGCAACGACAGACAATCAACTTACTTTTGGTTCAAATTGTCTGAAACTTTGATTTATTGGGATTTGAGCACGATATATCGGGCGCACGCTACTCGTGTATTTCGATGTGACGGCAAAAAAGTGGTGCCACTTGAGTTCTTATTGATTACATCATTTTGATATTACCTGTTCTCCTATTTTCGAACTCTAGCTCACGAGTGACTTGTTCATGAATAAATATGGATGGAGTAAACTAGAGCCCTTTCAATGGTCTCCTATTATACTTAAGTTGTTTCAATTTAACATCCATGTGAAAATGATTAGATTGCTTGCACTATATTTAGACCTTTGCGGTGTCGTGTAATGGTTCGACAGCATATATTATTTTATGTCTGTATACTTACGCCATAGGAGCAGTCTTATTTTCCGCAGAGAGAGAGCTATTGTGTAAACAAGGGAGAAACTCCCCTTCAATTTGTTTCCGTGCGACTTCCTAATTATCCAGGAGGCCAGCCACAAACTTGTCCGTCGTGACTTCTTTCTTTGCTTTCCTACCTAAACCTGTATCTACATCAACCCAACCTGCTCTCATTTCGAACTGATATCTCGCTCTGTCTCAGATATTAGTTCCAACCGTAGTACATAGATTTAGATATCGCATTGTTGTAACATTCCACTGCATTGAATCAACAAACTTTTTACTTTATCTGTTGCATAAAGTAGAAATGTATATGCAGACGGATGTAAATAAGCACGTGCACATAACGCAGAGATGGAGCTGAAGGAAGAAGTCCATTAGCATTCATCTATATAGTTTCATTAATGAGTGAAACCAATGCAGAACCAAATGCATTTATTTGGATGCAATATTGCATCAACTTCAAACTTGTTCTTGTAACATATAACAGACACGTTTTGTCCCAACGTATGCGTATATTTACTTTTGTGCTTCAGTGTGAAGCGATTACAAGCATTATATGATAACCGGAATCATCGCTATAATTGACACCGAGAAGCAAAATTACAGATTCATCAAGGTATTTATTGCCTGTGTGCATTAATTTCATTAGTTTCACTTGGGTTTGTATAATTACTATTATTATGCGACTATATGCACGTATATTGACTATGCAGTGCACATCCAAGTGGATGAGATTGGGTTGGGATTTCATATTTCTCTTTTCGTTTACATCATTCACTTTCTCTGACGCTGCGTATTTGCTATTGCTCAACTCTGCTTTGATTTAATTGAGCAGGACATTCAAGCGCCTAACGAAATAAATACCCAAGAGTGTTGCAATGCGAACAGTTTATGTTTGCGTATCATTAAATTCTCTCAACGTGTGGATTCAACTTTTTTGTTCGAAGAGGAATGATTCTGTAATTGTTTTGTTACGTGGGTAGTTTACCCGATTTTTATGGCATTTATTCACCATCTAAATAGTATGCATAATAGAAATAGTCAATTATCGGCATATTATTTAAAACAAACAATTCGAGTCATTTTTCACATGATTCATAACTCGTCATCCTCGCCCTTAATTTCAGAAGATTGACTGATTTCCCATGAGATAAAAATCTGGAATATGGAAGTAACCATACATATGTACATACGTAGGTTTACATAAATTATCTCAAAATGCACCTCCCTAGCCACCTCAGGAAAGCAACATTAACTTTCTTCCACCACCACAAAGATGGGACCTGCAAGGACAAGTGGGTTGCTTGGTCTGTGGAAGCGATTTAGGGCGATGAGGGTGCAAATGATGTATCCCGAAACGTGGATGGGAGGGACTGATGGTTGAAATGTCGTGTAGTATTAAAAATTCTGAAGGCATGAAACGGAATGGCTTATGTAGATTGAAAGAAAATATGAGTCGTCCCGGGCGGGCTTTAGTGAAGCCGGTGTGTGTGGTGGAGAAAGGATGAAATGGTGTGGTTGGTGGTCGTGGGATGATGTGCCCCATACTTGATGAGGGTGGCAGTCACCTTCTGACATGAAAAATCTCCAGTCCGTTTAATTGCTTCACAGACACTCTCGGAATTCTCAAGCCACTTCGTCTTCCTCTCTGGGCTATCTTCTCATTATTTCTTTCAATGTGTACATTTGTACCTTCTCCCTCCTCTCCCCGTGTAAAATCCCATTTCCTGTCTATCTTCCCTTTCCTTCCTGGGAGCAACCTGGCTCCCAGCGTTTCTCCATTGCTTTCTCTTCTCGCAGCAGCAGCAGCGTTTTGTCCGTACGTTCGTATGAAGGGATTACCACGTCGGCCTGCTGGCTCAAACTGTGTACATGCCCATGCAGGCTAGAGATCATGACATGCCAAGTGCCCCAGACACAATTATGCACTTGAAGTTTGTACAGCCGTTCTGATATTGTTTAAAATCTTAATTCTAATGTGCCACATTTTCATTATAAACATACCAGACTTATTTCTCCTTTATCTGAAATCTTAGAAACTATAGGTAGAAAACATAGCTCGGCAAACATATTGTTTTTACAAGTTTAAAAATGGTCAGTATAATTTATAGCTCCTCTGGTTTGGAATTTAATACGTACCGTGCAATGGGCTAGCTGAATTGTCACTTTTCCACTATGTATGTATTTCTGATAGAAGATCTTATTCCGGAACTCTGAGGACCTGTCATTGTCATTTGTTACGAATACATATCACTCGCCTCCCCTGCACTTAGTAGTCGTTCGGTTTGGTTAAGTATGTTTTTGATCCTTTTTACCCCAACTTTCCCTTCACACCACCAGCCGAAGCAGACGTAGAAAGAAAGGAATGAAGACGTCTTCCGAATTTCTAACGATCTACAGCTTCAGAAATATGTATTTTCCGATCATCGCGTCATAGAACCACCCTGTTCAAGTGTTTTCAGCAAAAACTAACCGTTGGTACCGTGTTGGTTAGCGCTTGCAATAGGATTTGAGAAAATGGAAAAGTAGCCACACATGACTCCCTTTCATTCACGTCACACGTTTTCACTTATCTCTCGCCATCTCCGTTGCAGGGGGACAGTCTCGCAATGCCATCAATATTACTGTATTTTTATTGCCCGAGAAATCATTTTTCTCAAGCAGAAACAAATATGAAATGGAAGACCTGTGATTCAACTGCAGATGGATGGATGGGCACAGCTGCAAACAAATCCGGACCCAGTTTCTGCATGTGTCGGCCTTCTTCATTCTTCACTATGACATGCACATTTAGATGTATATACTTATACACACCGCATCCCATTTCCCCAGCGTCATGTATCTCAAGAAAACGTTACTGAAATTCTAAATGTGTGTAATGCCCATTTTACATGTATACCTGGGAGTCAAATATGTTTGTACATAAATTGCGACTACCGTGTTGACTCATATCTATAAATTGGTGCCTGAATTTTTTCTTGAACCTGACATTTCAATTCGATCTAATCATTGGGAGATTAATCAGCGACATTAATTTCCACTTATCGTCCACAACTCAACACCTGCACAGATTTTCAATTCTAAAATTAAGTTTGACTGACAACACATCGTGATTGACTTGGGCTTGACAAAATTGATTAGAGATTTTGCTGACGAAAGTGACAAAGGAAACGGAGAGACACGGCAGATGTTGCCATTAAAGGATAATGACAACTGTCACCAGAATCTGCTGGAACGTTAGGAAAGTCAATTCTATATATATCCGAGGAGCTGTATCACAACATAATATCCATCATTTTCGTAACCGGAGAAGAAGGCAGGAGCGGCGCATAAGTACGTTCGAGAGTATTCAAAGCTTATTGGTTTGATCAAAGCAGTATGATCAGAAGAACCAGTCGAAAAAGGTAGGCGTGAAGCATGAAAGACAGGAACAAGTCCAGAAATAAAAGTTTATAAAGAAAAATAACTCGGATGCCGGATTTCATCGTGGTTAGGATTTGGTGTTGTTAGCCCCTGACGCTAACGCTTAGAGAGGAGAAAGTTGGTCTGTCGGTCGGTTAGTTGGTTGGTTTAGGCCTCAGAAGTGTGTTGACAGTTTTGACAGGAGGAAGAAGTCGACGAGGAAAGACATTACACGGTACACCAACACCACCAAGAGATACCAAATACCAAGCCAAGCTCCCAAAAACTACTAAACCAACAGCAGAATAAAGGCAAAAGCAGCAGCAGCGGAGGCTTTGCAGAATACAATACGACTTTCTCCACGTAATATCAAGACCCTAATGGTGGAGATGTGATGCGATTATGTCATTTCTCGTAACCCAAATTGTCACTTTATGCGCATTGTGACGAACGTTGTAACACGCACGAGGAAATTATCGTTTGTAACAGTACTTAATTACGCACGCATTCTGTTCATGATCCCTGAACACACCTGTATTTTATATTTCAGAGTCGTCATCCCTCCCAAGATTCGCCCAACCAATACCAAATGTTACAGTCACGGTTGACAAAGACGCGTTACTCCCGTGTGTTGTAGACCACTTGTACAACTTTAAGGTAATAATCTTTTTTATTTGAATATTTACGCATTTCTTGCCGTGTCGCATGTCGTTATGCGACATGTGTGCCTATCTTTATGAGACGATCAGCATCCAAGTTTACATGTGTATAGTGCACATACAATGCGATGCTCAATCTAACGAAACATTTTTTTTATGAAATTGAGAAGAAGTGAAAGTAGGAACCCTTCCTCGTCAAAAATGAAACTGGAAAAGTCGGAGAGAGAATTAATTGGTAGCTATTTGTCACTTTCCCCCTGGTCTCTCATTTTGAACCATGAAAGCTTGTAAAGTGGGGGCTTAAGCTCTGGAAAGTGTTATAGTGTTATTATGAAGTATTATCTATGTAATGATAGTAGATGGTGGTACTTCCTCCTTCCCAAATCCGTCTTGTCTGGACTTGTTCGCTCTGCTCCACCACCGGAATCTGGAGTATTTCTCACAGAGAACAGAAAGAAGACAGAGATGAAGATTTTATTAAAATCTGCCCTCCCTTTCTCTCCACGCCAGATTATATTTCATAAGAGGAGGAGAAGGAGGAGAGGACGACACAGCAATAATAAGACTCGCGAGTCTGTCTCTTCTTTCCTCATGCAACACAGTAACATCATTTTCATATACAGTTGGCCGTTGAATGTGCACCAATGATCTGAACAATTCAAGGCTCAAAATATGCGCTTGATTCCATGTAACACACCATTTTACAGCCAGGGGGATGCATTTTCATATTCATAATGGCATGAGCACATTGGTTTGATGCACATGGTGTTAGGTATAGAATAAATTTTTATTTTGGTAGAGAACAAGTCACACTGAAGTATTTTTGCAGCTTAACAATAACAACTTTTCTTATACTTTTGAAATTCTCTTCTTTCCGAACATTTTCTTTGTTCACACCATCATAAAACTTGTATTATGCAAATTAACACTAAAGTTATGCAATGAAACATGCGTTAGATAATTATTGGATTACGAACAAATTAACCCATCATTTATTGATGAATGTTCAACTGTGTTTTCTTATAATCTAAAACAATGTGCTTAATATAGCTCATTTCAATCAGTTTCTACTCTGCGACACACTCACTGATGGAGCGAGTAGTTTGGCTGAGAGGGGAAAAGCTTTCTCTTTCCTGGTAAACTGCATCCATCTGCAGCAAAAGAGCAATTCACTTCAACTAAAAGTATAGTAGCAGCGTAACTCATGTAGTAGTTATCGTATGGGTAACTCTCACGCCAAATTCCGGCCAAGTTGGCACTAGGCACTAGTCACTCCCGAGCAGCACCACTGGTCTGGATGCGAAGTATTCACTTAATACATTTTCATTGTTACACCGCCGAGAAAGAAAGCTGGTCGGAATACGCCATCCATCTGCCTTTTCGTAACGTTTGCTCCCTTCCACTCAAAGTGCAATGTCATTAACTTTATGAAGTTTAGTGTCAAGTGGGGCTTCCTTTAAAGTGTGAAATGCCCCTTGAAAAGTTTGAAAAGTTTGGTTAATGTTACATTCCGTAATTTGAGTCACTGACTGCTGGGCACACACGCTACGTGGCTGCTGCAGAATGGGACGAGGAAGGTAACTCAAAGTGACATTGACACGAATCAGTCTTCTCCTTTACATCATCCCCCAAATGTCAAATATGCATCCCTCTCTCCCCCAGCAGCTCAGCTCAAGTGGTGCAGCCTCCAGTTCTAGCTGTGTAATATGTAAAGCGATTTAATATCTGGAAGGAATGTCATATTCCTCCCGTGGAAGATAACTCACCCTGCCCATCTCAAGTGGCATCGTTTTCATTCACTCATTTATTCTGATCTGAAACACCCCTTTGATTCTGTCACATGTTCAATTCAATCCAATTCAATTAAACCTGGGGAAGGAAATTATCATAGTTGTACTACTTACTATATACGATATGTATATACTTTTAAACTTCCTAGTTTTAATATCGATGTCAAATTGATGAAAACATGACGCTAAATTTAATACCAAATTCGTACTGAGATGTGGAGACTGCTGTTAATGCCTGATGTCAACGTGTATAGAAAGTACTCAAGGAAACCAACGATTGCTAACTTTTTGCAGGTGGCGTGGGTACGTGTAGATACACAAACGATACTAACAATTCACCAGCAGGTAATAATACAATACTACGATAATAATAATTGAATTATTGCATTACAGCCAACAGCCTTTTGCACATTCATGAATGGTTACATATTATTGATAATCAGGTAATCACTAGAAATCCAAGAATAAGCTTGGCCCACTCGGACCATCGCTCGTGGTTTCTTCAAGTAAGTTTCTTCATACTTATCTAATTTCAACTCAATTTTTCCGTATGGTTGCAATTCGTTTTAAATAAGAATTTGATGCAAATGTATACATATGTTTGTATCATTGTAACTCAAAATTGTTTTTCGTTGCGCTTTGCATGTGCATATATACGTACGTACGCATGTACATATCGAGTGTGAATGTGATGCTTTCTTTCATTCACTGGTTCTCTTTCGCTCTTTGAACATGGATTCGATTTTCTTGTTGTGGATTTTATAGAGCATGAAAACAAAGCTTTAAAACCTTTCCTCTTAAAGAAGCTAAAAATCCCACTTGCTGTGACGCCGTGTCGGGAAGGTGAAGTCGAAAGAATTCTGTTCGCGGATCTATTTGAACAAACCGAAGGAAAAAGATCAAGGTGTAACTTAGCTCTGGTTAAATACCGTATAAAACTACCCGTTTCAACATCAATCCAAGCAAACTGATCCTCCTTCCTTTCCTCCAACTTTCTTTCATCGGTTAACTTTTCCATGGCCGACGAACTGTCCACCATGCACCAGCCCACCGGCATAGCATACTGTACTGACGACTCAGCTCCGGAAAAAAAGCATTGCCCTTGTTAAAGAGCAAATGCACAAAATAGAATTGCGGAATAAGATCGGATCCGGTGGGATAAGAGAGAGCTTGACAAAGAAGTAAGCCAAACCAGACCACATTTTGTCAAGGATTCCTATTTCCTCCAGGCGTCCAGTCCGGGTGCTCTTTCTCCTCCTTTATCCGGTTTTCTAATGTTTGCCTTCTCCTCTAATCGAATTAGAGCTATAAAACGCTGTTGAAACTCATGATTTTCAAGTTGAACCCGACCGTCTTCTACTCAACATGACTTCCTTCTCGTCATTGTCTTCAAGATAAATGCTCCAGTTTACTACCACCCTTGCCGATACTTGCCACCATTTCTTTCTCGCCCCACGCTCTCGCTTTCTCCCTTCCTTTCTACTTGCCGGGCTGCTACTTGCTTATTTTTACCCTATACCCACATGCCCATGCTCGTGTGTATCTATATAAATAGGCTAATAATATGCCTTAGAAATAAGAAGTTGGAATTTCCAGTGAGACACGTCTGCTTCTGAGGGAGCACAACAAGGAAAATAAGGAGCAACTTATGTACTATAAGCCCTAGTTGAAAGGCTTTTCATTCCTCAAAGATTAAAAGCTTTTCCTCCCTGATCACTTTTTTTAATGCAACTTATTATTACTAAGAAATCCTCAAAAGTTATCCACTCTGCCTGATTTATTAATGAAGAAAATCCCATTTAATGAACTTGTCCATTGTGAACAAAACTTTTGATCTTTGTAACAACCCTTCTTTCTGTTTGTCGTCCCGTTTTCTTATTGCTGGCAGTTATTTCACCTAAGTTGGTAGTAAATTCGTGAAAAAATTAAATTGCGCTCTGTAATACAGCTTTATCGCCACAATAATTGCTGATTCATTTAATTGATGACAAAATGTTATTTCAATTTAGATTAAGAACACGCAGGAGGTTGATCGTGGATGGTGAGCACTTTATACAAAGTCTACAAATATACAAATTACTTTATAATTTTACATGCATCTGTATCTTAAATTTCTAGGTACATGTGTCAGGTTTGAACAAATTGATATATATTTACAACGTAATATTCACCTAAAATGCTACACAAATTAATTTAAAATACTTGCACAGGTCAACACCGATCCCATGTCTAGTACGTGACCCGTGGTGAAAAATATTTCTATTGAAATATACTTAATAATTATTCGTACATTTTATTTCCAGGTGTAATGGCCTACCTTGAGGTTGTTGGTACGTGGAAATTTATACATGTTTTGATTAATTTTCCAAAAAATCCTATTTTTCATTGCTTCTTCGACAAAATTTTATTATTTGATTGCTTAATTAATACATATGCCAGAAATAAAGCATAATAAGGCAAGATAATTCAAAGTGTAGCATAATATGATATCACAGTCACATCACAAAATCTAGAATATGTTGTAATCATCCATGTTTCGATCTCACCTTCGTCGCTCCAATTATTTTCATTGTGTAACGTCATCAAAACATAATAAAAATATAGGAGATTATTAAATATGGTTTATCTCGACTTGATGGCGAGGTAGAAATTCCTGTTTTCTCTTTTTTGGTAGGATGCGGAAGAAGGGTGGGTAAATAGGATTTTCGGATGAGAGAGACGACGACGAGGTCTGAGGTGGGGTGGCGGATTAGCGGAAAACAATGGTGCAATGTGATGTGGTTAGTGTTTTCTGGGTGGAAATGAGCAATGCAACTCCACGACCTCGATGGAGGTGTGTGTTCGTGTTTTGGTGGGGCTGTGGTTGTAGACGTTGCTGGATGGTCCACAGGGCAAATCCTACCTTCCGGGACACGACCTTCCCTCCTGAATCCCAATCAACTTTCTCCAAGGGCAAATAACACAGCTCTAACCAACCATTATCAGCATACATGTTCTCATTCTTGGCAGCATATATTTTTACATTATGTTGCTCCCAGCGTAGCTAAGAATTAGACAACTTGATTATAACATTTTGAAATTATTATTTCCACAGTGCCACCAGAAATAATAGACAAAGACACGAGCACAGACATGGTGGTGAAAGAAGGATTCAATATTTCGCTAACCTGCAAAGCGAAGGGTATGTATAAAATGAACTATGGTGACTACCTTTAGTCCACCCTAACCTTAAACTATATTGGTTTATTGATTTATCCAGGACATCCTGATCCTTATATTATGTAAGTGAATGTGTTTATTATGATGATTTTCATAAAATTGTGATGATTTTTTCGCCACTCTTTAAAATGCATGAAGGTGGAGACGAGAGGACAACCAAGAAATACAATATAACGGACAGCTAGGTAAGTCTAATGGTAATATTAGAATAAAACTTCATCCTGTTTACTAAACTACAAAGGAGTCACAGGGCGCCGTACACATGCATAATATTTATATAAGTACGTACGTATTACATATTTGCAAATTTTAATTAGTCTTCGCCACATGCGTCATACTAGAACCTGTAACCTGACTTTTGATGGAAAAAAGTTTACTTTTCATTTAATTAGCCGGGCTGGAAATGATTTTTTCCAGAAATTGATGTGGTTATGGCATTATTCGCTTTCTCCGGGGGCGTTTGTTGTGTTGGACGGAGGAAGAAGAAGTAATGAGTGGGGTGCTGCTTGCTAAGACGCATACGAAAAGAGAGGGAGGGAGGAGAGAGAGATGGCTTCAGTCCTCCGATGGTATACAGCTTGTTAATAAATGGACAGTCGGAAACTTGGTTACAAAATTAACTTAGCTCTAAATGAATAGACACATCATAGAGCAAGTCAAACTTCTGCTGGCTACTGGCTGAGTCAAGAACAGAGTCCATCGTGGATGATGATTCTCTAGCAGAATTCCACCATCAACGGCTTCACTTGGCCAAAGTTCCACTGCTCCTGCTTTCACCTTTGCCTCTCCCCACCACCAAGAACGACCAAGTAAAATTTCGGTCCATGTACAAGAAGTAAGAAATGTTGGTTAGACCGACTTTGCTGCAGAGAACGTACAATAGTTTGGTTTGAGTTGTGGCTGAGGTAGGATCTGTGGGAGTATTCATATGTGTTTGGTGTGGGGAAGATGGGCGTCTGATCTTGAAAAGTTTCAACATCATAAAGTGTGGACGCGTTATGAAGGCTTCATGGAGGAGTTTGCCGACAGGGAAAATTGTTGTGTCCGGAATTAACGAGGACTAACTTAATCAGGAGCGAAAGTTGGCTGGTTGGTGATGTTCATGAAGCTTTCAGAATCAAGTAAAAAAAAAAGACCAACAAAATTCCTTCCAGCGAAACCTTTTCATCTCCCGTTCAAACCAAACAAATACTAATGTTGCTGCAATTTCAAACGTATTGAGTATCAACTTCACAGGTCCAATGAATCTTGTACGCACGGATGGTCATATCTATGTACGCAGGTTCAGCTTGTGATGAAAATATTACACAATGTTCATCAGTCAAAACTTATAATATATAGACTTTTGGCATGTTTAAGGGTGTAGAAATTTCTGCATGTAGACATTTACATAACTAAATATAAACTTTTAAGGTATGTATGAGGATGGTGGATCGTGTAGAAAAGCAGCCGAGCAGTTTAAACGTTTAGGGTTAAAGTCAGAGGATTGATATATTTGAAATAGTTATGGGACAATAAATAACAGGTTTATGGAGCTCTGACGCTCGCATTTATTAAGCAAATCCACTTGTCTTTCTTTCCTCCTTTCCAGTTAAAGGAAATCAAATTCTATGATTATGTAATATCGAAGTATGCTCAACCACAGTGAATTTAATTTTGTACAGGAAGTCAGAGACATGATATGTAACACCTGCTAGAGCGGCTTTGGTACATATTACATAAGCAGCTTAAATTCCTAATAAATTTTGTACAGATAGTTAAGTGGTGTTTATGCTTCACGTCATCGTCACGTCCTCCTTCAAATCCGATTTTTTGATTGGCTGAACGAAATTATCACTACGACAATTAAAAATTTTAACCAATCAAAAAATCGGATTTGGAGGAGGACGTGACGGTGACGTGAAGCATAAACGCACCTTTACGTCATGATAGGAAGGGGCTGAATTTTAATAATTATTGGGTTGATACATATAAGTTGGTGACTTTTTTACTGTCTTGCTCCTACAATCATGTGTATCTCGTACCCGCTCTCGTTTGTCCGAGTTGGCTATTTTTCACCGTTTCGCCTGCTTAGTGAGCAGCGTGGCGAAGGACAATAGTATTGCGCAATACGGAGATGTGTACACACATATACGTATTATGTACATACACTCCGGATTGAGATATATGTGAATGAATGTGAGGAGCGTGTAGGATAATCCAAAGAAGAGAAAGCGCAAAGAGGGCGAAATTGAAAAAATTGAAATCGAAATTGTAAACATCGTGAAGAAACGGCACTTTGGGGAATTCAAGAAATAATGCTTCAGCTAAAGGAACAAAAATGATGGCCTGAGCCGAAAGTCAAGGCAGACCGACTTTTTTTGGTGTTGTCCGCACCCCATGCTCGCTGCTTAAGATGAGATGGGTTACGGACCGGCAGAGAGAAATCTGAAATCAGAATGGAGATGAAAAGGGCACGGCGTGTCGAAAGAATAGCAGAAGAAAGGACGGAGAGAGCGACTTGTGCTCCTACATATATTGCCAGCCAGCCAACCAGCCAGCTAGGGAGCAGAATGTTTAGATTGGGAAAAAATCTCGTTTTTTTCTGTCATTCACTTAGATGGACTGACTTTCACGTGAGTATTTATTATTGTAGAGGGACTCCTACTCAACCGATCCGAATCCAGAATCAGATCAACTCATTCATTGACAGTGGAATAGTCAACTGCTGTCCTTTCCTATTCTTAAACGTCTAAATTTTACTCCCGTTTTATCCCCCTTTAAGCTTTTGTTGCATCCAACGTTTGCGACAAAAAAGCTCTTCCCCAAAATTGCAGCAGAAATTCACAATAAATTAAACATGAGCATGTTTCATGCATTTGGAGACAATTTTTGAAAAAAGAAGTAGTGTGAAGGAATCGGCGCTAATATTACAAGTGTTTTCTTTCTATTTTTTGTTGCACAATTTGGGTTGAGATAAAACAATTCAGTTATTAAACTGAGAGAATAAAAATATCTCTTCCCTCCCCACGCTCGTAGTAAAGTTAAAGCAAATAAACAAGTCAGAGGTCATAAAACCGGTCATTGGAAAATTAGAAAAATTTCATTCGCTTGGCCGGGATGATCTGCCCAATAGGAAAGTGGCCAGTCCATAATCTTGTGGAAATGGACGAGTATCAAATAAAATGGACAATAGTTGAAATAATGCAAGCACTTAATGGGATTGGGCTCTTCCTAAAAGCTAGTGTCTCGTCAGCAAGTAACAGGAGATTCTTATCACTTTTTCTAACTGTCCATCAACTGAATTGAAATGGTCAGTTCCCATTTAGTTCTCTTCGGAGGGACACCCTCTCCGATGGATATCCATCTTTGCTTGATGGGGATGAACATGAACAACCTTCTCGGGTTGTTTCTGCCCCTGCTACTCGAGAACTGTCCAAGTGGATTGAGATGCTGAAATTGATATCAACGCCACTCATCAGTGCAGCAGTTTTCAGCAGCGTATGTAATGGCTAATTTTCCAGAAGAGGTGTCATCTTTTCCCCATTACTGCGCGAGGGGTTCAAGTGTCACAGTTAATTAATTTAATTGCAGAGTAAATAGATTATTTATTTTCGATGGGTGCACACTGTTGAAATCGACAGATTGGTCATTGTAATGAGTGCTTAACTGATGAGAAAAACAGATGCAAGTTGGACTAGGTATACATAACACAGCAATAACGAGGAATATGTACATAGGTAATAGTGCTAAAGAAATGTCCTGCTTATCATATTTTATAAATAATGTCAACATAGTTAATGAAGCATTTGACTGCAAAAGTTTGGCAAAAGGTAAAATACAATAACCAGCAATAATAAATATTTAGACTATTTTATTGTCTGCTGCCAGACGTTTTCTTCGCACAGATAACAGTAGAGAAGTTTTGTTTGATCTAAAATATCTCAAACTGCTTAATTTCCTTACTTAATGTATGCAAATAGCAAAAGTCGATTCGAAAGTTCTTAAGGATATGCAAACCAATTTATGATTTCAAACTCAAATAAGTGTGGAATTCTCCATTTGAAATTATAGTTTAAATAGAACAAAATGGAGCGAAACTACGATGGTTTTCTTTCAAGATTTATAAGATTGATCGAAAATTTATGGAAATTAGGCAGTAGATCACAAAAGTCAGCGTTTTCTGCCAACTTGAGCCATGTATGGTATTCTCAAATGCAACAAATGTAAAACTCGTTTTCCTTCATTATCTTATTAAAATTTACGGATTTCGTATCCTAATATTCATTTGAGTATTGCTACACAACTGATCAGTTCATATTGGTAAAGCAATTGTTTAAATAGTGCTATAGTTTTTAAGATTTCTCTATCCTGCTTGTGTGCAGGTGGGAATTTTCTATGAAAAAGCTTATGTGAAGTTCACATTGTGAACAGAAGAACAAAGTGTTGTATTATTTTGTACAAGTCTGGCTTTGCCAACGATTCAGTCTCAACTTGAGACTCCGAAATCAAGTCAGCTCAACCGAAGTCGATATCTCAGACTCAACTTCAGTTCAATTTTCTTCTTTATTCATCAAGGTGAATATAGTACGATGCACAAATCAGATCGTAACTGAAATGCACAATCAAGCTAACGCACATGCCACTACAGGGTTATATTTGATACTTTTGTTGTATACTTTCCAAATATATTTTCCAATGCAAAGGATGGCCCGAATATTTGTAAAAATTACATAATTATTACCTGATTTGAAACAAGTTGGCTAACAGATATGTTAATAATTATTAATATGCTTGGTAGTCTGATATCAAATTTGTCGAAATCAGTATAGGCCGTCAAATAATTAAAATATATGTACATACTTGAATTATGACTAAATTCTAAGCCTAAATGTTATCTGTTTGAGTAAAACCAAACGGGCATTTGCTACAGTTTTTCGTATCTATATGACAAGAGCTGTGCAGTATGTTATTCGTAGCACGTGGAGCACAGTCTGCCTGTCCGGTCTGCGCCCGATGTTCTTGCAGCTAACTCTAACAGAAGAATATTATGCCATTTGCCTCCCCGGAAATTTTTCGTTTTCCTTGCACTTCCACCAACTGAATCCGATTTCGGACAACATTTGCTGCCTCGTCATATCTCAACTTTCCATCCTGCCTGCCTGCCTCCACTTACCAACACTGCCATGAAACTGATATGAAACATGTGGTCCAATTCTACCATATGAGTTTTCATTTCTATTTCGCACTGTCTCCGTGTACATCGTCGCAAAATAATCTTATATGTTCCACAAATAATTTAGCTGTGTACTTAAAATTGCTAATCTAAGGACATTTAAAAAGTTTCAAGTGGGCTTATTTAGTTGGAACGTAAATTAGTTGCTGGCAATATAGTTGAATCTGGTATTTACTTGTGCTGAAAATAAGCAGTGAGGACCGTAATACGAAACATCTTATTCTGTTCGTTAGTGTCATGTCAATGACACTTTCACCAATCTCAAATTACCCAAGCATAGGGTGGGTTACTTCACCCCAATATTTTTTATACACCACTTCACTTTCTCCTTCCACTTCTTTATGTAGTTCTTGTTCTTCTTTTCCACCCGTTTTCACGGTCCATTTATTAAAGATGACTTTTTCCGACTTGTCTCACGATTCGTCTCTCTTGTCCTGACTCAGTCACTGAAAGTTTTATTCTCTATTCTCACATCAGCGTAATTCGTATTTCCTTTTCCACGGACTGTCCTTTATCAGGCCGTCTCTTTCAAATCTCTCTCCCATTCACAATGGCTGGCTGACAAGAAGAGCAATATGAGCAGCAACGGCTCTTGATAATAAAAACACATACGCACACAATTCTCCCTGTGCAAAGTGTATTATTCAACTTGTTGTGCTACTTTTCTTGTTTTAAACTACTAGAATTGTACGGCTGTTTCGAGTTCTTCGCATCGTATCCCCGCTGAGATAGGTTTGTTCTAAGGACATTTACAAGCGTAGCCTTGTTCAGTTTGCATTTGGTGTAAAATAACAGCATACTGGAACTAATGCTCCTTAAGGACATTACATTTCGCGACGTTAATGTTTAATTTAAGAGTTTGGCATGGTTATGTCTTTTTATACTCACGAAAGTAATGCTCAAAGTGATAAGTTTTTAAAAGTTTTACTGCCCGTAGTTTAAAAGTAATCGTTCATATTTTTTTAGTTTAGTTTTCTTGCCAGTAACTTTACATCAGTATTTTAGTGATGCATGTAAATGTGTAGCTTCCTCAAATAATTTGGAAACATTTTTAGCTCGCATAAAGAAAAAACCGATACGCATATTTCTAAATATGTTTCAAATGTATTTCAGTGTCGTGTTAATATTGACGGGGGCCGAAAAAAACTAGCTTCATTCCTTTTCTAAAGACAAAATAATTAAAGTCTAAAATAAAAAAAATTGCATTAGCTCAATTACCCAGTAATAAGCTGTTAGAAACAGTTATTTTCTGAATAAATAAAGACGACGAGTTTATTATTTATGTAATCAACACGCCCCTGGGAAAAAAATTACACAATTTTATGGATATTCTAAATTGAAGCCCGTGTTTGATGGAATATTAAATCAAAAGATATGATTTAGCCGAATTAAGTATGTGATAAACGTCAGTACCAAATTAATTGATATATTATTGGTGTCATTAAACTGTGGAGCAGTTAAAGTATTTTCATGCCTCTCTCTTAAAGATGGTAATGCAATAAAAGCTGGAATGGGAGTGATGAGCAGTAGTTTACAGCAGAGAGGCAAAAGTAGCTTCGTTCTCCAACTTTCTCCTGAGAGGAAGACGTATGTTTCTCGCAATGGAGTCGGCGGAAGAGGGTGAGGTGTTGGCCACTTGAGTCAGTCACTCAACGCTCGATCCTTATGTCACGACGACGACGAGGACGACGATGGAGGGTGGTAGGTGAAGGTGCGTTCTTATGTGTGTGCGATAAATGGGGAGACGTTGGAAGACGGGAAGAACTTGGCTACTCTGCCCCTGCTGGTGATTTTGACAAAGAAGGACCGAGAGAGAGAGAGAACTTGGTGAAAATCTATGATTATTATGCATTCAATTCCATATGCTGCGTGACTGACTGACTGGATCCAACTTTCTCCTGTAATAAATAAGAGTTTAGTAAAATGGTGCTTTCTCTCAGTTAAAGTCTCTGCCTATACCGACACGCTGGCTTTATCTCCATTATATAATAACGGTTTTCATCCCCACCTTCCCTTCCCGATGGGTCCACCAAAGTGAGCGAAGAGTGTCAAAAGTTGGGAAAGAAACACTCTTTTATTTCACTCATTTCTTCTCGTCAAACTTCTTTCTTTGGACATTTCTCTGAGCTCTCTCTCCTTCTCTTCTGCCGACACTGGGTAAATTGACACACAAGTTTGTGTTGGCTTAATAGCTTATTCATTGAAATGTTTTCCATAATTCCAACGGGCGTGACGACGAAGGTGGGTCGTAGGACGGCCAGCACGTATACAGTGTACTCCACTGTTATGTTTGTGCATGTTGGAAATTAGAGAGGAAGAAGACTAGGTTTTTGGCTCTGGTGATCTGGCCATCGTTGTATATGTAGCATATCGACTTGGTGAGAGTTAGGACGATAGTTACTTACTTGCCACTTGCTCTTTCCCACCATTCTCCGATCTGAAATCGACAAACTTTTCTCTTTTGATTAAATGACGACGGTTGAGTTGACGATAACATTTTAACACCTTTTGCAAATAGAGAGAGAGAGAAACGTATTGAGACGGGTACTAACGGGATCGATAAACAATATTGTTGCGTTCATTTGGTTTTTGGTTTTGTATGCAGAACGTGAAAGTCGGTAAGGCTTTTACTTCCTTCCTCTCCGTGTCGTCTCTCGTAAATGTCGTGCAAAATTTTTTCCGGTCCGCTCGTGATGTGGGTAGTTAGAAGACACAGAGGAAGAAAAGTGTGTTTCCTGCTTGCCCAGCCAGCCACTAAATGCCATGAATAAACTGCTGCTGCTGCCATACAGACAGATTGCAGTCTTTCGAAGAATCAAAATTTTGAAAATATGCCCCTTCTTTCCTACCTAAATTGGCCTTAACCCATGGTGCAGTGACATTCACAAACTTTGGGGGAAATATTAAATACGGTATTTTTGTTCTTGGCGAGGCCATTGGATCCCATCTTTCTCAATTTTTTGTGACCTTCAGAGTGTAGAATTTTTAAATGTCATCGATTAGGAGTTGAAGACGATTTCGACCCACGTGTCCTTTTTCACGGTATTAAATTGAGAAAAATTACAAAGGGTAAATTTTTACTAGATGTGACGCGTAGTTTTATTGGCAAATTTATGATATTAGGAATGTCGGATGATAAATTCCACTTATTCGAAACACAAATTTCCCTTGAGAAGAGACGTGGTGTCACCGAGCAGGAAGACTGCGAAAACCCAAGATTTTTTTGCATGCATAGTTCAGCATTGTGTTTACATTCATTCATTCAAGTCATGTGAATCTTAAAATAGTGTAAATTATATCTGACGCAAGGTCCCAGAGATCTCAAATATTTATCCGAAAAAAATAACATACGTAGGAAATTGTGCTTGGAAAGCTAAATAATTGGAACTTTGCCTAATCGAGGAGCACTAACTATAAATAAGCATATGTACATGTTTGTTTGTACGTATCGCGTGGACTACGATTCCACTTTTACATTGATTATCATATCATGCCCTTAAACTTTTATTATTATCATAAAAATGGGTTTTATAGGAATCTTTGTTTATGCATGGAATTATGGTAATTTTGGCTGCGTATCAGGGTGGGCCCATCTGGCCCAACACTGAGATTTATCCTTGTTACCTCATCACACGAAACAAGCTGAATTTTTTAGTGCGTGTGTACTGATTCTCGACTTTCTCAGTTTCAATAATATTTTGTCTATATTTCAGTAAATGTCATCGACGGTGACTTATTTCAAATTGTTAAAGTGTCCAGACTGCACATGGGTAAGGAAGCCTAGCATTCATATGAATTTATTTATGTTGGGTAGTTCTGCTACTAACAATGTCTGAACTTTGCAGGGGCTTATTTATGCATTGCAAGCAATGGTATTTTAAAACGAATAACTAAATTTTTAACTAATCGGTGCCTGTTGTATAATAACGCAAAAATAAATAAAAATCCTAGGTATTCCTCCGAGTATTAGCAAGAGAGTCGAGCTGAAAGTTCAGTTTCCACCGATGATGACGATTCCACACCAACTGGAAGCAGGTGAACTACCTTTACTTTTTATAAATAATTTTGAGATCTGTATCTTGAGAAAAATTATATTTTTATTCTATTTATAATATTGCAGCTCATGTAGGGCAAGAGGTCAGTCTTTACTGCCAATCAGTCCGATGTTATGAATGGCTTAACTTAACCAATAACTTATTTAATTAGGTCACAGTGGAATGCGTAACTGAAAGTTATCCAAAAAGGTATTTGTCACTTTCTACTTTGGGAATAACTCTTATTTTAACTTGCAATCATATTTTCAATTAAAAAACAGCATAAACTACTGGACCGATGAGAGAGGGAACATGTTAGTCTCAGGTAAGCTGTTTTTAGTTACAAGTGAGAAAAGATAACTGTTGATGAGTCTGCATTATTGGATGGAATTATGGGCAAGGCGTACATATTCTAACAAAATTTTTGATACGGTGATCCGAGCAAAGGTAAAGAGAAAGTAGAAGTGGGTGCTTGAGACTGAAGTTGATTGTTAAAAATACAATAGTACAGACACACACGTATACACACACACAAACCATCTCTTCTTCTGTCCCGGTTGAAAAATAATCAGGAACAAATAGGTGATTGATGACCTGGGGTGCAGAATGATGAAAGAGCTCGGAGGTGAAATTGAAAAATCTCTTCTTCGTCTTCTTCAAAGACCATAATGTGGCCCATTCACTCTCATCTAATTAACACCCTTAATTATCCTCTGCCCTGTATGGGTGGTGATAATGTGTAGTCGTCTGGTCATGGTATGATCCTTGTTACTTATTCCATTGACAGCCACTACCTATACTCCTAGCTCGACTAACGCTGTACCAAGTTTTCCCTGCAACTAGAGGGAGAACTGTGGGGAACTGAAACATCAGAGAGGGTTGAATGAAGGACTTTCTTAACAACTGGTGTAATGCACATTTTCATTCTCTTCTCTTGGATAACAATACAAAGGAATCCTTCGTCCATATACCACTTCCATATCTGGCTGTGGTGCAGCCCCATGTAGTACGTAGCAGCCTGCATAGCGTGTCTCAAACGAACCAAACTTCTCACTTTCTCGCCTTGTTTGCACCCTCCAGATTGGCCGAGAAACTTGGAGTTCTTCCGAATTTTGATTTCACATCCTCATCTTTCTTCCTTAAGTTGTCTGGAGAGGGTGGCACCATGTGACACATTGTAAACCGTTACAGTCAATGTTGAGCAGTCTGAGCCGCTGTAATTATCTATAGAAGGAAGAACGTAAGTGGGGCCGTGTATGGAATTTATTTTCATAACACAATAGAACCAATGTGGGAATTGTACAACCGTGCGTCCCTTTTTGTGCTACACCTTTGATGATTTCGCACCTCTTTGAAAATATGGATAGAGGTACTTCCTTATGACCTCTTTGCTTGTGCTTACATTACTTTTCACGATGGTCCAATTATGAGATAGTTCATGTGGGTGCGGTACAATAAAAGCACACCAACCAATCTTCTCTTCTTGGAAATGAATGAGAACGAAAGTGAGACTAATGAAGAAAGCTGGAAAGCATGTGTTTCAGTGTTTCATTTCTCTGGAGGAACAATGCACTCCACTTTAATTATCTTGGGATTATCCAGAATTTTATCAGATATGATATACCGAACTTTACCACCAACATAATGGAACATTGAATCCTTCACCTAACATTTGATAGTGTGTGTGTTGCCCTCACTTATGTGTACATTTTGGTATAAAGGCCTACATGCACACACAGATAGTTGGAGAGCAGAATTGTGCAGTGTAATGTTTTCTATTATCATCTGACATCCTCCTCCCCCAGACCAACCAACCGACAAAACAAGAGAGTTAAGCCGCTCACTTTCTTTCAGCATTCTGGCCGTCACTCATTTTAATCCATTACCCGGGCACTTGAGAATTATACGCAAGAGAATACGAGCTTTCTTTTCATATTTTATTCTTATTATGGAGTTCCGAATTGGCTGCTTTTGAAACCATTTTGTTGGCCATGTATATTTTTCATGTTTATAAATACGTGTGTATAATAGGAGCATTGTAATATATAATAAAAGTGTATTTATTATATAGAATGTTTCTCTTATGAGGGAAAGTAAAAGCGAATATGCAGTATATTACACAAGATTAGTATGGAAATAAAAGCTTGTGACATAAACGGGCACTATGTGAAATCTTGAAATCTGTGATGCGAAAATGTGCATGTAGTGAGGTCAAAAATTTATGATTTTCACTCAGTCGTCAGTGTCGTCTACATACGCAATCCTGTGTAAAATCAAAGTGTAATCGTCAGTAGCAGCATTACAACAGCATTTGTTTTTTGCATGTGGTTTCTTACATTTTTGTCTCCTTTTCTGCCTTAATGGGTATTTTTTTCATGAGTAATATGAGCATTTTGTCGCCTCCAGTGGTATTATCTCCCTTGTCATCGCATAAATAGTCTGGTTAAGACTGCTTTCCAAGTTTTTGTCCACAAACAATAGTGTGCATGTCCTTTCTAGATATTCGGCAAGAATATCCAAAAATTAAATGTAAGGAACGATTTAATGAAGGCATTTGACATTTATTGTCTGATGCGAATCAAACTTGTCAAATCGATTGACAGAAGACGAAATTGTAAAACCGTGTTTAGTTGAGTGATTATTGCTAATTAGCATGACTTTGATTTGATGTAATAACTAAATCAAAATGGTAAATTAAGCTTTCAAAGTAATTTTACGGTCTTTAGACTGACAGGATTAGTGTGCTGTGTGATGGGTGTTTTTGCGATTTGAAGGATTTGAAGGATGATCCGCATTTACGATGGCGTTATGGCGAGCAGATTGAGTGACGAGCACAAGATGAGTGAATATCTGTGTATTTTGTAAAGTGAAAACTCGGCTCGGATGAGGGATGAATTTACATAAGATCACTTTCTAATTTGCTTTTCGTGTCTGACTTTCTATAGATTAATTTCATCGTTGCCTCGATGTGTTCCACTAAAGTCCCTGCAAGTTCTCATTGTTCTGCCCAAGCAACTATTGGCCTGCCATCAACGAACGTTTGTCTAAAAGCTGTCTAATATTGGCATTGTTTGAATTGAGAGACAGTTGTTTCGTACATACATTGAGATGACATTGGCTTTAGTGGTGATGTTAAATTCGACAGGAAAGCGACATAGATCATCAACACTACTGTCATACGACGTACATATAGTGACATGTGTGCCCACATGAACTTGTGAATTCTATGTATCATCATCATAAATTTTGATATTAACAGTATAAGTAAATACACCTTACAAAGGAATGTATTTCTTAAGGCACTACATACAAAATCGGGTAGTTGAATTTGTGCACATTTATTTTTTAATTCGATTTTAGTGACCCCGTTTGGAGATGTGACATTTGTTGGTTTATTACCCTGGAACTGTGTTGCATGGTTTGCTTTCTCCTTCGAAAAGTGTGTACCCTGTTCACCATAGTAGTTCATCTCCATTATCACTCATGAGAAAGTGACGGGGTGGGGTTTGGGATTATAAGAGGCATTAAGCGTGGAATGAAGATAAGATGCGGTGCTCGAGAGCCGGCTAATGTGATGGGCTTCCAGCTTATTTATGAGAATCCGATGGTCTACCAATCTACACATTGTTGAGAGGGGAATGAAACCAGAAAAATCGAAATGACCCAAACACAATGAAATCAAACTAACTAAACTGTATAAACTAAACCGTATACTCAATCCATCCACTCGTACATTCTCTCTCACCAACCAACCAAATTCACAAAACAAGTCAATTCTATTCACAACCAGACTCTGAGACTTACTTGGAGATTGAGACCAGTCTCAGTCCACCCTCTTCTGATTAGTCATTCCCTTCCGGCTCGTTCTGCCGTAATGGAATCCGGGTTTGTGTTTGTATGTAGCAACAACAACTAGCAATTTCCTTTGCATTCCACGTATTTGTGGTCAGGATATTAAAGGCGACGGTGCATTTCATCAAAACCATACAGTTGTAAAATGACGCCATTGGACAGCACTGCTTTCTTTTCAACACTAAAATGAATTCCTACTTTCTACTTTAGGAGAAAAGTACGAGTCACTTTTAGTGGACAGCAGTTACCGGATGTACATGAGATTAAAAATTCGAAACATTAGCCACACGGACTTTGGAATGTAAGACTACACACTCTGATGAATTATTTGCCTGTAAGTAATGCATTATTCTCTAAAAACATAAACAATTAACATTACAGCTTCAAATGTTTGGCAAGAAACAGTCTTGGAAGTGTTGAAGGTTCCATCAAGCTATACGGTGAGAATTTGTAAATGTTATGCAATCGCGGTAGAAAAATATTAAGTAAATTCAAGCATGCTACAATATGTACATATGTAGTAAGTAAGACCAAGTAAAATTATACATGTGAGCACAATACGTTATGAAAACGTGGCGCAAAATGTCCCTCATTATCTGTCAAAAGAAGCTTTTGTGTGTAGTATTGGCATCTCATAAACAAAGAGACGAAGGAAAGAAAATTGCAAACTTGTCCCCATCAGTTACCAATCGATCATGTACATACGTTCTCGTTCCTTGTTGATTGATGAGAGACGCTTCCCTCCTTCTTGTTCCACTTTGCTGAAAATCTGGAGAAAAAGAAAGACTGATTTTCTGGTCAAACAATCAAAGTAATCAGACACAGTAGTGTTCCCATCATCATCTCGTCTTATCTTGTATTACGAAGAGAGATGGAGAAAGATAGATCGAAGAGGGGAATGCACAGACAAAGTTTGTCATAACAGATTTTTCTATTTCAATCAATCAAGATTAAATTCAGGACGTCCTCTTCCTTGTCACGTCTTAATTGATTTTGTATTTCGATCTCATCTCCCCCATCGTCCTCTCTCAGATCCATTTCTTTCTACGCAATGGCTGTTTGCACACAGAGACACGGACCGTACTTGCTATCCCATCTCATTCTTCCCGATTTCCTAAGTAGCAAAGATCATCCGCATTGCAATTTAATAGCCATGTTGCGCTGCTGCAGGAAATACGTACGACAAAGAGATTAAGAAATTAATTTAAATTGCAGTGCTATAAATAAGTATTTATAATCAGTTGCCGGTGAAATTTTGTTAGAGCGACATTTTATTTGACGAATAGCGTCCTTGCAATAAAGCAATAGCAAGCTTACTATATATTATCAAATTAGTAAATATGTACGATAGTTATGTGCCAGATTTAAATAATGCTCTACGAACAAATATTTGTCCAGTCCAATTGACTGACGGACAGGTTGGCATACGAAAAGGAAATCTAATTATTAAAACATGTATGTACACATATATGTCTGCATGAATGGGAACTTGACTTGAACTTGACTAGAACTTGACTACTCGTTTCTGCTGTTCTTTTGTAAATTGCACGTATCAGCCGACATGTATGTATTTGTGTTGGTTATTTCAGAAATTCCAGCTCCATCAACAACAACAATTGCATCTCCAAAAACAAGTCCAAGTCCCCCAAGGAAGTGGAAGAAAGGTATTTATTGAATACGCTTTCCCTTTATATTTGTCATGCTCATCCTCAGCCCATCATGCCACAAATGAGTTTTTCGTTCCGCAATCCTCATACAAAGTTGCAAAACGGAAATGTTTTACGTTAAAGCGGTTGGATGACACCTTTCAAAGAGAGTTCAATTGCAAGGCAAGGCTTGCAGTATAGACCAGGAGTATTAGCAAGTGAGAGAGTTGTAGTCTTGAGCTGAGGTACAATTGCCAAGTTCATACACAAGACAAGGGAGGCTGTCCGACAACCTGAGACTTGTAGTAAATTAAGTTTAAACTTTCCCCTGAGTGGAGCACAACTATGTGAGAGAATCTCCTCTGGGAGAAATCCTTTAGCGTGAAACGAAAATCTTACCAAAAGTGGCAGAAATGAAGCAAAATTCTCCACCAAAAGTCGTTTTATAGCTTGTGTGCCATGTTAAAGTTGTTTTTGAAGTAAAGAGAGCCCTATTTATGTACATGTAAGAAGCTCACAAAAGTTATGTCCTTGTGTGCAGCCATGTTTATTATGCCAACTGTCTTGAATCCCATCTAAAAATTGTTTAAAAGCATTTATTGTGCTAATCAAGATTGCGCAAATTTGTGGCAATGGGTTCCTCAGAAAAAAAAGAAAATTACATTAGTAATTCTAAAATCAAGTGTAATAATTCTTCTTTCCTTCTAGATTTGTCTAACTGAAAGATTTGTGTGCTTACAGATAAGAGTTCAATAAATAATGTGGTTATCGATTACGAGTTTAACAGCGACAGAGGTGAGCAATGCAAACTCGACTGGATCACTTTTACTTTGTTGTTGGATATTTTCCAGCTTATGCATTTTTCATTCGACCCTTTCAGTTCTCATTGTGCTTATGCGCGTACCAATGTAATTCCTATTCACTGCATAATATGCAAATACTCATTATTTATTGCTGTATTATTTACCCAAAATAATTGTTGTGTTCATAACTGTTCATAAATACGTAATGTGCTAATTTGACTGTATTATTATTATTTATTATTTATATTACGATGATGGCACATGCGGTTGGATTACTTGAGACATCTTAATCCAGAAATTAAACCATGGCGAGAAAATTGTTTTGTTTCACACAGACGCCATAATAAAGAGTGGCCACAACCAGCTTAATCAACTTTAGTGTCCAACTGGAAATCCCGATGTGACTGCATATAGTCAGGCAGTAGCAGTACATGCATGTCTATATTGAACATTAATTCCCTCTCAAAATGTTGGTATTAACTATCCAGACAGCGTGGCTAATTAGTTTCTGAGGGATCTCTCCTCCCTCCTTCCACGGTAATCATGAAAATGAAACATGGCCACCACGTTAATAAGCTTTCCTCTGCCTAATAAACTTACCTACCCCACCATGCATCGACCCCTTGTCTTTATTTATGTATCATCATCCAGTGCAATGGTCAACGGGGTTGCACGCAGTGACTTTTCGCAACTCTTGTGGGACACACCAAACATTGTTCTGTAAATCACTTCAGTATGCTTTATTCAGAAATCCAGAATAAGTAAGTACGTACGTACGTACGTATATATTTTTTATGTGCATACACGTTTTTGAGAATGCAACAAAATACATATAATAATTTGCAAATCAGAAATCGTCTTGTGATTCAGAGTGATGTATGCTGATTGTAATTTGAAAGTCAAAACTTGAAAAACTTGTTTCCGAATGAAAGACTTGTTGTGAGTGGAGCACAATAATAGGAGGAATGAAAGGAGGAATTTCAACCACGATGGGTGTTTGAGAAATTGTGTGATACACATACATACATAGAATATGCTCTGCCGAGAAAGTCGGGATAAAAAGATTGAAATATCTGAATGACGAATCCAGTTGAATTATTTATAGCTAAAATATTCCACCGAATTTTCTCCCACTCACTCACACGAGACTATAAAATGAGTGGATTAGATAATCAGGAGAGAGAGAGAGAGAGAGAGGAAAGCAGGGAAAGTTAAAGTTGGGGTTGAGGAAAGCAGGAGGACGGGATGGAACACTTGAGAGAGAGACTACGTATGCACACAAGAAGATCACCTGAGCATTGTCATTCGTCTTTGTCACAAACCCCGTTTTGGATAGCTCGCCCGTTTTTCCATTTGTTTTGCCAATCTACCCGGACTACCGGGACTCGCAAATCAAACTTTGATTTAAGACCGTTGTGATTTTCTCACCTGAAGTGTAGCTACTACATAGACGATGCCCCGCCACCCCCTCCCACCACCCGTGCGACACCAAACAAACGCCCGCTCTTCCCCTTTGATCAACCGATCGACCTAACGTTGCGTAGTAGTTTCACCTTTTATGTATGCATATCCCCCTCACTACTACTTAACGTTGTCCATAATTTCAGCACTCTTCGCCGTCCCTTGATTTAGATTTTTTTCATACGAGTGTGACCAAATAAATCTCACCACGACTTTAGAACTAAAATGAAGGGAGACAGTAGGAGGTTAGGGAGGATGGGACACTGCCACCATGCATGTGCAACAATGGAGAAAGTCGCTACAGTGTAGCAGACGGCAAAAGTGGCAGATTTTATTACTTTCCGCACGATTGAATTTTACAAATTCCATCTCGAGATTACTGCGGATTATATGATGGTTACGAACCGCTTGGATTTTGAATGGATGTTTTTTTTGTCACCTTTCCTGCTTCAGTGTTTAATAGCCTTCAGAGATTCCTTTGTGGCTGAATTACGTGAATGCCAGCATGAATAAGTTTTACTGAAATTGTAACTTTTCATTTTAATATCCAGGTCAGAAGAAATATGATGACATGGACGGCAAATTGGGGATTACTGGAGAAAGTTCTGGAAGTGCGAGTAGTATGCGTAGCCCAAGAATTATTCCAAGTGGTCAACATCATCACAAACCTATCCCGAAAGGACTTTTACCGCAAATCCCTAAATCGCATAACGGGCTCCATCTCGTTCAACATATCTTGCTTTCCATACTTTCAAGTGAAACATTTGTCATTTATTTTGGTTGGTGTTCTAGCTGTAGTGCAATCTTCAACATGTGCCTCCTCAGTCTCACTTTTATTCTTGGTCAATATCAGATTTCGAACTAGGTTGCATTTGCCCTCTGACAAGGGTCCATTGACTTGTAAATTCTTTGAGAATTTCTAGTAGAAATTCTCAAAGGATACAGTCAATGGGCCCTGTCTCTGACCGAATGAGTTTCGTATATTTTCAATTCGCAACATATGTATAAGCAAAATATATCTCCCATCATAATCATTCCAATCATGATTGCATTATGTGGCTAAAATATATGTTGAGTTAGTATATAACTATATATTAGTTAATATATATCTATCAAAACAAGTATCCAACTGATACGAACTTGAGAATGAATATTAATTTTATTATATTGGACATTGATTGTTTGTCTGTATTAATGAAACCTTCCGATTGCAAATTAAAAATTGGATTTCAGAGACGCTTTATTGAGTAGCATTACTGTCGCGACGCCCTTTGATATTTTATTGCAGATTGTATATCAGTAATAATTGTATGCATAAATAAATCACTAAATACATGAATAAGTTCAGTATCGAAATAGAAATAAGTGAAGAAAGTAAGGTAACAATATTAGTTTGTTACCTTTCAAAATGAAAGAACGAGACATACGTATGATAATGTATTTATGAGCGTAAAATTAAGTTTTATGATCTGTCTATATTATTAAACATACATATTACCCAAAACGATGACAAAGGAACATTTTACATAATCAACGAGTGCCGGTAATACTGATTTTAAAAATGTATCAAGAAGCTCGACTTTCGAAGATAAGTATCTACTTGTTAGGACTCTAATTTATTTATTTGGTGTTAGAGTGAAATAAGAATAAACTTTTGTACGGAAAACTAATATGCAAAATGTGTGGTTTGAAAAATTATCCTAACCAACCAACCACATAAGTATGTACATGAAGAATTTATAAAATGCTTGCAATTTTACCCTCGTGCAGTTGGCAGTGTAAATATGCATGTAAGCTGGACCTATTTCATAATTTATATTTTTTCATATTATCATCACCTTCATTTTATTATTATACAGCTCTATAGAGCCTCTATGATCATCACATAATATTCCACTTTCTCCATAACTTCCGGTGAAAGCATAAATTGACAATTTAATTGTCGCAAAACGAAATCTATTATATTTAAAACTTTTTCATTTTTAATGACATTGTTAACAAATTTGCATGTATTGAATTATAAAGTGCAAGTAGGCATTGTCGCATCATCAAGCCGATTTATTTACCAAATCCTTTCCCAGCATCAGTCGCTTTACAAACATTTTCAAATTCCAACCGTGTATTTACTAGTTTACTCATAAATCGTTTTTAGCATCCACACCAAATTTTTGTTTTCTGAAACAATTTCTGAAAATTGGGTCCCTTCATTCCGGTTGAAAAATTTCCCAATTTTACTAATCCTAAGCCACTAGCAACCTGCAAGCTTTCTCTCCCAATTTTGAGATTTTGGTGCCTAATATTCCATCCACCTGCATAAATAACCCCCACTGGTCAACCACTGGACCGATGTGGTTCATCTAACTTTGTCTAATTTACATACGTGTGTTCAAATCTGAACTCAATCGCGTTTATCTGCCTCGGACAGACAGACCAGCGGTTCCTAGCTAAAAATTGGTCTCCCTTAGAGATTCCTATACTCGACAAGTAAGTGCATTTTATATTTATCAATGGGTGCTATTGTTTGTTTATTAAATCATACTCAACAACTTAACAATGACTAAAGGTTTAGAAACACGCTTGCAAATTGAAGTTCTGACGCTACTACTCTTTCGCTAAATATGTATGTTTGAGTTTAGCAATCCTTTTAATGCAGTTTTAACACCTGTTTAGTTATTACAGGTTTTAATGAGTATTACATCTCATTTTGGTTTGTAGGATCCTGTCATTCAACAAGTTACCAGAAACTCTGCAAACAGCGCAGCCAAAGATCTGAAAGATATTACAATCCGTTTGACATCAGTGCTACAAAGCGATCACAGGTTCCAAGTATAGGCTGCCTTAAATTAATTAATTGTGAGCAATTGGCAACATGGTCTACAAACAAAAACTTGTGTTTGAATAGGTGGGTGGAGCATCAAAGTATTTTAGATTCATCCAGGTCTCCTGCAGTCATGTCACCCGAACAAGAAACGACACTGGCATCATTTGGAAAAGTAGATAATCCTAGTCAGCAATCCCAAGGTCAGGGAGCACAAGTAATTCCAATTTCAACTGAAGAAGTGCAGAAGAGACCAGAAGTGGAACCCGAATTAAGAAAAAACCATTTGAAGTTATGGACTTGTTTGCAGCAAACTGCATGTGCCACTCACATACGAATGAAATGGAAAAATTTTTGCCGAATATTGGAGGAATCTGAACGTTTCAATTCTACCATTTTCGTAATTTTCGTAACAGCGGTTGTGGTTCTAGGTCTTTGCATCTTATTATTTCCACTCATTATGTTTTTACGAAAGACTTTCAATAAGAATAAGAATATTACAAGGATTTTTGGAAACAAAATTACAATGGATGGCAAATATACGAAGGGTGCCTGGAATGATGACTATTATTGATAAATTTGAAATTTGCAATTGATACTAAGTTTTAAAGATCAATCAGAATAACACAATCTTACTGTATGATAATCCGAAACCCTTCAAATCTCTATCTCATATGCGAAAAAAATCATGTCAACTTTGATGATACTTTGGTACGATTCTCTCTGTATTTCGGTTTCATAATAAATAACTGATTTACTCATGTTACGACTGACCTATAATGTTTTCTAATTTTAATTTTCCAAGTGACTTTGGCACATTCACACTTTCCAAGACTTTCATGATAATTCCAGTGGCTACCGTAGAGTTGTTTTCTCGTATGGTAAACTGTTGTCCTATTGTCATTACCATGTTCTTCAACAATGTAAGTTCTACAGTCGAGTGGTCTCCTGTGCGTCAACAACAATAAATACTAAATACTTGAAGTTGGGAATTCCTGCTTATTTATACTATAAGTAACTACATTATTCCTACCTGGCATGATCATTGTTTCTGGAGGGATGATATCCATCTATAAGTATAATAGAAATACCAATGGTAATCTTTAGTCGAGCTGGAATTATTTGTAAGGACATTTGGTATATAGTTTTACCCGACAAGCAATGCTCCAAGTCCTACTGAAGAGCTGGGGCTGATATTTATTTGTTACGGGTTTAGATCTTCCCCCTTCCGTTTTTGTGAGGAAATATATCTTTGCTTGAAATCGGTTGCATGCAACTTCGCTCCCATATTCACATAGCATCATTCCCTTTTCGACTACTTCAAGTTTTACCCCTCTTAACAACACGCCTACATTATCTCCCGCGGCAGCCATAGGTACTGACTTTTTAAATACATGGATATCTCCCAGAGTGGTTTTTATCTTTGTGTCAAATCCCAACAGCTCTGCTTCCGCATTCTTTTTAATTATCCCTCTTTTGATTGTCCCAACTGCTACGGTTCCTCGTCCTGCAACAAACACAAGCATAATATAACAACTTAATTTAATGAGATAGATACACACAAAACAATTGTACTATATAAGTGTAATAAGACAACTAATCTGTTAATGTAAAATCGTCTTACCAGGAACGGTGAAAGAATTGTCAATAGGAATCAGAAACGGTGACTTTAAATCTCTTTCTGGTATGGATATGTGCGCATCCAATGCATCTAAACAAAAACAACAATACTCACATCACAACATACCAATTCCAATTTCTTAAAAAACTATTAATTAAAAGCAAGTAAAATACTGGTTAGAAACGAAGGTTTAGGTAATGGCTTTTTGAAGCAAAATGAGTACTAGATTATTCATTGATCTGAGTCTAGCGTTGAATTTTCAATCTTATCGGTTAATAGAAAGTGGTACAAACCTAGAAGCCTAAGAATGCTTCCTTCACCAATTTCACTCGTGTCGCCCTGAAGTGCTTGTAGTGCGGAACCTATGGACAGCGAATCAAATTGGAATGTCAATATGGCAATTGTACAGAATTTAGCGAACGACACGTTAGCATTTATTAGGTTAGTTCAACCTGAAAATTTGTTTAAACACCATTACCATTTACTTAATTCTAAGTTATGAGTTTTAATTTTCACTACGATAATGGTACTTTGTACAAACTATCCGAAATTATGTGGTATATAATGTATCGATTGTCGATATACTCCTGTCCTCACCTATAATTATTGGGGACTTGTCTCCGTCAAATCCAAAATCGGTTAAAAGGTCTCTCATTTCTAGTTCCACAAGCTCCAGCACATCTTTTCCGACAAGATCCGCTTTGTTAACAAAGACGACTACAGATTCAACTCCAACCTGCTTAGCGAGTAGGAGATGTTCAATTGTTTGTGGCATTTGCCCATCAGTAGCTAAATTTTCCAATTTAAATTTAAACTTCGTTTTGCCATTCCAATTTTTCCAAATAATTCCTACACACTTATAATGGAATACCTGCCACAACCAGGATAGCTCCATCCATTTGTGAAGTACCGCTAATCATATTTTTTATATAATCTGCATGACCTGGACTAAAAATAAATAAATGGCGCCATTGAAACAGGTTATTTAGAAGAATTGATACATAATGATTCCTAATAATTTTGAAGAATCGAAATTCACTCACCAATCTGTATGTGCATAGTGTCGAGTGTCAGTCTCATACTCAACGTGAGCGATATTAATAGTTATGCCTCGTAGTTTCTCTTCAGGAGCCTTATCAATGTCCTCATAGCTGGTGTACTTGGATAATTTCCTCTTCTCCATTACTTTGGTGATTGCAGCAGTCAGTGTAGTTTTTCCATGGTCCACATGACCTATAGTGCCCACATTGCAATGAGGCTTCTCTCTTTTTCCAGGAGTGTGAGGACTTGGGGGGTTAGATTTAAGGGAAAACTTGGGACATGAAGCTGAGAAAGATTTCTTCAAGCTGTGCTGAAATATCAAACGCTTATTTACAGTATACTGCATCTTGTATCCTCTTATTATAACAATTAAATAGTGAGTTACAAAAACCTGCACAGAAGGGGGAGAAATATGGGAAGTGAACGCACAGCACTTTTTAGCAAAAATTGGAGGATTAGAAAAGCTGTGCCAAAACTTTACGACTAAACGAGGAGATGTCCTACAAACTCTGGACATGCTGAATTGTCGTCACCAATTGGTGTATCAAATTAGTCCACAAATCTTCAGTATAACTAGAATTTGAAAATATACTGTAAATTACAAACTACAATGATTAATGAATTAGTAAAATTTAGTTGGCAGTTTATCATTTCAAGTTTACCTGATGTAAAATGGACAGCGAGTCTCGGATAAAATTTGAAATTGGACTAGATATTTTCGTGAAAACAAACTACCGGATAATAACTTATGCATTTTTCCGCCTAATTTTCCAAGATCCATCCAACTCTATGATATGAAGCCTATGAAACGTTATAACCACTGGATGAAGCATCATCCAAAAGCAGCGTCTCATTATACAGATTGTTGCACATAATTATTCTATGAAAATTGACGCAGTTTGAGTCGATTGTAATTAAGAAATTATGTATTTTAAAACATTTGCTCTTAATGAACATGGTGTACATTCCAATTAATGTAACTGAAAGTTCTTCCAATACTGAAACCAAATAAAGTTATTATAATTATGGTCGTTTTTCTTTTCATCAAGTGACCTATGTACGAATTGAAGGCCATGTACGACTATTAGTCGACAACAATGAATTGAAGTTATCACTGAAAACATGCATGTCGTATTTCGTATTCTATTGCTATAATTGAGTTGTATTTTTAACAAATCGTAATTACTATTCATAAGATGCACAACCTTACATATTCACGGTCAATGAATAATATTTGTATTATTAGCACTATTAAATAGTATTATCTTCTGTAAGCAACAAGCAATCCACAAATACAATTCGTTGCAAATATTGGTGCTTTTGCATAGAAATTATGCATCCAATCAACTTTGCAGATATTGCCCATTGTTACAATACGTACAAGTTTGGAGAAACATTGGTTAGCCCTGTGAATAGAAAAATGTGGTCAATCAAGCAAAACAGGTAATTCGCGTATCAATTGTTTAAACTACATTATATAGTCTTATTTCTAGAATTTAGTCTGTCGCTGCAGTTGCATGCAGAACTAGTATTAAACATGAACACGGCAGCAAAGTTTTTAATTCTGCTAGTTGTTGTATTATTTTCTGCGGACAACGTAATCACAAAAGTCTATGACCCATGTGATCTTGCCAAAGAAATGGTGGAAAAGCATCGGTTTACGAAAACCGATATTGCCGATTGTAAGTTTAGATTAACAAATATGTGACTTATAAATTTATTTTATAGGATGTGGGGACACCCGAACATACAGGCTTCATGGTCTCGCATAAAAGGAGTTAACAATTACCATATTTTGAATAGGGATATGTCTAATTCGTTGGGAATCTAATTTCAATACGAGCGAAATTGGCAGATTAAACGCGGATTCGTCCATGGACCATGGCTTATTTCAAATTAGTGACAAATATTGGTGTGTCGAAGGTCAAGTTGATGGAGCGTGTGGAATTGATTGCAAAGGTGATACATATCATTTATCCTCAAACATAACACCATCACGTAATAATTGCCTAACCATTTATTTATTGTAAAGCCCTTCGCGATGACGACATAAAGGACGATTCCATTTGTGTCCGAAGGATATTTAGGTTAACGAAACAGAGGACAGGGAATGGTTTCGATGCATGGTTCGTAATTCAAGAATTAAAATCTTCGTTGGGAAAGACACTAATTCGACTTTTATACTCTACTGAAATTATCCAGGGCGGCCTGGAAGCAAAGATGCCAAAATCAGAACGTGCAATCTTATATTGCGCACTGTAAATGACAACACAACCAAGCGTCTCGGGCAATTTTTTTAGAACATATTGATACCGAAATATTAAACTATGCATATAATAAATTATATTATTGTTAACTACTCACCAAGAGAAAGTAAAAGGTTGTGAAGTAGAGAAAGTTGAGACTTCATCAATGAACAATTTCATGAGAATGTGTTTCGCAAAATTTTTATTTCTCACTTCTTTTTTTCATCTGCTGACCTGCACCTTACCCTCCTCAAACCCCTTGTAATTCAAGTAATATTACTTATCTATCCTTACTTGTTAGTGGGCAATAACGCATTTCCGGGCTAGACTAATGTAACTAATGTACTTATTTATGTCGTTTTAGTAATCCCAAGTTGGGGTTCCCAATGCCCCACCGGTCCACATGCGATGATTCTGGGCCGGGTAAAAGATGAGAAATTTCTCACCAGCATTGCACTTTTCACTGAAAAGTTTTTAGTGATGTGAAATTGTTACTTGCATCTCATTTTTATCATCCATAATTATATTAATAATTCTCATCAAGTCTCGTATTGGGAATCAACTGACTAATTTGATTTAGGTAAGTACATGTATCAGAATTCTGTATATAATAGACTTTTATCAAACTAAATGATTATGCCCATGTTCTGCATAATATCATTTAGCGGCGGTATAAAGAAAAAATAAACTCGTTATTGTTCGAATTGGTGTATATACAACAATAATTGGCGAGTGAGTCAATTGGATTTCTTATAAATAGTTCACAATTATTCTGATGGTGCTCAATATTTCCCTCATTAGGTCAAAATGAACCGAACAATCGCGTTAGTCCGACTTGCACAAAGATGTCATGGGCAAGTTGTTGGAATATCATCAGCACCTGCACCATCACTTCCAAGATTTGTAAGCTCCACAATATAAGTCCTGATTACATATAACTCCTAAGTTATTGCATAGCTAATTCTGACACGGTTTTGAATGTAGTTGAAGAGTTCAATTGTCCCATTTCTTCCACCGATACGGTACAAATCGTCGACACCATTGAACACAGTCATATTATTTGTTCCTCAACAAGAAGTAAGAAATTTTAACCACCTATATAACGGTTGAGTTTCACAATGCATATTGTGTTGCAGGCTTGGGTTATTGAGAGAATGGGCAAATTCCATAGAATACTGGAACCCGGACTGAATTTTTTGATTCCAATTCTTGATCGAATTAAGTATGTAAATAGCCTGAAAGAAATTGCAATTGATATTCCAAAACAATCTGCAATTACTAAGGGTAAGGACTGCCTAAAGTGTTTTTTGTTCTGTTTTTCTGTTTGAGCTGTGAGATGGACTAAACGTTAACGTAATATGAAATTCATAGATAATGTCACCCTAACTCTCGACGGCGTCTTGTATCTGAAAATTATTGATCCCTATAAAGCAAGCTATGGTTAGTTTTTTAAATATACATTTTAAATGTTTAATTACATAAATTTTTATTTTTATAGGTATCACCGTACGTTAACTCATTTATTTTGTAAATATCAGAGAACTGTAGTGTGAATCGTGTATCCAAATATGGATCAGTTGGAAACACTAGAGTATCCATTACATTAAGATCATCTATCTAATGCTTCATATTTTGTTTCAGGACCCTGAATTCGCAATTACACAATTAGGTAAAATTGCACTATGCTGGCCTAACTCGGATTTCGTTATAAATTTTTTTTGTGAACAAATAATGAAACTTTTACACTCTTGGGATGACTCCAAAAACAAACTTTTTTCGGTTTTGATTTTTTTAAATTATGTGTTGTCCTAAATTTTCACGAAAGTTATTTTTTGGACTTAAAACATGCTTCACAAGAAGCTGAAGGAATTTTTGAAAAAATTAAACGAAATCGGAGCTAGGCCACTATAGTGCAATTTTTTCCACAATTAGCTCAAACAACAATGAGGTAATTTGTTTGTCTCTTGATATGTTGTAATGTATAAACATATAACTGACTTGTTTGGTGTGAATTTTCAGATCGGAGTTGGGGAAGATAGCACTAGATACTATATTTCGGGAACGAGAAAGCTTAAATATTAGTATTGTGGAGTCCATTAACAAGGCTGCTGAGTCCTGGGGAATTGCATGTCTCCGTTATGAGATTCGTAAGCACATTGCTTTTAAAGATATTGAAGACGATGACCATGACGTATTTAATTTGTAGGTGACCTAAAGTTGCCTTCAAAAGTGCAAGAAGCTATGCAAATGCAAGTCGAAGCTGAACGTAAGATCTGCACCCACTCCCTATGAGATTTTTTGGTCCAATAATATGGGATTTAGTTATGCTGACCTTTCTGTTGTACCTGCCCCACTTACTGCGGGAGTTGGGACTTTTTTTGGGGCACTTTTCAGTTTGTCAAATTTTACAGGTAAAAAACGGGCGCAAATTTTGGAATCTGAAGGAGCTCGAGAATCAGCTATAAATATTGCGGAAGGAAGGAAAAAAAGTCAGATCTTAGCCTCAGGTAAGCTTTACTTCAAATGCACCATAAATTCTATAGGTTATTAAAAAAATATACTCTTCCAATCAGAGGCTGAGATGCAGGAAAAAATCAACTATGCCAAGGGTGAAGCTGAGGCACTGCTGACAAAGGCTGAAGGCTGGTTTTATTACAAAAATTCAAAATTTTTTCTTATATGCATTTGAAAATAATTGCTTAACATTTTTGGATAGCTCGTGCTAAGAGTATTGAAAAAATTGGAAGCGCATTGGAAAAGTCATCAGGACATGATGCAGGTTCCCTTATTGTTGCAGAGCAGTACGTCGCCGCTTTCCAAAACCTAGCAAAGAAGACAAATACACTGCTACTTCCCTCTGACGTGGCCAATGTTCCTTCGATGGTTTCACAAGTAATATTATTCAATAACTAAGTCTTAGAGTAGAGAAATACTATATTTTTCCCCATAAACGCAAAATATTAATAAATTAGGCTCGTAATATATGTACTTTAAATCAGTGATTAACAGTAGTTAATCAATATTGATGGCTACTTAACAATGGAATGCCTGATTAAATAGTTAAATATATTTTCAGGCCATGTCCATTTACAAAACTCTCGCGAGTCCTACAAACACCAACTCTGCTGACTCGAGCAAGACTGACGATATGGAAGAGTATTTCAGCGATGATGACGACTTGAAACGAATACGGGACGGACACAGAGATAACATTTCTACGGAAGGTTCCTCAAAGAGGGATTCTCAATTTACGTAATTAAAGTGCTTCTCAAGTATTTGGGATTTAATCTTAACTAATTATTCTGTCATTACCAAGTTATTTTCACGTATGATAAATATATATCCAGTCTGATGAATGTATACATTAGAGAGAGCTTTGATAGATTTATTATTAAATTAATTATCTGTGTACATCCTTAAATGCCAAAAATATATTTAAAACTTCACTTCTTCCTGTAAACATGCAAAGCGCTGCTTGAAAAGCTTAACTAGCTTCTGTTGCAACTTCTGCGGCGGATGTCGAATCGCCAACACCCATCTCTTCTGCCAATTCATTTTTAGCATTTGATTCAGGTTGGTCGTTTTGAGATTCTTGCTCCGCAGGTTTCTGAGCACTGTACCTTGAATTTGAGGAGAACTGGCGAAGATGTACCTGCAAAACAAATTCAACTAATTAGATTTGGGTGCGTTGTTGCCTGCTGTGTTGTATTGCCTTGAATAAGTACAGAAATAATTCAATGCTAAGATGCTAACGGATGTAACATATTATGTAAATATATAGTGCATACATATATGTATCTACGTACCAATAAGTGCATGTTCACATCGTCAGATCGACTTAAATAAGGAAAATTGCCTCCGGTTTTTAAATGTGCCAATTTGGCGTGGCCATAATGAGATCGCAAACTTGCGCGTGCTTGCATGGAGAGTGCAGATTCGTCAAAGACGTCAATTATAGTCATGGGCATATTTTTCAATTTAAATGGGTCAACCTGGCAGTTAACACAATTTAAGGTCAGCCTTGACGCCAGTTCTTGTTGACTTAAGGTGTCCAGCTATAAATCATTTATGCAGAAATGTATTAGACTCGTAGCCATGCTTCATAGTGACAAAAGTGAATCTGTACCCTTTCAATGATGAATTCCATGGATTGAGCCACTCTCAGTTCTGTGACGGATTCGGACTTAATGTTCCCCATGACTAGTTTCTTCAAAACTGGACCAGGCAGAATCCAAAAACTTGTACATGTACAAATATTTATCAATTTACACTGTTTCAAACTCATCACTCTAATTATTGTCAAGGGGTGTAAACAGATGGTCTTACAGGGTTGCGGTGTCATTAAAGTTAAAGATGGATGTTTCCAGGAAAGCGTTGGAGAGAATAATAGAAGCAACTCGGGAGTACTGAGCCGTTGACTCTGCAAATTTTTGAGCCAGGAATCCACCTGGTAAAATACATGGTGGTCATTTTGGAAACAGTTTTATTTTTTACGTAAACTAGGGATTAATTTGTGACAATTAAACCTTACTCACCCAAGGAAGCTCCAAATAGATGAACTCTTTCAATGTCTAAATGGTCCAACAGTCGCCGGAATCCCTCACACCAATCTGAAACCGACCAATATATTGGGGACTCCACCTACATGCATACAAAAATATCCAACATCTTTCAGTTATCATGAATCATAAAACGGGACCATTTCTGAATGAAGTGATTGTAAACAGGTCACGTACAGACAAAACTCGAATGCCACGAGCTGTCAGATAGAGCATTTGTTTGTAAAAGATATCAGCCGTCCCTGAGACAGGTGCCAAACAGACTAAGGGACTGGTCACTTGACGAGGTCCGGCGTCATATAATTTCCAGGTCTGCCAATTATCAATTAATAATTACTATTGCCATTGTAAGAAGGTTATCATCATTTTATTTAGTCTGATCCATTTCCGGTTTTGTCCGTACATACATAAATGGTGCTATGCACATACAGACGTATGTACATATGTACATAAACAATCGCATATCGGTTGAGTGAACCGAAAATAAAACTAGACGATTAGAGATTAGTTTAGATTTACCTTGCTAGCATCAGTGTCTACAGCAAGTTTTTTCAACGGAACAGTGGCTCGGAAACTCTGATATTCTGGAGAATTGGACAAATCACTAGAGAAATTCATTTTCGCATTAGATATACCACAGAACTTTCTTCTCTTGATCCATGTGATTGCATCAAAAAACTTTGAGCAAAAGCAGGTCCTCCAGACAGAGAGTTCGCACGTTCACTTCACAATATATGTAAGATCAACAAGATAATTTTGAGCACTTAAGAAACAGAACAACTTTTACCCCAACTTCTTTTTCCTGAGATTCGGAACCTTCTACAACCTGTGTCCCTTGGGCATCACCTAACTATTTACTTGTTAGGGTCGATCGCGTCACTTACAGACGCTAGCACCGAATCTGGCCCGGTGAAATTTAGTAATATTTGTTTAACAGAACACAGTCAGACTGGTGTTGTACGAAGGTATGTCTGTATTGCAGATCTCCCTGATGCAGAATGATTTTCGACTCGTACGTAGTTATTAAAAAATCCCTTGTTTCCAATCTTGTAAATGTATGACAATGTGCGTAATCGACGATATCCTAGACTCTGGCACCTAGATGACCTAGAACAACATTGAAGACTTTAGGGTATAGTTTTTTATGAAAACGAAAATTATGTATTTGTCGCATTGAAGCACGCAATTGTTCCAGCCGAATACAATTACAACCACATTTGGCACCTGACTTGGTGTACTTTAGAATTTCGGAGAGATCATAGCAAATATCGTGCCAATTGGCAATTGGAAAAATATATGCAATCTATTTCGTAGCTCGGTCTTAAATCTTTCGAGGTTCTTTCCTCTGTACGAAAAAGCCCAAGGTTGCATAGTCAAACCCATCCGCATGAGTGTCATATTTGGAAATTGTCGTTCGTGCGAAAGCTTGACAGTTGTTCTCTATACGTGACATTGATATGGCTTTTTTGCACACTGGCTGGACAGTGATAAACGCAGCTATGTATTTGTACGTCTTTTGTAACTACCTTATTTCTGATACATCAACATTTTATAGATATACGATTTTTTTCATGTGATATTAAGGTTTATCTTTGATTGTAAGCACGTGTAGGTAAATATTATGAATTATGAAAACCAGTGCCTTATGCATGCCATGGATAGAAAGTATTGATCTTCGCACACGTTAAATACTGATTAAATTAGAACTCCTGAGAAGCTACTTCTCCATAAACAACTTAAATATTTATTTTGGCAGAGTTAAATTGAAAATGAAAATTTTACATACCTATTTAGGTCCACTGCATGGAGAACATAAATTTCACACGTTCTTAAACTGAGAGACGTTTGAAAACAAATACTCAGTTTGCTTTATGTAATTTGTTACGAGTAATCTCCTTAACGTAACGTTACCTCTTTGAAAAATTAAACGGGAATTCGACTTAATTCGAGTTGAGCAATTTATTAAATACTCTTAATCCGAAGATTTAAGTAATTATTTTCCTGTATTTCACATACAAGTTATGAATAATTCTCGGCCATCCTTACCTTCGAGGCAGCTGGTAATGATTAAAACTTGTTGGATTTAGTTAACTGTTGTTGTTTTTCAATGCAATCTAAGTGCGTTACTTTTTTGCCATGACTGTGTAGTTGACGTCCATACGTCTTATAGTTGTTGGCTCGTGCATACACGTTCTGTCATCACTGAAAACATTTATGCATACCCATCGCACTCGATAGCACATACAAGATTAGAATTTGAACTTTGAAGTATCTGCTTTGAGTTATGTAAAATGATGAACAATTTCTGCTATATATTTACATATGTTACATATGCAAACACTAAACTTTTCATACAAACAAATAAAACTATGATTCATACACAATAAATTTATCTACATATGGAAATATGATTATATTAGTTCTGAAAATCAAGTTCTGATGTTTGTCTTTGTTTAACTTTTTACTAATTTTATCACAGTACAACCTAAATCACTGAAATCGAAGGAAAACCCGAGTCAGGGCTTATGAAACCGGTGTGTGTCCGTCTGTGTGTCTCACGATAGCTCATTGTGCCGAGTTGAAATTTGGTGTACATGTAGTATGGAGTAAATGAGGAGTTACATACATACATTCAAAGATGATAAAAATCGCTCGGGTCGTGAATGGCCGTAGAAAGAATGGCCATATTTGTGGAAGTGAAAATATAATGTCATTACGCCCAAATTATTGTTTAGAAGGACCCAGAAGGGTGACTTCCCCCCCCCCCTCCCCTGATTTTTAAAATGGTCACAGAAGGCTTGAATTAGGCATGACCCTATGATGGTTGCATGATGGTGTATGTATGTATTAGTATATGTACATATGCATATATATGACTAACAAATGTATCAACAATATCTGCTAATTATATCTAGTTTTATGCATCGTTATGAATTTTATATGAAGCACATGACGGTGATCACCCCTGATTTGAAATGATTACTCCCATAATACTTTTCAAATAATAATCCATGAATGTATACATAATTTTATTAACTTTCGACATTTTTACTCCCCATTCAAAGAAACAGTCCAGTAAACTATATAGTAACCTCATATTAATGAACTAAAATTATTATATACTTCGTTAGTGAACAAGGAAATCTTCAATAACACGGATGTAGTATTAAAAAATCTACATCGACAAAGTGTAATGATTTCTTTGCCATGAGACACTCATGTCTGTACAGTATATCGCTCTCTGATTCGGAAAACTTTTATGAAATATCGACTTCTATGAAAAATGCTGAGTAAAAAAATATTTGATATATGACTCTGTATAAGTGATTATGATAATGAACGACTTCGTGGGTAAATATAAAAACTACAGAGAGAAAAAAGAAGGTAAACACGACTACCTTACTGCAAATTGCTAATGCAATTTAAAAAGTTTGATAGTTACGCTATTGGAATATCAAATTTTGCTCGATATTTTCCATATCATTCCGGCAGAACTGATTGCCAGTGGAAGTTTTTCTACAGTTAAGGACCAGTGTACTCCAAATTTACATTCCAAGTGCCTTACAATTCATTGGCATTCGGTTAAAGGTTAAATGGCATTGAGATTATTGGTTAAGCGCAACACTGAACGAACTCGACCCATGCATCCCAATCAAATACACATGTACTCGAGATGATTTAGATAGTTGAATAATTTTGCCATCCTCTTGTCTCTCAATGAACTCTATCAACGACGTATGTAACATGAAAGCAACCATTTTTGACTTATTTTGACTTTGACTTTGAAGCAGTATTTGCTCAAATTGGTTGACATTTAATAGAATCCTGACATGGAGCTCGCATGCTAACAAATGTACGATTCCAGACTGCAATACAATTCCACCCACACACTCGAGTAAATACTTCCAGACAGCGTCACATTTCCACTTTATCTGTGCAGGACTCACTACTAAACCCAAAAATGTCGTTACACAACAACTTTTGGACGGTTTTCTAATTCTGTGATTATTTCAGTACAACCGAATACACATCTGACCCATCTCCTCGGAAAATGTGAAAAAAATCTATCCATGTACATCCACCTAGATGAAAACTGATGAGTGATGGACACAGAATTTTGTGCCATGGACGAGGGCAGTCAAGAAGAAGATCAATGTTGCGAGAACTCAATATACCAACTAATGTGCAATCGCAGTGCAAAAATCTCTCTGCTCGTTGCTGCTGCTGGAGGAAGAAAGGAGGTTGTTGAGGTGGAAGGAAATATAAGAGTGGGTGATATTTGCCGAGAATTCATTGCACTCGCCACCTTCCTCATAGGAGGACAGAAAACCAGACCACGAGCAGCGACAGATGAACCACCAACCAACCAACCAAACCACTACTTTCTCTCTCTGCCAGTGCCCAGACTTTCCTTCCAAACAACAATAAAAGTCTCCCCACCACAAACTACCTTCCTTTCCACGACCACTACCATACGACGGTAAGCTCTTTTCACATCTCTCAACTTCATACGAGAATCATCCCACTTTCTCCTACTGCCCCACAAGCTCGCCATGTACGTAAGTCCAATCAGGGAGCTTCTGGTCTTTGTCACGCAGAGACTTTGCTCGAGTATCTGCTAGAAGGATGTGTTTTTAATTGTCCTCGTAGCTTTCACTTTGCACTCACTTTGAAAGGTGAAAGTCCACTCTTTTTCTTCAACAGAGCAAATCAAAGCTCAAATAGCGCAAACTTCATTTCATTGATTCCATTTCTGCGCCATGTTGAGTGCACAGCATTCATTCATACGTACGAAAATATGCATACCAATTTTGGAAGTGAAAAAGAGTTGGAGCTCCAAGATTTTTAGTTAAAAGCCGTCCATGCATTAGCAAAATATTTTTAGTGAGTGGGTAGTTTCTGGCTGTCTGACATGCATAAACGGCTGTCTGACATGCATAAACGGCAGAGAAAATTCCAGTGGAACTTGAGAATCATTTTTATTTTCATGTACATGTCTTGTTACGATTAAATGGTCGATATGAAAAGACGTCCAGACATGGTTCTACATTTTTTGCCAAATAGTGAGTGCATGGCATGTCATTTCATGTGGTTATGTTGTATTAACTCAAACTATCAAATGACTCTTTTCTCAGCACTTTTCAAAAAACCTGTAAAATTTTCATGTAAAAGGCGATTTCTTAAGAAACAAGAAGTCATAGGCTTAGACATGTACAGAAAATATGTAGAAATAATACATAGAAAATATCCGTAAATAAAATACATACATCCCTAATGGGAAAGTTAAGTATAAGATTTTCTATTGTCACATGAAACGAACATAAATGGGCAATAACATTGGTATTGTTTCGTATAAAAAATATTTATAAAAAAGAGTTGTAAACTGTCGCACATAATTTGAAATTCAATGTATTTCGCCAGGTCTATTTTATAAATTCGATTGTCAGTTACCTTCGACACCTGTTGTCAGTGCGTGGTGGGCGATTTACTTGGAATTATGCCAATAATAATGATCATTTGTTTGCAAAACAACAGTTTGCACATAAGTTCGACGTCTAATGATATGAGTACATCTGACAAACTTTATATAACCTTCTTGCGCCTGAAACATAATCTTTTCGTCTTGTTCAATGCTAAACAATATTTGTTCTGAGAAAGTAGAAATCCTAGAAGGAAAAACTGTAAGCAAATGGTACGGAAATTTTGTGCAAACAAGCAGAAAGCTAAGCAAGCAGCTGGTGGGTCACCTGGTGCAAGAACCTTGTGGGATACTTTATGTAACGAATGTGGGTGTGGACAGCGGAGAGAATTCATAACGGATGATTGAAACTGCATGGTGCATGAGGTTTGCAATATCGGTGGAAATCCAAACGTTTTACGGATGGATGTGTGAGGGTTGCACGTTATATTACTCGAGTAATAGCAGTGCTGATAAATTTTGTAAGTAGTTCTCTACCAAGAGAAATCTAGTATCCGAATAGGAAATTAATATATTATACCAAATTTATGATGCTAGTATTGGATTACGCTGTCATAATTCTAATAATCTGACATATTGACAATTCACACATGCATGGGAACCAAGAGTCGACCAGTAATAATGGAAAGTGAATTTGACTAGGGCTCATATTTTATGAGAAAGGAAAGCTATTAGTTTGATTGTGTGTCACCTTGAGATTGGGAAACTCTCAACCCCAGTCCGGACTTGGTAGATAGGTAAGTAAGCAGATCTAGATGGATGAAAACTTCCAGAATAATTCTTTGCCTCCATTGAACCTTTTTTAAATAATTGAGAACATCTATCTACCCATTTTCTTCTTGCATGATATGTGTATACGTAAACTACAGCATTCTTTCTGTTCCCAACGGCCCATGGTGCGTATACATGCATTGCGTTTGCTACTTTCTCCTAAGTTTGTGGGAGTCTCAGGGCATATATAACCTTAACAACTAACAAACAAATTAGCCAAGTTAAAAGTTTGGGCATTAAGTCATCCAAAATTGAATTATTTATCTCGACAGAAAATATATTGGTCAGCATATCTAAACTTTTTCGTCATCTGGGAACAGCACTTCAAATTAAATTATACGTAACATTTAATTTTAATACCGAGAAAAGTTGTAGTTTTCAACCCGCTTGTGTCAGATACACAGTTCTTGTTGCTGAATTTTTCATTAAACAAAGACTTGCCACGCAGTTACGAGATATTAAATATGTAAGTATTTATTGCGGTATCATACGCTTTGTTGGGAGCAAATTATCCACGACAATATTGATTATCGTTAGAAATTGTACGTTCTTTGGAAGATGTCGGATTAACCGGTTGGCATTCTCAAAGATTAAGCATTCATATATCCTCTAAATACGTTATACGTTTACAAACTTTAGAGCTAATGTTGACCAAATAATTTGACTGTAATCAACATGGATTTTTTACTGAATTTTTTTTGTTTAATTTACAAGGTTTGTATAATTTGCTACACGGAGGAATAATTTAATTTTACATCCAATGCCCTTACTATTCAGCTTTATACATATTTCTCAATTAGGAAGGAATGGGGGATTGTTGTTGTTGTTGTCCAAATCCTCAGAGGAATTATTCAGTACAAAGGTTATTTAAATTCGAGTGTCCAAAACTTGCCTGTCGTAAATTCAGAGCAGGTGAAAGTGCAAATATTTTCTTACTAACTAATCTACATGCATATCGGAGGAAACAAGTCCAAATTAAATGAAAGACACCCACCCAGAAATTTTCATTATACTGTTTTATGGGCAAAGTAAATAAAAGATTCGCTGCAAATGTGAAGCTGTATTCATTCAATCCCCATCCATCCATTTACTGTTTGAGCACTTAAAAGCTTTCTCCGTGGTGCCCAATCTACTCTCAGACCGTCTCACTACCATCATTTCGTCTAACGTTCTTTCAGCCAGAATAACGAAAGAAACCTAACCATCTGCTGAATGGTGACGATGAAGGCAGGGAAAGCTTATTCGCATGGTGAGCTTCACCAGTTGTTCATTCAAATTGTAGTGAAAGAGAAAAGACATCTCTTGGAGCAACATTTTACTGGAAGTGGGTGCAGTGCATACAGAATTCGTATACATTTGGGTCTGCGTCATCTTGAAATTACAGATCCTAGTCTGTGTCGTTTGTTTATCCAATTTTATGTATTTGTATGCAAATAATGAATGGGCCTATAACACATCCTACATTAATTCTGGACGTTCAGGGTAGCTCTTACCTACCTTCACAATTGTGTGCACGGTGGCTGACTGAGTGAGTATTATTTGTTGTGCTTTCAAGTTAAATTCTAAAGAAAAGACACTCGATATGGAGTATTTTTTCTGTTGAATGCTAATCCCTCACTTCTCAATTGCATCGATTTAAAAGAAATGGAGAAATTATTCAACAGCAATAAATTCCGTAAAGAAAGATTAATTCAACCATAACTTTCCCCATCGATAGTGCATACATACTTGCTGCATTGTCTGTATTGCTAGTAATGACGGGTGAAGACAATAAGTTCATTGAAATTCACTCGTGCTTGGGCTTTTGGTCTTCAACTAGGACTAGAATTATGAAAACATATCTTGATAATTACACTGATATCACCCGAGAGAGGATAAATTAGGCCTGTGAAGGTTCATAATAACGGCTCCTCGTTTAATATGGTTTTGAATTACATGGGCAGGTAATTCTAGCCCTTAGCTTCCAATGAGAAGAATCCAGTTGCTTTCACTTTCACTTATTGTTACGAATGTACAATAAGATAATCAGACATGACCATGTCTGAAGTCTGAATTAATAATGATGAAACTTGAGTCGTGTAAATAAAGCAAGCATTCCTGGGAAAGAAGTTGCAAACCTTGTTTAGGAACTCATCTTGCAAAATAATGCTGTGCAATTTATTTCAAACCATTGTGCCAACTACATACATATGCTTTTGTAGTTAGCACAATTAAAAACAGTTCCTAACGGCTGTAAGTATAATTAAATTAAATATAGAGACCACAGAGATTTATGTCCATACTGTATGCATGCTAAAAGTATTTAATGTAAATACTAATCCTTATGGTAGAGTACGTGCTTATCCCAACCTTATTCTTTCGTATATATGTACATATATATATATTATACATGCAAATAGACACATGTATGCATCTATTTACATATGAACATATATATAAATGTATACGCGTGAATTTGCCAATCCCGGAATACACCTAGCATATTACAATTCTAACAAACCGTATTATGCTATACATATTTTCATTACTTTCTTAACGTTCCAGGAACTTTTATAATTGACTCTCTACCTTCGCATCACTTGGCACTACTTTGGCAGTTGTACTTTGTAGTTCGTAAATTAAACATGTTGCGTACATTTTATAGTAGTGCATGAATACCAGTACTAGCCCATTACAGAGATAATTGTAACCTTGCTTTACTTGTGCATCATATCATACGCCAATTTTGTTCAATACAATAGATAGTAAACGTTAAGGAATTTGAAATTAACAAAGTTTTTGAAATTGGTCTTAACAAAGCTGAAGAAGTTTTGAGCTTGAATATTGCGCAACCGACGAGTTCACCTAATTAAATTTGCTAATTGGGAAATGAGTTAATGTTTGAAGATGTTTTTCCAAATTTCTTTTGTAGAAATAGCTGACTTTGATTAAGGAGCATACCTATTGTGGATCTAACTTTTTATATGTATGTGCATTTAATATGGCTGAAATTTCAATTCTACTTTCATAAATATATCATAATTTTCGGCAGTGTTGTTTCACAGATGGATGCAACGTTTCTTGAAGCAAATTCATTAAATATTCGATATTCTCCACTTTATTTCTCATTATGGGTTGCCAAGTAGTTCAGTAGGTCCCTGCTTTAATTCAATTAAGGGTTTGAGATTGGGAGTGAGGAAACTTGCGACGATGGTGGCCAGCTGCTGCCTTGTGGTTCATAATAAAACAGCTTTCTCCAGCCAAGGGACACTTTCGGGTGGTATTGGTTCTCGGATAATTGTATCTCACTGTAGCGATGTAAAATAACAGACAGTAAGAAAATCAATGTGCTGAATTTTCAAACCCCACAAACCACGTCTCTAATCATTCATGAGCGAGAGAACAATATACATGTCGGGCAAATATCATTAGATGGACGACACAGTCTGTGCTATATACGCGTTCCTTTATGTTGGTCACGAATTGCAAACGACAATGTGCTGTACTCTCAGCTTCGTGACGCTAAATAGAATCAAACAGTATTAAGCGATGAAGGGTGAGTTGAGCTTGTTCAAGCCTTGTTAGTGACGACATTGGTGATCATGGAAGGAAACCACCAAACCTTAAGTGCTTCCATAATGAGTGCCTTTTGTAATTAGTTATTTGATGTCGACCTTCTGAATTTATCAAGACGCCAAGAAATTGCTAGGATTAGTTGTGTCGGACAAGGGTTAGCGTTGTATCAAAATTTTATTCAAGCTTGTTCTACATACTTTTACTATGATGCGTACATACATAATAAGCCTCTGCATTCTCTGAGCTGAGCTACATAATAATATTTTTTTACCCTAGACTTAACATGGATCTTATGAACTTATATTGTACTATATTCTTAGTGTGATCATAATATCGGTAAAAATATCTGTTGAGAAATGAATTATTCGAAAAAGTAAAGCATCTTACAAAAAGACTGGTGAGGGAACATTTGTCATAAATTTAAATAAGTAGATGTCAAATAATAGTCATGAGAGAGGAAAATTGTTATATACTTGAAGTGGTCCCATTGATGACGGATGGTCCATGCTCGAGACCGAACTTTTCAAATATGCCGATGAAGGCTTCACAGAGTGAGATTATAAAAATTGCCACAAAAAAGGCAATGTTCCACCGTTTTGCGACAGTGTGATTGATCTCTTCGTTCAAATCCAATTGTCTGAAGGTAAACAGACCGATGGCAATAATTACCTGCAACAAATGAGTATCAAGATAATTAGGTTCCCTTCTGCCATTATAAATATGTATGTAGCTTTTAATCGTTGAGTATTCATTACTTGGAAAATGATTGTCCCCACCAAGAACCAACAGAAGAACTGCGTCAAGGGGTTATCATTCACATTTGTACTCTTGAGCAGAGCCACCAAAGCAGCAATGTGGGTGGTGACCGATCCCAAATCCATCACCAACTGCCCACTTGTCTTAAGGGTCGCATACTTGTGGAAATTCTTCATGGTTGTCATATCCGTTCAGACAAAAAAAAATTGTAAGTTTAAAACTACTCATGCATACGCTTCGGCTAAAATTTATTTCGTACACATTGGCTCAAAAATATAAATTTATAGCTACAACAAATATGTTATAAATTGCAAACTCACCATGGACAATTCCCGAAGTGAAAGTAGTCCCAAGTAGCAGAAAAAAACACTGGTTTGTGATAAGTTATGAAATGAAACTGCCTAAAATCTCACTATTGGGACAATCAGAGTGTAAAACTAGCGATCTTTTAGTGGATAAGGGATCCAACGTAAATCTCTTTGCATTTGTGCAAGAGTATGATTCATTAAAGTGGTGATGGGATCAACCACCCCTGAAAGATATAGACACACGCAGATTAACAGTCAGTGGCTACTTGGCGATATACATATCCGAAGCACTGTTGCTGGTTGCAAAGAGTCGCTGATGTTGGCCAGGGTAGGCTTGCATTGTTGCATTGCATGTTTTGGGGCTTGATCTGCACCATAATAATACGACCAAGCACAAAAATGCATTGGAGGAACCTGTTAAGGAAACTGACTGTGCATTCCATATCCTCGCCCCCAACAACCCTATTTTCCCATGCTGAAATCCAACAACAAAGGCTGAGACAGTGTGATCTCCGAGTATGCAAAAACTTTGACACACTTTATGTACAAGCACTTTGATGGTCAATTTAATGTGAGTCATAGTAAAAGTCTATGTATTTATCTATTTATAGAAATGTCGTATTTTTCTGTTTAATTATTTTGATTAAGAGACAATTTGCCATTTGACTTGAGAATGTGTCATGGGTTGTGGAACGGGACATGGATCTCGTGCATGCCGGGCAGGAAATTCTTCCATATTCCTAAATAACACGAAATACAGAAAATTTGCAGAATTGCATAGGCTTCTTTTTCGTCCTTTATACGTATACACACATGCTGGCCAAAAGTTGTTTAATGGAATTGGCCCTCCCATTTGACTTCAATTCAACTCGAGCCTTTATTTTAATAGAAATCATGATTTTCTTTCTACACTACAGTATCACAAAAGTTGTATTTTGCAACTTGTTCCATATCTCATTCACATCAATGTCAGCAATGATGATGGTTGTGCATGGGGTCGAATTAACTGCTGAGGAAGTCTCAAAAGTCAAGTTCCCGAAAAGTTGTTGGAGAGAACGGGAGAAAGTTTGACGACTTTTGTTCGATGTTCTCCAAAGCTAATTCTAAATCTTCCGCTTCGTTTGCCTCCTTTCAGATGCATGGAGACGTCTAATCCATCGTCTTGTGAGAAGGAGGACACACTTGACAGAGAGTTCGAGTTCCTGGTGATTGAAAGAATCTTTCGACTTTGAACTCGAAATGGGAAATGACGTGATGTTTACTCACAACTATCCGCAGATTGAAAGGGACAATGTACCGGACGCACGAGAGAAACAAGAGAAAGATCTAAAAGATTGCCATTAGTCCTGAGAAAAAGTGATGGTTGTAGTGTTATCAAGGCGTCATGCGAATAATGTCATTATCCCCGTCATCATTTGTCTGAGGGTTTCGGAGCAAATGTTTGAGACGATTTTATAACACGAACTTTCTCAGCAGGCAACAACAACTCTTTCACTAATAATCATAACCATTATCATTAACTTGATCAGTATCAGCAATTACATACCCCAAATCAGTGAGAAGTTCCTTTTTGTCAGCATTCTGAACAATCGAAAAAACGGACAAATGGAGGTCGTGTCTGAAGTAAATCCAGCTGACAGCAATAATTACTACGGCTTCAGCTTCCGTTCCTCCCTATATGTGGACAACAATGGAGGGATTTCTTCTACCCCGTCCACACTATTCAATTCGGAAATCGTTGATTACGACATCGATGGGACTGGAGAAAATGGCTCAGTTCAGGACGCTTTTGTCGAAGGATCTCATCTTTGGTCCTTGCTCGTCGTTGGCTATTCAATTGTATTTGTCATTGGAGTCGTGGCGAATACGGTTCTCTTGGCCGCACTGTGTGGCACTGGGAGTAGAGCACGAGCTTTACCAGTTAGAAATCACTTGATGATTTCTTTAGCTGCAGCAGATCTTCTGGTCACCGGGGTTTGTAAACAGATTTATCGACTAAAATTCGATAAGCCCATGTATGTATATACTTACATATGCACATAAAATATGTACATGAGAATCGGATTTTGGTCGGATTGTTGGATATGGACTTGATATTCCAATCAGATTTCGGATTTACTTATATCGGATTTATATCTCAGATTTCCCTAATAAAATATTACATATCATATGACACGTTCAAATGATTTAATGAATTTGTACTTTGTACTTGCTATTTCCCCAAATTAATATTTTGAAGGGTTCCCAAGAACTTGATTTAAATGGCCAAGTCTACAATTAGTTGAGCTTTTATGATTATTTCAAAATTTTAATCCGAAATCTCTGTCCAATTCGATTCCGCACATATCGTTGACTAATTGTAATCCATAGGTTTGTGTACCCATCTCGGCTTGTGCAGCAGCATCTCATTCCTGTTGGTAAGTCCCATTTCTTATTTATTCTCTCGTTTAATATTGTTAAGCCGTCTCCGCAAAGCGGGGGAGTGAGATGCATATTACTTTTAGTGAGCGCTTTATCATCAGCCATACCCCGGACAAATATTTTTTTATCCTACCCTACTCATGTTGAGCTCAACACGAGTAGGGTAGGATAAAAAAATATTTGTCCGGGGTATGATTCATCACTAACCAGCGGTTCTTTTATGTTGTTATTTGCTTGCAAACCAATTTTTCTGAATAGCTTATGCGTACCTGGAACAGTGAAAGTTTATGGTACCGCACATACATCCGCTTGTATGCATAAGCTGCCTGGGTGAAATGTGTTTCACCATTGAGAATCACATTCGCAACCTGTCTGCAATAATAAGGTGGGCTCACCTTGAGGAGCACGCAGGGTTGAACTGTTGACCCCAAATTTCATTGTGCATTTAGGAATGGAGCGGTCGTGGTCGCCCATGAAGTTGCAATCTGGTCGAATTGTGGTGCGACACAGACCTCCCGTGTCGACTTTCATTGAATACGAGCTGGCGGAATAGGAGAGTTAAGTAAAGCTTCATAAGCCTCCTGCTGCGTTTCCAAGTGCATAGATTCATTGTCTTCTTGCTCTGCTTATTTTGAGTTTGGATTAAATCTTCATCCAAACCTTTCCCTCTCTGACATTTCTGTCATTTCTGGGAAAGCAATAAGAAAAAACATATTTCACAGAGATTCACCAGGCCGGGCTTTGATTGAATGTCAGCCAAATTATGGATCAACTTGAAATCCAATAACAAGGAGTAGGCGGAAGGAAAGACGGAAATAAAGAAGCAATTTGCTGTCGGCCTTGTTTTAGGAGGAGCACGGAACGAACTAGGAAAAATTATTAAGTTGGTAGGGTTGACTGATCAAAGCAAAGGTAGACGAAGGTTGGTGAAGTGTATTGTAAATAATGGCAAAAAATTCTATTCTTAACAACGGGTTTTGCTGTATTTTTAAAAAGTCACGAATTTGTTATTTTTAACTGCTCCATTTGACCTTTTATGGGATCAACTCCAGAGCTTATAACTAATGACCTCGTAATAATAGCTTGCATGTCAAGTGTGTCAAATTTGTAAAAATACACAACTGAACTGAACCTTTATGTAAGAAAATCTATTTTTTGATGGCAGCCATCTGAATTCATGTTAATAATAGTCCATAAGTACATATGTACATACACACAGTTATACATATAAAACTTCTCACAGATAGTTGTTAAAATGTATTTCTAAAGATCTTACTTTTTACTAGCAAAAATATTCAAATATCTCCAAAATTTCAAACCGAATGAATAATAAAGTGGAAAAAGTACTATAATTTTTTCTAAAAAATTGGTTCATCTTAAATGATTATGCATAAACGCATACATATTCACATGTACGTATATGCATTGCATTTATTTGTATTTAGTTATATATTTGCAATGCAATTGCATTGTATTTATGTACATTTGTATGTCTCAGGATGCTCAGTTTCCTTCAATTGTTCCAACCGAAATGGCTAGTTCAAAATTTCATTAGCATAACACCAGTCATACAATTATAATGCACACTTATCCAAACTATATCCTGCAAATTCCTAATTGTGAATATAAAGGCGTAACACTGACACGAGAAGATTTCTGGGACGCGAATCTACATGGGAATGTAGAATGTAAGTTTGGAGCGAGTATAATAAATATAATGGGACGATAACTTGGTGGAGAAGAATTAGTGGAGACTCATCGAGGAAGAATAAACTACTTAACTTGATTAACCATGATCAGAGTAAATAGTTTGCAAGTGAGTGTTCTTCCATAAAAGCTCTCCTGTCCCCGTTTTCTTGTCCTAACTGCTTTTCTTTAACCATCATGTAGATGAGGGCTAGTTTCCTTCACAGAGAGCAGAATAACTACAATTCCAATAATAATAGCGGTGCGACACAATGTGAACGTAATAGTCGGCCTGTAGTTACAATTATTCCGTTGAAACATGTCAACCTCCCAAAAACTGGGTTGGAGAACTCGAGTTCATGTGTACATTATCGACCATGCACTGCTCTTGGCTTCGTTGCTGCGAGGAAGACTGCTTTCCTTTTATGTGGAGAAAATATTTGGGAAACGAGAAAGTAATAAGGAGTCTGTTGAGTGGGCCTGTTGAGCTACAGCAGCTCTCAAGTTGTTGACGCATTACTTTGGGGAGATCAATATAACGCAAATTGGAGGATTTCCAGAGAGAATGATCTTAGGATTAGTAGCCCTGTGGGAGCTTTAACTAACAAAGTTGGTTGGTGTAAGTGTGAGTGAAGAGCTGCTGTATAAGCAGGAAGGAACCCAAGCTCTGCTGGAGACCATGTCCTTATAACCAGCCGACTTGCTTCCTCACTCATTGATGCTGGTTTCCTTTCTTCTCACGTAAATAAAGTTATGATAAAATCCTACAAGAAGAGATTAAGCTCGTTTAGTCGGAATTTGGTTTACGATGTTGTCTGGCTACACTTGACTCGCGAATTTGCATTTCGTCAGATCCAGGAGATTCTTCGCGTCATTACGGTAAATATGTACACGCGTTGATAATATTTACCTCTTTTTTTGTATGCAGCAATTTAAATAACAGTTTGCTCTCCCCACGCTGATAATGACTTTGTGGTAGCTAAAAACTGAGAACAAGATATCAGGATAATTTGGTAGTAAACATCCAATTAATTCGTTATAATTTTTAAAACATTTGGATAAACAGTGTAGCCTTCCCTTGTCATTCATAGTAAAAACTTACAAGACACACTTGACAGAGCCAATTATTTTGTCTTTCTTCATTTTGCGGGTCATTTTCGGTCCCCTGACCAATATTTTGGTATAGTGGAATCTTTATTGGGCATCAGTTTCCCGGTACATAAATATATTCACCTTATTTTCTCCTCTCGTGGCGCTACGATAACCGACAAAAGTGATCATGAGTAAATATTTATAAACCCACGTTTCCTGTAATCGAAACCAGACTGGTTCTATTTTACAACCCTTTTATTAGCCTGGAAAAATATGTGCTTCTTGAACAATTTAAAAGAGAATGGATAGTGCGCGGGGTCGTAAGTATTCAACGATTCGGATGAGGACCAAAAATCGAACCAAATTAAATTACTCTGCCTAAACTAACTCGGCTGTGCCATTAAACACGTCTCTTCTCCATGAACGGTTGACTTCTTTTATCCATCTCCTTCTCGACACGAAATAAAACGATTCCCTTTTCACTCGAAGGGAAGAGACGCCAGAAAGTGAACAAGAGATGACGACCGTTGGACAGATAAAAGAAAATCATGGACAATCTCATCGTATTAGAATTGGAATTGTATCATGGAATCCTTGCCTTTCACTTTTTACCCAGCTTTCTTATCGCTTGACTCTCTCCCTCCACGTATAAATACACGTCACGTCAAAACTACAAAGTCCCTTTATCCCATCCCTCCATAGTCTTATCCAAATCCTTTGTTTTGCAGTTCAGTCCTAGATGAAAGGGAGGCAACTCAATAAGACTTTTTCACGACTTTCTCCAGACTAAGGGAAACCCCACGACTCGAGTCAGCACTATTACTACCACTGCACATACATAACCACGAGAGCCATGAATAGAGCAATATCCACACGGCCCACCTCTTCTATTTTCCAATAAAAATGATTTCCTTTACGCGTATCTTATTCTATAATCTTTTTCGAGTTTGTCATGCTTTTTACAAGTCAGACTCTGCTTCCAATACTTACTTACTTTCGATACACAAGCAGTAACGAGGGAAAGAAAGGCAACAGGATAGACGAGCCTGGAGGGCGCAATTTGTCTAAAATGCTTAGCTTGAATCCTGCCTGTCGAATTTTGTTGTTTTCCGTTACATATAAAACCACATTATGTTCAAACTCTTTATTATGCTTGATGTCACGGGCTCTCCCACGATGAACTATCATCAGGATGGGAAAGTTGTCAGCTTGCTTTCAGTTTTCGCTGTGATTTTTTAAAAAATTAAGCCAAGCATTTCACATTCCATGAGCAGGAGAATAAGAATTTTGTCATTAATCTATCTAAAAAATTCCTTGAGCTAAAATGATTGATTATGATTATCTTTAGGCCGAGCCAGATAGTTGACATTATGTGTCAACTAGGACCATCGCTGCAACGTACACCCGTTGCAGCGTCGACGTTGTCTCTGGCCCTTCTGTCGTTGGGTGAGTATGAACTTTGTTTTTATGCCGAGGTTAACGTGTTAAAATAATTTAAAACTGCACATGCATCTGTATGGACTTGTGTATTTATTATAATTTTGATAATTGTCAAATCTTATAGATAGGTGGGCCGCAATTAGGCACCCAAGATTCGCTCAAAGGTAATTTTGTCAGCACATTTTTGTGTCAGTTTTGATAATACAATTTTGACCTGACGATGGAACAACAAGTTCTAAAACTTGTCAAAAAAATGTCCTCATAAAAGGTAGTAATCCATCGCGCAAAATTTCAAACTTTATCCTTGCACAAGTATTTAAAAAGTTATAAAATTTATTGTTCCACTTGTGTTTGAGGATAACAAATGAAATAACTTCCATAAAGTTCACACACTTTCTCTGTTGCATGCACTGCAACCACAAATGCTGAACATACAAATGACCATTGAAAAAATGAAATAAGACGTAGCATTGTACTTATCATCAAACGCATTGCCTAATGCTATACGTATGTACAAATAATCCATGGCACGTTTGGATTGAGGAACACCTTGTGATAAGTCTCGTCTCAGGTATCCCGCTCGGTGTTGCCACTGATCATAAATGGTAAATCTCCAGAGACTATATTACTGTATCGATCGATTCTCCAACTTGCTACAGAAAAGACAAAAAAGGCTACAACTCGATATTATCTGCTCAATATGGTGGCATTATTGTTTCTCTTGCGGTTAGGGATCCGAATTTGTTGTCCCAAATGATCTATTATTTTTTCCAACCTACAGGTTCCGAGAGAGACGTTTTGTAGCAATGTCAATGGCATTAATCTGGATTGTCGCAACTCTTGTTGCAGGTACTCGTTTAATTTATACGTATTATTCTACATACGATCACAAAATGGTGTTATACTATGTATCGAGTAAATGAGCATGTATGTTAGCTCACCGGGAGTAATGTTCTATAGCGAAAATTTGAGCGAACCATCAAATAATAATTGCTAACTCAACAAATAATTAATCATTCCGTAGCTCCAACGTTTTGGGCAAGACAATGGGACGAACATTCTCCAATGTCTTTGTGGTCAGAAGAAAAAGAAATGGAGGAGCACACGGTAAGTAAATGCATATGTGCCCAATGCAGACAATAGATAGACACTCATCGTGTGAACACAGCAGATGGACAGGTGAAATTTTGAATTCCAGGACGACGATGTTGGGCTACGAAACAACTCATCCTCTGGATTTGGGATGGATCAGTCGTGGGGGGACAAATCGTCAGGGGTTTGCGTAGAGCGTTGGACAAACATTGGCGTTCAATTGACGTATTCTGCCACTTACCTCGGGACAACATTTGTCTCTCCAGCTCTGATTGTGGCAGCATGCCATGCTTCAGTAAGTTACAAGTTGACAGCCCAACTCAAAGTTTTGTCAGGAGCCACAAGTGGAGATCGATTCAACAGTCGACCCCGGCCAAAGCAGGTCCTCATTGTAGCAAGAGATCCTTCAAACAACATCATTCCTAATCCACTAAATCCTCCGGTAAACAATCCACGTGGACTTGGAGCCAGGCATGGATCCACCTCTCGTTCAGGGTCCCTTGACGGCCCCTCTGGACGTCCGTCCAGAAAATTTATCCCGTGTGACCCTAACTCAGACGACGAGGATGTCCTTGTTCGCATGCAGATTCACGTAAGTATTCATTTCTTGTTGTACCATATGTAACACTGATTTTAATGACGTCCTGAGAAACAGATCAATCCACATTTACTAATAGCTACGAATTTTCAAAATCTGCTTTTCTCTTATTACATAGTTATTACGTAGCTTGGAACACTTTTATTTCCGAGTCTGACTCTAACTTCACCTTAGCCAAAGGCACAACAAGCACATTTGAATTTAAAGTAGAGAATTAAGTAGAAACACGTATCTTCCTCTGTAAAAAGTAGTTTTCTAATTTTCGCCAGTAAATTAACTTTAGTGATTCACTCAGTGGCTGAGAATTAGTGAATCTCAGTCAGTTCTGCTTCTCCAAGTAAATATGTAGCCATATACATACATACATACATACAAATAGTTATGTAGACACACGGCGAGTTGAGTAGAAAGTCGCCCTCCTCTCTGGGAAATTATCTACCACACAGACCAATGTATCAAAGCCTGATTTCGCAACCATCCTTGTTTACTGTGTGCTCATCTTTGACGATAAAAGTGGGTAACATATTTGCCCTTGAGGTAACCTAAAGTTATTACACACAACATTGAAACAATCTTTGGATCAGACAGAAGTAAAACTTTTGAAATTTTGAAGACAATGTTTGCACTTGTCTCAGCTGCATTCTGTTTCGCTATAGCGAATCGTGAGAAAAAATCATAAAGCATGAAAAAACTTGGAACTTGTAAGTTGCAAAATGGTGAATTAGTGGGGAAGCACGGCGGTGGTTGACTGAGCTGGTGAGTGGTGGTGACTCGAAGCGAGACTTTCTCCATCTCATTTGCCGCAGGAGGTGGTGTTGCCATTCCTTCAAGAACCAGAACCTGAGATATTTCAGATATTTGCACAACTTTCTCTCAAGTTTAAGTGTACATTTCAAGTTTGAAGCGTATCACGTCTTAATGGCATTGTGTATAAACCAACAAATCCATTAGGGTTGTTGTAAATTATTCTTTAAGTAAGGAAAGTGGACTGGAAATGATTTCTTACGCTTTTGCATGTTCCTGGAGGGAGATTTTTTGAGGGAAATATTCTTTTTTCGTGATCCTTGATTGGGTGTAGCAGTAGCTCCTAATTGATGTTTATATGCATTTTGCTCAAATGTAGATGGTTCAGATTCTTGCACTGTCATACATACACCTTCACATACGAAAGTACATTTGACGAGATGAGTGAAAAGTATTATAATTTAATCTTTTTCTCATCTTTGTGAGAAACACTTACGGTAAAATAGTGTGAGTTGAGTTGAGCTTCCTGTCTCCAGTACTGTCTTGAGGATTTCTTTGCTTCTTTAAATTTAAAGAGATGCCTCCCACTCTCTTACCACCATGCACTCTAGTTTCGACTGACGTTTAGCCAGATGTAGGAGATTTATGAGATGGGTTTCATCCTGACATTTACGACAGATTATCCACCCAACCCTCCCTCCCTCGCATTATTCTCTGCTAGAGAAGCCAAAAATTGTCTTTTGAAACGGGCTGTGCATGCAGGTAGGAAGAGCACACGTGTCAGACGTGCTCATTTCAGTGTCAAAGGTAATGGAAGCAAAGGGAAAGAATAATGCTAGAAAGTTGTATTAATTTTCATTGCAGGCGGATTTGGAGTCTCTTCGCCAAATGTCGGAATATCAGCAAAGTCTCGCAAAATCAGCAGAAGGAAGTCGGCGGGGCATCAAATCTCTCACGACATTTCGATCAGAAGCGTCAGTTTCGAAGACGGACAATAATAACATGCTGAAGGCATCGAAACGTGAAACTTCTATCATCCGTGCACACAGGAGGCTTCGAAACAAATTAAACGTTCCGGTTGGAGCACCCCTGACTGCAAAAATGCCACCGGCACCACTTCTCTCCACTTACTCCTCCTCTTCCCAGTCGTTCAGGTCTCGAAAACGAGCGGCAAATCTCCTTGGGGGTAACTATACGAACTATGCTTTATCCCAAGGTTAACCTGTTAGAATAATTTAGAATCTCCGGCGACGGCATATTTCTTTATTGATATTTTCAAAACAAAAGTGCATACACGTATCTATGTATGTACATGCATATCATTAATTCAATCAAAACATATATGATATAGTCATTGCAATATCAAATATGTAAGGCATTACGTACATAATAATATAAACATATAAGGAAAATCGAATGCATGTTTTGCAGATGCTCTGGTTTCCAGGATGGATTATTTTCCATTTTTCTAAATTAATGGTCAATCGGACCACCCTCAGTTTTTGTAACATTTTACAGAAACATACATCAGTTTACCTCTCTTTTTACGCATTCCTTAATCTTGTTTGTTTCTCTGATGAAATCTAGATCTCCAGTTTTACATTGAAAAATAACCAATCCTATGTTATCCCCGTGATGCATCCCAATCCCAATAGTCGTTTTTCTACTAGCCTGTTTCTGCCATCTTCCTTACATAATTTAAAAAAAGCCAACTTCAACGAGGTTATCCTTATCCTTAACATAGAAATGGGGTATTTTAAGTAGCGGTGATAAAAATATCATAAAATTCATATGCACCTGCAGGGACTTGTCGAATGATATGATGTATAATATTTAATATATAAAAACTATTCCAAATTTCCAGCACTGGCGGCGGTGTTCGCATTCTGCTGGCTGCCCTACGTCGTTTGTGCTTTGCTGGAGATGTTCCTCAAAGAGAAATCGTAATTACTATTTATGTACAACTCTCGCTTCTCTATGTTTTACCCTCCTCATTCGTCTTTGTGGTGGAAGGAGACATTTCATCTCATTTACCTCATTTATTTGCACGAGCATCTAGTTTTATTCACAAAGGGGTACCGAGAAAATTTGCATGTGCATGTTGGCTTTTGTCAGACAAATACATATGCATATGTTATTTAAAGATATTTGACATTTGTGGCGGCACTACGAGTCCTGAAAATGTGGAAATATGTCATTGTTGCAGCTTCGAAAGATTGCAGTGATTATGTGAGTTTTATTAGTCACGAGTTAAACCTGAGATAAAATCAATTTTCATTGATTATGGACCATGGCACCATCATCGTAAGAAGGAATTGGACCGTAATTTGTAATTGAACAGAGCAACCGAAGTTGGATGTTCAAGTCCTATTCAGCTCATAGCGCAATGCGTATCTTCCTCGTCCAGTTTCAACGTTCTTAAAAGAAGTACACATTTCAATGGAAAAGAGTGAGACTGTGACGTCTCGTCTTTGCAATAGAAGGCCTACATAGTTTTTATATAGACCCAGATAGGTCTTATTTGAAGTCTCAATTTTATCATGAAACATGATTACACTTTCTATTAGAAAATCTTCGTTATTGCGTGATCTGAACCCAGATGATCAAGAATTGCCAACCTGTCAGAACCTTCAAACGTGCAGTACGGGTGCAATTTTTTAAATAATAACAATCTGTTTATTTGTAGAATCCACTACCAAAAGTTTCATACGCCTGGCATATTAAAATATGCATAATGGTGTCCCTTAGATTTTTGAGAGAGAACTGTACGATCCATGACATAAGCAAGAGTTATGAGTTTCCCAAGGGATCAAGTCACTTTGTAAACGTCGCTTACACTATATATGAATTTATTCTTGCGTATACCACTGTTCTTATCATTGCATGCATCTAAAGTGAGACTATGAAAAATTTGTTATAAGAATAGACATCCATGTGATGTATTCTTCCTTAGCGGCTTATTCTTTAGTCTCAAGAAAAATGGTTATCACAGAGGCACAAAACAGAACCACAACCGTGTGATAATTTGTGTTTTCTTATTTTGTCAACTATTGTTTGCTGGTTAAAGCATGATATGAGTTACATAAAATACTTGTGTTTTGCTTATGCATAAATTCTGGCTATTGTATGCAGTTTCAAATTCTTCACTTTGATAAGTGCATAATTGTCAAATGACGTCATACACAACGTTGAATATACAAACAATATTAATGCTTTAATTTCAGGTTAGTGAGGCTTGTGATACCATTTTCATTATTCCTTGGACACGCTCACAGCGCGATAAACCCGGTGGTGTCATACAGACTGAACAGATCCGCATTCGTCCGATTTCAGAGACAGTCAATTTTTTCATTTTTACCCGAATGGCTCCGAGCCTTGAGTACTTGTAGATTATTTTGCTACTCATGTACCTGCCCACCTCTCATTTGTTGTGATAAGCCCAGTGAGTGTGGTCACAGTCATCCCACAACCTCACCTGTTCAAACAGGGTCTCACCGCCCACCACCTTTTCGCAGAGCTGGAACGAGATATCCCGGAATCAATGAGAACCACCGCAATCCCTTTTTGCATTCATCACCTTTGAGAGGAAATCAAAGAGGAGGTGGAGGAAGGAATCTAAATGGAAATCCGGGCTCAAGTCCTTGTTGCATTTGTGGCAGCATTGGTGATGAGACGACGGATGATGCGGTCCCCTGTTGCTGCTGTTTTTGCCCTAGTGGGATGTTCGCGAGACGATCATCCAGCCCCGACTTGTGGAACAGAAATACAAGCACTAATGAAGCCGCACTGGGAGCCTTTCACCCAAAATATTTAACCAGACTCCCCGTTCAAGACCCCATTTCCAGATGCCACACATCACATTTTTTGAGATAGGAAGGCTCTTTAAAAACTTCAATAGAGAGATGATTTCCAAAAGGGTATTATACAATACATACATTCATTGTGTGCATGATCATATCTCGACGTGTAATTATTTGCCTCCCCTGGTACTTCAAATGTATATATAGCATGGAGACTCTTAGGAAAAAGTTTACTTATCTAAGGGCAACAAATGCATACATATTTGTGGTTGGCTGTAGAGTGACATATGTAAATGTATATATAATGTGATATTTCAAGCTTATTTACAATGATGCATTTGATAAGGCATAACAAATTATCATAATACTCGTCGCAATTGCTGTGAAAAAACTTAAGGTTTACTATGTACTACATAGGATTAGATATTTACTTGTAACACAGAAACTTATCCCGTCGCCGTGTCTCGTCGTCTCTATAATACCAAGTGATTTTTTCTCCACCTATGTAACATTTTCCGTGAAAACCTTGTGCAAACATATGTATGTAAATATAAAAAAATAACTAATTTAATAAAAAAATAAGCATTACTCAACTAATTCAACCAAATTTACTACTCTTATTACAAAATAAGACTGCCAGGTTAGCTTACTTACTTGTACTTAACCAGTTGCCTGCCACATTAAAAGGCATAAGGTAGTTGCTAAGCCCCCAATATAACGCTTCGAATTTCGCGATCCTTGTACCATTTTTCTTGGACAATCATTTCCAATGCGGTCCAAGATATGAAATTATGACACGTACGCTAGCGCCCAAATTAATGCAGAGTTGATACTGATAATTTGACATATAGAAATTATTTTACTTATCATTGCTTGTTTGCCAAGGCAATTTTTAGCCCGAGTCAGGGCTTATGTAATTGTCATGCCCGTCCGTCTGTCTGTCTGTCTGTCTGCCTGCCTGTCTTTAAAATAACTCTCGAACGAGTTAACCGATTGACTTGAAATTTTTACCATATGCAGATTGGACAAAGTTAGGAAATGAGTTCGAAGATGGGCGACATCGGTCAAGTGGTTGACCTGTGGGGGTCATCGGAGTGGGTGGGGTATTATGCACCAAAATTTCGAAATCGTCGTAGAAAACTCAAATTTGGTACAGAGGCTGGTAATGGCTCCTAATGAAAGAATATGAAGTGAAATTGGTAAAATTTTTAAAGGCCAGGACCCGTTGAGGTGACCCATACCGATTTTCATAGCTTGTCGCAAACAGCTGAAATTCGGAACTGTGATACTTAATGGCTTCTCATGAAATTATATGAAGTCAAAGAGGAACAAAAAGTAGCCAGAGGGGTACCCATACCGATTTCTAAGAGTTTATATATTCAGATAAAATTTAGTGCGGAGTCGAAAAAAAAGTTAGAATTAAAATATAGGAGGGTTGAATTTCGAAATTTTTATGCGAACAGCCTCTACTGCTCGTGGTATTTGGTTTGGTGCCAAGTAATACTACCAAGTGACGTTAAGTTAATGCAAGAATTAGTGAAAAATGGTACAACATTCTGACAAACATGGGTTTGCTAATCAATCCTGGTTCGGGCTAAGCAAAGCTGTACAGATATGTTGGAATTTCCGTAAATAATCTCTATAAAGCTGGAGTTTTTTGGGGCTAGTATATTACGATCAAGTATTTATTATCAATAGCAAATATTTGACCTAAACTTTTCTCAAACTTATAAACATGTGCAGATAGTGAAGAAGTAAGTCGAGCGTTCTCTGGGGCAGTATTGGCATTGTGAAAAACCTATCAGTACAGCCTGTACTGATAGGTTTTTCACAATGAAATTTTCTATACAATTGTGATACTATTTTGCACTAATTCTTACATAACTCATAGAAATCGGTATGGGTCACCCCCTCTGGGGTGACTTTAACTTATAGTTGCTTTTTGTTCGTATTTGACTTCATATTATTAAGTAGCTTCAGCTACTTTATGTGAAGACTTTGTCTGTCTGTCTGTCTGTCTGTCTGTCTGTCCGTCTGTCTGTCAGCAGGATAACGGGAGAACGGATAAAGATAATCGAAATCGGTTTTCGCCATCATACATAATACCCCAGGGGGAGGATCCTATCAACTTTTGGGTGCAACCGGACCACACCCCCGGTCGCCAGGGGGTGTGGTCGGGGCAAAATGAGATTTTTAGTGCAATTGAATCTATGGATGAAATGGAGTGAAATTTTGAGTTCCCCCGTTGTGCCACACCCCCCGGGCGCCAGGGGGTGTGGTCGGGGCAAAATGAGATTTTTGAAAAAATTGAATGTATAGATGAAATACAGTAAAATCAAGTGTTCCCGCGATGTCGTGGGAGTGCTTGGAGTGATACTTCACTCCAAGCATAAGTCTATAAGCATATGTCTGAAGCTACTTCCGTATGCGCGTTTGCGACGGTTTATTTCATGAGAAGCCATTAAGTATCACTGTTTTGAATTTCAGCTTTTTTCCGACAAGTTCTGAAAATCGGTATGGGTCACCCCAACGGGTCCCGGACGATGAAAATTTTACCAATTCACTTCATATTCTTCCATTAGGGGCCATAAGCAGCCTTTATACAAAATTTCAGCTCGATTGGATGATTTTGAAAAATCGGTATTGGTCATACCCTCTCCGGTACTTCCGGTTGAAAAATTTTCCAATCTCGCTTTATATTCTTCTATTAGGAACCATTAGCACGCTCCGTGCCAAATTTCAGCTTTCTATCACAATTTTGAGATTTAGGTGCCTAATACCCACTGGTCCAAATATGACCCCCACCGGTCCAAATCTTTTCTCATCGAACCCCATCTTCGTCGTTGCATATACATGTCTGCACCAAATTTGGTTAAAATCGGTCAACTCGTTCGAAAGTTATCGAAAGACAGACGGACATGACGATCACATAAGCCCTGGTTCGGGCTAAAAAAAATTACACGACTTTGATGTGCTCGGGCGGACAATTTTGTTTTTGGAATTACACGACTTTGATGTGCTTGGGCGATAGATTTTGTTTTTGAAATCACACGACATTGATGTACTTGGGCGCATGGTTACCGTACAAGAATTACACGACTTTGATGTACTTGGGCCCTTAGCGACGTTTTGTGCAGCACATGACATTCATGTGCTTGGGAGGCAACTGGTTAATGCGTATATGTACATACTATGAATACTACAGATTACTAATATAATGGTGGTTATCAATTGTAAGAATGATATCAATGAGCTTGTTTCGGCGGTCAGGCTATGAAACTCATCATATGTGTTAAATAAATACGCAATAAATATTTTGATGACACCATTATTATTATTATTGCCGGTATTCTTTCTTGCTCGACAAACAGCATCTTCTCAACATCAAACGGTGAAAAACTCTAATTTCATACGAGCATTACGTTTAACTTGCTGCCATTGCCAACTTAAAGATAGCAAAGGAATTTGGTATAACATTTCCTTTTTTTTGCAAACCAGAGAAAATTCACTAAAATTAATTACTGTAATATATTTTTTGTCTCATTTTGTATCTATTTTTAGATTTTGTATTGTCAGATTTAGGATGAGTGAAGGCTCAGGACACCACAAAAGCGGTAATGCTTTAATTTTAGATTAACCAATCGATCCATATTCATGCATTAACTTTATACATTTTTTCCACTTCGTAGTGAAGACATGCATACATATTATTACTGAATATTGTTGACAAATAAGTATTTTCTCCCTCACAATATGTAGAATTATTAAAGAAGCAGACTGAACAAATATTTCACGTTGAAGAAGCTCCCAGCTTTCACGCTATTAAAACACCAACATCGTCCCAAAAATCTATTCCAAGTTTCGATGTTACGTCCAAATCTAGTGCATCCCCAAATTCTTTGCTCAATACACGATGGACGAATTCAGCGACCCATAGTAATTTGGACCATTTAATTTTCTTATTATTTCAATTTACCTTTTACTTGATTTTTACATAATGTTCCAAATACGATTAGCCTTATTTTTTCATGTAAATTAGATAGTCAGCTCATGCGAGTCGGAAAACTCGCATCAGAACTTGGAGAAGAAAGTGCATTTTCCTTGGGACTGCCTCCTATAAAGAGGAAAAAATTTCCTTATTATCCATACGGACTTATTCTTCCAAAATGCAAACCAATCAATGGGGTTCCTAAAAAGCATGGAAAAACCGGCAAACAACTTGTAGAGCCTTGGACAGATGTAAAATAGAAATAACTGGCATTAATTTGTATGGAGCTTCGTGTAATGAAATTCCGAATGGATTGTCTAATTCTGCTGTCTAGGCTTTAAAGGATTTTTACCAAACGGTGAAAGCACTAGAGAATGGGTCAAATGAGAAATCAGAGCTGCAGTCATCTCCCACAAGCACACAATCCGTGGGCCCAAATGAGATACAGAAGCCACGAATTCGAAAGACTCGAACACAGGCAGAATCAACGATGAAGTTTAAAATGACAGAAATACAACATTTGTAAGAAATTACTTCATTTTTTAAATGAAAAGTATAGTTTTAAAAGACAATTTTATTGTAAGATTTGCCACCGAGATGAAGGAATTGCAAGACACTTATCAAAAGCTGAAAATCGAACCTGATCCAAAGGCAGAAGCAGCACTGGAGGAATCCTGGAAGGCCAAGAAAATTCAGTTACAAAAACAAATTGACCAGTGCATAGACGAAATTTTGGAGAGCATAAAAGCAATCTACTTTTAATGATGGACAAAATTATAAGTTACGTAATTTAAACTCAATAAATATGTGTGAGTGAGCAGGATCAATTTTGTTATTAAGAACCACCACGATCATTATCATTCAGCAAATCGCATCACATTAACCAATTATATCTAATAAAATCCTGCTATGTGCCCGAGGTTTTGTTTACAGAATAAGACAGAAAATATACCGTTCAACATATAATTAAAGCACAGCCAAATATGGTGAGACTCTTATTATGGTCTATACTGCTCATAAGTACATACGTGCAAATCTCTGCTGAACCATTTAGAGTCGAATGGGCTAAAGTGAAAATTTTATTGGTGGTCATATACATTTTACTTATCTGTAGGCAGGAGAAACACGTAAATGTTAACTAAATGCTAACTACATTAGAGAAGGTAAATTTCACGTCGCATAAAATTACCTTAAATGATCATAACCTAGAATGCATGGGTTACTGCCAAGTTATTGTAACAGAATAAATTAGTATAAAATGCACTTTAAATACATAAATAAATTCTGGAGTCCCACATTTCCATAAGCACTTTTTATAACGCTTCATTTATTTACATGACGTTGTTATTAGGATTTTGCTCATTCCCCAACTCTGTGGTTTGAAAATTATATAGTTGGCGTCTATGACTATGCAATTCACAACCTGTGTCATACAACGAAGTAGTAAAGGAACAATAAATTTGTTGTCAGGCTTAATTGCCTGCAGAATTCATTTAAAACTCCAAATTCACATTGCTGCCCTACAAACAGCTTTGGCGTTAACACGAATTCCATCTCCCATCAGGTGGATTCAACCCGTTCTTATATGTGCCACTCTGTCAAGCAGCCAAGGTATCATCGCCACTTTATTGTTTGTCAATGCATTCGCAGATATTACTATTGGAGCTGTGGGAGCGGAGATTGTGTGGCGTTGATTCAATGTATTCATTCATTATTCTGCCTTGGAAGAAGCAGGTTGTTGTTATTTGCTTTGGGATTGGCGAATGCCGCTTTTGAATATTGACATGGCTTCGGACGAACATATATTCGATCGTGGATGCACACAGGCACATAAGCCTTGATATTAGTTGTCGAAAATCTGTTGCCGTGCCCTGAACTGCACCAACCATCCACCACTCCTTCATATACATATGCAATCAACGTCGCATTATTGCGGATAGCAAAGTAACAGGATCTGAAGAAGACCAGACCACAGCATGGGATTCGAATGTGAGTTTGTACGCCATTTGTAGCTCGTTCACCAACTCCCATTCAGTTTGTTTCGCCTTGATCAAGAACTCCAACAGAATAACATATCTCATCGTCATCATCATCCATTGTGGACCAAGGCAGCAAGGTTTTGTTTGTTATGTACGAATGAGATGCATCCAACTTATGACACTGTTTTATGGCGTTGAACAGCTTATTCCATTTACATCTTCTTCACAGGCCGGTACTGCTGGGTTATCTCAGTTTACCTACTTCGTGCTTGATGCAAGTGCTAAAATTTTACGTGATACTTTTTGCATCAGGTGCAGATAATTTCTCGTGTGTTTAAAATAGTCGATTTTGAGTGGCTGCAGCGGTTGCATTAATAATGACCTTAGCGTAAGGAGAGGGAGATATACATAAAATAATAAAAAAATAACTGTTTTACAGAATATGACCTCCACCACGAACAGCGGTGTGCGGTCGAGTGTTCCACCTGCTCCAAAATATATACGTGTTATTTTTGCGTCCATGTGGACAAACTGAGCTATTTGAGGATTTTTGTCATAGAAGTGACTGTGTCCTTATGCTGGAAGTAGACGAAAACTGGATTTTGTGTGGTCCCTAATTGTCTCGTGTTAGCTAAAAAGTGAATAGTCTCAAATTGGCTGGACAGTGTCAACGGAGCCAATAAAATTAATCTAGACAATGTGAGTGAGTGAATCTATCCATGTGAATACTGTGAAATATCTCCTTCATGTCGAGGAGAATGAGATGAGATTGCACGACGAATGAGAAAATTGGATCAGGAAGGATTTATACTACAAAATTTGATGAAGATGAAGACGTCCATAAAGAACTTTATGTGTATGTGACTTGGAAAAAATAAGGACTATTTTATGAACTTTGCATTATTACAGGGCTATGATTGTTTTATGTGAATAATCATCTGATCCTATTTTATGGTTCTCGTAAAGTATTTCCGTGTGTTTCCCTTTAATTTGTCAAAGGAGTTACAATTTAATTACGGGTAAGTAATTACAAGTTACCTCATAGAGATATAAATATTCTTGCATTACATCAGAAAGGCACGCAAATGTAAACGCATCAGTGTTGAAAAGTTTTTCGCGTGATAGTATGCATACGTACATACGTATGCATATTTTAAACAAAGCCATTTTCTTTATCCTTTGCAAGCCAGTACACCACTATTATCCACTCTAAAAATTAATGAAAAATAATACATTATATACATAGGCAAGGACTGGAACGATTTTCAAGTATTGTAAGATACAAGCAAAAAGTTTGTATCTGAAATTAAATAAACATCGAGTTTTCATAAGAAATCTAAATTGGTAAGCCACCGGTATTTAGTATCCACTGGAAGTTCTCGATATAGATATGAATGATTGTGACGCTATATGGTATAATATGCCACAAATTTGTTATTGCAATTTGTTTTAACTAGGTGAAATTAGTTGCAAAATTCTTGATATGTATCTCTTAGAAATATTGGAGACATGAAAAATCGTCAATTTTTCTGGAAATTTAATCCCTACAATTCTATTGCGACTTTAGTTCAAGTACGCTATTTATGGAATAAGCTCAATTTAAGCATCAATTAAAAGTCTGTCTATTTACTAATTGTAAGCCTCATTTAACTACTTCGTAATTGGTCTCTTGAAAGTTTATTCTTAGTTACATGGATTTTCATTCTACTAATCTCCTTTCTACATTATACAATATTCGTGTCATATTTCAGTCTTTTTCGTTGACAGAACTAGGGAACTTAACAAACATTTGAAGCCATTCCATTGATTGCATATGTATTTAGTTGTTGATACCAACAAATTAATTTCTGAAACCAGGCCAAAACTTGAATCCAAATTAACACTTATGTGCACACAAGTGAGGTTAGCTAAACGCAGGTAAACAAGAAAAAAGTCTTGGTAATGTAGCATTTGGTATCTTGTTGCAATCTAATGTTGAGCAAATATATTGTCTTGGGACCAACCAATCAAGCCAGCATGGAGTAAAAAGCAGTTGGTTTCCTGACCCGGTTTAACTCCCTCATCAAAACTCACATCATTAATCCCATGACTAGAGACGAAGATCATTTACTTTTGTAGTTGATGCTGTTGTGTCGTAGGCGTTTCTCACTCACCAAGGAAAAGTAGGCATTCGATTCTAATTCTTACTTGTCAAACTAAGTCATGAAAGAACACCGAATATTCGCATGGTTTGCAGTTAGTCACATATCATTCGTACCTACACACATACGCATTCTGACAATAGAGTGCTAAATATGTATACAAAGGTGTAATTTAAGGTCAAGAGCTACATATTTAACAATCTTAATTGAATCGCTGCTCCTTAAGTAAACTAAGAATAATTTTATACGTTTCAATTAGATAACATTTTACATGCATGCATCATTTCCTTGAAGTGAACATTTGAGCAGTAAAATAGCAATTTTGTTTAACATAATTATGTGAAGTTGTCTGAAGAAATTTAAAAATTAAGGAGTTCCCTAAAGTTTGTGATCTTGTTTTTTCCATTTTTTAAGGGTATCATTATCATTGAAAACCATACATTACTAATTTTTTATAGGTTAAATGAATAAATCCCATCTCTTGCTAATATATATACATGACAGTAAGTATGCAATTAAGCTGCATAATAAATTGAATAAAATGGTAAATATTTTGTAGACATCGATTGCCCAAATGTTTGCCGAATATTTACGTGGATGTCATACGAGTAGTATATGAGTTTGCCAGAATTTTCATAAGATATTGTTAATATTTGCGGCCTCCCGGACGTTAATTTCATATAAACATGTAGCTGTTGATTCATTACGTTAAATTTTATACGAGTGCTGAGAATCGCAATTTTATTTCCATTATTTTATGGCATAATGCTACTACCCTTTCAAGGATCGAGTGAAAGCGTTCCTTCTTCTTGTCAATTAATTAGCCATTTGCCACCTCCGTAAGTATGTGCACTTATACATATACCGACGTACTACTCACTACTCAGATCTCGGCATCAATCTACAAGTTTATCTGTCAAACCGGGTGTAGTAGCAACAACTTTGACATAATTCATGTTCATCAAATGCCAAAGTGACTTTGCAAAATACAGTCGTTTAACAGTGGATGAGAGGATGGACAGGTACACAGTGCAGATCATATGTGGATTTGTGGACAGTATTTTTCCATAAGAAACCTATTCAAAATTGGGTCTTCTTTTAGTTTACAGACCATAACTTAACGAAATTAATGGGTCTAATCAAAGTCATCAGAGACTTCCAAAACAACAAAATCAACACAAAAAGGGTAGTGAAAGTCTAAAATACTACAATGTGCAAACCTATGTGTATGTGAATTTGCTTGTTATGTAAATCCACATATTTTCTTTATGATTTTGCAAAGTTTATAATCTTTGACAATCTAAAGTTTCAATACACAAATCCTTTAACCCGAATCTCAACCAAAAAAAATGTTTTTTTTTTCTGTACACATAAGAAAATGCATCGTCTATTATTTAGTATGTCGTATAAGGATGAAATAGTGACGTTTATGGGTACGTAAGTGTGTTAGTTTAATTAAAACACAATTCTCCCTTGCATTTTGTGCAACTATATTGAAATAAAATTGAAATAAAGTGTTTCAACCCAGTCAAACGAGATTCAAAACATCAGCTTTTCAATTTGACAGTTTATTGTTATGAGGGCCATTATAAAGTTAGGTTTTGGGTAGTTTTGATGGAATTATCACGAGGTCAAGGAGAATATCGAGAACGACGACGATTCTCCAACCTGATGCACTTGTTGCACAGGGCTCAGGATCAGTAAATTTCACAACCCATTACTTTTATACCCATCTTAACTCAATTACCTAAATGTATCTGCATATCTCTACATGTTCATTTACTCCTTATTAACAAGTTAGACATTCAGATGCAAGTAAAACTAACTTTTAATTTCGTTTTGGTTTGCAGATCCCGTCACGTATGTGCATGCGTTATGCGTGTCAGATGCATCCACCACTTTTTCAACCTTCAAGTTCATGATTATCGTAAAATTAGACAAGCCCCTATAATTTAAATAACCAATATTTGGCATATTATATTGTTTGTGGAATGTTGACCTCGTTGTGTGTATTAATAAAATATAATAAACATTGTTTGTGAGTAAGTGCTGCTTGTAAGTGTTTCCGATTATTAAAGTGCTGCTGGGGGTTCAAGAAAAGGGAACAAGTGCCGAAAATGTTCAAAAGTCTACTGTTCTAATCATGCTAATGTTAGCGGAAGTAATACGTTGAAAAGAATATTTTCAGAACTTAAGATAAAAAAAACTAAAAAATCATGAATGAGGAGGAGGATACCGCAGGACCATTTATAACGGTGGTCTCCGTTGATGGAGGGCTTACATGTGGGAACAAACTGACGGTGATAACACCCACTGGTATACCTGAAAGTAGCAAAAAAGGAAATAATTCAGCAGCCAACAATAAGGACGACCGGGGGGAATTTTGTGAAACCACACATGCAGCCAAAGAATCGAAGCTACGCATTCCGTGTCACAAAGGGAAAGTTAGTGCTATTCCTTTGCTTGGTTGTGCTTTGGTTGGAGTGGATAGGAAACCCAACAGCGGCGGCGGCGGCTCGGGAGTCAGAACCAACAACACGGACAATGCTGCATATGTTACCCTCGTCTCCTTCGAGCAAGAAAAAGAGATTGAAAATGCTGCCAAATTAAAATCTGGGATCCCAGTTAAATCTTTAAAAAATTATCTGCACACAAAGTCCATAGTCCAACTTGGGAATAAGGAGCACAATGCCATGCCGCGAGGAAATCCATCTCCAGGAAAGGGACGCATTCTTCCTGATTGTGAGGAGGATCAAATCATCACCATCAGTAATAAAGTGAAAGGAGGGCATGGGAGAAATTCGTCATTCGTCGAAATCTCCTCAAAGGAACAAGAAGATGAGAAAAAATGCAACTTTTCAAATTGGCAACAAAATGAAGATGTAGAAATCCCCACGCTGGTCATTGAACAGGTTACAATCCTTAGACTGCCAGGGGAAAAATTGGGATTTGGTCTTCGCTTCGAAGGTGGAGTGACTAATCCAGTGGACAAAGTGAGAAATTTATTCATCCAATCTTGCGCCTTTGACAGTCCGTCGATTAAGGTACTCTTTCACTTTTAGCTCTTAACGAGCAACGCAATTTGAGATAACGTTGCATGCGTGTAGATATGTTTCATCATTCGCACTTATGATTTCCCATTGGCACAAATGTTTCTCAATTAATGCATGTACATATGTACGTACGTAGATATGTGGCCGATTCATTATGCAGTTGACGGATTAAATCATAAAAAATGTATTATTTTGATTTAGGCGCAGACCTCTTGGGGTCATTTAGATGAAGGGGATGAGATTCTTGAAATCGAGAGTCTGCCAGTGACCAGCATGACCAGAATGGAATGCATTCAGCGTTTAAAAGATTCCTCAGTCGCCGTTCGCCTTCTCATCTCGCACTTTTACACGGGCGAGGAGCTCTCGCTCTTGAGAGCTCAGAGGGAAATCGCTCTTCAGAAAAGGAAATTGAAAACTGCTTCCACAAGGAGCCACCCAAGCCAAAATAAGGCAGAAGGAGAAATTACACTCAAAATTAAAAATGGATCTGAATTAAAAGAGAAGACATGTGATGATGATAATGATGATGCTATAAATAACAAAGCTAATGACTCTTGTAAACCCCATCATGTTCATGGCCTTAATCAGCAAATCACGAGCAGTCGTCGAGAAACAATATCGTTAACATCATTATCATCGTCATCGTCAACTGTAGATTCACCCTGCCCGTCAAAAATCCCACTGCCAAAATCAAAGCAGTCCTTGCCGTTGAATACCAATAGTAATAATGCCAATAATCTTGATACTGCCAACAATACTACAACAAATTCTCACGAGCAACAATCAGGGAACAGTATTGTTTATGACCATAATAAGAATGAGATTGAACAAGGTCTGGCCTCCAATCAGATTGGTGTGCAGCACGATGAAGACGAAACGCAACAACAGCTCATGAGATTAAAACCCCCCGTGGGGTTTGCAGATGAACTATTGCCACAACCTACTCGCTATCATCATCAATCGACAGCCTCCCTTGAAGGCTGCAACAAAACAGCAAAAGGTGTGCAGTCGTCATATTCAAACAAAAATTTTTATCTCCACCACCAGCAGCAACCTAGTGAACCACAATTCTATCACAATGCCATCAGCCCCACACACAGTTATCGCAACAGCTCAATGTCACTGGAAAGCTTTGGATCCGATGAGACGGGGAGTTCCCGAAGCACCGTCGTTTCTCGACTATCCATGACTTCGTCCATCACCTCAACAATTGGCAATGGCGTACAAAGTGACAATAATCTAATGGCCACATCGCCTACCTCGAACCCAAACCCACACAATGGTGGTCATCATGTCTTATTAGTCAAGAGGAAAAGTAGCCTCAGTTCCCTCAACTCTTGCCCTGAGGGGGTGGCATTGGTGGTGGATGGGGAAACCAATTTTCAAAATGAGAAATTTGCTCCGAGTGCCACATTGGCGGAGACAAAAGAAACTGGGATCGGCACTGTTGGCCAGCACACTCCTGACGCAGTTTTATCCTTTTCTGGGGAGATTCCGTTAGCACCTCCGTTGGTTTTCCAAGATCAAAGCAACAACAACAAGCAACAACAAGCTCTGCATGTAATACGAGACACGGCTGTTTGCTATTCTGGCTTTAATCCACAAAAAATAGGGAAGGAGAATATTCACAATTCTTTCAGACGTGCCTGCGGAGACGACAATCTCCAAGCGAATGAGCCTGACAGTGGAGAGCAACATGAAAATGGTGCTAAAAAAGCGGTCAGTTGTACTACTGCCGAAGGCGCAAGAGTAAGATCTGCCTTCACATTCGACGAAAATAAATCAATGGATGAATTTAATGTTTTGGCTGCGAATGGAAATCACATAAGCCCTGATTTTACTGCTGCTAATTGGGAACAGAAAGGGATTTTAGATTATGATGACGACGATGATCTTGCACTTTTGGCAGAAGGTTCGTCTTTTTGACCTATACATTCTATATTCGAAAGCTGACTGCAAATATTTATTCGCATATTCTAATCACCAATGAAGATTTTGTAAATTAATTTGAGTATCGATCGGGACGTTATTTAACAGCTATTTATATAAAATGCAATTTTCCATTTTACGTAATAAACCAGTTCATGCAGAAATCATACGAATTCAAATGTCAGAAAACACAAGTAATGTATTAAATTTCTGTTTAGAACTTGGACTCGACCAAGACGACGAGGATCTGTTTAATTCTTTGGTCGCAGAAATTGATGAGATTAGTGCTCAGGTTGTCGGATCCAAGAGCCTTGTCAATAATAAGGATGATGGAAAGAGAAGTGATATTGATGAGCTGCTCATTCAGCAGAATTTCAATGGGGCTGAATTCACAGAGCGTCATGAATTCAAAAACTTTCATTCTGAGACAGCACACCACCACGGCCAACATCAGCAGCAACAGCATCATCAACTTTGTGCCACTTCTTCTTTTTATGAAAAGGGGGATGGAATACGAGATGCCAATATGTAAGTCCCAAGTCCGGTTTTTCGCATTTTTGCCCCATTTGGCTAACTTCTCTATATCTGAGTCACTCACTGTTTTCATATTTAAGGTGTTTTTTGCTACACCTAATTTGCATTTATGCACATGCATGCACGGTTAATCTACCTGACTCTTAGAGATTTGTTATGCATCGTCTTTAACATATCTAATATATTGGTTGGCATAATATATGACTTCTCGTGTCACAAAAATGATATATATTACTGATTCGAATAATCTTTGGGAAAAGTATTTCCTCCCAGTTAAAACTGGTATACGGACACTTTTCTTTGCTTTCTAAATTATTTAGACCAAATATGGTACACCCGAATCCTCTGATCGTTTTTTTAAAACAACATTCGATTCGTATTCGTGTTGACCGTGTGCTAATATGTGCAACAGTGCACAACAATATTTAGAACGGTATGGATAAATATCGTCCACCCAGTTAAAAGCAAAAAAAATGCACTTGGATTTAAAAATAACCCGAATAGTATCGACCATGTATTTCGATTTCCTATATTTTCTTTAATGTCACAAAAGCCTGGCTCTAATGAAAGATATTTAGGTTGAATGTATTCCACATTTTACATATGCAGATATTTCGCACGACGGAAGCATCCTAGCCTTCAATTCATATTTAAAATTCTAGGTCAAAAGAGGCATTTTAAATTTTCACCCTTATTGGCTAGGATTAATTAATGACATTAATTAATTTGTGAAAACCCCAACCTGTCAGCTTCGAAATTGTAATAATTGGGCCTGACATGTGTCCGCATTTTATGGACATCATAGTAGCCATTGCCATTAGCAGACAGCCTTTCAAGCTCTCCAATGCACTTTTCATTCTAGTTCCTAGTATTGGATATTTCGTGGTTTGGGTAATAGAATTAAGTATGAGGACCACACGTCAATTTACGAATTAAGTGCACAGCAATTGCATTATGTACGTACATGATGTATGCAAATTTGACTGACAGTTTGACAACAAATTTAATTATCTTATGGTTGTCATATATTTACAACATACGTACATACGTACACATTTCCTATGGGACAAATATTCAAAAGTGCCAGAAACACAGAGCAGCAATTTGTTACCAATTTGATATACTTCTACACACACATTACACGCAGATAATTACGCATTCCAACAGAATGGACGTAGTTGCATGTATGAATTAAAAGACGCAGCGAAAAATATTTGTTTGGGTTGTTAAATGGCCATCTCTCTGAGCGGAGATGAACACAAAATTCATATGGGAACAAAGGACAAGAAAGTTGAACTTGCTTCCACCAGATCGCAACGCCTGTATTGCTGCGTCTGTATTTACTCTTGTCTAGTCATTCATTTCATGCTGACATTTTCGAAACCAAAAAGTAGTAGTTTCACGAACATATTTCTCCACCAAGATAAGAGACGGTTACTTTATATAAGAATAATTATAAAATTCTAACTTATTCTTAGGTGCGGCTACTTTACTTAAATGCAGACTATAAATATTATCTATAAGTAACATTTTATGAAAAATCTGTCTATTTTTCTGTAGCATAATAGAATAGAAAGATAATGTGTTCCCCGTTTCAGTCGACAATGACCTTTGATTTTAGATTAAATTATCCAAGTCAAATTAGTCGTCACATCTTAAATGATCTACATGAGCGTTTATTTTCCTTCACAAGTTAACAACTACCTTTATGACATAAAGTAATTAACTCTGGTTGGACAGCAATTGCAACAAAAGTGACGGATATCTTGACATAACAATGATAAATTGGCCCTTCCATTAAATTATGATTACAAGGAATCGTGTTATGCAACTACTTAGGGAAACCAATAAGCAAATAGCATTACTACATAAGTAGGATTGTTATAGCAATTTTCATGACCATTTTCCTTTGTCTTGACACTGCAAAAGTGCAAAATCGTTATATCAGAAATGACCTCTGCTTATACCATTAACTTCATGTTTGAGAAACACATGAATGTATAACAAATGGGTTATGCATAACATGAACTCATGTATGATGGGCAAAATTGAGTAAAGACAATCTCAATTGATTGTAATCATGTTCAGTAAATGATGTATTTATATCTTATAATAAATTGGCCTACAAAACTGTATCATGTTACATTAAACAGAAGTAACTAACCTTTGACAAATGGATGCATTTGTATAATTATTACAAACTTTATCGCAAATATGTACATTACAAGATAATCATTGGGGAGTACGGATGCAGCTTGCATGATCAGCTTATCGTTCGCATTGTTTCTAAATTTAAAGCATAAATTGGAGTTGAGTGACACCAAATACGTGAGAGATGGTGTTAATTTATGTCTTCGTGCTAATTTCCAGTGGAATAATAAAATGTCAATCACTATGTTTTGTTGACACTATTTCGCCTGTTTTTTGTGCACCATGTGAAATGTTTCGTAGAACTGTATTTAACACTTTTTGGCTGTGTGAGTAAAATCGTGAAAACTTGACTGTACTTGAATCTTATTTGTTTTCTTATTACTTTGTAGATTTTCCACCAACAAAAACAACACGTCGAGACAAAAGACCACAAGCTGCCATGCTGTAGATGCTGATGAAAATAGAAAAACAAACGAGTCAAACGGAAGACATTTAGAGAACAAAGATGGGATTGAATTTGAATCTTCAGATAACGGGGATCTCCTCACTGCTAACAAAGACCGTTTGTTTCCACCTTTTTCACCAAAAGTCGTTGAACCAATTAATGGTGAAATAATGATGACTATCAATAAAAAAGAAGCAGAAGATAAACAAATGCAATTTCAACAATGGAAGAAAGAAGGCTGTTTTGAGAAAGAAGATGACAAAACCATTATTACAGGTAAGATAACATGCACAATTTGTCATAGCCGTTTAGCTTTTAGTATTTTGGTGTATGTATGTATGTACTTTGTGTAGTGTTACCTCACACGAAATTCAGTGACTTATGTGGGAGTAGTGTTTATTGAAAGATTAATAATTGGAAATTGTTTCCAACTGTGATTATGTTGTTTTGAGTTTCTTGAGAATTTTGAGCACATAAGATAACGGTTTCACTACTACATATTAGAATAATAAGCTGAATATGTAGAAAACTCAGAAAATGAGAGCTAAATTGTTCCATTGATGCAATTTTCTACGCTTTTAGTAAATTGTAAGCACTCAATTAAATGCCATTTCACGACAAGAGATTTACATATTTGTAAAAAAAATATGCAACTTAATAAATAGTTCATCTTTGATATTGCAATCTTTAACTATAACTATGTATATCATGGTAATTAATAGCCCCGCTGTTGGATTAGCTCCAGTCCTTCGGATAGCAAAAGGCTTAGTAATTTACTAGAAACTATTTATGTAGCTAAAAATGTTATAAAATTTATTTCCATCAGACATGAAGCATACATAGATTTTCTATACGGATTCGGCATCTTTGAGCTTATTAGATCTCATTCTTGATTCTATGGACAGGATAACGACGCTGATTTTCTTGTGCATATTCCTGACTGCCGGTTTAGACTGAAATGAAAGTCTCGCTAGTTAACCCCAACTCTCACCTGGGTCGGATTTATAGTGAGTGACTGATATTAAAATCTTAAAATAAAGGCAACTATTCATCCGGAGACAATGCCGAGGAGTAATGCCGTAGACAAAAAAGCATAAAGTGGAATAAAATGCAGAATAATAATAGGGAAACAATAGGCCCGTTGATGTGTCCGTGCCTTATCATGTTTCATTCCTTCAGCCGATGTGCATTTGTGCTCTGCTGACACACGGAATGGGCAAAGAAGAAATCTCATCCGACCGACTCACAGAATCTCGCGTGGCGTGAACTTTCAGGCCACACACTTTATTCCAACGTGTAAATGAAGCAGGCAATAATTTAGGGGTAACTTAATCTCGTTTCACGCAATACCTCTGAACGTACTTATCTTGCACAAATGTGAGACACGCAGCAGCGTCCAATTCTCCTCTCTTTGTTCCTTCGTGAATTCTCGGTTCAAACTTCAAAAGCAAAGCAAGACTGATAGAAATCTTATGCAAATAAGATGGACGGCCGGATACATACACGACTGATACACGATAACAATGATAGAATCTACAAGAGCTGATCTAATTTATTTTGGTTAATCTTGTCTTTGTGCAATAAGACGAGTTTGCGAACATGTATGAATGCGCATAACTGTAACGGAATGACTGATGAAAAGGTTATACGCACTCGTGTGCTGTTTCACCCCTTCAGATTTGCATCACTTTATTTGTTGGCTAAGGTGAGCTTATCGACGGTTCGTATATGGATTAGACTTTCTTATTATCCTGACAAATTATTATCTCTCCATCGACTTACAAGAGTCTCATGCATTATGAATAGTTGCTATAATATAATATATATATATATATATATATATATATATATATACAGGGTGGTTAAAATGTCACGCCACAATGGAAAATTTTTCGATGGGAAAAATCCATAAATTTCCATTAGTTACCGAAATTTTGTCTCTAAAATGCAACATTTTAAGAATTTTGTCATGAGTTTTGATAATAATTTATAAAAATCTCAATCCCAAATCTTGTAACTAATGGAGATTTAGGGACTTTTCCCATTGAAAAATTTTCCATTGTGGCGTGACATTTTAACCACCCTGTATATATATATATCTGAATAGTTGCTATGGTTACCGATTTATTTCTGAATTTTAAATATCCAAAATGTGTACTACTGCTGCACTGTTGTTGTGTAACTTATGTACTTATTTACTCATACGTATGTAGCATGTTAGTAATTCAAATATTTTCATAGAATGAATCAAAAACCTTATGATTTCTGTACAGCATGAAATTTTTGGCACTGACTTGAAATACACGAATACGAGTGCTTTCACTACTCCACTTTTAAGAAAATCGAGCTTAAATCACTTAACAGATAAAGTGTACAATGTGCAATTGTTAACTCTGTTATTGCAGACCAATAATACAGTAGTACGTATTATGATAGCATCTGTAAAGGCAAATTGGCAGGAATCGTGAAAAATATAACTAATATTTACCAGCATTTATTTGCTTTAATACTTTCTGTTGTAAAATACTTTACATCATTTAAATGAATTTTAGTGCCACCGTATTTCAACAGGCCTTTAAACTACGTAATAAGCAACAAGCACATTTGAGGTATTAATGTCATTAGTTAAAATTTGGTAAATATCTTTTGCACAAGTACTCTTAACCAGCAAAATTCTCAAAACTTTCCACACTATGCTACTCAATAGCTTTTATTTATTTATATCCATAATCGTGCTTTAAAAAATCTAAGCTAAATGAACTAATGAAATCGTTAAATACACGTTTATAAGCGGGTATTTGATTTTATGCTATGTATTGAGGATCAAGAATATTTCCTGCATAGGGTGTGATTTTTAATGTTAAGACCACTATGATATTTCTAAGCAGCTCAGTTCGTGGTTATTCAAATCGAATGATATTATGCATGGTGATGGGTGATATCACTACCAGTTCTGGTGGTAAGTTTGGGTTGAGTAAGTTATGAATTACCGGGGATATGGAGGAATTGCTAAAAAGTGGGTGAGCCAAAATGATAAGACCACCTTCGAATTTTAATTCTCACTCGTTCCTCGTTTTGTTCAGACGGTAAAACTAAACTAATTCCACGATAGGAAGGTACAATCATTCAGGTACTGCAACTTGACGTCCAGGTAAAAACCGGAAGAGAGATTTCAAGACGTTTTTCCCAATCAAAAACGGCAATTCATCATTATATCAAACAAGGCGCAAATTACTGGTCCAGTAATTCACGACTTTAATCCGAGGTGTTGAAAAACTTCCAGTAAATGCTTCTTGACTCGCGGTCTCTATCGAATTTATAATGCAAGTCTTGTTTCGTGGAATTTGGAGAATGAAACCAAAATCAAGGAATCACGAGCTGAGGCTTTGCTGATACTTTTCGCGTTCAAATCCTTGATTCAAAGTCTGACTCTGTAGTGGATGGAAAAAGTGTTGTTCTGATTCAATTCGGACTTGATGGTGTTGGCTGCGTACATATGTATAACTAGTTGAATTAGTGTGAACCGAAACTTCGACAGCGCATCATCATGGGAATGTACGGATTTCCAAAGTCGTGACTTCATGAAAATATGTAACTGACAATTTACAATATTGAAGAAGAAATTTCGCTTTGCAACCACAAACCAATCTTGTATTGAAACCATAACGAATCAAAAATATGTACATATATGTACATATGACAATAATGCCGACATTTTAGATGGTGTGTGTATTTAATTGTTTTGCACATGGATTGCTTGATTGTAAGGCTAAAATATGCATCCATTTATAGTAAAATTTTCATTTATTTTAAATGATCTTGAAATTATCAGAGTTGCCGATTTATTAAGGTTGGCATATTCCAGAATTTAATAGTTGACATTTACTTCTTGGTTAATTCTATTCACTCATTTTATCCATATTCATTTTGTCCCTCTGAAGAAACGTATGTTTCCACTTTAGTTCACGTAATCGTATATTTAACAGGCAAAAGTGAAACTAAACATGCCGCAATCTTCACCCAGCCACTTGTTGTCATGCATGTTACTTCCAGCCAGAACTCCAGTTTATTGTTTTACGACATCCTTCACACAAAGGTTACAAGTGAGGAAAAAATAAATAGTGTTCCTGACTTGGAATAGTATGTTTTAATTAAATGTGAATGCAACACGAATTTCGATACATCTCGGAGTAATATCCGCATCAACAGCTAGGGACTATAAGTCAAGTATTTATGATGGATAATAATGTACCACGATTCCTTAAACGAACACTTAAAATGTGATGCACTCATGGCATGATGTGCTAAAAGCCACACAGTCAAATCATTAACACTAAAGATAGGTCCGAGTGGAAATCAATTAACGTTTCCTCAAAAGCAGTCTTACGTTAGAATTATTTATTCTTTAACAATTCTACCGAAAACAAAAATTGTATTTTTGGTAACACTAAAAAATATAGATGCAATCAGAATGATCAACATAATTTTCAAAAATAAAGCGTAACAAGCAACTCGGCTCTATCCGTAAATTCTAAAGATTTCTGGCATTTGGTTTCATGTTGTCCCCATTGTAATGAGTGTGTTATTACGTAATATTGTTCACAAAATTGTTGGGCACTGCTGCCGTATAGGAAATTTTTAGTGTTATGCAGTTGGACGGCGAAAATTTACAAAATGCAAGTCATCTAACCTTACAACTCTAAATTTTGCATGCACTCATACTATTAACACGCATAATAAGTACTATCCAAATGCTACACGAGTCTAACACACTGGTGTGTAATAAATCTTGTGTCGTAACTGGCAACCGTAATACGAAGAACAATTACATGAGCAGAAGAATAATTAGAGGAATTAGTACTGCTTTCACCATTTCACGACAGTCATAAAAAATACTTGTCTCATCCTCCTTTTAATTTTCCAACTGACAGACTGGACCATCCTTAATCCCGACATATGTAAGAGTCCACCAAATATGTAGACTAACTAAAATAATTACCGAATTTCATCAAATGGTCCCAGAATTTAGATTTTTAATATCTAAATACATATATGTACTATACTGCATCAAATATTGTGGGATTCGTAACGTGACGCAAGGTAGACAGTGCAATTTTAGAATTTAGTTATGCACATGTTCATATACGGCATTGTGACATGAGATGGAGATGTATGGGATAGCGTAAATATGTATGCACAAAGTGGTTGGTTTGTTGTTAAGCTACCGCATCAGACACTTTTTGTTCGGACCTCCTGTGCAGGTGGACTTTCGCAATAGTAAAGAAAGTTCAGAGGTCGGTCGGTTTGTTATAATTTTAACCGAAAGGAAAGAAGTCCTTCCAAGCGAAATAATGCAGCTCGCTTCAGGTGTCTTTCATTTTTTGCAATTCTTTGCATTGTAATTTGTCTTCCACATGTCAAAGTTGGAAAAAATGTGCATCTATATTCCTGTAGTTATTTACATATTTCTATCTACATTCACATGTTTTCAAGCTAGAAGAGCAAATCTGTGTTTAAAAAGGTCATTCCATGTTGACTCCCTGTTTACGGATCATTTAAATATGAGCACTTATGCATGGATTCATATACACGACGATTTATGATTAATAATTACTTCATGTCACTGCAGTTTGTGAAAGACAGATAATGAAACAATCAGAAAGGAATCTGGAAATTATTGTTGCAGCTCTTACATTATAACATGAATTAATTTGGTGAGAACTTTCAGGATTTAGCAGAAACTTGAACCAATACAAACTGTGTAGACTATAATAGTAATTGTTCAAATTAGAAAATATTACATATGAAGTTATACAATACAGTAAATAATGTTATTTTGACCCCATCATACTAGCGTACAGAATTGAAAAAGGTTCGCCGGGAAGCATTAATTATAGTGATGTAATTTGTGGAGGTAAAAATTTCTTTTGCTATAAAAACTCCCCTTGAAAATTACGAGTTTAGAAGCCTGCTTACTTGACTGTGACTTCTGCACAATAACCGTGTGCAATACCAGCACATCTTATTATTACAAGTGCTCGCTCACTGCGCGTGTGCATCCAGGGCAAGGATTGATGAATTGAAGGAGAATTTCAAAACTGTTCATGTCAAACCACAGCCAACGTGGAATGGTTTTGTATGCGCACTATTATTAAATTATTGCAATTAATGTCAATTTTAAATTTTAAATGCTGCACTCTCATTTCGTTTACGGGTAAATATTATACAATCAGCAGGCTCTTTATCTAGGAAACGATGAAATCATTCAATTTGAAGTTAGCTAATACTGTGGTAGTTTACGGCTTGCTAATGAAAGTGATAATTAAATTGATATACGCCTGCATCATCAAAAGTTATGGAAAATCTCGGTGACATTTACGATGTAATTTGAATTAACAATGCGGTGTTTTATAACAAACCACCAATTTTCGTTTCGATTCTTCTTGTTGCCACTTTCAAATACTGCATGAACACAGTTATCATCCTCGTGGGTCTAACAAGTTGAATTTTGCAATTGTCTAGATTAGAGATGATGACTTTCATTTTATTTTACAATAAAGAAAATGGATTAACAATGGAAGAGTATTTACAGTACATAAGAATTCTCATGTTTAACTTAAAAATAATAATAATTTAAAAAACCTATGTTGTACCATGTTGTACTTCCAAGAAAACTTGAATCCAATGAAAATAAATATTTGAGGAAACCATTGATTTCGCAATAACTATTTAAGATTTGGCTGTTTGCTCGTTCTACATACTTTTCTTGTCGAATTTAAAACAAAATTATTTTAAACAATGAGAAAAAAATCACAAGAAATAGTTGCAGTGAAATATGACATTTGTCAACACTTATTTTATTTTACATGCGAGGTCTTTACTGTCACAAACTTCTGATGATTTTGCTACATCATGGTCAAGCAGAAATTTCAAATCGAACGACTCACATGATTATGGAAAATTAGTTTATAATGAGCTTAGAATTATTTTAAGGTAAATATTAGCTCAGGGTAAACGTGTAGGAGTACTTTTTTAGGTGTAGTTTATCAGTAGCTAAATACAATGCAGTTTCATACATGCTTGCCTCAAAGTTCAAGTAATAATTCTTCGGTAATAAGATTACATCAAAATATTTAAAAAATAATAATAATAATTGTATGGGCACACTAGTCAATAAACATTTGCAATCGCTCTTTAATATTGCTGTTCTCAATTAGAAAAAAATGCAAAAATACGAGGAAACCATCAGTGTCAAAAGGGGGGAGCAGAATATTTTCTCAATAGTTCAAGTTTAGATGTTCAAGGAATTGATTATTGAAACAAATGATATTGTTCAAATTTTAAACAATTACTATTAAAGTTTCCAAAATATGGATTCTCGTTTTCGTAAATAAATACGATAACCGGGCTCCTGAAAACCAGCTATGAACGCAAAGAAATTCATTAACGGAGGCCAGACAACAGTACCGCACTTTAGCATCATTTACTTTATTGACTTTGCAGGCATTCGTTCAAATCATACAACGTAAAAATTTTAGCTATTTTTTAATAGAAATTATCAAATGAAAAAATTACAATTTATCACCTCTTTTTCTGAAATTCTGAGAATTTTACCAGGAGCATTGCATGCAAACATGATTTATTTCCTTCTAGTCTACTATCCGTCAGGTTTCAGGCAAACATTAAATTACGAGTTCATCCGGTGCCATTTCACGTTACAATCAAGTATTTGGACAATTCACAATACAGAAAAAGCTTACAGCAGCATGATGTCAATAATTTAGTGTTTTCATTTTCATATGTACATTGTACATATATCCAGTCACGTTGAAAAGATGGATGTGAGAGGTAACTTTACAAATGGACACTGAATTAAAAGTTAGTTTTTAGCTCACACCAGAAGAGGAATGTACCAGCAGGTATAATTCGGATTCAATTCTAATGAACCCCGACTGTGTATCATTTCACAATTATACTTTGTGTGGATCTTTTGAATATTTCAAACTTTTCAGTTGCATAGCTCTCAGTTTGTTGACAGACATGAAAAAGTGGGTATTGTGCAAGTTTTGCTTTCCCATTGTCGACTTGCAATAACCTTTAAACACTCCTTCTCAGTTTCAATATGATACGTACCTCTTTTCAAATCGTTAAATCGTAAGCTATAAACTCTTCTGAGCTATGATGGAACTTTGTGTCTTTGACGCTACTCCGAGTCCTTTTATTCACAAAATACTGGCATTCAAACACTTCGGCAGAACTATACTTGCAGAACTTAACAATTCACATTGTTTAAATCTTTATTTGGAATTCTACTGTACATCTCTAAGCACAGTAACAATGTCCAGTCTCAATTCCATTCCAGGCAGCCTGTCAGCATTTTTTAGATTTAGTTAAGCTATTCCGTCTGCGGTCCATTGTTGAAATGCAATGTGATTCACATGATGAACAGTACCTTGGATGGGGGATGGAAATCATCTTGCAAAGGGCAGTGTGCAAATTTGTCTAAGAATATAGAACCAATGTTTGGGACCTGTTATGATTTTAATAAAATCAATAAGTATTTAAAGTGAAACCAATTGCATAAGTGCATTTATTTATTTATAATCTACATATTTATTAAATAGGTAGCCACATCTGTATAGTGATATTTATAAGTTTCGATAAGTATATTTTTTTTTACATATGTCATCCCAAAAGCCAATACATGAAGTACCAACTATGGAATTGGTGACAAGGTGGGTGTGGGTGAGACAAGTGACAAGTAAGCAGGGTTCAATCGTATGGGATTCCCTAATTTCGGGCCTCAGTATGGGATGACAGAAGGGTAGTTGAGTTGAAACCGATCCAATGCACAATTGGTCATGCACTTTGGATCAAAGGTCGAATTAACAAAGCATCAATCGAACAGTTGTGTGTGTTGTTTTTATAGGGAAAAAGGGCGATTTTGAGTCAGATGATACGCATCTGCAACTAACTGACAGATGATATTTTATACTTCTAATAAAGCAATAATTGGTTCTCTCTACTGGGATTAGGTATTCGTGCAGCCATTCTGTCTGCAACAATATTAATTTATTTGTATTTTTTGCTATTGCCTCAGATTCATAAGATTTTGTAATATGATTTCGGAATGCAAGTAGATATGTGTACACATATGTTTGTCACATTCTTGTATGTTCTTTTCCATAATTTTGAAAAGTTTTCAACTTAATAAACATGAGCTAAAATTAACGACGTCTTTTTTATATAGATGCCGGTAACTTCCTGAAGACGGAAACTACAAGTGCACAAGCACCTGCACAAGCACCTGCCCCTCCTCCAAGAACCAAAGGTGAGTTTCATCATCAAAATAGCATAAAACACATTGCATTGCATTGAACTAAATCCAAATAAGAAAATCCAATTCAATACTCCACTTTATCTATTTAATATTTTAATAATAGAAATCAAATGGAAACTGCTATTCTTGAGCCCATCTTGAGTGAATTCATAGACATAAGTTGCTACGGTAGTGGAAATTAGTTTAGTATATGAGATGAGATGGACGGTCCATTGTGGATACCCTTGACAATCCTCATGCTCACTTAGGCAGCAGTGGTAGAAAACGTATTCACAACATATGAAGTAATAAAAGTGTTGTCATATTTTGCAACACTTTTTGCAAACCTGCTGCTGCGTTGGATTGCTCCTGTTGTTAATATCAAACGGTACCCAGCGAGCGAGTGGGTCACCTGGGCTCTTTTATCCACCTGCAATCTAATCCTAAGTATGTATGTAATTTGTGGTTAAAAGAACAGTGGGAAACCCGGAAAATGGCTTTCTTCTGGCTACCGGTCTTGAATTCTAAAGGCTTTAATATTGAAGATGAATGTGGCAGTGCGAGTGAATAAGTTATGCTAATAACGCATTGGGAGCACTTAAGTTATTATAAAATGATTTTCTCATAATATGTTTGGCGTGTTATTAGTGGTCACGTGAAGTTCTGTCAATGTGCGAAACCGAAAGACGATTAAATATTATGCGTGAGCATAAAGTGAGAATGAAGTCTTGTTTAGGTTAGTGTGACCATTTTTTGTCAAATTGATTTTAATTAAAAACAAAGCTATAGGCTATTGAGGGAACTATTAATTGTTGTGAACTTAACTTTTGGCCGATTCTTAGCTAAGGTTTTATTTTATATTTTTTGCAAAACTTGTGAAAGAAGTCATGTTCCCATCCATATTATGAATAACAGATAAGCTTTAACCAATCAATAATGTTTCATTTGTCCCAAAAAGAAAAGGCATACAGTGAAACCAATATTGCGTATTATTTTTGTACGAAATAGCAGAAGTGAGCAGCTTACATATTCATGAGATTAATGCTCGTCAGCATCATTGTGCTCTTTCGGACGCTTTTGGTACAATAATGTGGTTGATTTTTCAGCAGCATTATGTGATGGAAGAAATCCCCACTATTGTATTGATTAGAGAAGAAATGGAAAACTCATCATATATTTTTCATGTCTGTACAATGATGCACCCCTTCTGACGTTTCGTCCGAATTCATTTGATTCGGATGGTAGGTTTGGGAAGCTCTGCTTTTGGTTTGTTTGGTATGACGATGAAAGGGATGCAAGAATCCGCATCTGCACCCACATCCACCAAATTGAAATCGACTCTGGGGAAGCAAACTTTGGCTTTGTCCTGGTGGTGGTGAGGCCTTTTTTGCCTGCTTGCCTTGCACGGTATGCCATCGACTCGTCAGTGCATCTTTAGTCTGAGGACGACTATTCGTAAGACAGCATTGCACATTCAAATCGTGGAGGATTCATTTGGCGATCTAATATCTAATAATGTCAGTTTTTAGTATTTAATAGTGAACAAGCTTAGGTTGTGTGCACGGGGTTACTCCAGTTGAAGATTTACTAAGCCATCTATTTACCAGGACATCCTTATTGTATGTAACTTGAGTGACGCCAATTCAGGACAGTTGAATTTTTGAGATATTGTGAAACAACCGAAAAAGGGCATCGTGACATTTTTAATAGGTTAATTGTTAATAGCCAGAGAATAAGTGCATAATCAAAGCTTCCACAACAAGAGGTAAGAATTGAGATGCTATACTTATCAGAACTAAATAGAATAAACGATTCACATGAAATGGGATTACGGTAGCATTTTATACCAAAAATTGCATGAGGGTATTTGTTCGATGAAATTATGAACAATATTCACAGTTAGCATGTACAATATTCCGCATTAAAAAAGTTAGATCATTGACCAAAGGCAGACAGCTTGTGGAATCCGTATAGGGCAATTTTCATCATCTCTCGATTTTTGGAGAGCTTATACGAAGCTGGAGTTTGCTCATCGTGCCACGTGTGAGATTTCACATTATTGGAGGTTTCAAATCTTACATGCCCATTTCTTATCACAAGTTGGTCGATTGGTTTGCCTCAACTTTGGCACTTTGCCTGCACAAAATCTTCAGAAGTTGCAACAACAGTCGCTGCTGGTTCCAGCCAGCAATGCTTTTCTTCTTTTTTGATAAAAAACACTCGTGGTTCAATGTTCAATACGAATATGCATGTAGTTGAGTATTTGTTGATGTTTAGTATTACGCATATTCCGAGCCAGTTATCTCAAATACAACTTGTCCAATCATGCATGCGTGCTATCTGTCTAAAATGTGCCATTTAGATCTACAACTCTTCTAGGGATTTCTAGGTTAAAAATGCAAGCTTATTATTTATTCAAGTTTGGTGGTGTTCCAACTGCGTGTAAGGTAACGCAATTTATAACTAATTGACGAGATCGAAACTTGATTTTGTGTAGATTTTCGACCACCTAATTTTCTAAGATAATTATGTTGCTTAATTCTACATAGTTTAGTATAACATGAGCTTAATTTTGAGTCGAATGGCTTGTCATACGCATTGAGACTAAGTTTTTATCCCATGAGGAATTTGGCAAATTCTAACGAATAATTATAATCCTTCTAAATACATAGAAAAGTAGGAAGAAAGAATGTCACCCAAAAGGGTGTGCACGTTAGATTAAATTACTCGAGGTGAATTAATCTTTAAAAGTGTTGGCGTAATTTTATTTCTACATACGTACGTATAACAGTAAAGTTCTGGTTGTGCTGCAAGAATGGAAAGAAATCACTTCCGCTTCAGGACATGAATAATTTTGAACATCAGGGTTGTTTTTCAAATGTGAGATTTATGCCAGGTAAAACTTTGAATTTGTAAGTACATTCGAAACAGATATTCGCAAAACCTTTGATGATAGCTTTTTCCACAACACGCCATTCATGTTTGCTTAAATGATAAAATATAATCTCAAATTAAGAAGTACTACTAAGGACAATACTACTACTATTTGCACTTTAATTTTGTTTGTTCTTAAAATATGCAGGTTTATAAACAAACCCTAACAGGGCCGAATCTTTTGGTAGGAGAAATCATTGTATACTTCGTACCTATAGTAGTATATTCAACGTATCAAAAATTATAAAACTGGGCGCCGTTGAACATTTTCAACTAGTGAAACTTTTACGGAAACAACTTGCATGTTTTGTATTTCAAGGTTAATTTGCAGTAGATTCGACTGTAATTTAATAAGTCACCGTGTTTCAATTTGTACATCAGTTCACATGCACGTCTATTAGATGCAGAAGGCATAATGCCCCCAAATAATATGGGATGAAACGCATACTTCCTCTCAGAAAATTTTCACATAGTGCATAAGATACAGAAAAATTTATTTGGCCTAAAATCAGCATTTAATGGTCTCATTTCGCCATGTTTTACACATCAGTACATTTTTGAAGACTGCAATTCACACCATTAGTTAGTGTTGTTGATCTGTAAGCTCGTCATAAATTAGAGTAATGTAAATTTGATGACTGACAAGAGAAAAAATTAGTTGAATCATGAACCGCTGATTTGACTTGATTTGATTTGACATTTCACTCAACTTTTGCTTATCAGTTCACATGTCTGCATTTATTTATTCCGGTTTCTTTTATTGTTTTGATCGGAAACGATAATCATTATAAGTGCAACCTTCTCATGGTCACAGTGCATATATTTTATGAAAACATTTAGATAGATTTACACAACTTAACACATTAAGGTTCAAGATGTCAATCTTGAACGGACGAATGCCAAAGATCATCACAAGCTGGCCTGCGCATAATGCTAATCAAACAATGAAGCCTTGATTTTCTAGTAAATACGTGAAACTTTCATGCTGATAGTTTCTTTTACTTCAGCCACTTGTTACAATATCAACTGCCAGTTAAATATTGCTGTTCTTACTCCATGACAGTTAAAAAATGAAGGACCAATGAGTGTCATAGATATAAACAGATGCATATATAGTTCAAAAATTAGCTTAATGTGTAATAATATCATGTTGTCGGTTTAGAAAAATTAGTTTTATGTACATTTCAATTGTGATAAGGGTTGCATGGATTCTAACCAAGACAAATATGTAAACTTTGTAAATTAAATTGCAAAATGTCTAGTGCGTGCAAGTCAATAGCACGAAAATAAAAGTCAGGATAACGAAAGTTCACAAATTAATTAACTCTTCATTATGATCAGCTATGAAGGTTATTTATTGCAAGTGCATGCATATATGTTCATGCACTCTGCAAAGTAGCAGAAGCAGAATATGTACTTATTCTACTCATTGTGCGGTAAGGGATCTCGCTGTGTAAACTTGAACGAGAATCATTAATACGTAATTACCTGGGACGAATTAAAATTAATTTATTCACGAATTCTAATAACACAACAATCGAGATGGATTGCCATCAGGTATTATCAATGCTTACGATGCCCACCAAAATACTCATTTTGCTATCAAGATCAAATCAGACGAAAACCAATCAGCTCAATGACGCGAAAATTTGTAGCTCTATTGATAATTTCATTTAGTAGTCGTACATAAATAAATCCTCAAGTCGTTGGCTCAGCTGCATAAGCTTGTCACTGGCACGAGTACATATAAATTATGATTTTATGAAACATCGACAATGCTTGCCAGATTTAAGTCAAGGCTGAAAAAAATTATTATTTAATAAATAAATCATATATTTACTTCAACCGAGAATTCCATCGGTCTTCATCCGAGAATTTTTATTTGACGTGTACAGTACTTTGAGTTTAATTTGGCAATTCCGTTAACTTACTTATTACATGTGTATCTCAATTTTGAATTGGACATCCGTACGTCGTGGAAGTTTTTTTAAAAATTAGTTCTTACTTGATCAATACATATGAACGTAGCCAATACAAAAACTGAGCTGGCAGAGATTGAGATTGAATAAGAAATTCTG